CAATTGAATAAAAGATCCTGTTTTTTTACGTCTTGTCGGATAATTAAAATATGTGCTTAAAATTATAAGAGTCCAGTTAAATTCAACAGTCAACTGTCAAACGAATAATTCATGCTACAAAGATGTTGCCTGTTTCCAATACTCTTCAATATTGCACTAAGAGATTGTAGAAGAGGTTAGAAAGGTACGAACACTGGAAGATTGGTCAAACTTCGAGACCTGAAAGCAATCAAACTATAAGAAGTATATGTAATATGTATATTTCATATGATATAGTGACATTATCAAAAACAGATCGTGACCTCCAGAAAATAGCAGACTTTCACTTTTCACCCAAGAAAGCAATTTTAGTTCAAATTTTGATTCAATCAAATCACGGTATTTAAAAACATGTTTAACTGAATTTTGCTCAAAATCGTATTTCATAAACAATGATTTTTCATTACGTATAGAGTATTATTATTATTATTAATTTATTTCTCAAAAGAGAATACTGGGCCTCACTGCAGAGTACAGAGTAATCTCTGGGTTTTTATATAAACATGAATATAATTATTATATTGGCATAAATGTATAGTGTTTAAAGATTATTAATTATATAATATAATGAGAAAAAAAATGTATACCTAATGATTAATAAAACTAAATGTAAAAAAAATGATTATATATAAACTTAAAAACGATAAAGATTAAAAATAATTTACTATATATATAAATTAAATAAACTTTTCAAACATTCCTGCACCTATTACAGTGGCCAGTGACGTATTTAAGGAGTGTTTAATAAGGGGTTTACAATTCTCTCCATAGACACACTACTTGTACAGTATTATAGTGAGTTTGGTATGTTACTGGTCTATTTAGCCGTTGAAATTGTTTTAAAATACACCCCAATCTTCTGTCAAAAAAAAAAAAAAGCAAAACAAATAACAAGTTGTAAATATACCACTGGTAGTGGCACACCCGCCAGCAGTATATTAGCTTATCTTTTATATTTTTAGATCATTGGTTCTGCACGACTTATTTAAGATGATTGTAGCGTTATAAAATAATTATTGAAAATATGCGTACACAATTATTATTGTATGTATAACAAAACAAATAGTAACAGTTGTAAATACAATTCTACAATATTTCAATATATTTTATTTATTTATAAATACATTAATATATATATATATATATGTGTATTTTTTTTTCTAGGTCACGATCACAAAAACTGTATTACCGGTTCATCGCCGGAAATCACTAAAAGGTCAAGGAAACGCCGTATAATAAATTATTAATTAATAACATTATGATATTGTTATACGCATTCTCTATACTGCAGTTAGTTAATATAACTAAGTTTGACTAAGTGAACCGCTAAATATTGTTTGGCGAAATACTATTGCAGGTTAAAGATGCCTGTCGATGTCATAGTCTACCTAAGGAGAGGCTAGCAAAAGTTTATACGATTAATGCTTACATAGATCCGTTAATATTTGAATTCGCCATAGTTATACATGAACGTTCGTTCAAATCTGATGTCATTCGAAACATTCTTGTTATATTGCACTCGAAAAAGAAAATTTAAAAGTTTGGATTTTATTGTTAGTAATATGAATATTCATTTTTTCTAGAAAATAATCTTGTTATTGGTGGTAGTTATGTTAGAGTCATTTGTGTAGGATGTTAAATACACAACATATTTTCAAATAAAACTGTTTTAAAATGTGTCGATTAGTGTGATCGTATTGTAAATTAAAACAAATCTCGTTTTCAATATATTATATTTGTCTACACAAACTACTACAGATAAAATGCATATATTTCGTTAAAAAAAAAAAAAAAAATTAATTAGAAAATATAACGAATAAAAGATTTTCACGAAAAAAACGTTGTCCGAAAACTACAGCGAGAACAAACGAATCGGCAACTCAAAAATGTACGATTAAAGAAAATCAAAGATCGATAAACACTACTCGAAAAAAATCGAACAAATTTTGTTTCAAAATAAAATTTAAATAAAATGTTTACAAAACACATCGATATCAGCATATCTAAGTCAGACAGCAAAATTTAACCGGTTAGTTATTATTATTCGATCGTTAAAATTATGATATTATAGTATGATGGATATGTTCTACGAAGATATACCCATTGTAATATCTCCGGAGTTGATAAAAATAATCAAATTGTTTTTTTTTTTTATATTACTCAAAAGGATAAAATCTACAAATATTTATATTTCAATTAATTTCTCATGTTTTGATAAAAAACTTTAAAAAATAACTTTTTATTTTATTATTTTTGAGCAAAATTTTTGGTAGAAAATTTATTCACCAAAAATAAATTTTAAACAGACATCATAGTAAAACCAATGATTTATACATTCCTCGCTCTGCTCAAAATGTATAAGTGTACAGTCAATTAGCTATAATAATAATAGTCAATTAGCGAATGCGATTACAGCTTGCTGCATATTTATAGATATTTTTCTCTAAACTTTAAAAAATTATTAAGAATCTTGAATTTACTGAAAATAAAAAGTTGTAACATCAAAAATTCAATAGAATAAACTCGATAAAATAGCTATCTTCAAATTTTTCAAAAAATAAAAGTTTTTTACCAAAACATACAAATATTTGTAGTTTTTATTTCTGTGATTTATATATACTCATAAAAAAATAATAGAATTCAATTAAATTTATTATCTCAAGAGATATAATAATGGGTATATCTTCATGGGACACTCTGTATAATACGGTTTGTTATTAAGTTTTCTAACCGTATATATTTTTTTCAAACGGGATATGTGCACTTTAATTAAAGTAATTTGTGCTAACAGAAATGATTTTGAATTCCAGAAAAGGAAAATTTGGAAACACAATATACAAGTAGATAATCGTATTTCCATAGTTACATATACGGATAAACATGTATTTATTTATTTATTTTAAATATTTCAATATTCGTCTTACAACTTTTTATAATTTTTAATAAAGTACAGATAGTAATGATAAGAGAGAAAGATTGTGCTACCCAATTACTATACAAAAAGACGAGCATTCTTCGCACGATGGACGGGCCACTGTTGTAGGCGGGAAGTTGGATAGGTAGGATATAGAGGCGAATTTAATGTATTTTTGTATGCAAACTATTAATCATTGCTAACAAAAACGGTTTTGAGCGGGGTTCAGTAATACTTATTTTAAATACTTACAATTTTCGTCAAAACTTGGTATTAAATTCTTATAAAAAAAAAAAATACTACATTAATATTACATAACAAACTTAAAATGTTTACAAATAGCTTAAAAATGGCTCAAGTGTTTTTAAAATTTTACCTCGTCTATAAAAGGCAAATATAATTTATCTATCTAAATTTCAAGTCTCTACGATCATTTATAACTGAATTTCAACAAAAAAACAAAATTGAAAATAATAAAATTATTATTAGGAATTTATAGGAATTTTATACACAATAGTTATATATATAAAAAAAATAAACATCATTGTAAAACCAATCTAATCATAAACAACATAGAATAACATTAGGTAAATTAATTTAATGTGTTTTACAAATGTGATTAATTGTTTAACCATTAAATTCAAAACAAAAGGTCATTAGACGTGCTAGTGGCTTCCATAATTCGTATAATAAGGTCATTTAGCAAATAACTGTATAGTCTATAGATGGATTAAGTATGTCCTGCGATCTGGTATATGGAAGCCCAGAGTAAGGGGGGTCTAGACGGGGCGGAAGCCCCGAGGCCCTCTTAAGTACCAAAGTGAAATGGGTTCAAACAATTTTAAGCTGATACACATTTTCTGTGATTTTAAAGAATAGTTTTACTATATTTTAAAAATCATTTTTTTTTTTTATCGACAAAAACAACTAAATAGTAAATACCTACAAAAGCACTATAGTAAAAAAGATGCATTTTACTGTTATTTAACATTGTCATTGAAATCAATGATATCATCTATGATTAATAATGTTATTTATATCTAGTAATACTGCCATTATTTTTGGAATACGGGAAATCGCTCGCGCTCTAGTATTGTATATATTATCTCGATGCATACAAGTTATTTATAGCAACAATGGTATTTATGGTTCGTTGATTTGGTATAATTTTATCAATAATTAATATTATAAAGCTCCTGCAAATAAAATTAAATAATCTACGAAGGAATAATAATAATTTAGTTAGATTTTTTCGCCATTAAATATTGTTACAGTGTTACCTCTTGTCATTTTTTTTTAAAAATATTGTTTATAGACAGAAATAAATGCGTAATACAACCAATATATATGTATAAATATTCCTTGCTGTGTTCAGAAACTATAATTATTTTTTGTTTCTCTATTTCAACAAATCAGCTAATATTCTAGTATACCTATCATTCAAACTTATATTGGTCACTCCGCAGTAAAACGTCACAATCATTATACATATACCTACCGAGAGTTATATGCTCATGTATAAATCGCTGTATAACTAAATTATATAAATAATTTCACGTCGAACCTAATTGTTTATTTTTGAATACGTTAACCTCTGGTGAATCGAACTCTAGCGATTACCGTCAATAGTAGCAACAATAATAATAAAACCGGTAACGTTTATAGACGATTCTGACATAACTTTTTCGGATTATGCCAACACAAGACTATAATAGTACGTCAGTCATTTGAAAAAAAAATATATATTTGTTTTTATCGTTTTTACGTTCGTAAAATAGAGAGAGATGTATTGTTTTATGGCATATATTTGTTATTTTTATTTTATTTTATTTTATTTTATTTTATTTTGATACCTGCGAACAATGTTTTGACCAGAAATCTTGCTCCGATTGTCTACATCAGTAAGATGATTTTTGGTAGAAAATACTGTATTATTGGTTATTTTATGAATTTCGTTGTAGTTTTCTTAATAATATGGGAATATTAGGAATATTTACACAATAACGGGTTTATAATTTTTTTTTTTTTTGGTAATTCCATGAAAAAAATTTTAATGTTAGTGCTTTATAGACATGGTAATATTTTAAAAATAATCTATATTTTAATATTTATTTTTAACAATTTTTCGGTGGGTGAAATAGTTGAATTTGTCCACGCTGTACTTTAAAAAATAAAGACTTGGACTTTTTACCTAATTCTTCGTCTTCGACTTTTTTCCCAACTATTTGTGGTTTGCCTCCCTTGTCCTAAACTTCCATTTGATCTAATCCTCCATAACGTCCTCGAATACACCCGCTGTCATATCAAAACTGGGTAACGGGCATGTTAATTATATTTTTAACTCAGTTAAGTTAAATATTATTTAGCAATAATTAATTTATAAAATTAAGTAGATAAATAAAGTAGAATAAGCTACCTATTAGTCATAAACTTTTATTCAAAGTATCTATTATAACTACAGATAGGTAATACCTACCTAAGTAATAACCAAGTAAGTATTATGAATATAATTTGAGATTGTGGCTATTGTCCCCTCTCCTTATTTCCTCGTATCCGTCTATTTTCAGAAGAATTCTTACAGCGTTTAATTCCCCTCTCCTCACGACACGTTTGTCCTCCAATATGTTTTGGACGACGGACACCTGCTCCCCTTCCCTGCTCCGGCGTCACTGCAATACACCCCCGTAGAGAAGGTGGCATCTACACGATAGCATTATGGAATTCTACTCGGACCAAAATCCGAGGGTAACTGCAGCGAAACGTAAATATTAAATAATAATATAAACACGCCGCCGGGCCGGCGCAAACGTGCAATAACAACACGACGATGGGTATTGCGCAGAAGGGTATCCATGTGTACGTTGTGCGCACGCGCACCGCCGAGTCCGTCGCAACAATAAAATACCGGCACCGCGTTCACGCATACACCGTTCCACGCTGTACACTGTGTCGGCCGAATCGTTTTCGCACGCAGTCTTGTTTACCACTTGTTGCTTCAGAAGTCACGTGCTCGTAACCCGTCTTCGCTGTCGTAATCGAGACACGTTCGTAGGTGAGTGATGTTTTGATTATTATTATAACTATTATGCTCGGGTCTGCTATACACCTACCTTTGAACATCGTCCCGTCGCGTTTTACTGTAAAAATTATTAGCACGCAGAGTATTTTTGTAATTTAAGGTGATTCAAATTGTTTTCGTTTTCGCAACGAAATATTAGATAGATTCAACAATATTCTTCTATGAAAATTTGTAAATGCCATTTATAAACTTCGAAAAGTTGTAGAAACTTAACAATTCGTCATTAGTAAATATTTTGTTTCGATAATAAGCTATCTTGGTTGGCGTTAAAACAAATTTTTTAAAAAAAGGTAATTGTACATATAGTTACAACGAAATGCATATATAAAATAGAGGAATCATAGCGCAAGATTAATTATTATTAACTATTATTTGAAAAATATTTTTTTTAAATATTTGGTAGGACAAAAGTTATTGCGTGTATCGAATCTTTGTGGAACATCCTCTATAACATAAGTGCCGATCATTCATTATCACGATTAATTTTAATTTTTAAAAACGTGCATAAATACCGTAGAACGTAGGTACGTTCTTCTAGTAACGTACTTTTTAACGTATATTCTTATATTAGCACTTTCTAGGCGTAGATCAGTCCCTCAACATATTCTACCAATTTTTTAGTTATTTAAAACGTTCGATTTTTTTTTAGTTTCTATATGGTTAAATGCGGATACAATTTAATACGAGTTCATTATAAGATGTCTTAATGATCAATATATGGTTTTACAAGTGGAACTAATGCAGTTATTAAATTTTGTAAGGATTTAAAGTTCAAATTTTAAAAAAATCGTAAAATCGTGGCATTTCAACATTTTCAACTCAACTTTGCTCAGAATGGTTTTTCGTTAACAATGATTTATTGTTTCGGTATATACAAATACGAATTGATAAATTTGCCTACTTAACATTATGAAATAGAGTTTGATAAATTACCCTTTATATCACTATTCTATATAATTTGTTTTAAGCGTCGATTACTCGAACATTTTTATAAGAGTGTGTTTCCATGAGAGTAGGATTTTATATCTATAAAATATCGTGAAATTTTTCCTTCTGAAATTGAAATTTTAAGACCTTGACAATTAATCGAACGTGCCATTATTTTAACTATGTACCTTTACATTATATTATATGTATTTGAAAAACAAATATTACACACAAGTTTTGCGTGGCTCTTTTGAATAATTTTGAATATTATTAGTGTTATTACAATATAATATGATAATAATTATATATGGATAGGTATCAACTGCACCCGTTTTGATGTATCGATCAGTCTTAGAAATTAAGTGTTTTGTATTTTACATTCCACGCGTTTTACATTTTGACTGTGATATACCTGATGATGAATTTTTAATTCTTAACTGGTCGTATAATACACTTATCATAATACTACAGGCGTTGCATTTATTTATTTATTTATATATTTTTACATTTAATATATACGTCGTATTATGGTAAAATATTCACATAGGCAATATATATTTTCTATAACAATATTTATTTATTATATTGTACCAATTTTCCGTTTTCCCAGTTTTCTCATGTTTTTTTCCCGGTTTTTCCCATTTATTGGGAAAACTCTTGGGAAAATCAAAAAAAGATCTGCCCAATGCACTTCCTCGATCAGATTTCCTTTTATAATAAACGCTACACTTGTAAATCGAATTCTGGTAAACAAGTTGTCCACAGAAAAAAAAAATGCAAATATAAAAAATAAACTTTGTAAAACCATAAGTTCCTTCACTCCACCCAGAATCTAGAAGTTCTACTCCGTCGGCTATTATTTTATCTTAGGCCATCGGTTTTCATTTTAATATTATTTTATATTATCGCTTTATCTAGTGTTTAAACTCTAATTAACACGTGGTGTCTGTACATTATTAAAATATTATATTATAACAATCTGATAGCGAAAAAAATTGATTTTAATTGGAACGGAATGGTATTTTTTAAATATTATTTTCCGATAACTCATATAACATATAGGCGGGTAACGTTTGTGTTTTACTTCGGTTATATAATATAATGTGTTTTTTTTAAATGCTAAGCGCGGCGAGAGACTTATTGATTTTACTATGATAATAACTATGTTTTTTTTTTTGTGTGTCTGTGTGTAGCTTTTCGACCACAGAGCTTGATAAATGACAACAGTTATTTTTTTTTTTTGCATTTGGATCTAATACGTGCATTAATGAAGTTGTTGTTTGATTTTCCAATAGATTTTCATAATAATTGGGAAAAACCAGAAATAAATTATCGGAGTGGACGAATATTTACGGTGCGCCGCGGCGTTGTCGATTTCATAATTTTCAATTTTTACATATTATGTCTTTTACCAGAAAACTTGCTTTAATCCAAAGGATCTATTTTATTGAATTTTTGATCTAATTAGTGGGTGAATGAGTCGGTTTTAATTTTCTTGGTGGTTTTTTTTTTTTTGAAATGGGAAAACCTATTAAAATACGGTGGTATAATGGTTTTAAGATCAAATTTTGATAAAAATAAATATTACGGTCTTTCAAATTATGTATAAGCGGACTTCGTTGTTCGTTAGGTATACTTTATCGTTGTTTACAGATATAAAAGAAATGACTTAACGTATTCTATCTTTCCAAAATACTAATTTCTACTTACAGTGGTTCACTCATTAGTGTTAAATATTTTTAGATTCTGAGCGTATGTTTATTTTTGATTAATTTTTTCTGCGGACAACTTTTCTATCAGCATTTTGCTTCGAGTTTTAAGTATAGTACTTTTTTTTTTAAAGGAAATCTAACGACTGGTCATTTTTTGGTTTTCCCAGGAGTTTTCCCAATTAATGGGAAATTTTGGTTTTTATTCACCTCAAAATATTTTTAGAGATTTGATGTTTGGACAGGATATTTGTATTTGCATTTTTTAGACGTGGTAAAATTTTCAAATTGTAATCATTTTTGAGCTATTTATAGATATTTTAATTTTACAGGATTTTTTACGTAATTTTTGTTCGGTAGGTACTCTGTGGATAAAATTGTTAGACCAAACAGAAATGCTCTCCTTAGCTCCCGTGGCCATTCTACCACTAATTATTATTTATCTACTAATATTGGACAATGATCTAAAACTAAATTTTATATGATATAAAATATAAATTAGGGGAAGATGTTGTAAGTACAAATATCGTACGCTAACAATTGTATTTTAGTAAAGAAAAAAAAATAGAGATGGCTGACGATAAAAACCCACAGTGCCAACAGAAAATTGATCCACATTTTGGGACCAAAGCCATTCACGCCGGTCAAAACCCAGATCAGTGGACGTTCAAAGACGTCGTGCCACCGATCGCGTTGACCACCACCTACAAACAATACGGTCCGAACGATCATGCCGTAAGTTTTATGACAAACTCAATATTCTCGTAGTAGTGTTTTACAAATATTTTAATATTACGACATTGTACAATAATTTACAGGGATTCGAGTACACTAGATGCGGAAATCCTATTAGAAAAGTGCTACAGGAATGCATTGCGTCCCTAGAAGACGCTAAACACTGTTTGACGTACGCGTCTGGACTGGCGGCCACCACCGCAACAATCCAACTGCTGAAAGCCGGTGATCACGTAGTATGCGGCGATGACATGTACGGAGGCACGAACCGTTATTTTCGAAATATCGCATCAAAATTCGGATTAAAATTCACCATGATTGACATGACAGACCTGAAGAACGTGGAAAACGCAATTTTGCCGGAAACCAAGGTATGTCGCAGCCGAATTATAAATTTTTAAAATTCCCGTTTTAAAAAGGTACTTTATGAAGGTGAGCCAAATTGTTTGCTGTTTAATACCTACATTTATACAGTAAACACAACCAATAAATGTAGGTCTAATGTATTACATTTTTAAATTTTTATTTAACTTGTATCATACTACGGCTGATATTCTACAGTTACATCAAGGTAATAAAATAATGTTATATCAGCGTATTGCCAAAAATACCATGATCGATTAAGATAACGTCAATTCATCTGGATATACGTATCTATATGGCTATATATACCAATACAAAATACGGAATAGAATCTAGCATAAAATGTAACTAATATTTTAAGTTGACAGTCCCGAGCCTGTAAAAATGAGAATTGAAATGTGCGTAATTTACTATCTTACTGCGAACAGTGGGAACTAATTCGACCAGTTGTGGGTACATCACACATTTAAACAGGAACCAATCCGGCTCACTTTCATAAAATACCTAGCTTTTTTAATGGGAACCAATTATACCGAATGTGAATAAATTCGGATACACCCAAAAATTAACCTCCATAATTTTCCAACTATACAAAATTCGGTACCATAAACCATACAATTGATCAACATAGATCGCTTCGATCAGAATCTAAAAAAAAAAAATTATAATTGAAAATCGCATAAAAAATACTAAAATAATATGTTAAACAGGTACATTCTTTGGCAAAGCACAAATGAGTATTGTAGTGTGTTGTAGACTATTGTTATTATATAGAAAAAAAAATCAATAAAAAAAAAATTACAGAAAAAAAAAACATTTTCTTTTGTTGTTAGAACACAAGTATATATGGATTCAATCGATTATTGTTTATCAAATCACTTATATTGTGAGCACTGAATACTATAATCGTTGTTTAAAAAATCATCCCAATTCAATATCTAAATTTCAATTTCAATTTTATCAAAATCTAAAAGTATTTATAATAATAAAATTCTTTTTAAAAATAGATAAAAGTACCATTCGAAGTGGTTTTAGAGCTGCTACTATTGTAAAATATTTTGATAAATGAAAACATTTTGGAGACGACCTCATGAGCGTTCTACAATATTCTCTAAATAATCAGCTCGTAATATTGAATAATGGTACAATAACTGTAGTTCGTACTAACTGCCAACTTTATATTTTCTTAAATAATCCTTGTGAAATCGATTTTAGACTACTTGCCAGTTTATTTACCACATAAAATCATCATCGGTACTACGGCCTATTAAAAACGACGACGACAGTACATAATAATCAATGCATTTCCGGGGGGATAAATCGATGTGATAATTCGTTTTTGAAATACTTCGAAATTAATAATAAACACGCGTTCTAGTAATATTATTTGTTTACAGTGATACTTGATTTATTTTTATTTAAAATATTGTTTTCAATTACAGTTGGTATGGCTGGAGAGTCCTACGAATCCGTTGATGAGAGTATCGGATTTGAAGGCGATCGCGACGTTCGCGCACAAGTTTCGGGAAGATATTCTAGTTGTGGTTGACAACACGTTCCAGACTGCTTACTTTCAAGTAAGCGTTTAAAAATTAACAGAGTTTCGAATGTCGTGAGAAACCCACAAACTGCCGTATAAATCTATGCTGTTTTTCGAAATACCGTTTCTGTCGAGTATGGACTTGGAGAAAAACAAATTGAAAATTGAAAAATTACTCTTCATGATAATTTGACAGAATATAATATTAGTCAGAGTTAAAAATTAATACATATCATCAATACTTGACGAGTGATTGATTAAATAGTTTAATGGGCAATTAACGAAAAAATATATTTTTTTTGAAAAGACGTGTTTTTTTCGACGTTGATTCTGAAAATATTTTATTAACCGTTTAGTGAGCCGTCCCTTGCACCCGCAATTGTTTATTTCATATATATATACAGCATTTAAACAAACTATTTACCTACGTAACTTCTAAAATAATAGTTGTCGAAAAATGTTGATTGCACCGGTATCTTCAGTATTAAAACCCCTACGTGTTTTCAAAAAATTTTTTTAAAGTTATTCGAATTTTTTTTTTTAATCATAATTAAAAATCCTATTATATTGGTTTCCGAAAAAAATTTAAATGCTTTTAAAACCAATATCAAAAAAAAAAAAGTTGGCCAGTAAAGTGGACTTGTTTCAAGAGCAAAATAACAAGTATCATGTATGTTTTTCAAAAATCGAGGAGGGTTAATAGTAAAATTCCAGTGTGATAAGATATTGGAAACGTTATAGGTTACCTAACCTAACCTAACCTTGTTAGTATAAGACAGCTTCCGATTTTAAATTCCCAAAATATGATTTCATAAGTGCAATTTCCGCACACTTTTGCAGTAAAACTGAATTACGTTTTTAAACTACAATTTTCACTAATATATTATGTTTAATGAAATGTTTTTTTTATAGAAACCTCTCCAGTTGGGCGCGGACATCGTACTCTACTCGCTGAGTAAATATATGAACGGTCATTCGGACGTCATAATGGGCGCTCTTGTCATAAACGATACGCCGCTGTTCGACAGTCTCGCTTATATTCAGAATTGTAAGTGCATGTTATTATTTATTTAATTTATTGGTGAATATCCTATGAATTTACTCATTAGATAAATTTATATTTTACACAAATTACTTAAAATTAAAATTACAAATTAGGTAGAAATGTTTTTATAAATGCAGTCTCAAGTTTAGATAATAGATGATCAACATCAAAATCAAAATTAATGTAAATGTTACATTCCTCAAGAATACGATACTTCTGGCTATTTTGAATATATCTTTTATAGAATTAAATTTCTGATATATATAGGTTTATTAATCATTTTTAAACATTGGTTTCTTAAATTTTATACGGGCTAGAAAAGTAGAACAACGGGTCCTAAGATTAACTTTACTAAAAAAAAGATATTGAAATACTTTCGACGCAAACTTAACCTAACCTAACCTTGGCCAAAGATTTTAAACCACAATAATTTGAAATAACTTCAGAGTATACCAGTTTTATGACCCAATATTCTTGCAAACCTTTTTTGAATTCTATCAAGTTTGTTACTCAGCCCAAATTGATTAGGGTTCCAAATTCAGGTGTAAATCTGTTTAATAACATTTAAAGTTATTAACTATTCATTAAACAACTCTCCACTTAATCCAATCCAGAGTTCTTAAAGTCTTACCATATATTTCATTAACAGGAGTAGGTACTAAATAATGGTATTGATGTAAGTATATTTATAATTATTTACTACTATCACTTATAAAATATTCAAAGTTTTGGTGGGATTTACGCCAGCAAAAAAAAAATATGTGCGCCTATAAATTCAAGACCGCCTTGGTTACACCAATAAAAAAATGTGCTTATAATTATAACTTTTAATTTTTAATATTTGTTTTCTTCAATTATGTGGCACACAGCGTGCGGTATCATGTCATCACCGTTTGACTGTTACTTGGTCAACCGCGGTCTGAAAACTCTGCACGTCCGTATGAAGGAACACATGAGAAACGGATTAGCCGTGGCCCGATTCCTGGAGCAGCATCCGCTCGTTGAGAGTGTCATGCATCCCGGCTTACCATCGCATCCCCAACATGCCGTTGCTGTACGCCAGTGCAGTGGTTTCAGCGGTATGTTGTCGTTCTACATCAAAGGTGGTCTGGACGAGGCAACCAGATTTTTGCAGGCTATCCGGGTTTTCTGTTTGGCTGAGAGCCTCGGTGGTTTTGAAAGTCTAGCTGATCACCCGTGAGTATATTAATAATAATTCTATGGCGTATAAGTAATTCATACTATTCTCCAAAATCAGACAACTGCCAGAAGACTCCAAATAACTGTTTAACTAGTTTTAAGTTCAATAATTAAAAAAAAAAAATAGCTAAACTAAGTTATGTAATTAATTTTAAAAAATTAATTAATTTGAGTAACTCATGTTAAGTTACAAGTTTTCAGAAAAATTATAACTTCAGTTAGGTAATTTAAAAGTTGTTTTTTTAACTACACCATAAATGTATTTTGTATTGAAATATTTATGGGTATTCTATAAGACTCATGCTTTTGTAACTTTATCCACGTATAATAATTGCAAAAACATATGTACAGCTTTTAATACAAATAAATGCATAAACAACTTTTTAGAAATAACTTAAATTTTAACAAAAAAAAAAAATTCAAGTTAGTAGCTAAATTATTTTCTAACATTTTTTTTTTTTATAACTAGCTAATTTATCAAACAAGTTAATTTTTAACTTTTTAACGAATTACTGTCTAGCATTGCTTTTTCCTATAATACCATTCTCACAAAAACCATGGCATATACAGAATGATTTTTTTATTAAATAACACTCATTATTTCAAAAAGTATTAACTTTTTTCAACATTTTTTTTTTTGAATACTTAAAAAATAAATAGTTTTAAAATGTTATGTGATCATTTTTTTTGTACCCCTTTTTTTTGGAAGTGAAATGACTGCCTATTTTTCAATTTCAAAAGGTAACCTATATTGAGAATGCTTCAAATAGATGGAGTATTATTTTAAATAAATGTTATTGTTACCCTGCTTGCCGTACCGTCACACAAATAATACTCCACTACTCTCCTCCAACCTGAACTAAAAAGTGGAATATCTCGTTAATGGGTGAACGGAAATCAAAAATTTCAACACCAAAATTTATTTTAAATAATACTTCACTAATAATAATGTATAATGTTGGTTCAGTTTAGAGGGTGTAGTTCATGAATTTTAAAAATTTCATACAAAATATTTGTAAAATAAAATTATAAAATTTGCATGAGTTAAACTGTAATTTTAGACGGTTAATTTTTTGGACTTAGTAGCAAACAGAACAATATACTGAGACTTAATTTTTTTATCTAGTTTTTGTTAGTCTAGAACACTTATCATGTGTTATTTAATGACTCCTCAATTATCTTATCACTTATTATTTATACTTCCCTAGTTTAATAACGTAAAATTAAAACAAAGTTTGTACCCTTGTAAGAAAATATAATATTTATTATGCACAATAATCTAAAACAATATATTTTATAATACCTACTTATAATACTAATAATTTTTTTTTAATACATATAATGATTTTATGTAAATTGCACTATAGCATTACGAAAAAAAACGATTTCCGAGGAGGCACACATATCCCCAGTACCTCCCCCTGACAACGGCACTGGTATCGAGGATGCGATAGAAATTTGAGTTATCCTGGGAAAGGTTATGCTCAATATCTAAATGACTATTTCACACCAGCAGTATTAAACATTTTCTCCGTTATACTGCAAGGGTGTCAAAAATATAAAATACTAGTTAAAACTTTAAAACAATTTCGAAGCCTATTTACTTATCAATTTTAATCAAAAACGGTTTTGTTTTAACTATTTTGTGTTTTATTTTTCAGAGCGTTAATGACTCACGCTTCGGTTCCCCCTGAAGAACGAAAGGCTCTGAGGATTAGTGATAATTTAATTCGTCTGTCCGTGGGAATAGAATCCGAAGAAGATTTGATCGCCGATCTCGACCAAGCATTAAAGGCTTCGGTTCAAAAATAAAATAACTTGATACTCTTATTATTAACTAATAATTAATGTTATACATATACATTTTTTCTAATTATAATCTCTAATTGGTTATAATATTCTTATTCTTATAATAGTTATTATTAATAAACATTTATGGATCCAGTTGTATTCGTTTTGTCTTTGGCGCCACTCGCTTCGAGTGCCTGGTTCAAATCATCAATCAGGTCCTGGACGTATTCTAAACCGATTGACAATCTCACTAGATTTTCATAGATACCAATAGAATATTTCTGTTCGTCAGTTAGCGAAGCATGTGTCATTTTAGTACTGTGAAACAACAACGAAAAAAAATACATGAGAGATTTCGAAAACCGTTCCCGTAATTATTTCCGATTAAGGAAAAGAAACGCTAAAAATCATATACCATCTACTCGGAGAGAAATTGACTTCCATTATAGTTATTTGTTTATTGGCCTATCAACGTTATATAAATATTAAATATTATTAAATATATAAATGACTGATGACTCACGGCAGAGCGGCCAGACTCTCGTAGCACCCGAAACTGACCGTAATGTAGAACAGTTTCAAAGACTCCAATAATTTTACGCTCTCTTTCAGCCCACCGTTGATGTAAAACGACAAAAGTCCTGTGTAACCGGTAAACTGTTTGTTAATTACGTCCCGTTGGGGATGGTCCGGAAACCCCACGTAGTTGACTTTGAGCACTTTAGGATGCGATCGCAAAAATTGGGCCACAACAAATGCGTTTTTCATATGGTGTTCCATACGAACGTGCAGCGTTTTCAAACCGCGGTTGACCATATAACAGTCAAACGACGACGGTACGTTACCGCACGCTAAAAACAATTAGAACGTAAATTTATGACAATATAGTAAATAAGTACTACAAGAGAAGATTGATTGAGACTATACAGGTACATGAGAGGTAGTTAGGTTTTAGGAATTATGTTTTACTGATATACATCATTTTTCGGTCTTAGATTCTGAGTGAAGCGAATAATCTATTGGTTTTATTATGTGTTTTTTATTTGGTGTGTAAACTTTTCTACCAGAAAGCTTCCTCCAATCGAGAAACCTTTTTTGCTTTATTTTGTATATACTTAGTACACTAAACAGGTCATTTTTTGATTTTCAAAAGGGTTATCAATAGTTGGGAAATATTGAAAAAAATATTTAGGTATACTCCGGTCCATGAGAAAAGTAAACCGTTTCGCGCATATAGACTGATGACTTTTGTACTGTTTCCCCCACTTTGTTCCATTCAATTATATGCTGCGATGTATATACATGCGCGTAATTGGACGCGTTTTAGTCGGAACACGGTTTACTTCTCTCGTGAACCGGAGTTTAGGTAAACGGACAAATATTTACGGAGCATTGACACGTTACCGATATTATTTATAATTTGTACGCATTGTTTTCTACCAGGAACCTTACTTCAATAAAAAAATGTCAAGATACCTGTTTTGTTGCATCTGATACCTAATTGGTGAATAAGTAATTAGTCTTGATTTTTTATGTAGCTTCCATGAAAATTTATAAAAATCGACAAAAAGAGGAAGGTTTACGGAAATTATGGTTTCATTATTTTAAATTTTGTTTTTTTATTGTAATTTAGTTTAAAATATTCGTAGTAACTTGACATTTTAACAGAAAACTTGTATTGGCCTTTTCTAGACGAGGTAAGATTTTGAAAATATTCTAAAAATATTTCTAAACTATTCATAGGCATATAGGCATATTATAATTGGGAGTTTTTTTATGTAATTTTTATTTAGTAGTTACTACATGGAAAAAATTGTTGGGCCGAACAGAAATAAATGAAAATTTAACATGAGGTTTATAATAAGTTGTAATTAGTGGTAAAAAAAAGTAACTTGTAATTTAGTATTTATTTTATTTATAATAGTTTAAAATTAAATTTCAATAAAAATAGTATGGCCTTTAAAATCATGTATAAGCGAACTTCGGTCAGTTTTTCGTTAGAAATGGTTTATTTTTGCTTACAGATATAAATTAAAAAACTTTATGTACCTAATACCTATCCTACCTCTTCCAACTACCTCTTCCTATTCCAACTCCCCACCTGCAACAGTGGTGCACCCATTAGTAGTATCAGCTCTTTTTTTCTACTTAAATTTAATAATAACATTACAAAACGGATGGTGTATCCAATTTATTAAATTCCGCTTTTGTTTTATGTTTTCATCGTAAAAAAACGTCACTTACTGTACTGATAGACGTACAATTTGTCGTACAACTCTTTGTTGTTAGTAACCAGTGCTCCCATAAGTGCGTCCGAATGTCCGTTAATGTATTTGCTTAAAGAGTACATTATTACGTCCACGCCTAGATTCAAAGGCTTCTGTACACGCCAACAAAATAATCAAATCGATGTATAACAAAAATTATACAAAAGTTAATACTGCTCAGCAGTAATAGGTCATTAAGTGTCATAAAAGTTTTTTAATTTATTTTATTTTTATACCAATACAGACTGAGACCCAAAAACAAAGTGGCACTATCGAAGCTACATTTAAGCTACAGGTAGCTATTATGTACTCATTCCTTATTTTATCTTCTCTTGTCATTCCACTCATCCACCTAAACATTCTCATCTCTTTTACATTCATTCTTTGTTCTATTCTTCAACACCGAACTATGAACCATACAACATAGTCAGTCTCAGTCTCACCATACTTTTTGTATAACTTAACTTTTAGTCTCTTTAGCATTTTGCTGATTATTCTTTTATATATTTGTACATAAACCCAAGTTCCCAGAACTCGCGTATTCGACGAATATTTGCTTGTAGTGGGAATGGAGTAGGTACGAATATTCGGTATTTGGTATTCACGCATTATTCTTTACTTTCCACATTCTGCGAATTATCGGTAAAAGTGACACGAGTCAAAGAGATTATCAATAAAATAATAATCGTGGTAGCGTTCAATCGTGGTGGCCGATTATTTAACTATTCGTGTAAATTCGCCAAATTCACGAGTCATGAAAACCCGTCTAGGATTAGTAAATACAAACAAAAAACTAAAATAATTCCCCTAAGCAAAATAAAAAGGCAAAATCTGATACAAGGGACGGACGGGTGCAGCCATTAAACTCGTCCTAAGTAGCTAAAAAGAAAATCAGATAAAACGCGATACGTTTTGTTATACTCGGTAAATATTGATTTGACTTTTTTGACCATTAAACCCGACAAAGGGATCGTTTTTAGTCCTTTGGAGTGAAATTCTTAAACGAAAAGCAAGTCAGATACGAGGAAGACGAAAAAAGTTCAGATCAAAATAATTTTTATCTTTATTAGGTTAAGTTAGATTTTTGATTGGTTAGGTTAGGTAAGGTTGGATCCGTCTCACTATTGTGTTATAACATTTGGTTCAATTTAGCTATAGCAGCGCTATAATAACTTTTAATTTATAAATCTCTTGAAGCACCAATTATGTATTTATATATTTTCACACTGTGGATATCACAAGGAATGAAGACAATTAATGAAAATTAAAATAAAATTAGTGTTCTCATAACTTTATTTCATTATGCCAATTTATGTACTTTTAAAATATTTTTCAGCTTTCTAATGTTAATAATATTAGAACTTAAGAAACGTTAGAGGAAAAACAACATGAAAATATTAATAATTTTTCAAGTGAAAAATCTTACTCTTCTAATGCTTTTGAATCTAACTCTAAAAATCGGGTAAATTGAAAAAAATAAAGCTGATTTTCAAAATTGAAACCAGAATCGTTAAAAAAAACCGATTTCCAGAATTGAAATCAAATTCGAAAAAATTAAAAACCGATTAACAAAATCGAAATTTTTTTTTCAGCATCAAGCCCTGCTTGGGCCAATGGAATCGGACTGAAGCTTAATATTTCAAAGTAGCATGTGCCAATGACGTTTACTCGATGTCATAAATCTGTTGATTTTTTTTATATTCTATCAATATGGCGTAATAGTATGGAGTCCTAATACAATAAGTGACCAATACAAAATTGAGCGTTTGCAGCGTAAGTTTCTGAAGTATGTGGCTTTTGTCCGGGGGACTGCTTATCCGTCGCATGACTACACGCTAGTGCTTCAGAAGCTCAATAGAAGCTCAAGTTGTTTAATGTATTTGTTCATGTGTTATTAAATATTTTATTTTATTTATTATGGCAAGTCTTTGTAATTGGGCTGGTTCAGTTTATATACATAAATAAAAACCATACCTTGGTTTTTCTCCTTTTATCTATACTTCTCACAAAACAAATCGTCAATTTTCCTGACATAAAACTGATAAAGCCAAACTAGTTCTTTGATATTGATGTCTCACTTCTAATTCTCTTTTCTATAATTTTTGCTCATATCTTTTACTACGACTACTACGATACTATGACTCGTCAATTTTATTTTTCTATAGTTTCCATACACTTGTACATCTCCTTTCCTTTTAAAAATAGGTATTACAAAACTCTTCCTCCAAAAGGTAATTTTATTTTAATTCAATTTAGGTTTTTGTTTTAGATTATTTTTCTGAGAAATAATTTGCATAACATATTTTGATTACTATGACACTTAATTTTATGATATTTAACCTAATTAGTAATAACTAACTACATATAACTTTCTAACACTTGAAATAGAATCGTGCTCAGCAGTGGCTTAACCAAGGGAGTGCCCTTATCTTGGCCATGGTTCCTATTGAAAAATTTCTGTTTGAGTCATTGCTCATGAGTATTGTCGCGTTAAAAAAGCTGTTTATAGAATTGGTGTACATTTTCATTTTATATGTTTTAAACATTGTATTTAAAGCAAAACAACCTATCATATTGTCCAGCAAAAAGACTAAATATTGGCCAAAAAATTATTTTTCTCTCAAACGTGATGTTAACAGATGACGGACCAACGGATAATCGACAAGTAATTTTAGAACTATAATGCTAGGTGTATTATTAAAAAATTATCGATACATCCATACATTAAAGTAAACGTCATTTTTTGTTATACAATATAATTGTATTGAACTGAAATGCCAATGTTTCAAAAATATAATTTTCTTCGATACATTTTTTTAAATTTATAAATCGGTTTAGAAAAACTATAAATGCCACCCACGAAAATAACGTTTTATGAAATGTTTAAAAACTGTATAAAATCGTTTTCTAATAATTTATGACCTCAATTTAATATATATCCGCATTCACCTGAAAATAAGGAGTGATAAACGAATTATCAACGGCCACTAAAATGTCAGTTCGTATTCGATGAACAACATCTGATACTTTTTTTACGTCCAGCACGCGCATCAAAGGATTCGACAAACTCTCGAACCACACCAACTGAAATCAAAATGGTATTTTAAAAAATGTTTGCAGTCTGAAATTATTCTTTAAATTTTAAAATATCATATAGGTGTATTTTTAATCTATTTACAGTTATTTCATATACTAACCTTTGTGTTGGGTTTTATGTTTTGTACGATATTTTCTGTGTTTATAAAATCTATAAAGTCGAACAGGATACCCGCCTGTTTGGCGATTATACTGAGCAGTCGGTAGGTGCCGCCATACACGTCAGAACTGCATAGTATATGGTCGCCAGGTGCCAACATACTCACCATGGACATGGTGGCCGACATGCCGCTACTATAGACCAAAGCGTACTTAGCGTTATCCATGGCCATTAAGCATTTTTCTAAAACCGAACGAATGGGATTGCCACATCTCGTATACTCGTAATTCTGAAAAATATTGTTATTACATCGCGATAAAACGATTTATGAGTTTGCCGTAAAATTAGAAGTTTTAACGTATATATATATCAAGCCTTAATAGACGAAAGGACGCAAGCGAAACTTTATCCGATCAATTTATAATTATTAAAAATTCAGTTTTATTAGTTTCGCATTACAATTTACAAATTAACTGTTTTTTTTTCCACAAATGCCATTTTCGTAAACGCCAAGTGTTGAATTTGTTGACAACGTTAAGTTGTAAGTGACAGGTTAGACTTCTGTCGATTGCGTCAATAGCTAAAGGTAGATACAGCCGTAAACGATAGGAATTAGTGGTATGAAACAGTATTTTTAATTTCATAATTGTTTTTTATCTTGATTAATCGTGTTAATGTTTATAATCGTAAAGCTAGTTATTTGTAGGTACTTTATAATCATATAATAGAACTAAATATATTTTTAAAGGCACGTAACATAATTAAATGGTCGTCAAATTGGTGACATTATATGGGAGGGGGGCACAGATTCACTGGTATAAACGGCAATATTGGTGTTGACATCATATACTGTAGTCACATACAGTTGTTTTGATTTCTATATTTTAGACCAAGTCAAAGGATAAAATTGTTATGTACTATATTGTGGTCTTTGAATTTCTGATTATCAAATATCTAAAACAATAATAAATTGTATTATAATTATGTAATGTATTATGATTAACATAATTTCAATATATCTATAATAATTATTATTTCAGATAAAAATAGTATACGATTTTTAATAAATGTCATAAACATTCATCAAATATTATAATTTAAAATTGTTTTTTTTTGTTCCTGAAAACTCTTCAAAATTTTGCTTTTTTGCCTAGGCAAAAGGCAACTTGTATATAAAAGATCCGTAAATTCAGTAACACTAAATATTTCAACCGGATAGACTCGATGGATTAAAATTAGTATTATATTGTATTATTATTATGGTATTACATTGAAACAATTTGTGTGTACTAGTAACTAGATTTTTTCCACATAGTTTTTACGAAAACGATTCAAAATTTGATATTAAAATTCTTATAAAAATTATCCAAGAGGACAATGGAAGTTATAACCTTAATTGGAGGTATTTTGGATTGCAAAAAGCAGCGGTGACTTGTATCAAACAAAATCACTACTGAATTAAAACGAACGACGTTCTTAATGTAGCTATTTTTATTGTTAATATTATTAACTATTATGTATTAAGTCATTGCGGCCTACTTGATTTTATTATTACTTTTTTTGTTTTTAATGGGGAGTCGCATTCTCAAAAAACGAGTAAATGTGTGGGTCGCCAAAACAAAAAGGTTGGGAACCACTGACCTATAGACAATATTTTCTTTCGGAAATGGTGCCACACATACATATTGGAACAAGAATTTTGGCAGACATTATTTTCATAGAATAAAAAATAAATAAATAAACATCGTTGTAAAACCAATACATTCTTCGCTACACTCAGGAACTAAAATGTTAACCTGTGGTTCGCGCGTGACACACAATAAAAACTTACATTTTTTTAAATGGAAATGCCTTTTTTTGTTAACATTAGATTCGAATAATAGGTCAATTTTTTAAGATACTTTAACAAGTATAATTATTGTTTATATTAAACGGAATATTTTCCCGAAGACAGTGAATTTAGAAACAATAATAATAGCCCGCATTATCAATACAAATTACATCGTTACACGATAGTTCGAAAACTGCACGACAAAACCATAATCATTACATCAACTCAATAGATAATAGTCACACTCGGTTTACTGTAGTTGGGAACATAACAATATAATGTAATTAACAATTATTATAATATTCCAATGATATTAAATGTAATTTATTTAATTTTTATTGGTTTTACAATACTGTTTATTTTTTTCCTTCGTTTTTTGATTTTCGAAACGGTATTTAAAATAAAAACGATAAACCGGGAAAAAAAATTCGGTTTTTTTACAATTTCGTTAATATAAATAAGTACCTACCACGTTTTCTAGCACAAATGTGGCTTCAATTGAAAAACGATCAGAGACCATATTTTTATTGAATTTTTTTTTTTAGTAAGTGTTTTGAAATCAAATTTAAACGAAAATCGCAAAAAGAATTACGGCACTTCAAATTATATAGGACCATACTGCGCTCGGAATCGTCTTTCGTCAGCAATGGTTTATCGTTGCTTACAGATATAAATGAAATAACCTTATGTATCCTATTTTCCCAACTTCCCACCTACAACAGTGGCTGCACCCGTGCCCAGTATCAGCTCTTTTTTATTTTTCTATGTATTCCTTCATTTAATTTTTTATATTCAGTCTCGTTTTACATTTTGAGTGTGATATATCTGAAGATGAATTTTTAATTCAAAACCGGTCATATAATATACGCGTACCCCAGGCGACGCATTGATTTGTTTATTTATTTTATTTTTATAAATACATTTTTTATTCATATATTTATTTACTTTATTTATTTACGAGTATTAACCATTTAAATAATTTTGTTTTTACTTTTATTATTTACTTTAATCTATTATTTTTTAAAGCCATAAATTCATTCATCATTTTTACTTATTATTATTTATTGCTAGTAACAAATATTAAATTGTATTAAATATAAATTAAAAAAAAAACTTTTATTATTTATTTTTTGTTGTTATTAAGTTTTTATTATTTTAATCTTTTTTAAACAATAATTTTTGTCATGGAAACGCACATTTTTGTAATCATTTTACCATAATATGGCATATATATTGTTGAGTATATAATCATCATATCAGCTGAACTCCGCTCAGAATCGTTTTTTCGTTAGCAATGTTTTATCGTTGCTTACAGATATATATTAAATTTCCACCTGTTTCCAAACTTCCTAATACAACATTTAATGTAACAAGTGTCAGGCACATAGCCCCACCCCCTCCCGAATGTGAGCTTCTTACCAAATAATCAGATTATTGGTACAACTATTGGTAGTTAGTGATAAATTTTATGTTTGGACCTCCCCAAAAAAACATCTAACAGAAATACTGCTTTAATCAAAAAATGCCAAGAGAACATTTATGTTGAATTTTTGCCTTAGTTCCTGAGAAAATAAATAATTTTTTTGATTTTCCCAGATTTTTAATTATTGTTATGATAATTATTAAATAATAGGGAAAACTGGAAAAAGGAGAAAAATGAAAAAATGATAAATTTACGGAGTTTTACGTCTTCATTATTTTCAATTGTTAGGCTTTATATTTCCTACCAGAATTGTTTCTCCAATAAAAAACCGAGTATAGACATTTTTTATTGCATTTTTAATATAATTGGTGTAACTACCTACAATTTTCAAAATATTCTGAAATCATTTTTGAGGTATTCATAGGCAATTTATATTAGCGGATTTTTTAGCGTAGTTTTTCTTCAGCAGTACTATACATGAATAAAATTTAACCTAATAGAAATATTTAAAAATTTACCACGAGGTTTATTATAAGTTGTGTTTAGTGGTCAAATAAAAAATGTACCGTGTACTGTATAGTAATTTTTTTTGTGTATAAGTGTTTTGAATAAAATGTTGACGAAAATCATCCCTATATGTATAATCGAACTTAATTCAGAATCATTTTTCATTAAAAGTGGATTATCGTTGCTTACAGATGTAAACTAATAAATAACTTTATGTATCCTACCTTCCCAACTTCTGAAAAGTACACGAATCCGTAAACATTTCCGTTTTTTTTTCTAATTATTAAAAAAACTATACTAAAATTAAAAAAAAACGTCTTCTCCAATTCACAAAAACGTTAAAAAATTAAGGTATCCTGTTGTTTTTTGATGAAACTAGGATTTCCGATTTAAAAATCGTTTACAGGGAGAACATTTTTTTTTTCAAATAATCACGTTCGAGGAAAGGTGAAATATTTTCAAAAATGAACGTATACCTTCGCGCGTTATTAACTTCTACGGATATGTTATTATTTCTTCGATTTGCTTATATTGTTTGTTTTATTTACTTGTATGACTCCGGGCGACTCGGCATTGTATATCGTGCTCAACGATATCGGCGGGATGACGTCTTTATAAGTCCATTCATCGGGATGGTTTCCGGAGTGTATAAGTTTCGTCCCAAATGCCAAGTCCTTTTCGTGATCCGCAGGGATGGCCGTGTCGTCGTCGCACATTTTAAACGGCAACTGTATAAATAAACCCGAAAAACAAAGAACAAGAAATCTTCAATATACCTAAAACCTGACCGCGAATCGTCTCGGGAGTACCGATCGATCTAAAATAAAATAATTGTAGCATAACAGTATACTTACTGTGTGTGTGTGTGTGTATACTCAAATTATTTTTAAACGATTGACCGTTCGTGATTACAGACCAATAAAAAATATTTGCAGATTATAAATTATAATAACACAATGTTTGCTGTGGTTATTAAACTATTAATTTTCATATATATATATATATTTTTTTTTACAATTAATTATAACAATTATCATCCGAGTACAGTTAATCGTCAGTATTGCAGTTGTTTTCAATAATATAATTTATAATCTCTTGGTAATTCTTAGATATTATAATAGGTATGTGTGAATGATCCTATTAGTATGCCGGTCAGTAAAATATTTATGTCACAAACAGATAGTCGTTTTAATAAAATGAACGATATCGATTTTTTTAGATTCTGAGTGAAGCAATAAGGAATGTATTAGTTTTACTATGATGAATTCTTATAGATTCGGATCGTAGCGAAAAATGCATTGGTTTTACAATGATGTTTATTTTTTTTTACTCTGTGAATAGCTTTTCTACCAGAAATCTGACGCCAATCTATCAAGTGTGGCTTCTTTTCTGAAAAGAAATTTGATCTACTCTGTTCTATACACAGATCATTTTTTGATTTTTCCAAGCGGCTTTTATAATAATTGAGAAAAAACGGGAAAATCTACATACAATGTACAATGTATAATTTCGCTTCGAATCGTTTTTTGTTAACAATGGTTCATCGTTACGTACAGACAGTGGCGCCGAATCCTATGTTAAGGTCGGGCCTTGCCACCTTGGCCCGAATTCTTTTAAAAATTAAGCATAAAGTCTCTTCATTTTGGACAAAAGTTTGGTTGCCAAACTAAATAAATACTTCATTACAGAAATAAAAACCTACGCTTATCATAATTTTGGAAATAAAATGAGCTGTGTTTATTTATTGGGACCTCTTGAAATGTATTTCACGCGACTATATTTTTAGGTAGTACTTTGCACCCAAATCATTTATTCGGGTTTTGGGTGTTGAATTATTGAGATAAGCCTGGGCTGATATATCAATTAGTTGTTTTTCATAAGCGATAGTATCGATTAATCGATATAATTAAAGAATAAGTATGTATCGATTAATCGGATATATCGATACAATCAAAACCAATACATCTATATATCTTCAAAATATATCGATGGTATCGATTATTTCGATCCAATTGACTATCGAACATGATAAATAAATATTGTAAGTGTGTAAATGGCTTCTTAGCAAATATGTTAGGTTTGATTCGAATCTTTGTAACTTGTGTAAACCTGTGTAGAACATACAATTTTGAATTTATAAATAAAAATATGTATCTGTTACTATTTTAAAAATAGGAATTCAATTTTAAAATACTCAGTCTAATAAATATTTTTACTGCATTAAAATTATTCAAAATATTTTCAATATAATATAATGTAATGAATAATATTTATTTTTCGTCAGGTAGAATACTAACTATAATATTCCTAAACCTACCTTATTCTTATAATAGATACAGACATAATTTTTTACATAATATTACCTATAGTTAACAAATTATACATGAAATAATATTTAATTAATAATAAATACAGAAGCAGACTAGGGACAGATCGGCTCAGGATGATTCGAAAATCCAGCGGCCCACGTAGACGAACTTGTAATAACAACTTCTATACGATTCTGATCTATACACAATCTCTACAATTTATTCGAGTTTCGGGTTAATCAGAATGTTTTTATTCTAGTTTTGTTTAATACGGGTGTATTGAAAAAAGTCATTCGGGTTATATGGGTTTATGGGTTTCAGGTGTTCAATTTTGTTAGGGTTTTTAGGGGTAATATGGGTTCCGGTTAATACTTATTCACTGTTCTTAAGAGTTTGGTGCCATTACGTACAGATATAAATTTAATTCCTCTCTATATTCTACCGTCTTAACTTCTAACCTATAATAACAGTTTTTTTAAATTTATTTGTTAACTACTTTTCTACCAAACATTTTCGTGAAAAACAAATTTTGTCTAGCTGATGTATTTTGGGGATATTTTCCTCGTAGATTTCTTATCCATATATATATAAAAACAATTTCAAATCTATCGTTACTTCACATTGAAAGGGACTTACCTAATATTATTGATTCGGAAGATGTTCTTAATAAATTTGCCCAAAAAATTAAATGTTTAAACTTGATATTATAACAGTTTTCTATTTAAAATGTTCTTTTTTTTATATTTAACTCAAATATAATAATATGTAATAATATAATATTAATACCTAATATCATTTATTTATATTAAATATTAAAATTTACTCTTTTATTCCTCTTTATAATGTGTTTTTTTACATTTTTTATTTTTTAGTTATATTCTTAAAATATATGTTGTGTACCCGAATCATTGTAGGGTTCCCCCCCTCTCATATAAATTCATCACGCACCTCCATGCAGCATCTATAAGCATTTATTTTTATTTGCGCTGAATTATTTTTAATTTAAATATTTATCTATACAAATGGCATACCCGCATAACTAAATGTGTGTATTATTTTACTAAATATATTGATTATAATTAAATACAAAATGAATAAGTCAAAAGTTCTTGAGATGGTTGAACTCCCACAATCCATCTCAATAACCTTATGTTTTTAAGGGAGTGGTGACACCATAATGGCACTCGCGAGAGGAATGTATATTACCTATGTATTACTCATGTAAAAAATATTGTTAGGGCTATAGCCCCTCCCCCCACAGAAAACCATCATGCTACGCCCATGTATACGGAGTAGGGGTGAAAAATTAAAAATGGTTTTAAACGATTCCATAATGATTAAAAATCACTCTGCATAATTAATTATATACTTGAACGTTGAGCAGATAAATAATATAATTTAATACGATTTTACATTATGTAAGATAAAACCTTTAGTAAAAGGTATGTTAGAAGAACACCATGGTATGCAGGGAGGTTTCAGACCTAATAGATTTATATCTAACGGATCAGATTTTTTGTGTCCGCCAAATTATCCAAAAGTCATGGGAATATAATAAAGAATTATGCATTCTCTTTATTGATTTTAAAAAGACTTATAATTCTACTCATAGGCCAAACACATTAAAATAATTAAGTTTCCCAATAAAGTTAGTGAATTTGATCAACGCTAACTTTGAGAACATCTCTATTAAAATTAAAATTTCGAATACAGAAAGTATCTACAAGTTAAAGACAAGGAAACGCTTTTTCTTCCATTTTCTTTAATCTAGTGTTAGAGGAAATAGTCAAAGAATTAAATGTGATTGACGGAGTAACGCTGGGTAACACGGCAATAAGCTTACTAACATACGCCAATGACTTAGCCCTATTAGGAAATAACTTGGAAATGGCGAAACAGTATTGTGGATAATTGATAATGTAGTAGGTAAATGTGGTCAATGATCAATGACAAACAAATGGAGTTTGTAATAATTGGACGGAGAAGTGGGGAATACCGACAAGGAGAGTTTATATAAGTGGAACGCCATAAGTTTAAGATAGAGTCTGAGAGTGTTACATTTTAAAAATCTTGAATCCATATAACGTATGATAATGGCCTTAGGATGGAAATGGACACTAGAATACAAATGGAAAATAAGTTTTGTTTTGGCTTAGAAAGCGTGTTTGGCTCAAAAGTTAAATGAAAAAAAAACTGAAAATTAATTTATATATGACCGGCACTATGTAAGAGGTGGCACTTTATTTGTATAAGTAAGACTGTAATTAGGATGTAGTGGTCTCTAGACTAGCGTCAAAACAGAAAACCCTTTTCGAAATAAATACTGATAAACAGAAAAAAAAAAAAAGACGTTCTAGGATAATGGAAACAGGGTGCATCTACTGTTATAAGTAATTTAATGCATGTCTGTTAGCAACGATAAACCATTGCTAACGAAAAAACGATTTTGAGAACAGTTCAGTTGATAGTGATGCTTTGTCAACAATATATATGTCATATTATGATAAAATAATTAATTAAGCATTATATATTATCTTTAAAAATATTTGTGTAATATTGTATCGATTTTCCCGTTTTCCTGCGTTTTTCCCGGTTTTCCCACGTTTTTTCCCTGATTATCACATTTGTTGAGAAAACTCTTGGAAAAATCGAAAAATGACCTCCCTAAAGTACCTTTCCAGTCAGATTTACTTTCAGAAAAAGTGCTAATATTGTAAATCGGAGTAAAAATTGCTGGTAGAAAAGTTGTACACAGAAAAAAATTATTTTATTATAAAAAAATACATTTATACTAATACCTACATTTCGTACATTTTCCGTTTTTCCGACATTTTATCCAGATTTTCCAGATTATTATGAAAACCGATTGAAAATACACAAAAATCATTTCCCTAAACCATTGAGATAAAATTTTCTTTCGGAAAATAAGCTATACTTTATACATGAGAGCAAGATTTCTGGTAGAAAAGTTTGCACAACAAATCGAGGGGATTTTTTTGATTAAAATCGTCCGAGCGAATAATAATTACGTCTCCAGGTCACACTTAAAATGCGTTTGTTTTTACTCTATTTAGGTCAACGGGGAAAAAAAGCACAAGCAATTAATTTCTTTTCAAACACCTAGTTTTTAACCTGCGACCCCTCGTATGATAATACGTATTCATGACCATTCGATTACAATAAATATATAGTAAAGTAGACAATATACAGTTATTTAACATAAACATGTAATATCTGCATAATATCTGAACTTCAAAAAGCTATAATTTCGAAACTTAGTCAATCCGCTCAATCCTGACTTTATCATCCTTCTTAAATCAGTAATACACATACGTTCGAAAAAAAAAATTTAAAAATTAGATTTGTCGCACATAATTTTTTACTCAAACCATTTTGTCAAAATGTAGTATTGAAATTCCTCTATAAAAACAAATACTACGTTAAATTTAATTTTTTTTTTTACTTCAAAGTGAGATTTAATGAACCTCCTGTTAAGTTTTCAAGTATTTTTGTTAAGTCTAACAATTTTACCACAGAGTACCTACCGAATAAAAATTACGTACAAAACTCACAAAATTAAAATGTCTATAAATAGCTCAAAAATGGTATAAGTTTTTTACCACCTCTTGAAAGGGCAAATATAAGTTTTCTGTCTAGATTTCAAGTCTCTGCGAATATTTTCAACTGAATTACAACAAATAACAAAATTGATAAATTAATTAAAGCATTAATTTCGTACATTTCCGTTTTTCTTGCGTTTTATCCTGGTTTTAACCAAATATTATGAAAACCGCTTGGAATATCAAAAAATAACCTTCTAAAAGTACCATCAGGACAACATTCCCTTTCAGAAATGGTGTCACGCGTATATATCTGAGCAAGATTTATGGTCGAATTTTTATACACAGTATAAGAAAAAAAATTACAATAAACATCTTAGTAAAACCAATGCGTTCTTCGCTACTCTCAGAATCTAGAAAAGGTTAATATTATTTAAATAACATTTTTTTTTTTAAATAAAAGCCGATATTCTGTGATTAACTAAATTTAGCCTCGGTTGAAGCGGCATACGTATACGTACGTACAATACACTGAAATTAATATATTATATATTAACATCAACAAAGTATGTATATTTTTAAACCAAAATTATTATAATTTTAAACGTAGATTATACGTGTTATATTTACTGCAGGGTGTAGGAACGTCATTTGCATTTTGCAACAGTAGTTGATCCTTATCTACTGAAATTAGGTTATTACATTATAATATATTTTGATTTTCGCGTTGATAATTATTATGGAAATGTACTTATGGATAAGTAGCAGCCGTATCTATATTCTATAACGCTTATAATTTCAATAATATTATTTGCTCTTCGTCCGTCGCTCTTTTGTGGCCCGTGGCCCGGTTGAATATTTTTTCAGATAGCAGTGGCCGAAAACCTATAGGTACACCCGTGTTATAGCATATTGATAATATTTTATGTATTTGTTTTTATATTTGTTCCTTTATTATTAGTTTATTAACAAATTAATAATTATATGATAAATAATTCTGATAATAATTGTCGGTACATTATAATATTAGCGTGTGTGTAGTACTTATCTATTAATTGGTATTTTTATTTTTCGATGATAATTAGGTATCGAAAATACTGTCAATTCTTCATTGCTTTTAAATTGAAAGCACAAAACTATTGAGGTCATTCGATCTCATAATTTTGAATAGTAAAAGAGTGTTCACTACTGTTTAAAAATAATACGTATGACAAATTCTTGATATTTTTTATTATACTTTAATTTATTGAATCGTAATAACTAAACAATAAGTACCTATATTCAATTTTAGCTTATTCAAACAACGCTTATTTTACGAACATTATTAAATTATATGGTTAAGTGGTAAATAGTGATACAAATTAAAAGGGCGGAAAATTTTGATTTTACCTATGTATACATTTTTTCTAGGGCCCGCCTAAATGAAACCGAATATACAATGGAGAGAAGTTACAGGAAAATTTACGAAAACATAACAAATTTATAATTTTCAATTTTGATGTTATTATTCAGTTAAAAATATTCGTAGATTTTAAATTTGGACACTTTTATTTGCCTTTTCTAGACGTAATAAGATGTTCAAAACGTTTAAGCCATTTAAAGATATTTCAATTTTGTGAGCTTTTTATGTAATTTTTATGCTGTAAGTACTTAGTGGATAAAATTGTTTAGACTAAATAAAAATCCCTGAAAATTTAACAGGAGGTTTATTAAAAGTAGCACTCTGTGGAAATAAAATTGATTGTAATATAACATTTTTTTTTTTTATAAGAATTTCAACATCAAAATTTTGAGGAAAATCGTAAATATTTTCAAAACATGTATAACCGAACTCAGCTCAGAATTGTTTTTGTAAGTAATGATGCATTATTGCGTACAGATATACATTCAATTTTCCTCTTTATCCTACTTTCCCAACTTCTCATCTACAATAGTAGCCAATCCAATATGCAAAGTATGTCAGTCTTTTTTATTATAAAAGCGAAAAAATATATTTTGACTCAGGAAAATTTAATGTTTAGTTACATTACTGATGATATTTACCAACACAGTGTTCTTGCAATCAAAACGAAGGAGTTATACTTCAATGTCAAGAGGAGGTAATAGTTATCTAAAGTTATATAAAGTATATAAAATCAGGTAAAGCAAAGTACCTAAAAGTTATCTGAAAGCAGATGTAAATTCAGACTAGTCTTGTAATCATGGAAACATTATGTCTTAAAAAGTATACATTAAATCAAGAGACAAAGAAAAAATGATGTGTAGAAAATCTAAAACAGGAAAAAACAAGAAAAATGTACAAAACGTTGCTTATTTATTTCATGTTAATAAAAGTTTATTTTAACTTCTTAATAATGAATAATAAAACCTAGCTCTGTGTGAAGCAATGATGAAACTAACATGTTTGTTTGAAATGATATGTATATTTATTAAAAATATAAAGAAAAATCATTTAAAAAATCATTATTAATTTATGGGTACTACATTACACTACAAGATAAACATAAATAAATAATAAATGAACAAATATTGATAATGTAGCATGTTTCACACTTAATATTTTGAATTTTGTATTAGGTCTAAAAGCTATTGTAAACAAGTCAAAAGATCTATTCTAGACTCCTTTAGGTAGTGATGCATCACCATCCTTGAGAACGCCACTGGTAAGAGGAAACCAATAACAGCTGCATAGAAGTTAAAATTTACCATAAAGTAAATTATTTTTATTTAGCATACTATTAACAATTGTTTAAAGTAATGAATAGATTTTAAAACTATGAACCAGGGCTTCAATCCGAAATGATTTTTTTGTGGTTAATGGTTTTAGTTCTTCTATTTTATTCGATTTCAAATGCTAGTTAAATTGATTCTACATTTTTTAGTTTTTAAAACTGGTTTTCAAATTAATAAAACCTGTCGATTTTGTTATTTTTTCTTTTTAAAATAATATTATACAGGGTCTGTGTGTAACTGGACTATTTGACATTTTTACATTGTAGTTGCATGTAAAAATGTTAAATAGTTTTGTTACAGCCTGTATAATAATAATATATAACTATATAAGTACTAAGTATAGTACATTAGTACATAATATTTATTTTCTACTATATATATATAAAAAAAAAAAACAACATAAAACTAAATATCAATACATTTTATTTTTAACTTATAACTTATATAATACTATACTATTAAAGTACAAACTTATTATTTATATCTAATAAATAAATAACAAATTATTACCATGGATAACCATAATATTTTCTAATCTTTTCATCGAGGCTAATTTGTTAATCACTTAATATATATTTTATGCCTGAAAATGATCACTCAACATTAACCTATTAAGTGCAAACAAAATATAGATATATATTTATACACAGATAGCATACTCATAGTCATATGTTTCATATTGTAAGGGTAGTCACGCCACAAACTGTTTGATAATAGCACCAACGATAACACTAGACTGTCTAATCTCTAATCATACACGTATAAAACACAGTAACCAACAATCTCATGTGTACTTATATGACATAGTTCAAGAACGAAAAATAATTCTGGTTAAACATTTTTTCATTCATGTAAATTTTCCAAATCAGTTTGAAGCCCTGCTAAAAAACTTTTGAAAATGTTATCATTCCCATTTCTGTTACATTCACATGATCTTATTGTAAGTATTTATAGTTTCTATTCAGATACATTATCTAATCAATTTTGCTATTTTGTAAACAGTTTACGAATTAACACAATAATGTCATAGTGATTTTAGATAAAATTAAATTCTTGCTAAAGACTATATATATATATATAGTATTGATAGGTACAAAGAAATAAAAACTGTGGTAACTGCACATTCCAAAACTGTTTTTAAAGCCGTTGACATATTATGCAACAATGGAATGAACGAGGTAAGTAATCAAATTACCAAATTTTATTTAATTCTGTTAATGAATTATAATATATTGGAATGATCAAATTTATAACATTTATAGATGTAATATATGTATCTATGATTAACAGCTACAATAATGTAATGGTACAATAATTAAAATATGAAAAAAAAAACAATTAAATCACAAAACAACATGACATTGATACAATGATAATCATAATACTCATTATCAATACAGTTATTTTAAAGACAAATAACATATATACTTACTTCGAAGAGAAGTAATTATATTTTTTAACCGATTTCTTACCTAGTGTTGCTCATAAAATATAATGTAAGTAACGAATCTACAAAATGAAGATTTTAACATCTGTACATTATTATTTTGAATTTCTTATTTTTAAAATATTTATTATTAAGCTTTTCCGGTTAGAGCAGTGGATGGTTTTGTTCTGTCCATACTACTACCTTGATCTTTCTCCAGCTGACGACCAAGGTATTCCCTAGAAAATAAAAATAAATTATAAATTCAATTATAATAATGCAACCAACTAAACAATATAATAAAAGAATTATTTATTTTATTTGTATGATTTGTTAATTGTAAGAAAAAAATATAAAAACCTAAACACCCTATAATTTGAATGTTTCCAATATATTTAATAATAAGTATCTGAAAATATGTTAAAATATTCATAGGGCCAATAATATAAAATGTACAAACTTTTATAGGAAGGACAAACCACAAAATGCTCTGGGCATCAACAGACTTGATATTAGATAGCATATTGTATTTATAATTTGACAATACTTGAGTTAGTATTATATATAAAACCTACACACCTCAACATTTATTTTTAAGTTTTTCTCTATTTTTAAAACAACCAAACTGGATACACAGTTATCTATAGAAATTAAATTAAATAGACATAAATTGCTTTTCTAAAATTATTATTACTAAATAATTAAAAGTGAACATACATAATACCTTAAATACACTACTCTTTTGGGTGGGCCACAGCAGCCGAATGTTCAGAGATCAAAAATGATTCTAAGTAGGACTCAGAATTATAATTAATGCTCACTTGTCTCTGTTTTTTTTTCAGTTTTTAATGATTTGAAGATGCAAAAACAGAATAATATGAAAAACAACAATAGTGTTAAATTCAACACATTTATAAATTGATGAATACAAGTTTTTAAAAAATTGTAAAACAAAAAAACAAAAACGTATCACGTCATTCTAATACTAATAGCTCCTTTGATCTACTCAAAATCTATAAAGCAATATTTGAAGCAATAGTGTACAGGACAAACATAATCGTATAGATTGGCATATTTGTTCCGTACAGAAATGAAGAATATTTAATTTGTTAACAAAACAAAGAACAACTCAAATAAATGATAGCTATCATACAAAGAAATATAAAACAGTACCTGAGATCCAAGTACCTTCATCCTTAAAATACAAACATAATTCCAAATCTATTAAATGATCATATTATAAAACTAAATATAATATATTATTTGTAAATGATTTTTTTCATGGTATAGAAAAATGTATTTTATTTTTTTTATATATATATATATATACATATTATACAGTTATTAAATTATAATCAATTTAAAACCAATGAATAAAGTACAGTAGTAATAAAAAAACTCAATTTGGTATTGAACACGAGGGATCATTATACAATTTCACTGTAGAGCTAACAAAAATATCAAAATATTAAAAATATGAATTATCGAATTAATTTTAAATGACAATATCACTAAAACTTACCAATTATGAACCATGAGTTTCTGTACAGCTAAGAGTGCTTCATAGCGAACATTTGCATCTTCATGGGATAAGAGTTGCATTACAAGTTGTTTTCCACCAAGCTGTTCAATTATACTGAAAATGAATAGATATAGTAGTTTATAAGTTGTATTATGAATTAATATTTTAATGTAAGAGCTATTGTACTAACTGTTTTCCACGTGGATAATGTCTCACATATTCACCAACATCAAAACTAGCAACGCTCAAAACAAGAGGGTCTCTGCTAGTTTCTAGCAAATGCACCAAGATACGTAGAAGCTCATAATTTCTTTCATTCAAACGAGATGCATTTTCTCTCCAAAATTGTGCAGACCTATGCACAGGACTCCATTCTAAACGGCCTGATTTTACTTCAGTTGCATACTCATCAAAAGAACTATAAATCAAAGAGATGAAGAATATAGAAACACAAAATCAATAAAAAAAAATATAATACTTAAAATAAATATCAATACATTTTTTTTTTTCTAATTTAACCATACCTAAGATCTTGTACAGATGCTTGTAGGCGTTCATTTAAAAACTGAATGTCCTCAACAATGTCTTCATCGTCAAATTTTCTCTGTTCAAGTATACTAAGTTGTTTCAAAACTTTACTCTGGACCATTGCAATACAATGTTCTTTTGAAGTAGTACTATCTTCTGGTTTATCAATCAAATTCTAAAATGCAATTTAAATTATTTTAAAAACAATAGTTATTACTTTTTTAACAAATTTACCCTAAATACAGCAAGAATAATTCGTGTGACCTTTTCTTTGACAGAATCACTTAGAATATCAGCCAAAATAGGAATTACATTGAATCTATAATAATAAAATTAAGTTAGTTTATAGTTTCATTAAATATTTTATTAAGTTATTTAACTTGTTCATTCGTTCGGCCAATCGTGGATTAAACGTCATAACCCAGACACAGAATATTAGTTGATATTGAATTTGAAAATTAACTCGTCCAGACAATATGCTTAAAAGGGTAGATATACCATCAACAGTAATGAATGCAGTCCTATATTCATCACGGCGTAATAACATTTGCAAGCAACGAGCAACTGACTGCATGTATTCGTTGTTCTATAATTATTCATTAGTTTAAAATAATATTTTAAGCAGAGCAAATATAAATTATATGACACATTATTGATAAAAATAAAATATGCGGTATAACAAAATAAAAAATATATATATATATATTATAATCTTACAGCTGACAACAGTTGCTCCTTGATCCAATTCAAATAAAACTGCAAATCAGTTTGATTGATGAGATCGGTTGAATAACAAGCAAACTTTGCAATGATGCGAGCAGACATGTTATTTATAAACCCATCTGCGGCATTCAACAAATTCAAAAAATTTCCGCACACTGGTTCATTTTTTTTAAGAGCATATTCATGAAATATTTCTACACGTGATCGGTCTTCCTATAAGAATAAAAAAAAAATTTTGATTTAACTGTATTATATAAAAAAAAAAAACAATAAATACTGTTTGAATTTTAATTTGAATAAACAAAAGGTTCAAATTATCATAGTAGTTTAAGATTAATAGATTGATTGATTTTTTTTTTCTTTTAAAGTTAAGTACATATGAAATGTTGGATACCTAGGTTCTATCTAAATATTTAAATGGTAAAATACGACCTTTTTTTGTTTATTTTAAACATATAATTTCATTAATAATATTTTATCGAATTATTTACCGTTAATAAATCATCAATTAAAACAAGTACATATTGTATAGTTGATTCCTTGGAGATATGTTCCAATAAACTAAAAAAAGCCTTAGCTGCCTCAGAACGATTATTATTTAAAAAATGACCTTTTGCATTTGTTACATCATATGCACTAATAAAATCGAACACATCTTGAGATATCATTTGTGATCTATAAAATAATTTTGGTAACTATTACATATATATTATAAAATACTGTACATTAAAATTTCAAAATTTACTGTAAATAGGAAGACCAATTTGGATTCAAATTCCTTATTTCAGCTGCTTGTTGCTGTAAAACGCTAGTGGCAGCAAACATATCTGTAAATATGAAATCGTTAAGATTTCAAAACGATATTCATATGGAATATAGTCCAGAGGTACACGCCCTTTAGTTTGCAAAAATTAACATTTACTTACCGATATTTTCCTCTTGGAACGCTGGTAAAATATCTTTCATATTGGTTGTTTTCGACATATTTTTTCTCTAACTATTTTTTTATGTCAACAACCAGGAAAATTCAATAAATTAAATTAAAATAGAAAATTAAATAAAACAAAAACTCAAGACAGCAACAAAAATTTATGGATGAAACTCGACTTTTATCTAAAATATTAAACTCCTATTATTCGCTGTTAATGATAACCAGTGTAGCCACAACCGAAAATACACCACCACATAATTATGACGGAAAAAAAAAATGTCAATCAGCTGTATTTTACTCCGTATATAAAAAAATCCTAAAACGCCAGCTATTCACAACGGCGCTTTGATTGGTTGTTGAATTTTTCTCTAGAATTTTGATAATCGATGATAATACATAAGTGATATAAGGTAGCCACTTATTCTACGGTTTAATCACTGAGTAAATTAAATAATGTCTATGAGACATAAAGTACGGACATAAAGTTCCCCGACTAAGATATAATGGATTGGTCACGAGTTTATCAGTGGTCACAAATTAGTGTACCAGAAACCATTGCGGAGGGTCGCGATGCAGACCAACGATTTACAACACTATTTGTTGACTAAATTAGTATTACTAACTGCTAATATTTGGTGGCCTAAATAAAGAAATCGTAAGATTCCTTTTTACACAAGAATATTCTTTCACACTACATTTTTCATTCATTTCGTATCCATTATTACAATTTATGTATTTATTAAAAATCGTTTTAATAATAAAGAAGTAACACCTACAGTCTACCTACATATTATAAAATTAAATAATTAAATAAATAAATGCGTCGCCTGGACTCTGGAGTATTATGATATGAGTAATGCACGACCAGTTACTTTTTGACTTAGTGATTTTACCCGACGATGAAGTTTTAATTCGAAACCGGTCGTACATTACGCACATCATAATACTCCAGGCGACGCATTCATTTATTTATTTACGAGCATTAACCATTTAATAATTTTGTTTTTACTTTATTATTTTATTAAAAAAAATGTGCAATAAAAACGATCTCCCCCTAGATTTCTTCTTTTAATCTCCGTTACTTATACTGCAATTAACCGTTATTGCTCTTAAATGTTTAAAAATGCATTTTCTTTATTTTTTTTCCGGCCCAAACTACCTACTGCAGGTTAGGTCGTCTAAAACCCGATTTTTTGGGTTATAGTGGAGCTATCGAAGAATTTCATGAGTGTACTATGCCAGTTCAGAAACTTTCACGGGAGTGTACTCAATAACTTCTCAAAGTTTTATAGGAATCAGATAAACGGTTAAGAGACATACAGACAAACATTCATTTTTATATACATAGATAGGTATCTACATATTATGAAATAGTAAGAATATGCATATTTTTACAGTAAATAATTAATACAAATGGCATTCCAAATTAGCACTGGCAGTGCTAAAACTCGCTGGTCTACACTTTACAGTGTTGTTGATAGTGAGAAGAAACTTTTGTGACCCGTCCCTCGTTATCTGCACACCATGTCCAAGTGTCCAACGTCTTGGTCAGTCTATTATTAGTAGGTACCTTAGCAGTAGCGTATTTAAGAATTTATTTCAGTTAAGGGAGATATTTAATTTGAAAATTTCATCATATTGTATAACGTGTACCCAAGCGGAAAAAAGAATAAATTTTTAATTTATACATTTTTTAAATAGGTAATGTAGAATTATAGGTACGTAATTTTTATTAAGGGGATTGGAAGCGACGAGTTCCTGTCTTTGTCTTACACACGTGGGATTTAGACATGTTTTATTTCTAACGTAGAGATTGATATAGTGAAGCGATAAGAATTCTGAAAGTAGATTTGAATTTGACGTGAAGTCTACTCGAGGTATAGACTATCCTACTTTTTTGATTTTTAATTTTAATTTCTCAAAAAATCATAATATTCCATGTTTTTAATTACTCTTTTACTAATATGGCTTTTTTTTAGAATTAAGGGAGATAAATTTAAATAGTAGGAAAGTCGATATCAAGTAGACTTAACGATAAATTAAAATCTGCTTTCAGAATTCTTATTGTTTTAAATAGATCAATCGGTACGTTGGAAATAAAACACTTCTAAATTCCTATATCTCACGTGATAAAGAGAGAAACTCGTAAATTAATTTACTATTTATAAATACTAAAATAATCTTCATATTTTAGTGATTTCAATATAGGTTTCGTTTAAACGAAAAATATATACGCTAAGGTTATTTTCATAAATTAATCATATCTAGGTACAGATACATTTTCTCACTTCTTCCTTTTTGTTAGGAAAATCAGAAAATTTCCTTTCAGAATATGGTCTACATCGTATACATCGGAGTAAGCTTTCTGATAGAAAGTGTTTGCATGAAAAAAAAAAAAATAATCAGTAATATGATACGTATAATTACGGGAACGAATTGTATAATTTGAATATGGAAATCTGTCAGAACATATTTTAAATAATATTATGTAATTATATACTATCATTATACCTAATAAAAATATATTAATTTATGGAAAATATGGGGTACAAATGTAGGTATAATGTTATATCGCTTCCTTTTACTTAGTGTATACTGAGAAATGTCAAATTTTACTTTTGTAAAACACCTACAAACTTTAGTGGCTGGCTGAATCATTTATCAGTTTGTTTTTTTTTTAACCTCGTAGAAATAGAAATAATAATGTACAAGGTAAATCCATCTAAGAAACGAGTAGCTCTAAAATTTTGCATTTATATTGCTACCCTTATTTTAGGAATTAAAACCACCTATTCTTGATTTACAAATAGCAATCTATATTGAAAATTACATAAATAGATGCTGTTTAATTTAAAATAAATATTGGTGTTGAAATATTTGATTTCTCTCAACTCGTTGACGAGATATTTCACTTTTAAGTTTGGGTAGACTTTCGTCTTACAATCGCACAATATAAGGTAAAACATGTTTACGCAGACTACACAAAAATCACTAATTTTAGTTTCAGAATAAAAACACCTATTATAAAATCAAAAGAGAACAATATTCCGGAGGGCAAGATGTTGCGCTTTTTCTATATTCTCTCTTAATAAAACAGCCAACTTAGGTACCGTTTATAAATATCGACTTTTTCAACATTTTTTCAATTCACGCTTATTTTTTTTTTTTTAAAAAAAAAAAACTTTTTCAAAAATACGCCATGTCTGGTCCTCAGGAATATTGTTCTTTATTAAATTTAAAATAGGTGATTGCTTTTATTCTATAATCAAAACTATCGAGTTCTGTGTAGTTCGCAAGTTTTTACTATATCTTGTGTTTGTAAGATGGAAACAATAATGGCATGTGTAATGTCTTCTTAAACTTTTCATTGATAGTTATTATAACCTATTTAATAAGTTTTTAGACAAATTTACTAAAACAACAAACACGAATAACTTGAAATGTAAAGAGTGACTTAAAAAGTTTATTTTTAACAATCAAAAAATTCTATAGTTCATATGTTACGGAATTCCATCATGAATAATAAATAGTCTTAAAAAAAAAAAAACAACTTCTTAGTTTTTCTAATTTCCATCTTGCGGTTAATATTTAAAAATTGCTGTTGGCTTAAAATTTACAGTAATGAACACATGGTTTAAAATATATCTTAAATGGTGGTGGTACACTATAAACTTTGTATTTGTTCAATAGCCAAACAAGTTACATATCAACTCATAATTGAAAAAAATATAAAATAGTCAGATCAGTAAAATTTATTTAGTGTTGATTTTTAAAATTATTTTAGTTGTAGAAGAAATGCCAAGTTATAAGATTACACTCAGAAAAAAGTGCTTAACACTGTCTTAAATTAATGTAGTTGACAAAATTGAAGTTTTTTTTTTTTTTTTTTTTTTATTAGGCAGAACAAAATAATTTATGCAATACATGTTGAAAAAAATTAAAACCCATAAATCTATTTGTACTCAATATATTTAATGAAAAGGAGCCATACAATTTTCATATATTTTTAAGTATTACGCAAATTCTAAATTTATTGATGGATTGAATTATCAATGTATTGATACATAATAAATAAGGTAAAAGATGTAAGGTGTAATGACATAACATTTAATTTTTCAAATAAGGAGGATTTCTAAGTCGCTGCACAGAAACTTTTAGATGCTTTTACTCATTTCTATGCTATTATTTATGTGTCTACATGTACTACTACAATACAATCAGTATATGATATTAAATTAAAATTACAAAATAATAGAATTTTTAAATATAATATGGTTTTATTGTTAATTATAAATATTTTATTTATATTTATTACTAAGTAAATAGATGAATAATGTATGCAATACATTCTAAATAATAATATGTATACAATTATGCATACAAATATAAAATTATGATAAATGTATGCAACAATTAAAATTAGATACAATAAACATCATTCATATCTTGAGTACTATAAAAGGATGGGCCACAACAGAAACATATAGTTTAGAGTAATTTTATTAAAATTAAATGTATTTTTGTATGCAAACAAGATTTCTTTCCATCAAAAAATCAATATATATTTTTTATTAATAATTCTGAATTTATAATATTTGTTTTTGTAATGAGCTTTACTCAGTCTTTTCTGATACTGTAATATGTATAAAATATTTATTAATCTGATTTTTCCTGAGTTTCCTCAAATCAATTGTATGTCATTGGTTCATTGTCTTGAGAATAGCGATAAAAAAAAAAAAAACAAATGTGATGAGAATAAACATAATATGCAACCATCAACATTTTAACTTGGAGTTGCTCTGTTATAATACCTTTTAAAATGTAATGAATTCTCTTAGCATCCAAAACGAAAAATACTTTATCAGATCCACAATTATAAGTTATATCTTAAATTTAGTTCCAACTTATCTGTGGGGTCTTTTAAAAAGGCATGGTAATATGTATAACCAAAAAAGCTATACTAACCATTTGATGATTATCATTTGTTTACAGAAATCACTCGTTTCAAAATATACTTCCTAAAAAATAAAAATATTAGCAGGTACATAAACTGAAAAAATACAATAATGATTGAATCTAAACATAATATGAATCAATATAAAATATATTTACTTGTTAACTTAATAGCATTTTTCTCTTCATACAGAATAATGCTCATTTCTTATCTACTTCCCGAAAAGTGCAATAATGATGCTGAAATGAATAAATAATATAATTTTAATGCCTACACTATTATTTCCTTAAGTGTAATAATAGATAAAACAATTATTATGCTGTATGTAATACTATTTTAAATATTACTTCTCATAATATAATAAAACAATACCTATACATAAATACCAGATATTTAATCAATGTTCATATAAACTGGTCAATAAATCCAAGATAATATTTGAATACTTAACATAATAAATAGGATAAAAATAATACATACATGCTAGTAAAATAAACAAAACTCAAAATATACATAATTGAGAAACTGAGTAAACGCACATGAAAACATACATACTTACAAAACATTGGAGATGTTCCATTTGTTGAAGACATTCATCAACATAGATTGACAGCTATTCGACAGTATTATAGCCCACATTGCAATTTTGACAATGGGGAAATAATTATCATATTATTATTCCAATTTAAAATTGTAAAAGACATGTTTAACTCAGTTAAAACTGAGTACTCCATACAGGCAGATGATTTTACATACATTTAATACAAGTTTAGACTTTATGAACTTCTTTTATGCCAACAGACAAAGTATCAATAAAAAATAATATTAATAATGACAATAAAATCACCATTCATTCAGTCAGACTAGAAATAATAAAATACAAGGAGGATTATGGCAATCGTGTATTATAATATTGTATACTTTTATTAACATGTATTTTAATATATATAACAAATATTAATATTATTTGTAAAACTAAACAAAATCTTTTGAAAAACAACTAAAACAAAAAATATTTATTTTATCATTGGATTTCAATTTTAAGAGACCTATGAAATACCAAACATATTAGATTAGGTTAGTGGTTAAAGTGTGAAAAACTTTTAAAGGAAATTATATTCACCAAAAATTAAGCGGTATTCTCAAGAACTAATACTAAACATTATCTTTCAAAAAACCCATCATAGAGATAAGATTTCCAAAAGGTTTTTTTTTCTCACACATTTGTTCATAAAAATGCTAAATTTATAATGTTTAAAAATAAACTACAACTCCTTCCCCTTTGAAAATTATAAACTCATAGTATTGTAATACCATGTAAATATAAAATAAATATATTATTAAATTAGTTTTTTTAATAAGGTTTATTTTAGGATAATCTTATAAAATTTTGACTATCAAAAATAAATGCTAGGAGACTTTGTAAATAATATAATTTAATTATATTTGAATAACTAATAAATGAATACATGTTGAATATTTAAAACAAAATTTAACCAATAACATAAGATACTAATATTATCGTAATAGTGAATTTTTTTTTTTTTCATATTGCTGATATTGAAAGCCATAATACCATCCATTATTTTCATTACATAGATAATAATACAATCCAGTCTTAAGTTATACATTAGACATACAGACACATAAAAATATAATTGTTGAAAAAACATAACCATTTTTTGTTTTACATAATATGTTAAAGATAAGAATGTAAAACATAATATTTTTACAATATTATAAATGATATAGCGCATTTTTCAATCAAATAATCTCATACAAATTACGTTCAAAGCCATTTGTAATTTCATTCGTACCAATAGAGGATAATACTTTTAATACTTTAATAATTAAAATACGTTTATATTATAATAAAGAAATTTATATTAACAAATTTAAATAATAGACAAATTGTATAGTTCTGTATTTATATATATGTGTGTAAACATATATCCAATACAGAAAAGAATGACAGTCAACGAATACAGTGTTCATTAGTTAAGAAACCAAATCCACTTCACAAATTTGATCAGCTTTAAAGATAAAGTTTGTTATGTTTAATACTGTATATTTATTTAATTTTGATTAGTATTAAATTTGTCTTGTAATATAAGAATTTTCCAGCTATGCCACACATTCATTTTTTTGAATACATGGTACATTTTAATAAAAATGACCTTTACTTCGACCACATTTCTGTCTGAACAAGATGTCAACTAAAAAATATAAGCCAGTTTTATATTTATACATAATCAAATATTTAATTAGTATACTAATTAAATTCCTTGAAAGAACCAGCATTATTTCATAACAGTAAATTGTATTCCTAATATTATATTATTAAACTTTATATAATTAAACCATTACCTATCTCATTTAACGATTCCCCGATGAATTGTAATCATTATTAGCACGCTTCCTGTTGTTGTAGTTATTTCGCTGAGGCCATTGGTTGTTTCCACTGGGGGGTGGTGGTGGTGGCATCATACGACCATTGGCTAGACTCCATCCAGCGGCTTGTGTAAGAGCAGCAGCAACAATGGCAGGGCTTAAAGGCATCATAGGATTGTAACTATCTTGTCCGTTTATACCCAAAGACTGTAGATTAGGCATATCTACATTGCCTCGATTATCATGCTGTTGATGATACCAATTTCGATAACTGTCATTATGACGATTATTAGACCGCTCCCATGGTTCACTAGGCGGGGGAGTTTGATGGCGATTTTTGTGTACTTGTGGTTTTGGTGCAGCTTCAGAAACACGTACTGAAACGTCTTTAACAATATGATCTTCACCACATAGACTAGCTGCCACCTCAGGATCGAGAAAAGTTACAAACGCAAATCCACGGAATGGATTTTTGGGTACAAAAACATTTATGACTTCACCAAATTTACTGAAATACTCTCTAATGTCATCAGCTGATAGATCTTCTGTTACACGACCCACAAATACTTTTCCAGAAAGTTCTGAAGTATTTCCCTCCTAAATTGTATGAATAATGAGCTGATACAATTTGTTTTATGTTAAATGTTATACAAATTATTCTACCTTGGATTTTGGAACTTTAACTTCACAGTTACGTCCATCAATTTTATGACGTTGTGATAGAACTCGTACTTGTGACTCTAAATTGGTGTACCTTAAAAATCCATATCCTCGAGATTGTCCGTTTTTGTCTCTTTTAATCTAATAATAAAATTAAAATATCAACAATACATGTTACATATTATTAAATAACTGATATTAAGTATAGAATGTAAAAATTAAATATAGTGTTATTAGTATTCATTTCTAGATAAAATATTTCATAACAATCGCCAACTGGCAAAAAAACATAAAATAAGCATCTAAAATATATATATTATCTATAATGGACCCAAGGCTACAACTTATCACCTATGTTGTTTAATCTATATATTGAGGAAGTGATGAAAGAATTAAGAATAGAAGTTAAGCAAGGAGTAAAAAAAGGGAGTGAAATCATTAACACAGGTTTACTGATGACATTGCTTTTTGTGCAGAAATGAAAAATGACCTGCAAATCATCTAATCTAATGTAAATAAAATATTATGGGATAAATATGGAATGAGATTAAATAAAAAAAAGCAAAGGTTATGGTGTGCAGCAAGATAAATCCTATTCAGCTTAATATAAAAATAGATAGCGCACGCTTAGAACAAGTGCATCACCTTAAATTATCTGGGAAATAAAATAACAGTAGTTGGACAAAGCAAAGATGATATTCTAAATAGGATAGCACAAGCAAAAAAGAATTTACAGAATAAAAAAACACCTATTAAACACTAATAGTGTGACCTTAGAGGTAAGGAAAAATTTCCTTAAAATATATGTCTGGAGTATTGACTTATATGGCTGTGAAACTTGGACATTCAGAACAGTAGAGAAAAGTTAACAAGAGGCATTCGAAACGTGGTGTTATCGTAAAATGCTAAAGATTGATGGAAATGAAAGAATAACAAATGAAGCATTATTAAATAAAATAAAGGAAAAGAGAAAACTTTGGTATACCATACATTTTAGAAGAGATAAAATGATAAGACATCTACTATGCCATGATAGTGTAATGAAAAGCGTCATAAAAGGTGACGTTAAAAGTCATATCGGAAGAGGAAGACCAAGGGTGGAGTATATGAACCAAATTATGATAAACATAAGAATAACTACAAGGAATTGAAGGAACTGAGTAACGGGACAGTTGGAGATCTGCAGCTAACTAATCAAACGATTGAAGACATAAAGATGAAGAAGAATGGACTCAGATAAATTGTCGTCGCCATTTTGCTGTAGAACCATTTCATCATCATCACTTCACCATCAAGCAAAATAAAAAATAAAGCCAAATCCAAATAAGTATTACAACAGTTATTATATTCAACTTATATATAAATATATGATAGTAATGTGATTAATATAGTTTAATAATAAATAAACTACCTAATGTAATGTAATATTTTGAACTATACCGCAGAAAAATGAAATAAAATTAGAAATGTTCATAATCAATTGAATCAAATTATTCAAAACTAAATATATATTATTACGGCTATATAAATCGGGTTCTTTTTATTTATTTTTTTTGATGGCAAAATGGTCTTATATCTATGGGTCTTATGACGATGACGATTTTTCCTAGATTGTATCCATAAGTCATTTAAGCAAATAAATCAAGGCGAGTAGACAATCATATTAACCATCTCTTCAGTACATTCAGGCTGGATTGTATAAAAACCATTCTATAAATATATTACAAACACCTAAAATTAAAAGAATAATAGTGCCGCAGAAAAAAAAAAAAAAAAATTTTTGTAAATCAAATATTGTTTCAGAAAAATTAAATCATATACATTTGATAATGCTGAACAATGATAACTAATAAAACTGTAGCACTATTGTGATCTCGGTAGGTGATGAACAATAATATTGATACATAAAAGTTATAAAAACAAAATCAAATGTGTAAGTTACAGGCATCATTTACAATAATTTACAGGTCTGTAAATATTACAGAATGTTCTAGGAACAACCAATGTTGTTTACAGATCAGTAAGTGTTTTACAGAACAATTATGTAACCCACCCTCACAGTAAAAAGAATATATAGATAGGCAATTTATTACCCTTTTCTACTTCTCCGGTCTAAACTTCAACAAACTGTTATAATTCATAAACGGTAAATCTGTTATTAGTGTTATCCATATCAAAATTTCTAGAAAAGTATTCTCTATTCAAATTTGTGTTCAAAAGGAGGATTAAAAATCAAAAGTATGTACTTATTTAAGATATATGGAGTAGGAGTAAAATTAAAAATGGTTTTAAAATAAAGCTTAAATGATTCCATAATGATTAGAAAAAATAGAAATCAAATTTACTTAAAATCCTCTGAAATAACTACTGGTTCATGATAAAAAATCACCATGTATAGTACACAGGTACATACAATTATATACAAATGTTTATTTTTGTTTTTAAGATTTAAGTATTACCTGTAACATAAGTAGTTCTCCGAATTGACCAAAATATTCTTTTAATTTTTGTTCATCATATGTATATGGTATATTTAAAACAACCAAGTCTGAACATTTCAATTTTGTCTCTAATCTCTTTGTTTTAGCAGTTGGATTTTCTACACTATCATCAATCTTCCTTTTATTTTCAACTAAGATGATACAAAAATAAAAATTAATAACTTTTACTTAATATAACATTCAGCTAATACTTTATCACTAGATTTTAAGTAATTTTAGTCCAAAAATATTTGTTATAATTTTACCTTTAAAGGCATAAACTAAATTTAATTTTACATAATTATAATTAATAATAATCACAGCATAATATTAATATCCTGATTAATCTGTTAATTAGACAATAGACATTTTTTAACACCATAATAAGTAATGAAAAATGAAAATTCAAGTATTATTTTGGTTTAAGTCACAAACATATAATTTATAGTAGATCACAGTTTATTCCAATACAAAATTTAAATTGTATTATTATTATGAAAATAAGACATTCCTAATCATTAGGGCTATCTATATACACTTTACTTGTATATTAAAAAGTAATATTGGTACAGTCCTATACTATTAATTCATTATGGTTCATTGTACTTAAAATCTATAAAACATTATTTTAAAAATTATCAACAGTAATATTTTAAAAAGAAAAATGGTAGACAACTTTAATGACTTGTAACTTATTAAATAACTTATTTGTCTATAGGGAGCTAATAAAAGTGACTAAATGTACTGAGAACATATATATATATATATATGTGTGTGTGTGTGTATAACTATTGCACAACACAGTGCAATAGTTTCTATTTTCAGGAAAAATTTAAAAAAATAAAAATAAAAAGAGCTGACCAATTACTTATAAATGAATACCAATTTTAGTTAAAATTAGGCCCATTCCACATTTGCTCAACATTGATTAGTCAACTTAACAAATGCACATCTTTCTAACATTTTATACCCATCTATAACCAGCCACAGCACGTTTGTACTTCATTGATCCCAGATTACGAGCTTTACTAGTAGGGAACCAACTCTAATAAAAATAACCTCGGAAATATAATATATTGTACACATTGTAAAAATGTATGTGAAAAAAGTATTTTCAAAAGAATGAGTAGCTGCAATATATCTTTCATTCCTTTCATTCATTCATTCATTGAAATTACTTATGAAGACTTTTTCATACTTTCATGCAGTGGCGTGCCCAGGAATTTTAAATTTTACAATGGGAGATGTAACAAGTAAAAATTCTGAAAAATGAATAAAATTATCTTTTCTACAGAACTCGACTATAAGAATTGGTAATTTAAAAGCTGGATCCTAAAAAAAGCCAATTTCTAATTAATACATTAAGCTTTTTCTCAAAAACCAGCTGAAATAATTGAGTTTCAATATTAGATTACTCATATTTTGTTGTATTTTTAAGCTGATGGAGGGGGAATTTAACCCCTAATCTCCCCCCTGAGCACACCACTACTCTCATGCTATTATTTGAGTGAACCAAATTTAGTCTGTCAAAAGTCACTTAAGTGTCAAAGTGTTCTGGTGTTATATTTTTTTGTTTTTTTATGCAATAATCAATTATTATCTATAAAATGTTAAAATTGTTGTTCCTTTTTCTGGGATTTGTTGAATTACTGTATTAAAATCGAAAATTTATTTACTCTAGTTTAGTATTGGATGTACGGGGGAGATACCTCAAGTGAACTAAAATATTGAGACACTCATAATTATTGTTTCGCCACTGCTCCAGCTTTTCAACTATTATATTTCCCTAACTAATTTTTAACATGAACTATTGGGAGATTTTGTATTGTTTCAAGGCCAAGACCAATCCCTTTTACCTTAAAAAAAGAAGCTGATTAATTTAAAGCCGATTGACAACTGGTTCAGTGGGAGAAGACAACTACATTAGGGTCATTGACCATCATCTGAATGGTACTAGTGCCAGTCATTAAGTGTGAGCGTTCTCGTACAAGTATAACATGAAAAATCGAGTAAACACTTCCATTTAACTGATCAGCAGTGAAGTGTTAAATGGGCCTGTGACTAAAATTATTGAATTTTAAAATTACCTTTTGGGAAAACACAGTAATAAGGTGTTTTTCCCCATTCATTATCGGGTACATGGAACCGACCATCAGCTAATCGTACACCTCTCACAACATTGTTTTCAGTGCGAAACTTCAGACCACTCGCTCCTGGAAACTGAGCGGTCAATGTAGACAATAATAGCGTACCATTATCTTCGAGCGGAAGCTCAACTGCTTCACCATATTCTTCATCAGAGACCAATACATACTTGACGGACATATTTGAAAACCAAATATCGTTCGTCGTAGATACGTCTTAAATGGTAAATAAATGAAACAATTCAGAAGTTACCTGTCATTAACGTAAACACATTTAAAATAGTGATAAGTGACTGATATTTAAATAGCTCTAACGCTCTAATTAAATAAACAATACAGCAATATTTTAATCTACTTAGTTAGATTTTCACTTTGTATAACATATATTATTATGGTAAATTACAGGATTGGGTATTTGGGTGAAAATGATGGAATGTTGCAATACTATTAATCTTCGTGGTTGAAATACTTTTCGATGATAAAAATAACATTCATAGAAATATGGATAAACTTTAAGGTTAATTTTTATTGACTGAATCGTTTTCTCAAGGAAAATCTATAAAAATTGATAAACAATCCCATCCAAATATGACATTGTCCACCCATTGATTACACCTTGACCCACACCATGGCTATAGATAGTACTATCTATAGCACCCCACACTAATGATGGACACCTATATTAAACTATAACAATAATTTTGACTATCGAATAGTATTAAAATTATTGTTGCTTACTTTTTTAATTTTGTTCATAACATATTTCCTATATAATTTCACTTTTTTCAAATGTTCAAATAATAAATATTAATACATTTTTCCGAAAATATAAATATTACATCTCTTTATTTGATAATAGCAGAGATTATATGAAACCAGATGGTTCATTCCCTGTGTAAATAAATAAAACCTACCTCAAATCAGTGTAATCTCGAATAGGGAAATTAAGTCTTTCTGAAAAATTATTTGTCATAGATAGGCTATTTAATATTCTTCGCTACACCTCTGGTTTAAACTTTAAACTGTTACAAACAATAATTAAAAATGATGGTAAAAGATGTTGTACATTAATTTATTTTTCTTTTGTGGCTTTACTGCTTTGAAGTAGGTTATTGTTATCAGTAAATCAAAAAGAGCACCATTGACATATTATATCTATGAATTTGTGGCGAACCACAACGTTATCATTCTCCGAGAGGACCCACTTTCCTTTCTTCCCGCTGCGCGTCGCTCGTGGCGGACGTCGGCCACGCCCCTCGCTGTCGGCGTTTAACGGTTTTTGCACACAGTTCCTCTCGCTCTCTCCGCACCGACGCCATACGCGAAGCATTGTTCTCCGACTCCGAATTATTTTTATGTATAATTGATTTTTACCACTAATGTTGTTTTAATTATTGCGTGCTCGCCTGTACTTCCGTCAAAAGCCGTCAGCTGGCGATCACTTGTATTATGTTTTTATGTTGTAAATAAACGTTACTTTTTACCTTATCATAAACCTCGTGTATTGGTGGAATCCACCAAAAATTTATAAACTGATACAAACTATCTAGTTTCTTATAATCTGTGATAATAGGTAGTCATAGTACAAACCATTAAGATTGATATTTGATTAAAAAATCTTTATCTGTTTTTAGGTTGGATATGTTGATTCATACAATTTTGAAGATAATGCAATATTTCGTATAACGTGGTAAATTTATTTTTATTAACTGACATCACTGTATTCGATATATTCCATACAATATGGATTGATTTATCGACCTTAATTCAATATATTATTCGATTTTTTGTTAACTTTTATGATACTATATACATATTAATATTATAGACACAAAATGCCTATAAAGGTTAGTGCTTTACATCAATATAATAATTGTACACAATATATTCAGTAATTCAGTATACATTTTAATGAAAATAAAATATTTTGAAGACTATAGTTTTTGCTTATATCATATTTGGTAACTCTACCGTACCTCTCTCTCGCACACATATAAAAAATAACTATGTAGTTAGCCAGCTGCTGCTGATTTTGATATTATCACAGATATAGATATCTATATCTGTGGGTATTATTATTGTCGCCAACAAAATTGTCGCCATCCTTATCTAGTTTTTAGTCTTAGTTTTTTCCTAATAGGGTATATCCATTGGAAGGAATAAATAAATGATTTACTCGGAAAACTTGGTTTAACCGCAAAAATATATAATTAGCAATATTAAATAATTCTACATAGACGTAGTAGTTAAGTCAACAATTAATTACAATTTCGTGTAACGACAACGGGAAAAAAAAATCATAAGAAATAATTTTGGTATACATAAGAGTTTTTTAATAATAACATAATTTAGATGTGACAATACAAGATCGGTGTTAACTGTTCGAGCGGAGGAACAAGCCAACGGCGGTTAATCGCAACGGCCGGTGTAGCCGCTCGTCCAGCATAGCAGTGATAGGGGGAAAGACGTCGACCATCCGAGTGGGACAACTGACGTACCGCCACAAGGTGAAAGTTTATGTTTTATAGTATTGATATGGAACTATGTTATAATCACGATTTAAGATGGGTACCCGCTCAGATCATGTACTATGGATATTGATTCCAGATTCTTAATCGCTTCTGTTTAAGATAAAGCGCGATAAAAATAATCCATGTTTTATATCGGTTTATCAAACTTCACCGCTAGATAACGAAAGTCAGTAGTTCTACAGTTGTTTTAGGCGTTCAGTTGGATAGTCACCATAATACCGTATTATAATTTGTTTTGTAACCAGTATATCTTAAGTCGTGCCGTTATAATGTTTAAATATAATGTACATTGTACAGTAAAGTGATTGATAATATAATAATTCTTATATTGGGTAGTATACAGTTTTCAAAAAAATGATCAGAAATCGTAGTCATATCGGTCTGCATGAACACAAATGTTAAAGCCGGGTTTACACGTAACGATGTGATTGATAATTTATCGTCAACAATTTTTTGCCCAATATTCTGTGTCGTCCGCGGTATACTCAGACCTCAGTTTGCCTTCAGCCTTTACCATTAATGCGATGCATTAATTTTTTTCACTATAGTATTTCTGTGCCGATGGAACTGACTCTTTATATTTTTGAACGAACACTGTATAAGGAAGGTGTTTTTTATTTTTGTAAGGGTATTAATTGCTCTTAATAAGTCACAAGCAGGTAAAACTCCGATAAAGTTTTATAGATTTACTCAAGAGCGTGTAAATCGTGCTTAAGAAAATAAATTGCATTAAAAATGTAGTAACAACAAAAACTCGTTGATTTCAATCGTCTCATATCTATGGCTAGTGTTAAATAATCGGTATCAACTATCAAATATTAGTAAATCGGTATAAAAAGTATCGGTACACCAGTCTATACCAACGAATTTTTAGTTTATGTCAAAAGCACGATTTAAGATATTTTATAGAATTCGTATTCTTTGATTGCGGACTCAGTTGGCCTTGACACGTGTGAAATTAGGCGTAAAGTTGCTTGTATAATGTTCATTTATGATCTCATTAATTATAATATCGACTGTCCGGAATTATTATTTCCAGTTGGATTGCATATTCCAGTGTATTTAACGAGATCATTAGTATTGTTTTCTGTACCTAATTATAAAACTAACTTAGCAGCTGGAACTTTTTTTCCTAGAGCTTCATTTATAGCAAACTCAGTGTGTATGTTTATTGAATTTTCGATATGTCTCTTGTTTAATTTAATTATGGTGTTTTGTCAATTTTACTTTCCAATTCTTAATTTCTTATGACCGATGTATTTTTTTTTCTTTTTATAATTATATGGCCACTTAATATTTCGATATGTACTTATTTATTAATTACGTATTACTTATTTTAATTATTTCGTGTACCTATTTTTGATTATTTAATAATATTTAATAATTTTGTAATTGTTAATTTAAAGGGCATAATACCCGTTCATGAAATATAAAATATCCTTAACCGTGGGCAAAAGCCTGGTAAAAATATTTATGATAATATCTAGTTTACAAAATGCACATTGAAATTACGCCGTCCATTAAGATTAGTTCTATCCACGATTAAAGATGTACTGGTGGCCCAACGGGCTATGCCATAAGCGATATCAAATAGCAATTGAAATTGCTCACAGGAACAGTTGCTTAACTAACTGAGTGTGCTCTATGTCCGTGAATATAATGCTATATTAAAATATTTCGCGTTCACAAACATACTTTTGAATTACCATAGCAATTTAGTACATATTCTAATACATAAATATTTCATTGCGGTTGAAGAGCTCTACAGAATTGTTTTATCATTGCGTAATTATGTAGGCCACGATGAATAGTTTCTATGTAACAGCCGTGTTCAATTCTACTATTCCGTATGAAAACCGATGTTATCGCGTAACAAGATTAAGTTATTCCCTAGATAAATATTTTATATTTTCGTCGGACAGCCTTTATACATATTTTTTTATATCCATAATCCATGGCAACCACACATCTCCATAGTTCTCATCCTATTTATACCAAGGTCACAATATTTATTATTTAGTAAAGTAAATAAATATAGAAATAAAAAATTAATAAATTAATAAATGCGTCGCCTGGAGTATTATACGACCGATTTCGAATTAAAAATTCATCATCAGGTACGTCACAGTCAAAATGTAAAATGCGAGTGAATATAAAAAATAAAACAAAGTAATACATAAAAAAAAAAAAAGTATAAATTTCAAAAAAGTGATAAAAAAAATCAAATACCAATAGGTAGACGTGAATAATATTGTGGTAGTGTGATTAAAAATTATCAATTGATAATATTCAAATTAAATGGCGGAACGAAATTTCTCATGTTATCACTAGTTAACAATCTAGTTTATTATACATATCTCGTAGATATAGGTTTATATATTTAGGTATATCTTAAACCGTGGCTAAAATACGCCTATATCTCAATGGTTTTATCAATAGGCATATTTAGCATATTATATGATAACAGCGTATTTGGTGATATTGTGTATTTGTGTGAATTTTTCACAGTATTTGGCAATTTTGGGGCATTTTAACGCAAGATCTATAAAGTTTCTTCTTTACAGTTTTTGATTTTAATGCTTTGTATAGGTGATTGCACTTTTGAACCTTCTGTCAACCCTGTGACTGCTGGAACAAAATAGTTGAACTTAGTTCGTGCGCACAATACATAAACATCTCATCTAAACCACGATCTCAACATTCTAAACAATCTAAACAATCTATTAGTGACATAATAATAATTACTAATTGCTTCTATAGTAGCTATTGGGTATGATTTTTTTGGGACTTGTGAGTATTATGTAGTTTTGAAAGGCCAACCAGTAATTTGTCCCCCACTTAAACTTACCATTGGCCAAATACAAACCTGTTTACTATCAACAACTCACTGTCTTTCGTATATATATCTCTCTCTGAAACTTATTTACATCGTCAGCATAATAATACTTTCTATCAGGTATTTCATACATAAACATTTCTCCCTCTTTCTTTTCTCTCGTTTCTCAATGACATAATTAGCCACTGTAAATGTTGTAAATCACGGTTCGTGCCTAATTAGTTTTGTTTCTTTGCGATAATAATTCAGTGTATATATTTATACGCGAACGTGCAAGATTAATTTTAGTTCTAAAAAATTTTAATATTTTAAGACAAATAAAAACAGTAACGTATACTGTTGTATAAAATAGTATAATTAATTTTAAATTGAATCTATCAAAACATTTTTCGAGTTAGAATGAAGCTAACGGTAAATTTGGATTTGCAAAAGGAACGCGAAAAATGCACGTTTAACATCGAGGAACTTACAAATTTTTTGGATGGAGGTGTTGATAAAACTTTAAATAGACGGAAAATTGGTTTGTTAACTTTTTGAATGACAACAGTAAATGTATACCATGTTCATTTATATTATATTAAATATATTTTTAGAATCATTTTTTTTATCCGACCCAAGTCTTAATGATGAAGTTCCTATGGAATACTTAAGTCACAAGGAACGTTATGAACACGCTGTACGTAAGAGTTGTATTTTATTCAAAAAAGTTAACGACTGGCAACAAAATAATGATAGCGGTAGCAACTCGATGGAAATTTACAAGTACTAATCAAGAAATTTTATCTAAATAATTTATTTACAGGTAATTAATAATAAAATTTCAGATCTATTTTAGGTGGATCAGTTGGTAGTGCAATAATTAAAGACGGTACACCGTTTGCAGTACACTATGTCATGTTTATACCTACAATTATGGGCCAGGGTACAGTGGAACAACAAGGTGAATGGATTGGTCGAGCTTTCAGCAACCAAATTCTAGGCACTTATGCTCAGGTATTTTAAAATTTGGATTTTTTTGTTATCTATAGAATAACTGTTTCTTGATTTTATGTGTAATGTTTCAAATTAACTTTCATGCGGAGCACGCTATTATCTGAAACCAGAATAGTTGCGCATTGTAATTTTTACAACAGTACTAATATGTTGTGATAATTATATCCATACCCATATCAATATATTTTCTGTATTTTAAACTTTAATTTATATATTATGTTTACATAATATAAGCAAAAAAAAAAAATGCATCTATTTTAATATCTTTTTAATATATTATATCTTTTAGTATATTTTTTATGTTTTTTTTTTTTAAATTCATAACAAATTATTATTATTTATTGAAAATGTAATAAGTCATATTATAAAAATATTTAGAAAATTGACATGAGTTTTAATTGAAAAAAGAAAAATAATACACGCCATACATTAAATTTTACAAAATTGTTGTTTTACGTAAATAGATGACATAAAAAAAAAGGTACACAGAATGACGCGTTTTGTATTTAAGCAACAATACAAGAAGTTAATGTTGATTTGTTAGCAATAAAGTGAATTGAAAAACTTTAAAAATAGTCTAAAACAGAGATAATAAGATTTTAAAGTAATACACATGACTTAAAAATGAAATAAATAAATAAATACATAACTGTTATATTATTTATAACAACGTGCCCGCTTGAAGGTTAAGTTATGAATTATCATTTGATTCATTTTCCTAGTCTTAATAAATAAATAGGTAATTATAAATTTGATCAAGGGATATAATTATTTTTCAAAACTATAATATATTATATCAAGATTGACTATTTGTAAAAGTTTAAAGCCTTAGAATTATAAATTTAATATCAAAATTAACAAAATATATTTCGTTTGAAACTATTATATATATATATATATATATATATATATTTGTTTAATACTATTTCTTATTATCATGCTGCATTATAAAAATTTTAGGATATTTATCTGATTCAAAAACATATTTACCTATAGACAATAACAACAGTGTAAAACAAATAGTTTCAGAGAAACTAAATTGTATTTTTAAATGATTTTTTATAGACTGAACTTGGTCATGGGACATTTATTCGTGGTTTAGAAACAACTTGTACTTATGATCCAGCTACAGAAGAATTTGTTTTAAATAGTCCCACACTGACGTCATATAAATGGTGGCCTGGTGGACGTGAGTTTTTGTTCTGATGTGTTGAATAGAAAATGTCAAACAGTAATATCTAATTATGTTGATATTTTAGTTGGCCATACCTGTGATTATGCAGTCGTGATGGCTCAGCTTTATAGCCAAGGCAAGTGTCATGGTATACACCCATTTATAGTTCAACTTAGAGATGAAGAAACATGGAAACCAATGCCTGGTAACATAATATAATAAGTAATTACAAATTAAAATAAACTTTAATATTATTAAATATAGTGAATGTTATTAGGTATAAAAATTGGTGAGATAGGTAGTAAAATGGGGATGAATTCTACTAATAATGGGTATTTAGCATTTGATAAAGTAAGAATTCCTAGAATGCAAATGCTGATGAAAAATGCCAAAGTGCTTAAGGTAAATAATTATTTTATTTCTATCTACAAACCTAACATTTATAATATTATACAATATCAAAACTAACCACTTATAGATTATAAATATGTTTTTAAAAAGTTTTAAGAGAAATAATGTTTCAAGGTATACTTTTATGAAATTCCTAAATAAAAATAATATAATATAAATTTTGATCAACATAATGTAAAACATTCAACATTAATTTATTTTAGAACTGTTTTTAAGATTTTCTGTGGTTAAAAAGGTGTGGGCTGGTCATGGCGTGTAGAGGGTGCTTTAATTAGACGGGTACTCATTAACTAACTAGCCAAATAAAAAAACAATTTATGGGAAGACCACGGCAATTGTGGATGAACTGAGTAAAATATTACTTAAAGTGATTATAAATCTAGTGAGTATTTAAGATGCAGAAAATCGAGAAATTTGGAGATCTCTGGTAAAAATTGCAAAGTGTTTGAATGACGCGTAAAGTAAAAAAAAAAATTATTTTTCAAATGTTCTAAACAACAAAATTTGAAAAAAGTTAATATTTTACAATATGAGTATCATATGTTATGTTGATCACTGTATATAATAAATTATTTTTCAAGGATGGCACATATCAAAAATCAGTAAACGACAAATTAACTTATGGTACTATGATATTTGTACGCGTAGTAATTGTGAGAGATTTAGTAACCAGTTATATATCCAAAGCTGCAGTAATAGCAACTAGATATAGTTGTGTTAGAAGACAATCGGAAATTAAACCCGGGTAAATGATTTTGTATGAAAACAGTAAAAATTTAAATTTTGCTTAACTAATTTGTTAAATTATTAATAATATGTTATATTAGTGCGGGTGAATCTCAAATTTTAGATTATCAAACACAACAATACAAAATTTTTCCAGCCATAGCTATGAGTATAGCTTATAAATGTGCAGCGTCTTGGCTTTGGGATGTTTACAATGATGTAACTTCAAAGTTAGAAGAAGGAGATTTAGAACTGTTACCAGAGGTATATTTAGTGAGATAGTCTTGAAAAAATTTTGAAAAGCTTTTAATTTATAGTTACATGCAATGGCATGCTGTTTAAAAGCTGTTAGTACAGCTGATGCTGCTGTAGCTGTAACAACATGCCGTTTAGCGTGTGGAGGTCATGGATATATGAATTGCAGTAATTTTCCAAATACTTATGCAATGACATCTGCTACTGAAACATATGAAGGAGAAAACACAGTACTTCTTTTGCAAACAGCGAGGTAATGAATTTGCGTTTAAATAATTATTTTAAATTGTAGTAATGTTAAATAAATGTCCTTGTATACATATGGCTAATTAATCAAGTACTTTGTTATTACATAATTATTATTAATTAATTTTCATTTGAAGGTATTTGATGAAGGCATGTCTTGATGCAAAATCTGGCTATAAGTTGACTGAAACTGTAGCATATTTAAATAATTTTAAAAGTTTCAGACGTAGTAAATGGATTACAAATTTGGAATGTATGATTTCTGCATTTTTTCAAGTTTCTGGAAGGTACATTTTTTATTTTTATATATTTAGTAAAAGTAATAGAAAATTGAAAAATTGCTAACATGTTTAAGCAAAATTGAGGATTGCTACTTTTCTATTAACCAAAAATTGAATTCTGGAATGTCCCAAGAAGATTCTTGGAACTCGACTACTGTTAAACTTGTCAAAGCATCAGAAGTAATTTAAATATTTAATTTTGTTTTGTTATTAATATTATTTTTCTTTTATATTTTTAATATAAATAAAAAAAATTATCTTTTTACAAATTATCAAAACGTCTCAAAAATGTACCTACATAATTGTTTTTTGTTTTAGGCACATTGTAGAGCATTTGTAATAAAAAGTTTTGTTACAACAATTAAGACAGCTAAATTTTCAACAGAATTGATGAAAGTGCTTACAGACCTCTGTGAATTGATTTGTGCATATTGGATTTTAAATAAACTAGGAGATTTCCTTCAAGTAAAATTGTATATTTTATTTTTAATTTGTTTTGTTTATTGACATTTGTTACTTATCTACTTTTTCAGTTTTCCAATCTAAAATCAAAAGATGTTCCTTCGATACAGTCTTTGTTAGAAGATTGCTTAAACCGTATTCGACCTAATGCAGTTAGTCTGGTGGATAGTTTTGATATTCGAGATGAAATATTAGGCTCTGCTTTGGGAGTTTACGATGGAAATGTTTATGAACGTCTAATAGAAGATGCCAATAAAAGCCCATTGAATCAAAAACCTGTTAATGAATCATTTCACAAGTATTTAAAAGAGTATTTAAAATCCAATTTATAAGCAATCCAACCAAATTTAATCATTGTATTTACTATTTACTGAGATAGGTCCTAATCGGTATTTGTCAACAATTTCATTAGGTGCGATTTTTTAATAAATTTACATTTTATTATATTACTATATTATTATATATATACACACTATATTATGTATTCTTACTTGTTATTTAAAAAAGAGATATTGTGTAATAAGGTGGGTTTTTGTTTTTGTTAATTCATTATTCTATATTCTATATGATTAAATATATAATTGTTTTAATTATAGTTTTTAACAGTTGTCTTAGAAATGTTATAGTGTTGAGAGATTATCTTTTATTGTTTTATTTATTTTTATACGTCTAAATCATTGAAAAATAAACTATGTATCAGTGAATTATTTAAAATTATTTTTTTTTCATGTGTCTCAATAATACAAATGTTAAAAGTAAAATTTATAAAATATACTACTACTTTTGTTGATTTAAGATAATCTTGAAGTGAGAAACAAATGAAGAGTAAACTTTCAAAGTAGTACTGAAAACTTTACATTGTTTATAAAGAAAAAACTATGTGATAATAATAATATTCAGTTTTAATGTAAGACAATTTTAGATTATCTTTAATCGAGTTGTACAAATATACTTATGTTAAATATATAACATAGAATATGTATTAACATTTGGTACAGATACAATATTGTATTGTATTCTACTATAATGTAGTGTGTTATATAAGTATGATTTAATATAGTTCAGTAAATGAACAATATAATAAATTGTAGGCATATTTTAAATAATTTTGAACTACCTAAATGGAGCAAGCAGGCTTTATTTGTTTTACGATTTATTAATGTTTATATGTTTTGTTATTTTAATTTATCAATTTGGTCTTAACAACCTCACTTTGAAGGAATTTCAACAATTTTAGTAAATTCAGTAAATTTAATGATGTGTAATTTCAGAATACTTCATGACATGAAACAATTGGATTTTTTAAAAATTCAAAATTGTATTAATTTTCTAGGGAAATAAAAATATCAAAATAATAATATGTTAATTATGAACTCCACTTAGAATATTATTTTTCAAATGGCATAATAAATATTATTTCAAGAAAAAAAAAATAAAAAAATTAGGTAGGTATTTATAATTTAACTACCTCGGCCTACTTAATAAGTAGAATAGGTTATTTTTATTATTATAGTATTGGTTATATTTACGGTCGAAACAAAATTGTGTCTACAAATAATACCTGTTGTTGATGGAATTTCTTTCTGAATTAATGTATTGTATGAAATGTGCAAAATATGCGCTATTTGAGCTAGTAGATACCTAGATAGATGATAGATACCTGTATTGTTTTGTAATATGATTCGCGTCAAACAAATTATGTGACATAAAAATATATATTATATAGGTAAGTACTTATGAATAAGGCTCGGATTTGTATGTATCAATTAAATTAAAATAAATACGTACCTACACAATATGATAAAATTAAAATATAACAATAAATATGAATACACATATCTATATTATGTATATATATATATATATATATATATATATATATATGTTGTTTTTATATCATAATACATACACAAAAGAATACTACCATAAAATTTAGAATGGTATCATGTATTTATGACAGTATACCTATGTAAGTAATATTAAATTATCACTATAATTCTTTTGAAAAAATTAAATTTAAAATCCGAACTCTAAAAAAGTGTTGTATACAAGATCCAATACCTAATTACTAATAGGTGATTCAATTTAGACGTGTTTCATTCCATTGATCTGTGTGAACTATAAAAATAATTATTTATTCACTATTCAAATTCATTTGCTTATTGAGCTCTGTTGACCTTACCATTAAAACGAGTCCATTATGCATTTCCTTTGGCCGCGAACTGTGCGCATTGTCTCCGTAGGTATCCACTTAATAAAATAGGTACGGCACACGATGGATAAGTACGAGTGAAAATATATTTTTATACAAGAACATTTTTCGGCGTATGGTAAGTATAAGTGATACTAAAATGTGGTAGACGATTTGACATTTATATAATAATTACAACTCTTATAATTTCCAAATAAAATTCGGAAACATACATATCTAGATAATCATGATCAGGGAACAAACGATTAACGAAGATTTGAGGAAAGAACGGACCATGTGTACGTTCGATATCGAAGAGCTAACGAATTGGTTGGATGATGGCCGGGAAAATACCGAACAAAGACGAAAACTCGGTAGGTAGCTCAAAGATAAACCAAAGGAAACTGTTGGTACTTATTGAACGTCAGAAGACTCACTACAAAAATGTGAATTTCAGAACAATTTTTCCTCAACGATTCAAGGTTAAAAGACGACGTGCCCGTCGAATACCTAAGTCACAAAGAACACTACGAGCATGCAGTCCGAAAATCTTGTATTTTGATCCAGAAAATTATCGAATGGCAGGAACTGACGAACAGTACTATAACAGACATTTCCAAGTACCTTTATTCAAAGTTTATCGACTATATTCATTTACAAAATCCTATCGAATTAATTATGATTTTTTTTTTTAAATACTTGGCCACTTGAGTATCTATGGCATGCAGAATTAAAATCATGTAAAGAAACCTATATAGCTAGGTATATTATAAGTATAGCTATAATATATTTTTGGAAGAGATACTAGACACTAGGTACCTGTTGAAATTGTCAAATGGATCGGACGGATTTATATTTCAGTGGTGTACCTATCATATTGCCAATTATTTATCTTACCTCTTATACCTCTTTATTTTGTGTCTTATAGATGCTTTGTGAGAAGGGCTTAAGGAGTTGTGAGCAACATTAATGGTATTTCTTGAGATAGGAAGATTAATGAGATCATGCCAATAAATTTGCATTTGATTTTCATATAAAATTTAATTTACTTACCTAGATAATTTATGCGTAGGTACGAATGTACGATTAACTATATGGATTCCTCGATCATAAAAAAAAATACTAAGTTGGTACTTAATAATTATACATTTGATACTATCACAGTCAATACACAAAATATCATTAATATATTATAGGTAGCTTGGTGTATAATTTTACAAATAGGTAAATCTATACAATTTTTTTTTCTAATTTTAGTCAGATTTGGGAATATGGAATAAATACGGCGATTGTCAAACAGCTTTGTCCTTTTTCCGTACATTCCGTAATGTTTTTGCCGGCCATACTGAGTCAGGGTACTCTGGAACAACAAAAAAAATGGGCAACACTTGGCCAAAGCTATAGAATCATCGGTACATACGCTCAGGTAATATTATTAAAAAATCGTAGCAGATAATCGAGTGTGTACTTACCTACCTATTTACTCTAATGACGAGGGCAAAAATGTGTTTATATAATTTCAATTATTCGTATGATTCGCATGGATCAATGATACTGTTAATATAAATTCATGTGAATTCGAACCAATACCTATGCATTAATTGCAATTAGTGATTATAATTATTTTTACTGCAGGATTAAAACGGTCTAAACCAGTGGTTCCCAAACTTTATTTTTTCCACCGTATGACATTCTTAATAGTTACGAGTCATGATACACTTTTGAAACGTGTCTACTTAGCTGATATTTTTAGCCATTTAAATAATCTTAATTCAAGAATGTAAAGTGAAGATGAAACCATATTAAAATCAAGTGATAAACTAAATGGTTTTTTACGAAATATTAATCTTTGGATATCACACATAGAAACAAAACAACTTTAAATGTTTCCATTAACAGCGCTTGCTGATCAAGATGGAGAAGTAACTTATGATTTGATTATTAACCATCTCGTAGTTTTAAAAGAAAAAAAAAGAAGAAATATTTTTCATCTTTGCTTGTTGACAAATATGATTGTATACGTAGTAACATCAGATGCTATGTCTGATATTCTCATCTAGAATTAGTTGATTAAGTTCAACTTATAGGAATTCAATCTGATCTGATTGAAATTAAAATATAGTGAACTTATAGAGCTAGTACTACACTCGTCCATTTCTTGGAATTTAATTAATACCGAGTAACAGAAAATTACAGAAAAAGTAAGAAATATGCCATTACGTCATTTTCCACTAGGTACATATTTCTGTGAATTAGGTTTTTCCGCACTACTAATATTCAAAATACTAAATGTGAACAATTTTTATCGGTTAAACAAGAAATGCGAGTACCTATGTTTACCAATCGATCCTTTCGCGAATTGAACAAAAAAACATCAAACATACTAAAATTAATACAAACACATAATTTTATTTCTTTTTCAAAGTTTTTTGTGAATTGATTTGTGCATATTGGATGTTAAATAAACTAGGAGTTTTACCTAGGAAGGTAATAGAGGGGAAAGGCAAACGAAAATATTATTAACACTCGTTTAATACAAAAATTCAAAATTATTTACATTGTACCTAAAAAAAACGTCCTAGGATAATGGAGATGGGTGCAGCCACTGTTACAGATAATTTAATGGTAAGCAACAATAAACCATTGCTTACGAAAAAAACGATTCTGAGCAGAGTTTAGTTGATAGTGTTGCTCTGTCAACAATATATATATCATATTATGGTAAAATAATTACTCAGCCATTATATATTTTTTTTAATAATATTTATTTAATATTGCACCTATTTTCCCGTTTTCCTACGATTTTCCTGGTTTTCCCGTGGTTTTTCCCATTTATTGGGAAAACTCCCGGGGAAATTGAAATTTAACTCCCTAAAGTACCTCCCGTGTCTAATTTCCTTTCAAAAAAGGCGCTACACTAAAAATCGAAGCAAGATTTAAGGTAGAAAAGTTGTCCGCAAAAAAAAAAAATAAACATCTTTGTAAAACCATACGCTTTTTCGCTTCACTCATAATCTAAAAAGTTATTAAAAAAGATCTATAGGCATTATTGAGTTTATGATAAAACCATTGAAAAACGTAGTTTAATCAATATACGTACTGTAGGAACTCTTCATCTTTCCAACAAAAAATAGTTGTTGAAATTGGACCGTTCTACGAGGCATGAGAGTTTTTCACGTAAAACACGTTTTTTAGTCAAATAAAACACGTCAGACATACTCCCTAATGTACGATTAAATTTTAAACATATTTTTGGAATAGTCAAATTGTTGAGGTTATTGAGGAAATTGATTTTTTGATATCGAATTTAGTGAGTCCAATATAAATACAAATGTAATGTGGTTATTTCACGTTATTTAAAAAAATATAATATTTTAATTTAGAGGTCTTAAAAATTTAAAATCAACTTCCTAAAAAATCTGATTTTAACTTATTTTTGGTCTTATATTTCATGTTCCTATTTTCAAAAAGTCTTTGTTCTTGTTTTATTTACAATGATGTCGCAGGTTAACGATCTAAAAAGCTCCTGTTGGATCTTATTTTCCGAGTTTCGTGATCAGTAAAGTTCATATCTTCAACTAAGCTATTTATTGGGGGCTTCTGAACAAGGATATTATCAGATCTTTAGTGCAGTAAGTTCCAATTGCCTTCTGCATTCCCATGCTATTCACCAGGTGTGTTGGTTCGTCCGCCTTAAGAGGTAGTTTCCCACCTCCAGAACAAGAGATTTCCGTCTTCTACCCATTAATTCGCTCCCGGAGGTCGTTGGCCTTAGTAGAGGTTGTTCCTTTAACCAGGGGTTGATTGGTGATACTTGAGTTGCCTTTTGCGACAAGTGGAATTACCCGTGACTCTATTCTAATTTGAGTACCACACATATAAAAGTAATATTAGGTGGAAGTATACATTTATTGTTATTGTATGAAAAAAATTAAACCATTTTATAACTAGAAAAAAAAAACAATTCTTTGTTTAACTAATAACTTTTTCGTTATATTCAAAATCTAAAATAGATAATTTTTTAGTATATAATGAGAGACTTGACTTCATATTTTTCTATAAATGCTAAACTCTTATCATATAATAACTTTATAAATTCGTCAAAAGCAATTCCAATTATTAAACCTTCTGTTGAAAATTACATTTTTTTTAATCTTCTTAAAGGCTGATCAGCCTACTATTATTTTTAGGTAAAGTATTAGAAAAGCTAATATTTAAAAAACTATTACTTTACACTTTCTCATCGCGTTTAGTGTAATACACCAGGTATTGGTATAGGTTAGTTGATGCAATCTCGTTTTCTCCGGGAAAAAAAAATATTAATGCACTTATGCTTTCCGAAACATTATTCAGGTGTTTGACAAAGTCTGATATGAAGAATTACTCCTTAAATTAAAAAATTGAATTTTCAAATTCGAAATAACATTATTAAGTACACATTTATTTTTATCAATTGTATAAATAAGTCTTAGATAGTTAGATAATTATATTTTGTACATTTTTGAAAAAAATAAAATGTAACAAGAAAACCTTTTACTGCATGCTCATTTTCAATGAGAAGCTGTAAGAAATGTTAAGGGGGTTCGAGAAGATATTTTCGGGGGGGGGGGGCTGTAATCCCTAAGCTCCCTGCATCCAACACCTATGAACAAACGTTGAACAGTAAAAAGTTTCATATTTTATTGACGAGAAAAATATTTTACATATTTTATAGACCGAACTCGGCCATGGCACTTATATCAAAGGTTTAGAGACTACGTGCACATATGATTCATCAACAGAAGAGTTTATTTTAAACAGTCCGACGTTAACTTCGTACAAATGGTGGCCCGGCGGATGTATGTTTTATATATAACGAATGTCAAAACAATTTATCAACATTCAACGCTGGATAAAATTATAATTTCAGTGGGCCATAGTTGTAATTACGCTATTGTTGTCGCTCAACTCTACACACAAGGGATACATCGCGGATTGCATCTGTTCATTGTGCAGATAAGAGATTCGGAAACGTGGATGCCTATGCCAGGTGCATGTTATTTTTTGATTAATTTTAATAACAAGAATCACGTTATTATTGAAAAACAATTATATTTATCTGCCAGGATAAAAAAATAACTAAAACATTGATATAGGAATCACGGTCGGTGAAATCGGCAGTAAATTCAGTTTGAACTCTACCAACAATGGGTACGTGGCATTTGATAATGTCCGAATACCTCGAATGCAAATGTTAATGAAAAATTCGATAGTTCATAAGGTAATGAGTTAATGGTGTCGTGATGAACGATGTTTTTTTAATGCGATTGCATGGATCTAGAAATATGTTAAACTATGAAAGGAGGGGAGAGAGTCGGGGTGATCATTTTTTAATACTTCACTTAAGATTTCTTATGACGCCATTACGTGATGATGTTAACTGGTTAAATTAATTAAGTATATAAATCACAATGCGTAATTAAAAATTGAAATTTTGAGTATAGGATGGAACTCACGAAGTTGTAACTCGGGATATATTGACATACAGTACGATGGTATTCGTACGGGTAGCAATTGTCAAAACCGTGATTAACAACTACTTAATGCGGTCAGCTGTAATCGCAATCAGGTACAGTGCGATTCGGCGGCAATCGAAATTAAAACCTGGGTAATATATTATATTTCACAATATATACGGTATATTATGTTACGTTGGTTTATACTTACTTGCGGTACAGGGAACGCGAGCCACAAATATTGGACTACCAAACGCAACAGTACAAACTGTTTCCGACCATTGCTACGTGTTTAGTGTATAAATTTGCTGCAAAATGGCTATGCGATAAATACTCTACTGTAAATTCAGACATAGAACGAGGAGATTTAAAACAATTACCAGAGGTTGGTACACTCAATAAATTGAGTTTCTTAATTATTAATATTATCTGTTATAAAGTATATTGCAGTTAATGATTTAAAAACCATAGTGAATGCATACGAATTTTGACTACGCATTATTTAATACGTTATACCTTCTTCTACATTAATAATAGGAAGTGTCTGTCTATCTGGGCACGGCGAACAGCCAAATATATCGCTTATAAGAATGCAATCTTTTTTTTTTTTAAATATATTGGTTACCAAAATGTTATTAATTATTTATTAGTGTTAGTATGAACTATGAAGATGGTGGTTTTCTATCACATAATAACAATTCTTTTTTGTAATTGGTTAGTATCTATGGTAAGCTTTTGGTTTACCAGAGTGTTTATACGTTTTTACTTCATGACTAAATACGTTAATTGCCTACTTAACGTGTTGTTGAATCTAGTAAAACAATTTCATGTACATTGTACACGCTCATAAATATTAATTACAAAAAATGACTGTTATTGTTTACTGTATTATTAATAATGCTAAGATGATTTTATCGTATTATTATATTTATACATAGCAATTGGTTTAGGAGTTTATACTGCATTTGAAATCAGTAAATATACGAGTCGTTGGAATTGTCTCTTTAGCAAGTATAATAAGTGGTGAAAATTTGGCGATGCACAAGTCCTTTAAGAAACTCTTGTTAAATTATATTATTTTACGGTTTTGATAGTCAATAGAATGGGGAAATCAAAAAAATAATTATAAAATCAATCTCTGTAAAAACTAAACAAGAAAATGGATAAAAATTAATAATCGCACGGGTTATTTCGATTTCTCGGTTTTTTAAGGTACAATATTTTAGTCATAACCCTACCATACCTATGTGTCAATAAAAATTGACCACCTCTTAATGAAGTAAACTGATTTTCCCTCCAGTAACTCGTGTCTCCCTAAAATACGGGCCTGCTAATGAGCCACAAAATATTATAAATTTTCCCTGATCTATCTAAAGCCCCATTCCGCACCTGGTGGTCAATGTATATTGACGTGTATATTCACGCATAAATCGGTACAAATGTTTATAATCCAAAATTGAATTTCGAATAAAAATGTTCTTAAAATATAATTTATAGCTACACGCTATGGCGTGTTGTTTAAAAGCTGTCTGTACGGCAGATGCGGCTATGGGCGTCACGAATTGTCGTTTAGCATGCGGCGGTCATGGTTATATGACCAGTAGTAATCTACCTAACATTTATGCGCAAACCACCGCAGCAGAAACTTATGAAGGAGAAAACACAGTATTACTTTTGCAGACAGCTAGGTACTTACTACTAGTAGCATTAAGTTATTGTAACGATTTTAACAAAAACATAATACTTATTACCGATTGTTTATTACCTAATTCAAATTATTTTTAAACTTTATAGATTTTTGATGAAATCGTATCACGATGTGAAAATGGAAAATATGCCGTTGTCGAACACTATATCTTATCTGAGAGATTATACAGATTTGAACAAATTCCGATGGACTACAACATTAGAATGTATGGCAAATGCATTTTATCAAGTCGCCGGAAGGTATACGAGATTTATTTTACAACAAAATGTTTAACTTGCTAACTTACTATTATATTAATTTTAAACATATTTTAGTAAGATCGAAGACTGTTATTCAACCATAAAACGGATGGTGAACTCTGGAGTTACTCAGGAGGACGCTTGGAATCAAACGTCCATCAAACTAACTCAAGCATCTGAAGTACATAAATACCATTTTAATAATTTAAATAAGGAAATTAAAAAACTTCATCTAACACGGTTTATACTTTTCGTGTTTTATAAAGAAAAATCACTCTCAACACGAATATATTCTCTGTCTATGGGCGTAAAAATTAATATTTTAAATCTCTCCTCTCGTTACACGTTACACATGTCGATGGTCGTATCTTTATTATCCTTCTCTTAAACAGTATTTCAGAAGCATCAGATTTTCTATCGAATATCTCATTTAGTGTTCCTAATAATCACACCAGACTACCACAGACTATTCCCTACACTTACACATTATTTTCAAATTTATTAAGTTAGTATATATGTATATATTTTATTAATATAAGTAAAAGTTAAATTATTGTAATATTTTACTTGATTTTTATAGGCACACTGCAGAGCATTTGTTATCAATGTTTATCTAAAAACTCTCCAGACGCTTACATTTTCGACCGAGTTAATGAAAGTACTCATCGATCTGGGTGAACTTATTTGTGCATATTGGATAATAAATCGACTTGGAGATTTTCTTCAGGTAAATTATTTTCTTCAGCTGTTATAATAATTTCATGTTTTTATATGTACGCGATTTTGTTCACAGTTCTCGAATCTTAAAATTAACGACGTGCCTTCGGTACAATTGTTGTTTGAAGACTGCTTAAAACGTATCAGACCAAATGCAGTTGGTCTTGTCGATAGTTTTGATATTCGCGATGAAGTATTAGACTCGTCGCTTGGCTGTTATGACGGGAACGTCTACGAACGGATTTTCGAAGAAGCTAAAAAAAGCCCTTTGAACAAAGAACCCGTGAATCGTTCGTTTGAATTGTACTTGAAACCATTTATAAAATCTAATATTTAAAATTTTGAATTTAAATTGATCAATGAAAAATGTAAATTTTTTGTTTTTCGTATAAATTTAATATAAAAAAAAATATACCTATAAATAGAATATTATGTACGAGCAATTTTAAATATTTTTGAACAATAGATTAATTTGTTTTAACAGTTGCACTCAGATAGATCATACCAAAAGTGGTTTAACTGCATATGATATCCAAGGTGTGGGTGGTTGGTAATGTTGATCTAAATTGTCTTGGTCTTGATCTTGCGGCAAGATTAAGACTAAGGTGGCACTAGCACTAGCTAGACCAAAATAAGTATTTACATATTTAGACCAAGACCAAAACTGCAAGACTTGTAGTCTTGCACATTTTCAATTCGGAGCACAACAAGTGATCTATTAATTAGTTTTACTATGATGTATGTTTTTTTTTTGTGTGTCATACGAGCAACTTTAATACCAGAAATCTTGCTCCGACGTATCAAGTGTAGCGCATTTTCTGAAAGGAAATTTTATTTAGTTGGCAGGTTAAGTAATTTTTTGATTTTCCAAGTAGTTTCCATAATAATTGGAAAAACTGGAAAAAGATGAAAAACGGAAACTGATATAGACTGTCTCGGTCTTAGTCTTGGTCTTGGTTTACTTATGATTAATGACTGGTATCTTGAGCCTGTTTAAAAATTCTTAAAAATAAAATAAAAGTCGATGGAGTCGATACTTATGTTAACTGCACGTATTCTCTAAATTTTTTTGTGCGCCACTAATTCGTTATAATATTTTGTACTTACGTATTATTAATATTAACTGGTTCAGGGCGATAGTCGTTTGTACGAAAATAATAGTTAATAAAATTGTAACAAAATATTATTATAGTTCATCTATGTGTTATAAATACAATCGCATATATGTAGTTACATCTGTGTACAGACTACGAATATGTAAACTCGGCTGTTTAGTTGTAATAGAAATTAAATATCATTTTATTAATTTATTTTTTTTTACATTCAGAGTGTATTGGTTTTATAATGATGTTTATTATTTATTTTTTTTCTATGAACAACTTTTCTATCAGAAATCTTACACTGATCTGTCAAGTGTAGCATTTGTTCTAAAACAAAATTGTATTTACTTGGTACATTAGGAAAGTCCTATGAAAGCAATTTTTACATTATTTGTATTATTGTTCAGAATTTTAGCGAATTTGTTAGACATATTATTTTGATATTTCATACTACAATAGTTAAAAAAATTATTTGGTGAGTTGTGATTTAATTTTTCTTTAATACGTTTATGAATTTGTTTAATAGTATTTAAATTGAAATTATTTCTATAGGCTTTATTATAGATATATATTTAATTTGATCAAACATATAAACAATATTACTAAAAGCTTCACAAAAATCCCCCTTCTTTTGATAATGCTGGTCCATATAAACTTAAATGAAACTATAATAAATTTTATATAAGTAAGACAAATAGAAATTTTAAAATAAGATATTAAGAACATATTTCGGAAATAAAATTTAAAAAGACTACCCCTAATTCAAATTTCGCTTTATATTTTAGATAATAAATAATAACCAAATAATTTATATTTCTTAACATATATATGTCTAACAATAACTAATTTTTTGTAAAAAAGCTCTTATATTAAAATAAACTATTTCTATGAAAAATGACCAATTTGTATCATTTTTTCTCTATGTAGATATTTTTTCATTTATTTTTCATGTTCAGTCGCGTTTTACTTTTTGATTTTGTGATTTATATGATGATACATTTCTAATTCGAAACCGGTCATCCAATAATCATATTCGTAAAAAAATATTCGTAGAGATTTTAAATTTGGACAGAAAATTTGTGTTTGCCTTTTATAGACGTGGTAAAATTTTAAAACTAATTTAGGTATTTATAGATATTTTAATTTTGCGAGTTTTTTACTTAATTTTTATTCGGTAGCTATCGTGGATAAAATTGTTAGACCAAATAAAAATACTAGAAAATTTAACAGGTTATAAGTCGTAATTTGTAGGGCCAAAAAAAAGATGAGTGTAATGTAGAATTTTTTTATAAGAATTTTTAATATCAAATGTTGACGGAAATTGTAAATATACTATGGCCTTTTAAAACATGTAGAACCGAACTCTATTCAGAATCGTTTTTCGTTAGCAATGATTAATTTTTGCGTACAGATATACATTAAATTTGTCTGTATATCCCACTAGTTTTCTCATAAAATCTGAAAAATCGAAAACAAAAACTGAGGAAAAACGGGAAAACATACGAAATGTAGGTATTAGTTAAAAAATATTACGACCTTCTTTTTTTCCAGTAAACAATTCTTCTAACAGCAATTTTGCTTCGATTTACAATGGTAGCACTTTTTCTGAAAGAAAATCTGACTGGGATAGTACTTTAGGGAGGTAATTTTTCGATTTTCAGAAATTTTTACGAATAAACGTAGGAAAAAAGGAAAATCGGATCAATATTAAACAATTATTATTAAAGAAAATATATAATGCTTATTTAATTATTTTACCATAATATGACAATATATATTGTTGACAAAGTATCACTAGTTTTTTCGTTTATAGTTGCTTACAGATATATATTAATTCCCTTCTGTGTCCTACCCTCCCAACTTTCCACCTATATGAGTGGCTGCACCAGTGCCCATTATCTTAGGTTAGATTATTTTAATTGTATTCTGTATTTACAGAATAATGCATGTAAACATTTGGATTAATTTATTTACAACGCTAAAATAGCAGTTTGAAATTACGTATTCATCATTCGTTAAATTGTATGCAATTGACCTCCCACCAAATCGATATTATTCTAATTTCCTCTAGATGACGTTTACACAATGTCTGCGTTTCGAATCTGCGTACATTAACTATACTAGTTAAGTATACATCAAAACCCCGTTGGTTAGACTATTATATATTTTTGTCCCAATAAAATTTTGGATTCCGCTCGAATTAAATTAATTTCGATAAACCTATTAATTATATATTTAAGAAAAAACAAACAATAAAACAATAATGATCGAACGGATAACGATAAACGGTGATTTACAAAAGGAACGTACGACATGTACATTCGATGTTGAAGAGTTGACAAATTTCTTAGGCGGCGGTGCGGAAATCATTGAAAAAAAACGGAAATTAGGTAAGATAACATTTTACATGCAACCCTATTGGAAATTAACTAATATTTAATTTTCAGTGGAATTTTTCCTGAGCGATCCAAGTTTGAAAGACGATGTGCCTTTAGATTATCTAAGCCACCAAGAACTCTACGAGCACTCGATACGAAAAACATGCGCTCTGTTCACGAAAATTAATGAATGGATAGAGATATCGAACGACGGCGTAGAAGATGTTTATTAGTATGTTTATATAATATGCGTTAAGACTATTTGACATTTTATATTATTACTTACTGGAAGCTGTTTCATATAAAATATTAATTCCACAGTCATTCATTTAACATTTATCATTAACCTGCGATTTACTTGGAGGATTTTAAGTGAATTTGATTTATTATTTTTTTTTTTAGTCTTTACGGAATTATTTAAGTTTTATACAAACACTATTTCACTTTTTTTACCTCTACTCTTTATATCTTAAATTATTATGTAGTATACACTTATGATTTTCAAATAGGAACTCCCCCTTTTTATACATAGATTCGTATAGAGATGAAAATGTTAATATGTATGTAACACCAATATCGGATTTATCGTTTGTATGTTACACACAATACTTATAAAGTTATAACTGTTACTAGTTTTAGTCTAAAATTGAGACTTGATGAGTAGGAAAGAGTTATCAATTTATAATCTATGAAAAAGGATATGGAGTTTATTACTCTGTACTTTCTATCTATATAGTGTATATGGATAGGTGTTCATTTTATGTGATTATATTTATAATTTCGCAAAATTAAAATCAAAGCTAATTAAGTGAATAAAAAAATCATTTATTTTTTCTTTCTAACATTTAGTTCTATTTGGCAATACGGAATAGACACAATGTTTACGAAACAAAATCTACCTTTCGCCGTTCACATTGGTATGTTTTTGCCGTTTATAGTTGGCCAAGGTACTCCGGAACAACAAAGTGAGTGGGTTCCGCGAGCCTTTTCGAACACGATTTTGGGAACATACGCACAAGTATAATATCAAATTAAATTAATATTAATTAATTTTCATTTTCGTCAGTGAGTAGTTAATAATGATTATATTTTACAGTAGGTAAGTAGGTAAGACATGAACTGAAGATACATATTTAGTAAAAATAATGTGTGTTATTGTATTTATACAAATACAAATTTATAATCGATTAAAATTTTTGAATATATAGATACAAATTAAATTTCAGTAAATTATTCACTTTCCACTATAGCCTATATAGGTATTTTATTTTTACTTTTTACCGTTTCCTATATAGGTATATAAATAAAAGATAATATATTATATATTGAGGTATATTCAGTGAAAGAAACAGTTTTTATAGAACTAAGCCAAGTCTATATCTAAACCAAGCTAGTAGATATCTATACATTCATGGCTCATATAAAGTTGGAAATAGTTAGGATAAATTTACATTTTGAGATTTGGTTTTTTATCTTGATTATTTATTCCCAGTGAATGTCCGTTAACAATTAACGTGATAGCATATTTGTAAAAAAAATGCGATTTTTATTTTTTAACCTATTATTAGTCAAACTTAAACAAAAAAAATTTAAACTTAGACTGAACTTGGCCATGGAACTTTTATTCGAGGTTTGGAGACTACGTCCACGTACGATTCGGCTACAGAAGAGTTTGTTTTGAATAGTCCGACGTTAACTTCGTACAAATGGTGGCCCGGTGGACGTACGTTTTACAAAATACAAATTGTGCAAATTGAATTTGACAAAACTTTAATTTCAGTGGGTCATAGTTGTAATTACGCAGTAGTTCTCGCTCAACTTTATACCCAAGAAATACATCGTGGGATACATCCGTTCATTGTGCAGATAAGAAATTCAGAAACGTGGATGCCTATGACAGGTGCGAGAATATTATAATATTTACAATGTCTTATACATATCTGTGATGATGTCTCCCCTCATGCAGACATGGATTTAGTAAGGAAAACCCTTGAACCCAGACTCTGTAATTTTGAAGGTCCAAAGTGAACCTTTTTATCAAATGATACAAATGATAAGTGAACAAATTCATATTCATAATTAAGTTTAATATTTATTGAAAATTTGGATTTTAATCCAAATTTTATTTCTGTTATTTTATAAATGTTCATCTCTAACTTTAAATTTGGGTATATTAGTTCAAAAAAAAGAAAAAAAAAACTGAAAAAAATAGAGTATTTTAGTTGTACAATATTTTAGTTTTACATTTAAATAATAATGTTGTATAATTACAAGAAGCTTTATGAATGTTAGCTAAAGCTCAACAAATCACCGATCTTACATATTGGAGGTGTACTACATACCAACAATTTTATATTTAAACAGCCTCTTATTCTAATGGCCTATTTTGTGCAATTTTCACTAAACTTTTTACGATATTTCACAAATGATTTAATATATGGTGGTTGGAGTTGGATCGATAGTACATATTTGATGTCAAGCGTAATAAACATGATTATAATCGACAATAGTAACTACACACTTTGATGCGTATTACGTGATCATGAAAAATATAATACTTGCTAATTCTGCTAAATTTGTGAATAAATATGTTATTTTTGAATATAAAGTCTACATTAAAAAATAATACAAAGTAAGATGTATTTATTTAAATTATTTTTATAAAAATTAAGTTACCGTTTCTGCTCAGATTGAATTTAAATCTGTTTTTGTAGAATTTTACATTTAAATTATTATTATAAGTTTGAACACCTACTTACTTCACAAAAAAATCGTTTGTGTCAATAATTAAATTAAAATCATAAATGCTTAGGAATCAAAATTGGTGAAATCGGCTCTAAATTCGGCATGAACTCGGCGAACAATGGATATTTAGCATTCGATAACGTCAGAATACCACGAAATCAAATGTTAATGAAAAATGCTGTAGTTTACAAGGTTAAATTATCTATTTATAGACACATAATTATATCAAATACAATAAAAATTAATTTACGTTAATTTAGGATGGAACCTATGCAAAATCGTCGAACGACAAATTAACATACGGTACAATGGTGTTTATACGTGTGTTGCTTGTCAAAAGTCTAGTTACCCTTAATTTAATGAAAGTAACTACGATAGCGGTGAGATACAGTGCTATTCGACGGCAATCAAAACTAAAATTAGGGTAATTAAAATATTACAATTTAAATTTTAAATTATATATTCTTTAATAATGTATATTTTAATACGATGATATTAATTTTTAAAATCCGTTTTCAGTGTTAGAGAACCTCAAATCTTAGACTATCAAACACAACAGTATAAATTGTTTCCAGTTATTGCAACGGCTTTAGTGTACAAATTTGCTGCACAATGGTTATGGGAGAAATATTCTACAGTGACATCGGAATTAGCGGCCGGTGACTTACAACATTTGCCAGAGGTCAGTTAGTTTAAAAATAATTTTCTTTCAAATTAAAATAATTATTATTGATGCAATTTATAAAGATAAGGATATACAAATTGTATTACCTAGGGCTAGATAATAGGACACACAGAGGGTGACACCCTCCCCCCAAACACGATAATTATACTAACTCCAAAGTCAGCAAAAACTCTATACAAGCTGTATATAGGATTTTTTAAAAAAAGCGAGTACGGAATAGGAGAAGAGAGTCTCTGCTGTGAGTGTTGATGAGAAAAGAAGTTTTGAAATCATGTTTTAGTTTGATAAATGATACGCATAAAGATTGAAATACGAGTGTAAAAAGTATGTGTTGAGTAACGGAAGATTTTGGTGATGGAGTAGGTATGAATTTGCAGGGTTTCTTGTTGAGTTTAGGACAAAAGGACCTATTAGATATTTTTTAAATAGGAGAAATAACAAGGTATAGATTCGATGAATGATATTTTTAATATTTTAATTTTTATAGAGATATGTGTGATGTCAAATTTTTCAAATTAATTTCTCTTAATTTTAACCATAAGAATAATTGGTTTATTATTCATGAGAATATTAAATGAAAAATTTGTATGATCCATCATGAATGCTCTTATTTATAAAATGTATGATAGCTCGATTTGCTCTAACTCAATCAGAAAGTCCCAATCGTTGAAATTCGGAATGCCTTTGTTGCTAAACAATATTATGTGCGATATAAACAAAGAAAACAAATGTTATTAATGAGGCACATTAAGATTCTGCCATATCTTGTGTCAGAAGTGAGCACTGGTTAGGTTTATATACAATCCCATCAATCATAAAACAAAATACAAAATAAAACGAGTCGGAAATAAAAACTATATCCCTATGTTACACAAAATAAATATATTCTAATTCTATTATGTTTTTTTAAGTAATCTAAACACGGAAAACTAAAATAATATAACATTTTTTTTTTTATATATCTTAGTTACACGCTATGGCTTGTTGTTTAAAAGCTGTAGGTACTGCGGATGCAGCCATCGGTGTAACCACTTGTCGTTTAGCATGTGGCGGTCATGGATTTATGAACAGTAGTAATCTACCAAACATATACACGCAGACTACTGCTGCAGAAACGTACGAAGGAGAGAACACAGTGTTACTTTTACAGACAGCTAGGTAAAACAATAATAATAATAATAATAATAAAATTGTTATAACTAAAGACCGGATTTATATGTACTTATAATTGTTAAATATGAATGCGAAAAATAAGCACTAAAAAAGTCAAAATATGTAGAAAAATGTTACGAAATATGCAAAATATTTTATTACGTTTTTTTTTTTTATTGTAATTCACAATTTCGAACTGTAAATTATTAATTATTATAATTTGTGTAAACAAAAAGTAAAATAAATACTTATAATTTAGTATAGCATCTACATGCAGTATAAAAATGTAATATTTAAATTTTTTATGTATGACTGTATGAGTATTTTAAATTATACATACAGTTAATTAAAATCTGTAAACACAAAACTAAGAATATATTTTATTTTTTATTTTTGAATACATTGCAAAAACAAAATAATTAGTATTTTAGTAATCTAGTTTNACTTTCATTGACTGTATGTGTACGATGTAGAAATTACAAATATGCAATTTATGCAAAATCTGGCCCTTAGTTATAATGCTTTTAACGAAAAATGTAAATTAAATTTTTTTAATTAAAGATTTCTGATGAAAACGTATCGTACTGTAAAAACAGGAAGTTTTTCGACGTCTACTACTTTATCGTACATGGAAAATTACAACGATTTGAAAAAACGACGATGGACATCAACATTAGAGTGTATGGCGAGTGCATTTTATCAAGTCGCCGGAAGGTATAAGAGATTCATTTTATAAGAAAATGTTTAACATTATTTTCTAACTTACTAGTATATTTTTAAACGTGTTTTAGTAAGATCGAAGACTGTAATTTAACCATCAAACGACTGGTGAACTCCGGAGTTACTCAGGAGGACGCTTGGAATCAAACGTCCATCAAACTAACTCATGCATCTGAAGTATATATTATACGTGCTAATAATTTAATTAAGTAAAAATGTAAAATGCAATATACCTATATAATTAGATATTTTATTGGGTAACTCCAATATTATATTTGATTTAATTTTTTCCATGCAAAATATTTTATTAAAATGATGCGCAAAAAATTTAATCAAATATAATTGAGTGTAATGAGAGTGACATTTAGTTGATTTTTATAGGCACACTGTAGAGCATTTGTTATCGATGTATATCTGAAAATTCTTCAAACGTCTACATTTTCGACGGAGATAATGAAAGTACTCACTGATCTGGGTGAGCTTATTTGTGCGTGTTGGATAATAAATCGTCTTGGAGATTTCCTACAGGTTAATCGTTAACTATAATAAGATAATTATAAATAATTATATAAACTTGATTATTTATTTTTCAGTTTTCGAATCTAAAACCATGTGATGTGCAGTCCATACAATATTTGTTAGAAGATTGCTTAAAACGTATCAGACCAAATGCAGTAGGTCTTGTAGATAGTTTTGATATTCACGATAATATATTGGACTCGACGCTTGGTTGCTACGACGGTAACGTGTACGAACGAATTTTTGAAGAAGCCAATAAGAGTCCTTTGAACAAAGAGCCTGTAAATCGTTCGTTTGAATTGTACTTAAAACCTTTTTTGAAGTCCAACATTTAAATTAAATTAAATCATAAACAGGATAGATTATGCTCAATAATAGATTAAGGCAATTTTTTTTTGCTTTCTGTTTTATCTAGGTTTATTATAATTTTGGATTCTGAGTGGAGCGAGGAATGTATTTGTTTTACAATGATGTTTATTTCTTTTTTTTATCTATGAACAACTTTTCTCCCAGTAATTTTGCTCCGATTTACAAAGATAGCACTTTTTCTGAAAAGAAATCTGACTGAGGTGGTACCTTTGGGACGTAATTTTTAACACGATTTTAACATCAAATGTGAAAAACCGAGAAAAAACATAGGAAAATAGGAATTTCAGTTTGGTTAACTATACTGCAGTCTTTCATCTTTTTTTTCTTTATTAACTGACTGTAGTGGGAGATCAGTTTTTCACATTGCTACCCCACTACTGCCATCGTTTATTAATGAATATAATTAAACAATAAAATAATAAAGTATAAACAAAATTATTAAAATGTCTAATAATAATTAATTTTAAATAATCTCTTATATTAAAATAAGTTTGAACTGTACGTAAAACCGTTCATGGAATCTAATATGTAAATTATAAATGTTATATTATTATTGAATAGTTTAATCTATTTTGTATTATGTAAAAGATACATGTTTTTTATTTAATTTGCATACCAGTCGTGAATTTATGTTTACACTAGATAGATATATAAATACCACGATCTATAGGCCGGGCACGTACCAAGGAAAATAAAATATCATTAAAACCTACAAGAATACAAAATGAAAATAAATTATGTCTTCTGTTTGATGAAAATCAGTTTAAATAGTTTTTTTAAATTTATTTTAAACAATATTAATACGATTTATTACGAGTATTAAATGTTTGCGCACATCAGTTATCTATTAGGTTTTTTAATTCCACTTCACCTCTCCTTAATTAGTCATGAGAAAGTGGCTTATATTTTTCACCGATTGCTAACACATATACACACACATGTACATAATAACTGATTATTTTATTTGTATGATTTGATATCCGAGTGAATTATTAGGTTCGGAGCATAACAAGGGATTCATCGGTTTTATTATGATGTGTACTTATTTGTACACGTTTAGGTGCAATTATGGTGAGGGGATGTTAGAATGTCTTTAGTACCCTCAAGTTTAAAATTAGCACCCTTAAAAAAACTCCATTAGTTTTTTCATAGTAACGATTAAATATTTTATGAATATTATATTTCATAATTAATAAGTAGAACTAAATACAGATTTCCTACAGACAGTACAGACAGTGTATGTGTGTTAAATAATGTTAAAATAGTTGGGATAAATTGATGTGTTCATAAAATCGTAATTGAAATATGAAATATGTAGTTGACTATTGTAAGAGTTGTATAAATTGGAATGTGGGGGGGCATAACTCCATGGGTCTTAGATGTGTCCATAATTTTAGCATCCCTAAAGTTGGTGGTCTAGTAGCATTTTTGTGTATCTTCTGCATATCGTGTCCAGTTATGATTGCCAATAATTTACATTTAAAGTTGTTTAAATAATAATAAAAAAAATATAAAAAAACAAAAAAAAATAAAAAATAAGCTATGTAATATATTACGTTATGAACGTTATGCACATAGTAGTCATAAATTATATTATACTGGTGTGTATTATATTATATTATATGTGTATTTGTAAACAACTTTCCTACCAGAAATAATGATTCGATGTATGGAGTGTAGTACCTTTCATGAGAGGACATTTTGAGATTATTTGATTTTCCGAGGGTTTTTTTTTTTTTTGATAATTGAGAAAAAACGGAAATAAAATTATAGCAGGTATTTACTGTGCACCACGGCATTACCAATTTTATTGTTTTTAGTTTTTGTAATTTATGTTTTCTACCAGAAATATTGCTCCAATTGAAAAATGACTAGAGATCAATTTTGTTCCATTTAATATATAGCTACTGAAGAGAGTCTAGCTAACCCAACCTTACCTATAATTTATTATACCTTACCTATAATTATTTATTTATATAAATAAATAAATGAATGCGTCGCCTAGAATATTAAGATATGTATATTGTACAACCTGTTTCGAATTAAAAATTTATTATTAGGTAAATCACAAAGTCGAAAAGTAAAACGCGACTGAATATGATAAAATAAATGAAGAAATACATAGAGAAAAAATGATGATTCAAATCGGTTATTTTATATAGAAACAATTTATTTTAATATTAAATTTTATTTAAAATGAGTTATTATTTGACATATATATGTTAAGATAAATAAATTATTTGGTTATTATTTATTATCTAATATGCACTGATATAAGATATTAGTTTAAAATTGGTTTGAATGTATAAAATATTAATACAATTATTTTTCCTTATTTCATTGTGTATAAGTAATTCTTCTAAAACTGAATTAATGTAAATTTTATTTTGGGTATTTAATATTTCTAAGTCTGTATTAATACCAAAACTTATTTTAAAAACATGTTTAGCGAAATTTGAATTAAGGGCAGTTTAAAATAATTTATATTTTTTAACATATCTATGTCTAATGATAACTTAGTTTAAATAAAATCTAATATTAAAATAAATTATTTCTATGTAAAATGAACAATTTGCATAATTTTTTCTCTGTGTATTCCTTCATTTATTTTTTCACATTCAGCCGTGTTTTACTTTTTGACTTTGTGATTTACCTAATGATGGATTTTCAATTCGAACCAGGTCGTATAATACACATATCTTAATACTCCAGGTGACGCATTTATTTATTTATTTATTTATATATTTATTTATAAGTATTAACCGTTTAATAATTTTGTTTTAATTTTAATATTTCATTAATTATTTATTTATTTGTAACAATTATTTAATTGCTAATTACCATAGGTATTAGAATTTGAGTTACCATTTATATACCAACCTTTTTCATTAGTTTTAAATTACACATTTATACTAACCTACATACTCACTACACACTAGCACTCAAAGGTTTGCTCGGTGACCTCGTTCACTTCTTTTTTGTCACTATATACATTTGTGTACAACTTATAAACATAACGGTCGGTTAGTAGTGATGTTGGCGAGTACATTAGTGATCAGATGTGAGTATTATTATTACATGAAGGGAGGAATGTATTGGTTTTACAATGATATATATTTTCCTTTGTTATTTCTTTTTTTTATCTGTGAACAACTAAATGAAATCTTGCTCTAATTTTCAAGTGTAGCATTTTTTTTGAAAGGAAACTTTATCTTATAGGTACCAGAATTAGGTAATTTCTTGATTTTCTAAGGTTTTTATAATTATTGGGAAAAATTAGGAAAACACGTAGGGATAAACGTTATGGATTCATTATTTTACATTTTTGTAACTTATATTTTTTACTAGAAATCTTGCTTCGATCAAACAATGAGAAGATACCTGTTTTGTTGAATATTGGATTGAGGGTTTTTTGATTTTCTACGTAGTTTTCATAATAATTGGGAAAAACTAAAAAAAGACGAAAAACGAAAACTGCCAAATTTACAGTGAACGATTTCATTACTTTAAATTTTCACGCTTTATGATTTCTACCAGAAATATTGTTCAAATAGAAAAAACGACAAAAGATTATTTTCGTTGAATTTATAATCTAGTATGTATATCTAGTATAAAAGTTGTTTTTTGATTTTCCGTGTATTTTCTTTAAAAATTTAGGAAAATCGATGAAAAAAAAGTGTTATAGGTACATTCTATTGAATAATTTATATTATTATTTATCTATCTAAAGGTGGTTTGAAATACCAATAAAATAATAAAAAATACCTATTTCGGAAGTCGTGGTATCTAATAAATAATACATGTATATGTACAATGTACATATAGAAAATTACTTATTAGTTATTACGTAGGCATAAGTGTGCACTGTATGTGACTATCGCTTTGATCACTTGAATCCGGGCAGAGTAAACTTTGCCCGTACCCTCTCGTACTGTATCTGGTAAATAAAGGGAAAATTGGAGTATTAAAATGAACAATTTAGCATCACCCAAAATTGTGACCTCATTTTCTACTTAGTCCGTGACATATACATATAATAATATGTATAATTCAAAGGTTTATTTCCGTTTAAAACATACGTATGTAGTAATTGTATTACCAATGCAACACGAGTATTGTATTTTTAATAATATGACCTCCAAACCTGAACCCAGGAGACCCCCCCCCTTTCTCCTCAGAGCCGACGTAAAACAATACATGTTAACGTTTGGACTAATATGCATTTTATGATATTACATGTTTAACATTTGTGTTAAATTATATGGAATTGACCCCTTCATCGATACACTCTACTTCGAACCTAACGGTTACCGAGTTCAGTAAATCAAACTTCGTCAGTGAGATGATTTTATGTGTTTGTCCACGATAATATTCTCGATTTCTCTTGTATTAAAATAATTTCCATAAACGTATAAAAATAAAAAAAAATAATGATCGAACAAAGAAAAATAAACGGGGATTTACGAAAAGAAAGAACAACGTGTACATTCGACGTAGAAGAGTTGACGAATTACTTAGACGGTGGCGCGGAGGTCACCAGAAAAAGACGGAAATTCGGTACCTACCTAATGTGACTAAATTTTATATACAATCTGAAATTATATATACTCGCTCATTTTCAGTGAACTTTTTCTTAAACGATTCGAGTTTTAAAAACGACGTACCCGGAGAATATTTAAGCCACCAAGAACTCTACGAAGAAACGATACGAAAAGTTTGCATTCTGTTCGATAAAATTAAAAAATGGTCGATATTGAACAACGATACGGACGACATTTATTTGTATGTTTATGCGTGCAATATGTTTGTGTGTTATAATACTGTAATGTATTATAAATACTGTCAGTACTTAAAACGTTCAGTTTATTACCAGTGGCGCTGACATTAGTTTTTAGAGGTGGGGTAAAGCCGGTAGCGTTCCCAAGAACTTCCAATGGGAGGGGGGTTGGGTAATTTCTAGAAAAATATCTAAGAAGCTATCAGCGCACACCCCTTTAGTTATGAAATTCACTATTATTTTAGATTCTGAGTGGAGCGAGGAATGTATTTGTTTTACAATGATGTTTATTTATTATTTTTTTTGGAAACATTTTTTTTTATTAGAAAGCATAATCCGATTATCAAGTATAACATTTTTTATGAAAGTAAATGTTCTCTGGTGGTAAATTAAAAAGGACATTTTTTTGAAATTCTCATTAATATTTGAGATAATGAGGAAAAGCCGGATTTTTAGATTAAAAAATGTTGACAAATTAAAAATAAGGTTGTCAGTGACAACAGTTTTTATTATTTTAATCTTTTTTAAACAATCATTGTTTTCATGGAAACGTGCATTGTTGTTATTATTTTACTATAATATGACATATATATTGTTACAAAGCAACACAATCAACTGAACTCAGAATCGGTTTTTCGTTAGCAATGGTTTATCGTTGCTTACAAATATACATTAAATTCTCGTCTATATTCTACCTTTCCAACTTCCCACCTACAACAGTGGCCACGCCCACATGTGAAGTATGGTAAAATAATTACAACAATGTGCGTTTCCATGACAACAGTAATTATTCAAAAAATATAAAATAATAAAAACTTAATAATAACAAAAAATAAATAAAACCGGTTGTCACTGACAGCCTTATTTTTAATCTTTCAATCTTTTTTAACTTAAAGAACCAGGTTTTCCTCATTATCTCGAATATTAATGAGAATATCAAAAAATGATCTATTTTAAGTACCACCCATAGAACATTTCTTTTCTGTAAAAGTGCTATACTTAGAAATCAGAGTAAGCTTTCTGGTAAAAAAAAGTGTTCACATAAAAAAAAAAAAAAACATCTTTGTAAAACTAAGACATTATTCTAAACTTAAAATTAAAAAAAAAAAAATTGCAAAATTTAACGCACTTTTTATTTTTAATAATTTATCAATAATTTGTTGGTGCAATAAATATATTTATATTGTAATTGTAAATATAAACGATACGACACGACAATGAATTTTCACATTTATTACAAATTTAAAAAGAATTAATTGCAAAAAAAAAAAAAAATTGGAGTACTCCCATCCGCAGAGATTCCGTTTCAGGAAAGTTTGGTAGATAATAAAACCATGGATATCGAAACCATATAAAATCATTTTACAGTTTAAGGTTCAGCTATTTGAAAAGGTATAAGTGACTAAATTTATCAGACATTTTTTTCGACTCAACCAAAGATAAAAAATATGCGGATAACGAGGGATTACTGTATTTTATAATGTTAGGTATTAAACACATAGAACGTTAGATATTAGACCAATACCCAATAAAGGTTATTTAACGATTATTTGACAAACACGTAATTTACAGAAAAATGTTTACGGTTATTGACATTGAAATAATATGTTAAAACTAGTTGTCTCGCGCCCGACGTCCGTGCCAATTTGTATTATTATTATTTTACCCATATTCATTTTTGGTTTTGGCCGTGTCAGAATTGAATGAAAACAAATAGGTCAAAAGTGGATAGTCCATATTCAGCGGACTAAAAGTATTCTATTGTGAAATTTTAATAGTGTAAATAATAATAATAATAATATTAATATTATAATATAATAGTTTTCTTTTCTGTAACACCAAGGTAACCCTTGAATAAACAAAAATAAATAAATAAGCAATTAGATACTAAATATACGGTACTTTAAGGTACTAAATATACCTTAAAAATCTCCTAGGGGTTGAATTTTCAAAAATCCTTTCTTAACGGATGCCTACGTCATCTATCAGTTATCTGTGTGCCAAATTTCAAACCGATCCATCCAGTGGTTTGGGCTAGGCGATGATGAATCAGTTAGTCAGTCAGGACATGTTATACATATAGATAATATAACATGAAATTCAAAACTATCTAAAAAAAAAAATCCAAAGGGCATATACTCTATATGCCTTTTGAAATATAAAAATTGTATTTTCTAAAAATCAAAATGTTTTAAGACATTAAATCTATAATGTTATTACATTGCTATGTAAAATATTATATTGTTAAACTATACAGCAGTCACATTTTTAAATAGTATACTCAAAATAATAAACGCCATTATCAGTAATATATCTAATTTAGAGACTTCTTTTTAAGAACATTTAAATCTATATAAAATATACAAACATTTTTTATACAACATTAGATATATTTGGCAATACGGAATAGATACGGCAATTATGAAACAAAATATACCACTCGACGTTCACGTTACTATGTTTTTGCCAACTCTAATTGGCCAAGGTACTCCTGAACAACAAAGCGAATGGGTTCCACGTGCCTTGTCTAACGAAATTTTGGGTACGTACGCTCAGGTAATATTCAATCAAATTTATACCTCATATATACCATACATTTATTTATACATTGTACGTTTTCGATTCCTAAAAAGTTTTAAATATTTAATATTGTGGTAATTGTAGCCAATTATTTTTAAAACTGGATACATTAAATTTATCTAATTATACTAGAAATATTTTTTGTGACATGATCACATTTATGAAAGTAAACTAAAAGTTTATAGTAATTATCCCTTCCTATAAAGTCATTTGACGAATTTAAAATAAGTTATCCGTGAATTAATATTATTTATAGACAAACAAAAAAATAACTTACCGATAAATTTGCCAAAAAAACCGATAACATCAACATAAAGTAGGTACAAACTATAATCACAACATCAGTAGTATCTTTTCAGTGTCTAAATGACGTCTGATCTGGTTTACAAAATCACCATTTATGGTAACTCAAACAGATTGTTTCGTGTTACTATATTATAAATAATTATCATAAATGTATAAATTAAAGTTAATTTTAATAGCTAAACTCTAACTGATAAAACTAAGAAAAATATTTTACACTTAGACTGAACTTGGCCATGGAACTTTTATTCGAGGTTTGGAGACTACGTCCACATACGATTCGGCTACAGAAGAGTTTATTTTGAACAGTCCGACGTTAACTTCGTACAAATGGTGGCCCGGTGGACGTACGTTTTTGTGTTGCACAAATTGTGCATATCGTTTGATTCACATTGAACTTGACAAAACTTTAATTTCAGTGGGTCATAGTTGTAATTACGCAGTAGTTCTCGCTCAACTTTATACCCAAGGAATACATCGAGGGCTACATTCGTTTATTGTACAGATCCGAGATTCAGAAACGTGGATACCATTGCCAGGTGCGAGTATTCTAATAATGTTACATGTGTCCGGGTTCGTTGTTAATTTTTATTTTTTATTATACTTCAATGTCTAGTATAAATTAATGAAAAAATATTACTGTACATTTTTAAGTAAAAAATAATATTCTGATATTTACTCATATGTCATGATTATAATATTTATACTATTTATTAATTTATGAGTAAGTAACTCTAAAACAATTTTAGTAAAACATAATATTTTACAATATAACGGTATGACAGATCAATTACCTTGTTATTTAGTCATTTTAAAAATATAAGTTACAATTTCTATATAAATTATTCTTAAATGTTTATTAGGAATTAAAATTGGTGAAATTGGTAGTAAATTTGGCATGAACTCGGCTAATAATGGATACTTAGCATTTGATAACGTCAGAATACCTCGGAAGCAAATGTTGATGAAAAATTCCCTAGTTCACAAGGTTTGGTATATATCTGAATTAAGACCCAAAGTTATAAATAAAAAAATTATTTTGTTCATTTAGAATGGAGCCTATGAAAAATCGTCTCACGAAAAATTAATGTACGGTGCTATGGTATTCGTTCGAGTACTGATTGTCAGAAGTTTAGTTACCCATAATTTATTTAAATCGGTTACTATAGCGGTAAGGTACAGTGCGATTCGAAGACAGTCAAAACTAAAATCAGGGTAGTTAAAATATATATAATATATATATTTCAGTACTATGATATTAATTAATAAAATGCGTTTTCAGTAATAGCGAATCTCAAATCTTGGATTATCAAACACAACAGTATAAATTGTTTCCAGTTATTGCAACGGCTTTAGTGTATAAATTTGCTGCACAATGGTTATGGGAGAAATATTCTACAGTGACATCAGAATTAGCTGCCGGTGATTTAAAACATTTACCAGAGGCTAGTTTAATTTAATTTTCTTTAAAAATAAAACAATTTTCGGTGTAATTTCTAAATAGTATAAAATAAATTCACTATCCACGTTTGCCTGTTAGTGTACTTAGTTTTTCTAAACTACACAACGGATTTCGATAGAGATTCATTATCATTTAGAGCAGTTATTCTCAAAGTGGCCAATAGTGCCCATTGTGGGTGGTAGTGGCCTTCAGGGAGGTGGTAGTAGGCCCAAAGAAATTTTGGAGGCATTGAGTTAGGTTTAGTGGGCGATAGCTGACTAAAAACTGCACGAAAAATTTTTTTGAGCTATGGTTCTGTACAAAAACGAATTTATGAGATAGCTGAAAATATTGAAGAATCATTGTGCAATAAACTGAAGACAATCAATCAATGAATCAATTTTCAATTCAGTCGGATGAGTCCTTATTACTAACTAATGACACATTATTGTTGGCATACGTGCGGTTTATATAAAATGAGAAAATATGCCAAGAACTATTATTTACAAAAAGAATAGAGACAAATTCTAAAACCAGTTGCTAATGACAACCTTATTTTTAATATTTTTGATTTTGATCGGAGCCAGGAATTTATTGGTTTTACAATCATGTTTTTTTTTTATTATTATTATATTTTTTTTACGTGAAAAATTTCTACTAGAAAGCTTACACCGATTATCAAGTAAAGTGCTTTTTCGGAAAGGAAATGTTCTCTGGGTCAAGACTATCAATTGAATTTAGCTTAGAACCGTTTTTTTGTTAGCAATGGTTTATCGTTGGTTATAGATATACAATAAATTCGAGTACATATACTACTTTCCCAACTTCCCACCTACAACAGTGACTGCATCTACGTGCGAAGTATGTCCGTCCTTTTTTTTTATCTTTATTTGGTCTTCATTTGGGACATTCTTGCTTAACGGACATCTATGGTTCTTAGATAGTCTCTTTGTATGCAGTTATTTTTCTGAATTGTCTGTGGTATTTCATCTGAAATTATAACTATGTTTTCGATTCATATTTTGGTGTGATCGTTTTTTTACTGCTGCTCGTATTTTCTTAAAAATATCCTCTACAGAGAGTTCGGTGCCATGTGTGATTGATGTTTTTAGATGTAGGAATGATTCATCCTTGATTAATAATTAATTTACACTTAATTCGATTTATTTGACTGTTTGCGGTAAGGAAAGATATTATTTGGATAGTTAGACAGTTTCATCAGTATTGGATTATGATCTGATGTGCTAGTTCGTTTGATTTGTTGTGTGTACTAGAAGAAGTATTATATTTTTAATTTAAAGAACCACTTTTTACTCATAACCTCGAAAATTAATGAGAATATCTAAAAATTCTACTAATATACTTCAACCCCCGACCCTCACATAAATAATTACCAGCGCTGGTTTATCTTTCGTAGTAGATGTAGATAAACGAAAAAATATTTACTGGCATAAAATTAATGAGTTATAGTATAAAGATTTGGGAAAATATTATAGAAAAATAAATTAAAAGTGAAACATCAATACCTAGGGATGAATTTAGTTTTATTCCAGGGTAATCAATGATGTATCCAATGCTTTTTGAGAAAAAAATTGTAGAAACAGAGAGAGAAGAAAAACATATATACAGCTAGATTTAAGAAAGCGAGTACGGAATAGGAGAAGAGAGTCTCTGCTTTGGGTGTTGATGAGAAAAGAAGTTTTGAAATCATGTTTTAGTTTGATAAATGATACGCATAAAGATTCAAATACGAGTGTAAAAAGTATGTATTGTGTAACGGAAGATTTTGGTGATGGAGTAGGTATGAATTTGCAGAGTTTCTTGTTGAGTTTAGGACAAAAGGACCTATTAGATATTTTTTAAATAGGAGAAATAACAAGGTATAGATTCGATGAATGATATTTTTAATATTTTAATTTTTATAGAGATATGTGTGATGTCAAATTTTTCAAATTAATTTCTCTTAATTTTAACCATAAGAATAATTGGTTTATTATTCATGAGAATATTAAATGAAAAATTTGTATGATCCATCATGAATGCTCTTATTTATAAAATGTATGATAGCTCGATTTGCTCTAACTCAATCAGAAAGTCCCAATCGTTGAAATTCGGAATGCCTTTGTTGCTAAACAATATTATGTGCGATATAAACAAAGAAAACAAATGGTATTAATGAGGCACATTAAGATTCTGCCATATCTTGTGTCAGAAGTGAGCACTGGTTAGGTTTATATACAATCCCATCAATCATAAAACAAAATACAAAATAAAACGAGTCGGAAATAAAAACTATATCCCTATGTTACACAAAATAAATATATTCTAATTCTATTATGTTTTTTTAAGTAATCTAAACACGGAAAACTAAAATAATATAACATTTTTTTTTTTATATATCTTAGCTACACGCTATGGCTTGTTGTTTAAAAGCTGTAGGTACTGCGGATGCAGCCATCGGTGTAACCACTTGTCGTTTAGCATGTGGCGGTCATGGATTTATGAACAGTAGTAATCTACCAAACATATACACGCAGACTACTGCTGCAGAAACGTACGAAGGAGAGAACACAGTGTTACTTTTACAGACAGCTAGGTAAAACAATAATAATAATAATAATAATAAAATTGTTATAACTAAAGACCGGATTTATATGTACTTATAATTGTTAAATATGAATGCGAAAAATAAGCACTAAAAAAGTCAAAATATGTAGAAAAATGTTACGAAATATGCAAAATATTTTATTACGTTTTTTTTTTTTATTGTAATTCACAATTTCGAACTGTAAATTATTAATTATTATAATTTGTGTAAACAAAAAGTAAAATAAATACTTATAATTTAGTATAGCATCTACATGCAGTATAAAAATGTAATATTTAAATTTTTTATGTATGACTGTATGAGTATTTTAAATTATACATACAGTTAATTAAAATCTGTAAACACAAAACTAAGAATATATTTTATTTTTTATTTTTGAATACATTGCAAAAACAAAATAATTAGTATTTTAGTAATCTAGTTTAGTACATTATTGATATGAAAAAAGTACAAAAAAAATAATATGTTAATTGGAAAAACAGTAAGTTACCAAAGTGTGTTACATGTTCATGTTTTTGTATTTTTTTTACTTGTTTATAGTGACCAAATATGCAAAAACACGCATAATATTATACACTTACGTCGAAATATGAAAAAAATATGCAATATACAATTTTCTTATTTAATCAATCAAGTAATGAACTTTCATTGACTGTATGTGTACGATGTAGAAATTACAAATATGCAATTTATGCAAAATCTGGCCCTTAGTTATAATGCTTTTAACGAAAAATGTAAATTAAATTTTTTTAATTAAAGATTTCTGATGAAAACGTATCGTACTGTAAAAACAGGAAGTTTTTCGACGTCTACTACTTTATCGTACATGGAAAATTACAACGATTTGAAAAAACGACGATGGACATCAACATTAGAGTGTATGGCGAGTGCATTTTATCAAGTCGCCGGAAGGTATAAGAGATTCATTTTATAAGAAAATGTTTAACATTATTTTCTAACTTACTAGTATATTTTTAAACGTGTTTTAGTAAGATCGAAGACTGTAATTTAACCATCAAACGACTGGTGAACTCCGGAGTTACTCAGGAGGACGCTTGGAATCAAACGTCCATCAAACTAACTCATGCATCTGAAGTATATATTATACGTGCTAATAATTTAATTAAGTAAAAATGTAAAATGCAATATACCTATATAATTAGATATTTTATTGGGTAACTCCAATATTATATTTGATTTAATTTTTTCCATGCAAAATATTTTATTAAAATGATGCGCAAAAAATTTAATCAAATATAATTGAGTGTAATGAGAGTGACATTTAGTTGATTTTTATAGGCACACTGTAGAGCATTTGTTATCGATGTATATCTGAAAATTCTTCAAACGTCTACATTTTCGACGGAGATAATGAAAGTACTCACTGATCTGGGTGAGCTTATTTGTGCGTGTTGGATAATAAATCGTCTTGGAGATTTCCTACAGGTTAATCGTTAACTATAATAAGATAATTATAAATAATTATATAAACTTGATTATTTATTTTTCAGTTTTCGAATCTAAAACCATGTGATGTGCAGTCCATACAATATTTGTTAGAAGATTGCTTAAAACGTATCAGACCAAATGCAGTAGGTCTTGTAGATAGTTTTGATATTCACGATAATATATTGGACTCGACGCTTGGTTGCTACGACGGTAACGTGTACGAACGAATTTTTGAAGAAGCCAATAAGAGTCCTTTGAACAAAGAGCCTGTAAATCGTTCGTTTGAATTGTACTTAAAACCTTTTTTGAAGTCCAACATTTAAATTAAATTAAATCATAAACAGGATAGATTATGCTCAATAATAGATTAAGGCAATTTTTTTTTGCTTTCTGTTTTATCTAGGTTTATTATAATTTTGGATTCTGAGTGGAGCGAGGAATGTATTTGTTTTACAATGATGTTTATTTCTTTTTTTTATCTATGAACAACTTTTCTCCCAGTAATTTTGCTCCGATTTACNTTTTAACATCAAATGTGAAAAACCGAGAAAAAACATAGGAAAATAAGAATAATACTAAGCCAACATAATATCTTCCTGGGGCAGGCCCACATTATTAACTATGCTAATTAAAACTACAGTGATAGGTGAGCGGTCGGATAGCGTCACCTGTTAATAGTGCTGACGTAACCTGTACATGACTTTGAGGCAGTGGCTGGGTGTTACTGCGTGTATACTTTGATGTCCAGGCCTGATGTGGCGGCTGTTACCATGTGCAGCTGTTTTGCCCTTACCTCAGCCTCCCTTATCCTCTCGTCTTGCTCCTTGCAGCTCAGTATTTATATCCTATCATGCGGTAAGATTGAGAGCCGCGAAAGGAGGCTGCCACGATTTTATCGTATTTAGCTCGGTCAGAATCCCGGGATAGGATGTTTTTCGGCCGCAGATCAAATTTTGGACGTCGCTGAGAACTAGATTTCTTCCATCAACATACACTCTGACTTCTTGTCGGTAGAGTTCCCTGTGAGGGCATGCGAAAAGTGTGTGCTCAACGGTGTTTTCCGGGTGTCGGAAATATAGGCACTTCACGTCTGGGGCTCGTTCCATCCGACAGCGTGTGTCATATCACCTTGTATATTACGTATGAACATTTTTACTCGATGTGCTTTTTGAGTGGCGAATTCATAGTCACATTGTAGTGTGTCACTTAAGTCCCCACACATGTAGTATTTTCCCAGTCTTTCCATAACCGGTTAGTCTACTTATAAAATTTGAACAAATTATTAAAAAAATAAAAAAACTACTAAATAATTATTAAATATTTCCTAAATACGAGCATTGTCTACACAAATGTTTCAATAATCTTAAATACAATACTAAATAACGCTATTCTTCGTTTTTTTAACCAGAATCTGTAACTTTTGATGAACCTTGTGTTAATTTGTCTTTCATTTTTTCTGGACTATAAAATCTGTATTCAAATATATCGTAAAAAAGTACACAAAACACCATAATTATTATTCACGACTTTCATTATAAATTTTGACATATTTCGTAGCTATAACTACATATGCTAATATTATAATCATACTTTCTTGTCTGATCTCAATTATAAAATAAAATTATATCGACGATCCAGCTAGTAAATGTAAATAAATTAACGCCAATACATAAGGCCTTGCGTTCCTAATATATTTGTAAGCAATTGAAAATAAGCAGACAATGATAATATTAATATTGATCACATTTCAATCGCAATTGTTTTTAACTACATATTTGAGCAATAGCATATTACTTTTATACCAACCAAGACATTTTTCAGTGTTATTTTGTAAGTTCACATTATTGGCAAAAAATTGTTACTACTATTACGTACTTTTACGTTATTATTAAAAATTTGAGACAGATCATTTATGAATAATAAAAAGTAGAGTTCATATTGGTTTTTATTATTTACTATTGTAAATGTACTTATGTGTAAACATAAATTTAATAATTTTATTATGACTTTTGTTTTAATATAAATTCTGAAGTTATGTATGAAAATTGTATAATTATTATTAATTGTATATGTGATATATTTTGTTGTGGATATTTAAAACTATCAAGCTTCTGATAATAGCATTGGTTTTTTTTTATTTTTGCGAATTTAATTTCTTTAGTTTCATTCAGTGACCACTGTTTATTGAGATGGATAGAATCCAAATCCATAAAGTTGTTTCTAATAATATGATTTACATTAAAATAGATTTAGTGTTATACGTAGGCTAAATATTGTCGGACACGTTTTCCTGAATTTGCATTTTATTTGTTTATTTGGCGGTGCGATCTTTCATTAGTTTCTGTTATAAATTCATAAGTTTTGCAATCGGATATAATTATATGTTGTTAGTTAATTTAAATATGTTGTTTTTATAGTTTTACTTGAACAGAATGCGGTCGTCACACTTTTCGACAGCCAGTTTTCGTTTTATATCGATACATGCTCACGCTGTTCACTTAAAATAATAAGTATACAATATCGTTCGATGTCGCCTTTCATCATAATAATATGTCACAGTCTGCAATACAAGAACAAACGAGAGGCAAACGACCTACAAAAAAATAAAATAACAATAAAAAATACATACATGCCCACGTGACACTGATTTCACATTGGGTACCTATATAAAAATGCTCATATTTGTTATATCTACGTGAGTCCGAGAAAGTAAAAATTTGGAGGTTGTGCGTGTATTTCACTTAACCTTTATAGCGTGCTGAAAATAATACACTATTATGACTTATGGCGTAATAATAACCGCACGAAATCATAAATTATATAAATACGTTTTTTAGGCACACATAGTATTTTTCAATAATTGTCTTTGAGCATCACATTTGTATAATAATTACCCAGTGGTACTTAATAAAACATACGTTATTTTTTAGCAGATTACAATTTGAGTACATAAACAAATTGAAAAACTTGAAAAATATTTCAATAATTAGTATATGATAAAAATATTCCTATATAGTGGTGGATTTGAGTGGGAACGACGACATGAAAATTTATCCTTTTTTTCCGTTTGAACTTGTTTAAAAATCGTTTCTTGAATGATATAGGCCAACAGTTTCCAACCTTTATTGACTCGCGACACCCTTAATTATTTTCTAATAATCCGGAGACACTCTATGGCTTATACTCTATACTGAAGACGCAATAGTAATATATCGTGTATTTAAATTTATATTTTGTAACTTCGGTTTTATTTAGCTAAGTACTTTAGTATAAACAAAAGTAGTAGGTATGTATACATACATATGTTATAATTTATAAAACAAATTATTATATTAAACATTAACTTTATATTTTATATTTAACTATTATTATATAATATTATTTGATTATCAAAATTAATTAAAAGTTAGGTAACTTATGGAACTAATTTTACTAATATGATAATTGGGCTTGTTTTTTTTTTTTTTTTTTTACACAAATCTTTTATTCGTGGTTGAATAGTTGAAAGATATATTCTCATTTCTTCTTCAATGAACTCCATTTTCATTCGTTTATTTATTTGTATGTTTACTGATGAAACAAAACCAAAACAAAATCTTTTATAGAATCAATGATACTAGAAGCACCATCAGTGCAAATACCAAAACTAGATTCCCATGATAATTTAATAATATAAGATAAAAATCAATGAAATTAAACTCATCAAGACCAGCAGTCATTTCTTTTATTTCTTTGCAGCAAAAAAATTGTTCTATAAATTATCATTATCAATAAGACAAATAAACTCAATTAAATAACATTTACCACTTATGGCAGTGGATTCGTTAATTTGAAGATAAAAACCATTTGAACCACATAAAATCTCGCCTTTATCTAACTTTTGTTTTTTAATTATAAATTTATCCACTATTTCAACTAAAATTTAATTTTATTATGTAAAATATTTAGAGATGACTGTAATATGTTTCGTAGTGATATCTTATACCAGACTGATTGTACTGAAATTGTTTTAATGTTATTTTACGACTATTTATTATTTTGCCGGTGCATGTTAATAATAAACAATAAAGATAAGATAAAGTCACGTATTTCAAGTGTTTCACCGGACGTATACGAATTGGTTCCCAATTGTCGAATTGGTTTCCAAGTTGTCTACAGGTAACATATGAATTGATTTCCGCAAGCTTTCATGACAATACAACCTTGTTACATTAATTTTTAAAGTTAATATGATATATTCAACCAGCAACAATTTCCTTCCCATTTATACAGACTTAGAACTTTTTAGAATTATAGATACATGTTCTAATCAAAAGTGCAAACCTATTTCACCGTAAATAAGTGGTAGAGTGATAACTTTATAACAGTCTACATCGAAATAGTAGCACTCGAACCAGTATGAAAATAAAACAGATTGAACATCGCAGTATTACTATGTACAAATTATATGTATTACATAATTAATATATTAAATTATATTGTATATAATTAATTATACACAATAGGTTCTATACTATAGAGTATAGTACTATCATCTGTTTTATTACTCCTGATTACATGAATTCGTTTTTTTAAAAAAAAAAAATTTGAATGATTTCACGACACTAGTTAGGAACCTCTGATATAGGAACTCACCTAAGGCTATAACTGGAGAAAAGTAGTGTACAGTGGCAGTGGCTTAGATACGATTTTTTCTAGGGGTTATATTTAGTGTGATCTATCTTCCGAGGAACATTTATTTTCTTAATAGTTTTTTATATTTTTTGTGTTTTTATAATAGGTTCCAACTATATTCTTATTTTTTGCCAATAAATTATTTTTTGAATTGCTGACTATATTTTTGGTTCCATACTTGGTAGAAGATTATTTTTCTGAATATTTACATGCAAATCTTAACTTTAAATGATTTCATAACCTATTGGACCAAAATTCAATATTATTACGTCAACATCTCCCAAAAAATATTGCAGTATATAAATTATTTATTATATTACTATTAGTACAATATTGCCGAATACGAATTACGAAGACAAGAATAAAGATGACACAAAGCAAAATAATACAAAAAAATGACCTATTACTGCATGCGTATGCAGTATGTACTGAGCACAGTTATCCTTGGTACTGACTACTGAGTGAGTTTCCTGTTTCATGTGTTTTGACAAATGCCATTATTAACTTAGATAGATTGCTTTAAATCAGTGTTTCCCAACCAGTGGTCCGCGGACTATCGGATGTCCGTGAGCTTGTCATAGGTGGTTCACGATCCCATAAATTTTATCTTGTTTTTTTTTTTAAATAAAAGAATTACGAAAAAATATAATATCCATATTTTTTTCCACTTTTAAATTGTTTATCAAAGTAATGAATAATATTATTATCGTTATTACTGCCGACGATCGATTAGTGTGTTTTAACTTTTATACGTGTGTAGGTACCAAAGTTTTATTACTTTGATAAAACTATTTATTAAACACCATTAAATAATGATTTATTAAATGTTATTATTGCGACCGATAATTTTTTACCGATCGCATAGTTTCTCAAATATTTAGTTATGAGATTAAACGAATTTTTACGTTTTTACGTATTTTTACTGAGTATACAACTCCAATTGGATAAGCTTTCCCAACGATTCATTTTCTTGTGAACTGATATACAAATATTTACAATACAATATTTTGTTATTGTTTATTTTGACATTATTTTTATTTTATACGATATGTTAGTCTATCATGTAGTATTTTGAATAATACATTATTTTATTTTGTAATAAACCATACCTAATATCAATATATATTATATCAAATATAAACATGTGAATTGTAGATTAAATTAATCATAGGGATGGATACTATGTTTCTACATTTTGTTTAACTATTTTATATTTATGTAAGCCCACATGTTAGTAATTTTATACATATTTTTAGGTTGGTATACTTGTTTGAAATTATTATGTTTAACAAATAAATTGTAGTTGTACGTGTATAAAACATTATTAGTGAAAAAGAAATTGTTTCCATTATTATCAAAATAATTATTATTTACAGTTTTGTTTCTCCTGAACAATTTTTAAAAGTGGACTTATCTGATTGTTACAGATAGCTCTTCAATTGAGGTGGTCCGCGACCTATTAAAAATTATCGAAATGGTCCGTGGTGGTAAAAAGATTGGGAAACACTGCTTTAAATACATTAAATAATACAATTAGCTAGGTCAGGGGTCGGCAATCTTTTTTGACGGAAGAGCCAAAAGTTACAATGTACAAAATTTTCCAGATTTTAAAGAGCCACTAAAAATTTTCTTAAGTATTTAAATATAATTTTATTTTTAAATTTTAATAGACATAATAATAATGAAATTAATTATAATAATATAATAAATTTATGATAAAAAAAAAAAAACAGTTTTTAATAATAGGGGAATACATCAATGGGAGCATTGGCTTTGCATGTCTTGGCGTGACGGCGTATGACCAATTAGTTGTAGATAGCGTCGCGATTATATTAGACTCTATAATAAACATTTTACAACTATAGACTGTACTCCATGCGAGCACTGTCAAATTATTTTTTGTGATGTATTATTTCATATTTCCAAAAGCAACAAAAATAATATACTTTTTTTTTTATATTATAAAATATTGTTTTTGAACTAAAATATTAATTTTTGTGTGTGCAGCTGGAGAGCCGCAACTTTAAACCGAAAAAGCCGTATGTGGCTCGCGAGCCGCAGGTTGCCGACCCCTGAGCTAGTTTCAATAGCCCAGTGATCACATATTCTAATATTCATTATTAGTTAATTTTCAATGTAGTTTTTTATTAATTGTGAAAAAACTTATGAAAATCGGTAAAGTTTATGGCATTCACAGTTTCATTATATTTGAGTTTGTTTTTGTTATTGTCATTCGGCTAAAAATTTTTTTTTTTTTTTGACAATAAATATAATTATTATTATTATTATTTCAAATATTTTACATAATCTTATTCTTATTTTACAAAAATATTAAAATATTGTTTAGTGTTTACATGACAATCACGACCGATATAGAATAAGATATGTATATTTTTTGAGTCCACAGAAGTTGCCAATTTTAACATTTTTAAAAAAATTTCTTGGTCCCAATCCAAAATCTGTTTTTTTTTTTTTTTTTAAATATGGCGTTATCATTTATTTCTAAAGTTAAACAAATTAAGTTAAATAGAAGTATTAATTAAAAATTATTTAATTTTCAGTACAGATTTAAATCCTATTTTACATATTTAATAAGATAATTAGTTGAAAATTGTTCCCTTATGTGTATAAATACACGTGAAACTCGGTTACGGAAGGCTCTAACGACATTTTAATGCTGGGTCAAGTGGACGTCGGCTTCGTGGAACATCACAATCGGTAATATGGTAACTGTCATGGACTTCAAGGATGGCGATTGGATCGGATTGTTGCTGTCATGTCCAGTGTCGACAAGCTGCGTTTCCCATGGTGGATGATGTTCACGCCGGGGGCCGGATATAATAATCACAGACGAACTTTTACCACCAGACATTTTTATCGCAACACCCCCGTCGCCACCGCGTCTGTCTTGGAGACATGACCGCTCATTATCTCGCCGTCGCCGGTCTCAGTTTTTCCCCCGAACCCGATGTGGGTGCACTTATTCGTCCACAGTACTCGGCCGAGGTCATTACCGGTGTGTAGTTTATGCGGTTCGTTTTTTTTAACGGCCGTGACGTGTGTGTCCGGGTGGTGTACGTACGTCTCCGTCTTCGGCTTTTCATGCGTGTACAATGCACACTGCATGCCCGGCGGCCTCCAGTTTGCTATCAACGTTCAACCTGGTGTCCAGCTCATGAAGTCACGTTACGTTATAATATTTTGTTGATATTGTATTTTTTGTTATCCGCGTTATCATGAGCGGTCTGTTTATCATGCGCGTATCATTATTATTATGATTATTTATTTCGAATTTCCTCTCTTTTTAAGTGGATCCACAAAAACGCTCAAATATTTGACATTAGGTTTATCATAAGTTATTTTTATGACGCATTTTTATATCGAAAATTCTTAGTCTAGATTTGTTTAATACGCGTTTAAATTTCAATTTTTTTTTTTTTATTAAATTCGTTAAAATCACGACATTTCATGTACTATTTTCCATTTTATGTAAATACAATTTTTTCGGCTTCATAAAAATGATCAACAATTTTTAGAGAACTCAATACAGACAATTCTTATTTCTTTAGTTTTTACACATGAATACAATTTTTAATAAAATATTATATTTAGCTGAACCACCTACAACGGTTGCACATACACATGGCACGTAGTAGGTCGGATTCGTTTAATATACGTTTTCAATTCAATTTTATTAAAAATCGTCTCCTTTCTTTGAAAATTCTGGGTACGATATTTGCAGGTATTACTTTAGGTAGATGTATAATATTTTGTCATAAAATTAAATTCGTAAAAATCCATAATAACAATATTCGAAACGACACGTAAAACGCGTTGTTTTTAGAGGTCAAGACGTGCATAATTGCATTTATTTTATGATTGTTCAAGCGTATATTTTATTCGAACATCATTATAATACTATAAATTGCGTTTTATCATATAGTATGCTCAGGTGTAGGTACCATCGGAGATCAAAGTCTAGCCGGCGTCTTATCAGCGGTTACTATACGAGCCGATTAGTCCGAAAACTATACATACACATATTCGTCAAGGCAAGTGATCGACGACCCGTTTCATTTTTCTATTACGTTTTCGATACCTATATGCAGTCGTCTTCTCCTTGAAAAAATATCGTATACAACACAATAATATTGGCCGGCGAAAACGCGATAGCCCGAACTCAGGAAGTTATTAAATTCGTCAAAAATCGATCTCCAATATCATAAGACGACCCTACGATTCCGGACCAAACACCACAGTTTTCCGCACACCAGGCCGACATCGTTCGTCATGACTGTAATAGCCAAAATCTTAGAAGTCGCCAACAAGGCCGTTCACCTATCCGGCGCGGTGCTTTTCACATACTCGCTATACTACTATTACATGTACGTTAATATCCCAGCCCGGCTCAATCCGCTGGACGAGGCCTTCGGTGCAAAATTCAAATACTTGACTTTCTGCAACCTGGTGAGTAGGAATTTATATACATATATATTATAATATATAAGTACAGGAGTGGAGTGGCCGGTCTGGAAATGAAAAAATTCCAGACGATCTTAACCATTTTATGGTCTCTGGTTAACAATTTTCGAATAATAAAGATTTGCCGATTATTGTTTATTATCTCCATCAATTTAAAAGTTGACTATCAACCGATTATTTAACAAACTGAACTTTTCAAAAAATTAAACATATTATATTGTTACACAGTTTTTTTTTTAAAATGTAATTTTTATTTCTCATAAGTGCACCTATATGTTTTAAAAGATTAACAAAATAATGTTTGAAATAATTTGTTTAATGACACTAAAATTAAAAAATCACAAATTAAATTTAAACAATTAATTAACTAAAACAATGATTGTGTTTGGATAGAATGGAATAAAATATTATCGATCATATGTTTTATTTAGTTTTTTAGCCTTAAATAGGCTCTAAAAAAAAATATATAAACGTTTGAATTGAACGATAACTATAAAAATTCTTTTGGTATTTTATTCTGGAGAAGGAATGGAATGTTAGGTTGCTTAAATAAATTAAAATCTCCCTATCCTACTTTGGTTCTCACTCCACTCCTGCATATATATGCCTATTGCCAAAATATGTCTATTTGAATACATTTTCAAAAAAACACTATACGAGACTTTAATATTATATAATTCAACTTAAAAATAAACCCCTATGCATATCACATAATATTATATAATTTTCGGTTTCCACTATTATGGATTCACAGCTATCGCAGGGGACGAGACTATAGAGGATAATAACTAATAAACTACAGAGGTCACCATCACGTCCTACAATGATTTGATTTTGTAACAACAAATACTAAAATAATTATGTAGCCTCGAAATAAAACTTTTTAAATGTTGATTTTTCTTTTTTTTTTTTTTGTATATTTAGAAACATCAAATATATATTACAAGTTTAATACCAAGCAAAGTAGTAATAAATAATAGTACGCGATTTGTCATTTAGAAAATCACCTACACAGTCACTAAATTTCGACGCTTGTTACTTGAACCATAAGATTATATAATATGGTATTATTATATTCCTATACAATATACTGTAGACATTTTTAAATTCGATTTATGTAATTACTTAGGTATTATATATATATATATATATATTGTTTTTATAATATAAGTTAATAAAGGTATATTTTAATCAATTTGATCACTTAAATATACGTTTAATTAAAAAATTAATGTATTCCTACGAGTAAAATATTGTTTACAGGTTATCCAGACAATATTCTATCTGTATGCCGTGTTTGTCGATATAATTGGCGTGTGCGCGTACTCGAACGTCAAGGTTAAGTCACTAAACAGAAAGAAACACGATTTGTTCACCATTTTCGTATTCCCCCTGTCGATGGTAATGTATTATTTCAATATTGTATTGATTATGGGAGTTATATACCAAGGAATTCTCGGTCCTGCGATATTTTATAAATTAAAATTTATTTTTTTCGAAGATAATATCGTGTTCATGACCCTTAGTTAATAGAAAAACCGTATACAAAATTGTAAACGAAAACCATATAAATAATAACCGTGAGCAATGATCAACTTCAGAGCTCTGTCAAGAATCAACTTTTCCATAATTAATATTTCATCTATGTTTAGTTATACTATACTACACCACTTCTAAAAAACACGACCCTTTTACAAAAAAACATACTGAAATACATATAGAAATTCAACTCAACTATTCTCACTTTAATCCACCAACAAAAAAAATTTAATTGCAAAGTTTTCGGCTCATTTGGTCCAGAAGGAACCATTAGTATACTAATTAGTAATGTAAACTAACGTCAGGTGGCCGAAATGGCTCAAGCGCAAGATTCGTAACAACGTAACTATGTAAGTAGCGAGGAAAAGACATATCTCTATTTTTTGGGAAAATTCAACACCGAGATATAAATATTAAAATATAGTTCATTGTAGTAGAACTATAGTACTGGAATAACCTAACCATTTAGCTTTTATGACATCTTTCGACGATTGGTGCATATAAAAGCGTAAAGCCCCAGACTTAAGAGCTTATTTACCCGTCACAAATTTAAGATATCGAAAGTTTTTATTTTTAAATCATATTTTATAATATATATATATATATATATATATATATATATATATAATGAAATTGTTTACATAAATTGGCAAACGTATAACCATTGTATATACAGTAGACCTTCGATAAGTCGAAATAAATGCTATTCCTAATGCTAATAACCTCTATTACTCAGAAGAAAAACTATAGATAACTCGAACATTCTGTGTTCCGAATATAGTCCGATAATGAGGGATACATTTTATAACCATTGAATGATTAGACAAATTTTGTCTAATCGGCTTGTGCGTCCCAAAATTTAACCTAATAATTTTACAATGATCTGTGGATAACTTTTCGACAAGAAATCATGCTCCGATTTATAAATGTAGCCCTTTTTCTGAAAATAAATCTGACTTGGGTGGTACTTTAAGGAGGTAAACTTTTGATTTTCTTACTAGTGGGAAGAATGGGAAAAAACATGGGACTTGAGAAAAACGGGAAAATAGGTACAAAATTAAACAAATATTGTTAAATAAAATATATAATGCATATTTTACTATTTTACCATATTATGGCATATATATATTAATGACAAAGCAACACTATATTAAATAAACTTCGCTCAGAATCGTGTTTTCGTTAGCAATGGTTAACCGTTGCTTTCAGATATACATTAAATTACTTAAAATAGTGGCTACACCTGTCTTTATTATTCTAGAACAGCTTATTTTTATTATAAAGGAAATTTTCTACAATTTTGATATATTTTTATTGCAATACTAATACAATAATTATTATTTATTGCCAACTATAATAAATAATGATTAATGATAGGTGCTGTATAATATTATTTCCAATTTTTTTTCTAATACCTATAATATCTTCTAGAATAATAATATTGTTAATCATCGGACACAATCGAAACTCGATAATACTAAAAAAATAATAATAACAACAATGCACACTGTAATTATATGTACAAATTTACTATATAACAATTAAAACTATAATATATACATATATTTTAAAAACTCTGTAAGTCTAAAAAATAGCATTTCCCTTTAATTTCGACTTATCGAGTTTCAACCTTATATATTATTAATTGTGTATATAAATTGTTTGATAAATCCTGTTCTGCGTGATTTTCAATTTTTTCACTATACTCATATAATTGTGCTGATTTTTGTTAGTGCCTTTTTAGCTGTATATTACAAAAGTATAGCCTGCTCTATAAACAGGAAATAAAGAATACTGTTATAAGTTAGTACCTATAGCTACTTATTACCAGGACTCGGGAATTTAGCACTTAAATTTTACAAACAAGAGCTTAAAAACAGAAAACCTCTAAAAAAAAGACTTTAATAGTAGAGGGGTTTAATATTTTAAAATAAAATTGTACGCGATACAGAAATATCACATTGTATAATCATTTTTATAGTGTTAAAAATTGTTATTTTATACGTTAGAGCCGTTAAAGTGTAGACTTTAAAAACCCCTCTACCATTTTTGTTTTTACAGAGCTTTTTTAAAAATGTTCAAAGTCCCGAGACCTACGTATAAGTTATAATAATTTACGTTCAGTAAGTAATAAAATATAATACCAATATAAACGAAATAATTGTTTCGTGTTTAATAATTTTTACCTATACATGTACAGTATACATGCGGAAAGTTGTTATTATTGTATAGTTTACCTATTTGTATACTCGTGTACACTAAATATGTGATTATCTGTTTTTGTGTTATTTATTTTAATAACAATAGTAATCGCAGGTGTACTCAATTAAAACTGATAGGTATTCTTTTTTTATTAATATATTATTATACCGTTGACTGTAATGGGAAAGTCATTGACATTAAATACACGCGGTTTATATTTGTTTACTATAAGTGATAAGAAATTATAACTACTTCTTAAATAAAATGAGCGTATCTGTACATTTTTTCGGTGGATTGACAGTTTTTTTTTTCATAAATACCATTCTAAGAGCCTAGAAGCCAATTAACTTTTATTTAAAACCACAATTTCCAAGAAAATTCGAAAGAGATCGGGTGCAGCAACTCAGTTACCCTCATAAATACTAGAGTACGTGTAATATTGTTACACAGCCATAGGCGCTACTAGACCAGGGGTCAGCAACCTTTTTTGATGGAAGAGCCAAAAGTTACAATGTACAAAATTTTCCAGATTTTAAAGAGCCACTAAAAATTTTCTTAAGTATTTAAATATAATTTTATTTTTAAATTTTAATAGACATAATAATAATAAAATTAATTATAATAATATAATAAATTTATGATAAAAAAAAAAAAAACAGTTTTTAATAATAGGAGAATACATCAATGGGAGCATTGGCTTTGCATGTCTTGGCGTGACGGCGTATTACCAATTAGTTGTAGATAGCGTCGCGATTATATTAGACTCTATAATAAACATTTTACAACTATAGACTGTACTCCATGCGAGCACTGTCAAATTATTTTTTGTGATGTATTATTTCATATTTCCAAAAGCAACAAAAATAATATACTTTTTTTTTTATATTATAAAATATTGTTTTTGAACTAAAATATTAATTTTTGTGTGTGCAGCTGGAGAGCCGCAACTTTAGACCGAAATAGCCGCATGTGGCTCGCGAGCCGCAGGTTGCCGACCCCTGTACTAGACCATCAATTTTGGAGTGCTAAAGTTATAGACATTTTACAGACCCACTGGGGCAGTGTCCCCACAGTCCCCTTTACATGACACTTAAAATAATCAACTACACATTTATTTTTCAATATTTTAGATAAAATGTATCATAATCTTTTTAACAATAATTTTTATATTATATACATGCATTGTCTGTAGGTAATCTGTATTTTACTTATTAATTATAAAATACGTGGATAAAATATTTGGTCAATACTAAAAAAAAAAACATATTGGTTTTTTTTGGGGGTGATAAAGACCCCTAAAATCCCTCTAGTTGCGGCTATGTATACGGCCAGACGGTTTATAATCTAATTAATGACACTATATACTAATATTGCTTACAGTTTATCGCCGTGAGCTTTTGGCCATTATGGTTTACTGACAAATCTTTAGTCATGCCCATGTATTACGATCTTTACTTTCCGTCTTGGTTGAACCATGTAACACATGCACATATTTTCATATTCGCTGTACTGGAAATGATTACGACACACAGAGAATATCCGTCCAGAATAAAAGGATTGTCAATATTTATTGGTTTTAAAATCGGCTATTTAATTTGGTAAGTAAATATTTAATGTATTTAATGATACAATATTATTTATTTAATGCTCGTTTAAATAGTATCTATTGTAATATATAATATATAATACCTACAGGGATGTACTGAGGAATTTTTCATGGAGGTCCACCGTTTTTATTTCATTTGTTCTCTAATAATTATAATTATATTGAAACTCATAAGTATAACTAACATATTGCTTTTAATAACACTATAAAAAAAAAAAACAATAATACACACACAGCGGTGCACACATATACACACATTTCCAGAAGGGTTTACTACATATATGTGAGTAGAGGGGTTCAGACACAAAATCCTCCCCTAAGGTACGCCTTTGGCATAATATATTATTAATTATCTCAATTCAGAATAATAAATCACCGGACGGCGAACGGAACACATTCAAGTTCGATGTGTCACGATTAGCGATCAGCGGTAGTTCCGTCGGCCCGGCAACGTTCGAATGCTTAATCGGGCTTCGTAATTTTCGAAGAAAAAATTATCCAGACCGTTAAAAATCCGCATTCTAGTAATTTATATTAAGTTATACGCCGGGCTTTTGTAGTAGTTTACTGTCCACTGCAGTCCATTTCAATAACAGAACCACAACTTAATGTATAAAATTTAATTTGAGCAAAACTTTCAATGTTAATAATAAATACCGAATATTACAAAATACAAATTGACGTTGAATTAAAATATTATTTCTTAAATTAACTCGTTTATACCAAACGTTACTTTGTTTTCATCTCTATTATTTCTTTTTAACATATTTACTAACTATTGGTTATAGATTTTGAAGCGATTTAGTGTTATTTTTTAGTAGATATAAAATCACTTATTTAAATTAATTCGCCAGTTAAATAAAAGTTTCCTTTAATATTATCAAGGTAAACTTCATGTAAATAATTTAAATATTTTACAATTTATTGATATATCCAGGTGTGTATAATTCTTAAGTCTGTCTATCTAATACGCAATAGATATTGGAAATATTATTTCCAAAGTTTACAAAAAATGATTAAAACAAGAAAATATAATAATTTATAAATTATAAATCATAGAATATATTTCATTAGTGTTATTAATTTTCAATTTTATTTTAAATAGTTTGAAACGGTATTATCAAATATTGGTAGGTAAATTAATTTTAACTTATTATTTAACATAACGGATTATTTTTTATTTGTTAAAATTATCTAACTTTAATTCAAATAGTACTTGTTTTGGTAATTTGTATACTTTCATAAAATTAATGAACTCAGTACCATTTACATCAAAAGTGTTTTGAAGTTTTCATTTAATAGAACAATATTTGTTTTGTTTATACAGTTGTTTTCTATTTGATATAATTATTAATACCCAAATATATTTGAATTAACATAGGCGTGTTACTGAATTTGTATATAATTTTTCAATATGGAATCAAAATAGTGAACTGTTAAGATAGTTGAACTTCAAACTTTACAAATGAAATGAAAACTAAATAAGTATTTAACTTAGTTGGTACATAATACGAGTATAAGAACTATTAACCTATTATGTCCTTGAGTACCCATATGGTAAAGAAAAACTTTTTTTACAAAATAATTGACCATAATTTCAAATGTTGAACATTTTCTTTCCTGGCGTTATCATAATGGTAACATCAAATACCTTGTTATTGGCTTAAAAAATCAAAAAAATATTCTTACATTTTTTGTTTAAAAACGAATTTTAACCTTAATTATAAAAAAATAATAAACTTCGGATTTAATGGGTTAAATTTACCGTTAGTAAAATCGAGCGTCCTCTGAATCGTAATTATATTTATGTCGCACAGCTGTATTATGCAACATTATATAGGAATTAAAAAATTTAATATTATAGTGACCAAACTGGATTTCTCGATACTTGATTTTATTGAGTAATCCTAAATCTAAAATGTGTATAACTTTAACATATTACTATAACACTGTGTAGATACTTAAATGTACCTAAATACTACTATATATTTTAGAATTATTTATTTCAATTGATTAAATGTTAAAAATAATTTGGTCCGGGCTACGGCCTTGTATAATTGTGTTCAAATGAATTAATTTATGTATGCTAGGTATATAGATTTCTGAGTTATCATTTTAGGTATTATTATTATTATACAACTAATAAATAGTATTTATTAAATATCTACTATATTTATATAAAAAAATTCAAAAAATAACATATTAGACGTTTTCTAGATCATTTTGAAAGTAGTGAGCTAAAAAATAAATTATAATATATGACGTATAGATAGGTAGGAAATATAGAGAGGGGAACAAAGTGAAAGCTAACATTCGAGCAAATGAACAAAAATTATACGGGAAATAGACAATTTATAAAATGTTTGTGATATAAACTGATAACAATGACTGACAATAATACTTTATATAAAAATAATATGATGAGTAAAATATTATAAACTCAAATCAACAAATTGGTAAACTCTTACGATTGAATTACTTTTTTATATTTAATATGTAAAATTAATATTTTGTTTTAAAATCTTTGTATACGACATGATACACTCAAAATTTTAATTCAATTATTATATACAACGTGTGTTTGCAGGATTAACTTTATATTTTACAAGACTGGAATGTGGGTTTACCCTATACTCGGGAAATTGAATTTGACATTAAGAATCATATTCTTCGCTGGAAACTTTTTGTATGCTCCATTCATGTACCTAATCGGAGAATATTTAAATAATACATACTGGTCCATCCACATTTCGAAAGTAAGCATAATAATTATTCGACTTATACATAATAGATAAACAAAGTGACGATCAAATGATTTTGTCACGGGAGGGGAGATGGTTTTGTATTTTTAACTAGAGGGATACTTCCTCACAACCTCCATAAACACTATAAACTTTATCTCATTCGTAACGATAAAAAAATATTACTATAACATTTTTATCAATATCATTATATTGATGTACGTTGTTTATAATTTTGTTCCAGAAATCGAAAACAGCTTGAGGAATTTTATCGTATACAAATTACGAATACCGATAAGCATTCCAATTATTAGTGTAATTTTGTTTTTTTATAGAATAATTCCAAATTATGCAATCACCTTATTTTCCTACTATTTACAAATTGTATATTATATTTTATTAAAAGTGGTTGGCGTTGAAACAAGTTTGTAAAAATTACAATGCGTTTGGATGACTTATTAACAATATTTATATTTGAAAGGAATATTTGAATAACTGTAAGTATAAAAATAATGTGTTTAGACGATGATAGGGCTGTGAACTTACTGAAAAGTGCATTTATTTTTAGCTAACTGTAAAACGTAACTTCTCAACACAAAATTTGAATCATTTAACAAGGAATTCAATGAATTTTGAAATGTTTATTTTGCATTTTTTGACGTTTTAAATTTGTAGTTGATTTTAAAAATAATATTCGGAAATAAATTGTTAAAAAAAATTTCAATGTAGAACAATAAAAAACAAATTGATTAAGTACACCCGATATAGAACAATTCGCCCAAGCGGACAAGTCTTATTTAATACGCCTCAAACTATTTGTCTAAATATTTACACCGGCTTTCAACCTAGTGCTACCTGATTTATCGCTTCTTAAAACTCGTATAGAGGTACCGTGAGGCTATTCTGATCCACTCCCATAGTAATTTATTATTTATTAGTCTGGTTAATTAATATTTAATATAACTATATGTATAAGTACATTGATACGACACTGTATCCAGTAATATTTTTGGGGGGGAGGCTGATCAGTTACATATCACATATATATTAAATTTAAGATTTTCTGAAATTTTGAGGGGTGGCTGCAAGCCTCTCAGCCCCTCTGGATATTAGCGCCTGATGTTTAAATTCCGTTCCATAATAATTCCTTATTAAATACTTAGTCATGTGGAAGGCTATAATTTGTTGGAAAGTATTTTATCGGAAAAATAATTCATCAAAATGTATTTTTTCGAAACTGTTCAATATAATTTCATCATAAGCACTCCGTGACTGCATGTTATCGTCGTTGGGTAAAAATTATTTTCCGACAAAATACGTCTCTGACTAATTATTTTTCCGAAAAAATACGGTTCCGATAAAATACGATTCCTACAAAATATTTTCCTATATTTTACGCACCCCCAGTTATGTATCTTTAAATAATTCAGTTTTTATTTGTATTTTACCCTGTGCTCGTGCACCGCATACACAATGCTCATGCTTAAATCAGGGCCTGCTAGATACCGCATGAATAAGACATTTCTATTCAAATAATAAAATACGTTTGTGAAACGCAAACTGTTCAATAACTGTAATTTTTCAGAACCGATAGATTATCAAACCAACGGTTTACAGAACTTGTTTCATGTAACCCGGTATGAGTTAACATGTACCTAAGGTATTTTAATCAAAATGTATAGATGTGGCGTTCTGATATATCATGTTTAACGAACGTTAACAAAGATTAATAATGCTCTAACACGACTGTTGACTGTATTTAAAACGTACCTACCTACATCGTATTATAATACGTGCTAATATTGTTATTTTTAATATTTAAAACTGTTATACCGTAGGTACGTGACAAACATCAATCGGCTCTGAAAGTCACCACACTCGGTAGTGTGTAAATAAAATACAGACACTCGTCGCAGCTTTTTAAAAAATTCAAGTGTCGACCGTATGGCGTACACAGTTACTCGCGTCGTTATATTATTACAGATGCGTTCAATCGAATGGCGAACACCTTGCCGGTCGACTGGTGCTTAAAATAAATTACACGGGTACCCAGAGTACGACAGTGCGTGTGCGTACTGTAAAAACGACAGTGTTGTGCAAATCGTAGTCGGCCGACAGTTTAATTTAATATAATACTAATTAAACATATGATACTATTACGGTATCCTACGATTTGTTTTTTACCGTGGAGACCAAAACACTATAGTACCCATCTCTGGCGTGGTGATTCCCTTTCCGTTAACAGTGTTTATTTATTACGGACGATACACTATATAATACAATTATGAAAGATAAATCATTTTACAACGTGGCCACACATAACTACGTAAATTGCATTAAAATGTTCGCATAATAAAAATTTACGATGTGAGTGATTATTGATTGATTGATGCCACGAACTATGACAGTGGTTTATTATTATTTACAGTCATTAATTATTCGATATAATTTTTAACGATTTCCGTTTTCAAATTCCAACTAATAGCACAAAGTCTGCAAAACGGAGCACGTCCGGGTGTATAACTAATAACGAAAACGATTTTGCATTTCTTCACAACAGCCCCCTTTGGAAATTCCCGGGTACACGTCTAGTCTCCGTGAATTATACAATATACCTACGAATACGAACCTAGTAACCTACAATATTTTTATTTTATAATTCACAATACCGTTACATTGCAATGTACAAAATTTGTACTACGTTACAAGTATATTAATATTGTATTTTACACACGGTTTTGTTATTATTTATTAAATGTGTTTCATTTAATATTATATATAACCTATAATGATGGGTTCTGGCCGAAACTAGTAATTAACAAGCATATTATTATACGCGTTTGGCTATAAATTTGCACAAATTGAATTATACTATTAATCTAACGTATCTTTGGTCCTGGGAAAAAAGGGCATATTAAGTAAATTTTGTATACAGTTTTCAATACAAGCTAATTGAATTTTGAATGAAAATGGATAAGTGCAGGTTCACTTAATTTTCAGTACTAAGTACTTTTTTAGTGCTGCATAGAGTCCGAGCCCAGTTTAAAATAGGGCTGCAACATGTTTGGGCGTTTTATCTTGAACCGCGACACGTTTGAGCACAAAATTATAATACGTTTGTCGTTTGGGCACTATAGTATGTACTATATATATATATATATATATATATATTTATAGATATTAGTATTAATTTGGATATATCTTCTTTTCGTTCGATAGAACGAAAGGTATATGTTCGTATAAGTTTCTATACACGTAAAGTATGCACCTTTTACTAATTTTAATAACAAACGTATAATATATTATAATGGCTGTGAAACGGGACTTGCTATGGTAATAAATATTATATTAGACTGCGATAAAGTGCGGTATCACAGACGGACGGCTGATAGAAGCATAAAAAATATCGAAAATCCATCAGAAATTTCCAATTACCTATTTATTTTTACGTTTCTCTTACACCGGTTTGCACCAGTCGCTTGTGCAAAGTGTGAGTCACACGAAACTTTTATAAATTATAAAAATATTTCATCTATGAACTCCATAAATAGTTTATGATGGTTATAATGATTTATTTGTATTATTATAATATTATTTATTGTTGCACATATTTGTTTTATCACTTAATACTTATTATATAATATATATATATATATAAATATACGGCTTACATGCTTATTAAATAAAGGTGTAGATTCCGAGCGTAGCGAGGGAGCTTTTGGTTTTACTAAGATGTCTATTTTTTTTTTCTTATTTTTCTTTATTCTAGTCTGTGGACACGTTCTTTCCTAGTAAAATTGTTCCGATTTTTACGTGTAGCACCTTTTATGAAAGCTCAAGTTGTCTAGATTGTACTTTTTTTGTAGATCATTATTTTGATTATCGACGCCATTTTTTAAATAAAAGCACTTAAGTGGGAAAAACCGTAGAAAAACGTACAGTTTCACGATTTCATTATTTTGTAAAAACACTGACGACGTTTTCTACAGAAAAAATGATTTTATCGAAAAATTACAAGAGACCTTTTTTGTTGCCTTTTTAATTTACTTTCTTTATTACTATCATCACCAAAATTGTTGAGCCACTTTTGTGCTTTTAAGGATTTTTAATTTTTAGGAGTTTTTTTACTGTAATTCGGTTATACATACATGTAAAGACGTGAAATTTGGTGATAATTCTTATATTGGACTTACCTATATGTAGTAAAATTTCACAAATCATCGGACAACTTTTTTTCTTTAATAAACGTTTTGAAATTAAATTTAAATGAAAATCGCAAAAAAAATACACTTTAAGTTATGTGTTATGCGCTCGGAATTGTCTTTCGTCAAGCAATGGTTTATAGTTGCTTACAGATATAAATGAAACAACCTTATGTATCCTACCTTCTCAACTTCTCACCTACAACAGTGGTCGCTCCCATTCCCAGTATCAGCTCTTTTTTTAATTTTATTGTTCAAACGAAGAAACTTACCAGTTTCTACTAAAATTTCGCCAATTTAAAAAAGGTTTGATTACCGTTTCAACCATTATACTTTCTATGGTAAAATTATTACAGTTTACCCGCGACAGCTGTAAAATGAATCAAACCTATTTTCCATATCATGAACTCAAAACATGTCGAACTACGAACAACTTTTATAGTAGGCACAGAGACTAAAATATACACTTTTTCGTACTACACACTTTATATCAAATTTTATTGGATCATTTTACTTACCAAAGTTTATTTGGTCTTCTCTAAAATTATTACATGCTACTCGTAATTTGTTTTTTAAAACTTGGACAATATTAGGAAAATCTACACATACAAATATACAATATTTTTTTAAATGGTCCTATAAAAAGAGTTAAAGTGTTTATTTGTGTCTTATCTGTCTATAAACAGGTGTTACAAAATATCGGAGATATTATTTCGATTTTCGAGTACAAGTTGAACAAGTTAAAAATTCGTCAATAACAGATTGTTCGTAAATATTACATTTCAACATACTATATTTTTGTCAATTTTGTAATTAGAAAAAAAACTTTTTTTACAAAAATTATTTAAAAAAAAAAATACTCTATCCAAATCTGTAAAAAAAAAAATGGAGTTGTCATTCAAAAAAAATAAGTTGTGTTGCACGTACCAAAAAGGTTAAAAATTTGAAATTTGTCCGAAAATGTGTATTTGGATACTCCCTATCATTCCTCGAAAATTCCATTTCAACATTAGGTCATCCGACAGAAAAATTTAGTGGTACCTCTTAGCGTGAACACACTGTATAAGGTACAGGATTTTATTGTATTTCTCTTATTGGTATATAATAATACAATAAACTATAAACGAAATGAAACTTTACTTTGAAGACTATAAAAATGGTAAAATAAATCGTTATGCGTTTGTATAGCGAGAATAAATATCGTATAATTCTGTTATATTAGCACTGGTCGAAAAGAGAACGGTACATTTTGGCCGAAAAGGAAAAGGTACATTTCGGCGGGGAACAGTGACGCCCGATATATGACCCTGACCGTTGGATAGGCACATCGGTCGTACTAACCGTAGGTTGTGTGATGTAAGTACGTCGTAGTGCCGTACACTTATAATACGTAAACTAAACGCGATTCAAAACGAGAATAAAAATGATGAAAAAAGAGCTAATACTGGGGACGGGTGTGCCACTGTAGTTGTACGTGGGAAGTTGGGAAGGTAGGATACAGAAGGGGATTTAATTTTTATCTGAAAGCAACGATAAACCATTGCTAACGAAAAGCGATTCGGAGAGAAGTTCGGGTACCTATACAATGTCTTCAAAGGCCGAAATATTTAAGATTTCCGTCAAAATGTGTTGTCAAAATTATTATAAGAATAAAATACTGTATTACGCTCAATTCGTTTTTTCTTTTTTTCTTTTTCTGACCACAAAGTACGGCTCTTAATGAACTTCCTGTTGTATTGCCAGGCATTTCTGTTTAGACAAACAATTTTGTCCACCTACTAAAAACAAATTACGCGAGAAAATTGGCAATATAAAAAATGTCTATAAATAGCACGGAAATGTGGCTCGGTTGTTTTTGAAAATTGTACCACGTCTAGAAAAAGCGAATAAAAGTTATCCGTCGACATTTCAAGTCCCTGCGAATATTTTTAACGGGATCGCAACGTGAAAAATAAAAAAAACCTAACGCCGTCACTAATATTATGCCGGACTATCGCCGCAGCCAGCCGCCGCCGTCCGCCACGGACGCTTCGGGACCGCGACCAGTACGATAATTATAATATCGTGCAATGAGGTTACACAGTTGCAGCGCGCATATTTTATTTGAACGTCGACACTCCGCGACAGTTGCAGACAGTCCGTGGCACGTAGCGTACGGCCGCCGTTAACCGCTACGCGAAATCGATGCCACTACGTCTGATCGCCCGTGACGGTGCGCCCGCGTGATTATAATTTTATCAATGCGTACAGTTCTACGACTACCACTAGTACTACTACTACTACAACTACTACTACTACTACTACTACTACTGCAGTGACGAAGTAAATAATAACAATAATAATATTATTGGTTTTGTTTTTGTTGTTGTTAATCCCGTACGTTATCGGCCGCCCGTATTATCGATCCGTTTTGAATTATTCGTTTTACCGGTCTGGCCGACACGATGGCAATATTATAATCCCCTGCATTGTGCCGCGTACCAAACTACTCGTGTATAAAACTATAACATTATGATAATAATAATATCGGTACGAATTCAGTAGTATACGGTCGGTCCGTCCGTAGTGTCCGCGTCCCAGTGTACGGACCGCTCTCGGTCCATGCGTACAAGATCGAAGAAGAACTTTCGTAATATTATTATTATTGCAACATGACTCCGTTCCTTTGACACGTTCACCAAGTAAGTTTTCGTTTTCCGATTCTGGATTTTTGATCCCGCACACCGACGTGTGTTCTTCTCGGACAGTGTAGAATCCAGACAATTTTTCTGGGGATTTGGGGTATTACTACCCTCTTACTGTTACCAGTAAAATGTGTTTGATTGTTTAATTAATCGTTAATTTACCCACGTTTAACGGGGGGGGGGAGGCAAACAAAATTCCATAAGCACTATAAGTATTAAGTACTTGGATTCAACACTCTTCTCGGATCACTGCCGAAAATCAAAAATGTAGAGCGACACATAATCCGACCAAGGTTGCCGTTATTACGGACATGGTTCACAATAATAGTATTTCATTATTATTGTTCTCTAATCGCAGGATGTCAAACAGTAACAATGCGTCGCCTAGCCGTATACCAAAGCCGAATTGGTTGCGACATTCGAATAGAACGCCGAAAATCCAAAGACACCAAAGTCTAGTCAGTAAACACTTTTACGTTTTTACCTATTATATTAACCTATTTTTACAGCACTATATAGTAGTTATGTTCCTAATATAAATGTCTCATGAATTCTTGTAAATATCAATTGGATTATCGAGGATTTTATTTTATAACAATAAAATTTGGTATGCTTTGATAAATAGGTACTTTTGAAATATGTTTTTGTTACATAGGTACTTAACTAATCTATTATAAATGTTGAATTATAATATTAGAGGTCAGATAATACATTTGATATTTTCACTCCCACTTTAATTTACCAATAAACAGTACATACTTAATACACAGACTAAAACATATCAATCAAATAATTGAAATAAATTGTTCAAGTTTGCCAATTAGGTACAATTACTTTCCTATTCAGATTTAATTTATTTCTGGGTGTTTATAAAAATTAATAAGCGCTATAAGGTTTCCCGGTAATTCAAAATTAAATTGTTCAGTATTCCTAATAAGTTATAAACAGTGCTTAAATTGGGAGGAGCACAAGAGAACAGAGCCCCTCACTTTTTATTTTTTTTTGAGTATTCCCGTGCCAATTATTTCTACTAAGATGAGGGGATACATTTGTTTGAATAAATAATGATGTTTTCAAAAAAATTTTGTCTCAAATTATATATATATATTTTTAAATTTATCATCCAATAATAAATTATCATCTTTATTACTGTTACACAGTATTGGCTGCTTTGTACGATAAAATAAGTGATAACTGATTAGTACGATTAACAATAGCTGAATAATAACTTCTCGAAGTTCTATCATAGTATTTTGAATAATTTGAGGTATAAAATTGTATTTACCTACCTAATTATGTAACCCTATTAATTAATAATGACTATAATTCTAAAAATAATTGTATTCTATGGATTGTGTTAAATATAATGGATTTAGGTATTTTATTTTTTTAAATTAGTATAAGAGCGAAGTCCCCCATGGGAAAAATAGAATTCAATCATTGCAAGGGACACTGCTCTTTTGTAATGTCTCATAGTCCCTCTTCTTTTATTTTTCCAATTCAAACACTGATTATAAAAATAATTAAAATGTGTAAATAATTAAATTAAATTTATACAACATTATTAAGCAATACTATTTCCCGAGCTCTACTCAAAATTGGTTTTTGTTTACAATGATTAATCGTTGTGTAATACATTTAATTCCCCTTCATACCTACCTTCCAAAATTTCACTATCAAGAGTTCCTGATCCGTGGTGTGAGTATGTCCCTCTGTTTTTAGTTTTTTATATTTATAAACTCAGTAAATTAATTTTGAAAAATCTTTTTTTTAAACTTAATATGTTAATTTTCAAGCTTGCATATAATTTTACACTTTTGTATTATTACAAAAATAAAAATTATTTTACTTAAAATAACTACAATATGAACATGTTTGATGGTTTACTGTTTTTAAATAAAAATAATTAAGAAAACAATTTTATTTTCCCCAATACTGAATTATCTTGTGAACCATGTAAATATGAAGGTTTTGTAATAATTTTAGTAAAAAACAAGTTCTGGCCTCTCGGTCACCTAGACCACAAGATAAACAATAGATACTTATACTAATTTGTGTATGTTTTTTTTACTAAAACTTGTATTTTTGTTTTTCATCACATATTAGGCAGGTGTATTGTAAAAATAATTATTCATTTTCTTCAACCAAATCTTATTTTTTCACCATTTTTGTAGTTTGGTATTCATATCTATTTTATGATTACTTACATTGTTACAATTCTCTTCTTTAATTCTCAAAGCCATAAAAGTTATATTTTCTGTGCCTAATTACTTTACAAAATATTTACTTACTACAATTCTATATTATTCTATATATCCAATTAAATATTAGTTATTTTAACAATTCATTTATGTGACTGCTGTTTTTAGATTGCCTATTAATTACATATTAAAAATTATTACATCCAAAATGATAATATAATATATTAGAATATAGATTTATAAATGAAATAGAAGCTATTATTCAAGGTTATAAATTCTATAATCTTGTAAAGAGTAATTTTTTTTGATTTTAGCAAACTTTAAATACTTATGAAAAAGATGATGATTGTGCATCCGAAAAAAGTTTTGGCAGTACAACCAGTAGTCAATGTGATAATGGCCACTCTATGTTTGCTCTTAATGGCACCACTTATTCTAATCGGAAAAAAGGCTACTTACATTATTGCCCTTCAAACATAGGCAGTGAAGAATATCTTACTCCTACACAGAGATCTAGTCGAACTATCAGAAACCTCAGAGTAAACTAAACATTTTTTAACAAATATTATATTCAATAATGATTATATAGAGGTGTTGGATATTTTAGAGATTATTAAATGATGCTCATAGTGAACTTAATGATAAAGATACAGAAATTGATCAGCTAAAAAGAGAGAATGTTGAACTTAAAGTAAAATGTGGTTATGGCGCTGCTAACAATTCAATTGCAGAAGGTGATGAAGATGAAGATGCCAGTAGATTTATATCGAGCAAAGAACCAACACCTGAACCAGATTCAAGGTAATTAATCTATTAATTTGTCACATTTTTTAACTCTATTTTAAACATTAGGTATCTTATTTTATTTTAACTGCCATTACCTACTTAAGTTTAAAACATAGACTTAATATTATAAGATGAACTGCTAAAAGCTTTTATCGAGTTAGTTGAAATGGCACTATGCATTAGGCAAAAAATCATGGTGAAAAAAAACTTATCACACTAAACAATAGTTATGATTTAATAATTATATTTATTAATTTGATATTATTGTTGTTGTATTTATTTATTGTCTTTTTTCTATATTGTGTTTTAATATAAACATAACCAGCATAAATCTGCTATGATATTTGACCTTCCATAATGTTGTGTATCCAAAAATATTGTACATGGGAAATGATAAATACACAGTCTAACTTCATGTTAGGTTATAAAAAAAAGAAATTTTAATAACTAGTTTCTCCATTTCTGCTTCCATCCTTAGTGGTGATGATGTATTAGTGTCCTATGAACATATTTTTCCAAATTATCATTATTCACCCAAGTTTGGTTCATTTACTCCAGATGTATTTCCTGTGAAAACCAAATAAGTTTATATGGGTTGCCTGTGCCAGTAATATTTTTAAATTTGAGCATAACAAGGGAGCTATTGATTTTACTAAATTGTTTACTTTTTTTCTTTCTTTCTTTCTTTTAGTCTGTGAACATGTTTTCTCCTAGAAAAATTGCTTCGATTTTAACTTGGTGTAGCACCTTTTCTGTAAGCTCAATTTGTCTAGATTGTACTTTTTTGTAGATCATTTTTTAATTTTCGGCGATATTTTTTAAATAAAAGCACATAAGTGGGAAAAAACTTAGGAAAACGTACAATTTCAAGATTTCAGTATTTTATAAAAACGCTGACGAAATTTTTTACCAGTAAAAATGATTTAATTGAAAAATAACTAGATACCTTTTTTGTTGCCTTTTTAATTAACTTTCTTACAGCATCATCACCCAAACTTTTGAGCCACTTTTGTGCTTTTAAAGATTTTTAATTTTTGGTAGTTTTTTTACTGTAATCCAGTTATAAATACATGTAAAGACATAAAACTTGGTAATAATACTTATATTGGACTTACCTAGACATAGTAAAATTTCCAAAATCATCTGACAACTTTTTTTTTTTAATAAGCGTTTTGAAATTAAATTTAAATGAAAATCGCAAATAAAAATTACACTTTAAATTATATATTCTTTCGTCAAGCAATGGTTTATTGTTGCTTACAGATATAAATGAAATAACTTTATGTATTCTACCTTCCCAACTTCTCATCTACAACAGTGGCCGCTTCCATTCCCAGTATTAGCTCATTTTGTTGTTGTCCTTGTAAGTAAGGTAACCAGAAATTAATAGTTACAAAAAAAAAATATCCATAATTCAAGTTTCAGCACCAATATATAAATTTAAATTTAAAAACCAACCTTTTAGATCTTGAATTCCTATCTGATCGTTTATGTTCATAACTTCAGGTTTTTGTGTACCATAGCTAAACTATAAAGGCATAAAATATAGGCTACACTATACTTTACATATACATAAATACCAACTTAATTATGTACATTTTTTTTTTATACATATAGCAAACTTTCTAGAAGCTTCTTAAATCCATCACCATCTCCAGCAGATTCAGGACATGGGGATGATTATGACGAAGCAAAGAAATTGCGTCAAGCTTATGACGAGTTACGTGAGAAACATAATGACAAGATTGAAGAATTATTAAAAAGTTTAGGAGAACTCAATGAAAAGTGAGAAAAATTTAATTAATAATGTCGACGTTGATGAATGTAACTTAGCTCATAACTAAGCATTTTTAAAAAATAGTTACCTATCTATGTGATGGGTAATTTCCAGTGGGGAGACTTTCTTTTTAGAGAACTCCTTAGAAAGAAGGTCTCTCTCCCTTTCATTCACTCCTCTAGATGTGGAACACATATTCCTAATGACTAATATATTTATTTTATATTCAATAAAATGTTACTATTTTTCAAAGATACTATGGATTAAAACCAAAACTTGATGAAGCCTATATTAGAATCAAAGAACTTGAAAGAGAAAATGATTTCTTAAAGTGGTCAAAAGTGGTACAAAGTAAAAATAATGAACAAGTCACTAATAATCACAAAATTAAGGCATTTAGTGATGTTCTTACTCAAACTCATCCAACAATATTTGTAGATAAGGTTTGTTTTAAAATAAAATTATTCTAATGGTTTCAATATTAATTTGCATTTAATATATATGTATTTATGTATATATTTTTTGTTTTTGTTTTGGAATTAACCATAATTTTTTTAGAAGACTGAAACTGATCAAATACATGATAAGTTCTCTGGTGCTATGATAAATATTCAAAAATCTTCTGAACAAGCAAACACACAAAAAAATGATCTTGCTGTAACTTCAACTCAAACACAACAAATTGCATGTGCTGAAAAGGTAAAAATATATATATTTACTATGTACTGAAATTAAAGCATTTTCTTTAACAAATGAAATTAATTTGTAATAATATTTAATTTTTGTAGAACACAGAGACTGAGAATCAAGCAATTGAAGAAGACAGTGTTGATGAATTAAGTAATGTTAAGTTGGAACTTAAAAAAACAAAAGTAAGAATAATACTAAGATAATAATTATTATATTTTTAATTATATTCTATTCGAACATTCGAACCTTTCTTCTGTGTTTGTGTTCACTAACATGTAGCAATTTCATTTTATAATTTTTAATATTGTACACATTTTTCCCAAGTAAATATTTATTTGTTTAGAATCTTTTTAGAATATGTTTAAAATTTAGGGACGTAGCCAAAGTGTTGGTGGTGCTTTGTTATCCGGACCTGAGGCCATTGCCCTTTGGATGATCGGCACGAAAAAGGTTCGTCTCTTAGATCCCCTTAATGCGCAAATTTCTTTGCATTTTAATTTTGATACGCATGGGAATTTAAACGAGTTGTACATTGACATAATTTGGATTGGATTTCTACTATAAATGGTTTTAATTTTCAATTGTCGATTAGTTGATGAATAGGTGTAGGACAACAACAGTAGGTACAAAGTTGATGTATATTATTTTTCAATGAATTTTGTTCAAAGAATATAATGCAAAATAAATACTTTTAAATAGAAGTGTTCATTCAAATTCAAGTTCGTATAATTCTCTTTTTTTCGTTTTTGAAGCACCTATACGTTTTGATTAACATAAGTGAATTGTTTAATTACAACAGTGCATACTGAGTAATTGTAATTGTATTATTTAACTTTAAATTGTAATTTACACTTTTAGTTATATATATATTTATATATATCATTGATTTTGTTTAAATAAAAAAACAAATAACTTTTTGTACTAAACTCAAGTGTGAAATTGTTATATCATTGAAAAAAAAGCTATTGCTTTTTTCACCTTTTTTTTTTTGCTTTTCAACGCGAAAAAAAAAAGTAGTAATTAATAGTGAAAATACATAGTTAATTTAGCTATCACAATATTTAAAAAAACTTTAATTGAGTTATAATTATAACCTATAGATTTGTATGTGTAAAATATAATAAATCACTTCATTTGCTCGTAGATAAATTATTAGTTCTATTTACACAGGTGATATATTTGCAATGCACTACTGATATTATTTTCCTTTCCCTAGTAATATGTGAGCAGAAATGTACAGTTTTTGTTTTTGATTTTTTTTTGTTATTTTTTATTAATTTAGATTTACACAATATTATTTTAGAAAAGTGTGTATATAACTACTTATGCACTGCCTGGTTGTGGCTGACTTTTAAGATAACTATTAGCTTTAAAACACTTCAGTTCTTATTATATTCTTCAAGTACAAACATTTAGTTTTTCTGTGTATTATTTTCCAGGCTATGTATGAAAGTATGCTGCAACAGCAATTAGAACAACAGCGCCAAAAGCCAATAAATGATCCTGAAATGACATTGCAGTTTTTGAAATCAGCATTTTATTATTATCTTTCTGATGCCTCAAACACTGCAGGACATTTAAATGCTATACTAAGTATACTTCGATACTCAGAAAGTGAAAAAAAAATAATTGAAAGGAACCAAGCATGGAAATAATATTTTATTTTGTATTTTTCTATAGCAAAATTTTTAAATTCGTAATTTAATTTTACATTTTTCTTGTTCAATGGTCAACATTTTTATTTTTCCCATTAAATATTTATTTATTTTCTCAATGATGACTCCCTATTAGTTAGTATTTCTTAATTTGTCTGTATTATATTTTTTTATTAATGTTTTATTATTATCGTAGAATCAGTATTATGGTTGCTAGGGAATTAGTGTGATTTTGCTTATATAGAGCATTTTTGTTATTGTTTTAAAGGAATTTCCTTAACTATTGGTGATACGCACAGGGTAATTATTTATCTTAGTTTGTTTTTAATATACTATAAATGATAAATACTTAGTCATAAATCAAAAATAAAATTGTTTTTATTTGAACAGAAAATAATTACCCTCACTCAACTTTATGGTCTGATACCGCGCATCACCAAAGGTTAACATCACTATTACTACTTTTTGTTCCAATATTTTTGATTATAAATTATAATAATATTAAGAATATATTTTATGACATTTTTCAATTGATTTATTTGTTTATTTAATGTCAGTGATATTATTTTAAGATTCAAATTCTTGTGAAGTATTTGTATTTTTTCAATTTATTAATGTTGTGATAAAGTCAAGTTTTGTTTACTAAATTGATGGTTATATAACTAAATTGAAGTATACCCTTGTTTTTTGATTTCCACAGAATTCTCATAATGTCCTTATCATATACACATTATTTTTAAAACTGAATAGATTCCTTAAAATTTATTAACCATTATAATAGAAAAAAACCTATTCATTTTGAATATCATCATATTTAAAATAATATCTTATTACTAAAAATATAAAATTAATAAAGTAGTAGAAGAAGGTTAGAAAAATAAAAAATCTTAGATATGTAAGTATTCAATTTAGGGGCATCAATAAATCTACCCATATTAATATTATGCAAAAATATTTTCTCTAATTGTCAATGAAACAATCATTTCAGCTAAACCATGTGTAGTAATAATGTATAAGTTATACAACATAACATATTTTATTGTGTATTTCATTTTCAACTTAATGGCCTAATGTGAACTTAAATGTCTCTGAACTCAGGTAGGCACCCAGCCTACTATGACCAGAGGTCCAATGGGTCTGGACCCTTCCAAAAATGTAAAATTCTCACCAAAATATCAATTATTGGTAGTTGGAGACAAATTTTATGTTTGGACCCCCTAAAAAAAAATATTGGCTATTAAAGTAATCTTTAATGGTTTAAATCTTTTTTGTTCAATAGGCAACATTGAGTTAAGGCAATAAATCAAAAGTACCTCGAGATGGGTATAGTATCACCTAAAGTATTCTTATTATTTGTAAATACGATACGTAATACAATCCCTACTGCTAGAATAGGGTATCCAATTGGACCACAATACGGTATTTGGGGTGGATATCCCGAGTGTGGCCCGTTTAACATTTTTTTTTTTTTTTTTATAAGTCGATTGCGTCCGTAATCTTGTCGAAAAATTATATAAAACCGGTCGAACGCGTCCGTAATTTTATTGATGAATGAAATGAAATTGTCTGAGTTTGTCCACAGTCGTATGATAAATTATCCGCAGTTGTAGGTACCCATTTTATATTTAAGATTTAAACAGTGAGGAAACAGAATTTTATTTAAATTTTGATAGGTAATAACTGAACAAGATTACGCTTAGTAATCGTGTAGTCTTCCAGTGAACAAAAAAACGAAGTAGTGCCGTACATTTTGTCGTATCTAACATCGAAGTAGTGACGTAGTTATGTTCAAATTTTCCAAAAAATGTCATTGTCAGATAGCATGTTAAGCCAACACTGTAAGAACGGCATTTAAATACTAGCCTTTAAGTATAATATAATTAGTATGTTCACCCTAAATGAATGGGTGTAAACAAAATATAAAAAACAAACAAACATTTTTGGAGTGTAAGCCTGTTCACCTCCTCGTGGTGCACCATGAGTAACTCTAAATGAACTGGGACGCATTCGGGCTATGTTGCAAAAATTAACTATTTTTATTGGGACACACTCGGGTAACCCCGGTGATTGGGCCACTTTATTTTAATACATTTTAGATTTGACAAAAGGCAAACCTCTATTTAGCACCACTATTTTAAACCATATTATAATTTCTCCACGATTATAAATTTATATTTCTTATAATATGTTCGTTATAATCGATTTATGTTGACGACACTTATGAATACTGTGCAAAGCAATCTGTATCACTTTATTTTTAAAACAAATTAATAATTATTTGACTAATTTTATAGGTATTGTATTATATATCGTGCATTTTAATATAATTGAAATTATAAATCATTGTGTTATACATTTGAGGCCTAATTCCCGACCACCTCTAAAATACTGTGTTTCGCCGATGACATGAACATATTTTTGAAAATTACATCTATAGAAGGATTATGTTTTTTTACAAAATAATGTTGATTCTTTCTCTAGATGGTGTCAAACATTAAGCTTGAAACTTAATCTTTCTCAATGCCGGGTTATGACCTTTTTCCGGTCTCGTAATCAAATTTTATGGACACGTAAAATCTCGGATACTGACATCGTAGGTACGTGTATTTGACTCTATTGTAGACTTTGTGGTTTCAAATTATCAAGCAACCTTAATCCGAGTGCGTACATTTCTATGATTTGGTGTAAAGCATTTAAAGTTTTAGGTTTCATTATGTGGCTTTCTAAAGATCTTAAACTTTTAAGTTCACTAATCAAACCATTTATAAGTTAATTTTCGTAATTTGTAATTCAAGTCCCTCCTAGCTGGCGAATTTTCAAAAAAATGTCTCAGATTGTATAGATATTCAAAACGAGTTATTATTTTGTCACACGCCATTTACCAACAAATATATAGGTATTGGTTTGCGTTTTTGGTGTAAGAATGCCGAGTTTTCGATTGCAAATAATAATCGTAGGTACCATATGTTCATATACGAGTTCGTAGGATAAATACAGACGGATAGCGGTACGATAATGTAGCGGCTGCACCAGTGCTGCAATTAAATAATTAATTTGACAAAGTTTTAAATGATACAAATTTAATAGCAAATTTTCGATTATAAATCATTACTAGGGTAGAGTTCTTATAGCCCTAATAAGTAATTAAATATGCGAATATGCACGTGAATACTTAAAATTCGAATTACAGATATACAATTAACCATAAATATGCATTAAAAACAAAGGTCTATTTGTTGTTTTTTTATTGGAGCAATAGTAGAGAACGAAAACGGAAAAATCAGTTTTCAATTTTCGTTTTTTTTCCGGTATTTCATAATTATTAGTAAAACTACAGAGAAAATCAAAAAACTACTTCCATACTTAACAACTATATTAAAATTTAAATATTACTGTTATCTGTTATCATGAATGCGAAATGCGTAGATAATAGCACGGTTTAGAAGATATGTCGGATGTCGGACAACTTACTGATGGATAATGTGATGATATGTACATGATCTAACGATAATAGCTCAGAATAATAGATTAATATCACAGATTAAAATTTTAATAATCATTAATCTAACACAAGTTCAACATTTTAAGTAGGTACCTATTTGATGTAGGTAAGTAAGAACCACTAAACCGTGGTGCATTTAAGATATCTCTCCCGAATTGGTGATTACTGATTCCCAAAGAAATAAACAATTTTGTTTTATTGTCAGAATGATTTGTGCTTTTTATGAAACAGTTTTTGGTCAATTTAAATTAGGTAAATTATTTCTTTGACCATTTTCGAATTTTAATTTTTAACAAAATTGTGATATATTTCTAACGTGACTACTGTATCCTGTGTGTGATCGACTGGTCGTCATGGGAGATTTTTATACTCATTATTCAAATGTAAGTTTGATAAAGTATTTTCATTACATAAATATTTAATATTAAGATTGGTAATTAATAATGACTTGTATTTCAAGAATCGTAACTATATCGAAAACATACTTGAACCGAGGTGCCCGGGCTACTATTGTGGTCGACGGGATTTAGGAAATGGACGTACCAGCGAATGTGGCTCCTGTCCGCCGGGCACAAGAGTCAATTCATTTCACATATGCCAACAATGCACAGACTCTCCTACTTCATACGATTGGATGTATCTATTATTTATGGCTACTGTGCCTCTGTTATTCCAAGCTGTGTACATAGACCTGTCGCTGTCATCATTAACGTGGGCATCTCAAGCAAAAAAGTACAAACTTAAATAATTTAAAACTACAGTTTCTACAAATTCAAAATAGTCATTAAAAACATAGATACTTTTTTTCTTTGCAGTGATATTTCTAGGAAGAAAATTTTAACAAAAATTGTCTTAAATATTTCGGCAATACTGGAAGTGGTTATCGCAGCAACTATGGCAATTCTAGCTGTCGACCCAAGAGGTGAATTATCAATTCGATCATGTCATACCAAATGGCTTTCTGATTGGTACACATATTTGTTTAATCCAACTCCAGATTACCATGAACCTTTGCGGTGTACTCAAGAAGCCGTCTATCCTTTGTATGTTTTATTATTTCATATTTTATACTATTGCTGGTTAAGCAATACAACTTATTACCAATCTTTGTAACAAAAATGTGTCCATTCGTTAGAAATTTAGTAAATTTGTTTGGTACACTTTTTGTATTATAAGAAACTACATTCAGTGTAAATGTAGATACATAATTAATATATAATTTGAAAATACTTATGTGTTTTAATGGTCAATTTTCAGGTATTCTATAATTTTTATTTTCTATTTCACTTCTATATTTGTTCTACTTACTGTACGTCCATTGCTGTGCAGTTATTTTGATCTTAGTGGAGGGACATATTTGAATACTGTTTATGCTGGTTTATATTTTTTTCCTGTAGCAGTTGTAATTCATGCATTTTTTGGAGGCGTCATTTGTAAGTATATATAAATAAAACATTTTATTGTATTAAATATGTTTACATATATGTATTTTTTTTTATAGATGTTACCTACCCTTATATAGTAATTGTTGTTTCTGTAATATCAAGCGCAATCCATTTTGCTACAGAAATAAATCAGGTATTTTATAATTGTATCATTTATAAATAAAACACTACTAATTTTAAATAATTCATTAACAGTCTACCAAGTATTTAATTTTAAACACTGTATGTGTACCGAGAAACATCCTGATTGTTGGTGTGCATTGGATCTGCCACGGATTCGGCATTGTCGCCATTACTCAGTTGGCAAATCCACCAGTGGACTATGTTTTATTGATGCTCATACCATTGCCCACTATTTTTTATATAGTAACTACACGAATAAGTGAACCATCAAAGATTCTTGTATTGTAATCACCAATTAGTAAGTATTGTATTTATAAAAAAAATAAAAATAACTATACATTTCATTAATAAATATTTTACCTATTTGATATTTAATCACCGATGTATTATTTGTCTACAGTCCAGTAAATCGAATAGATTCAAGATGTGTTATATGTTCCTATATGTTTAAAATTAACTCTCTTATCTACGTCGGGATGAAAGAGACAACATTTGAAATATTTTAAATATCTGCAGAAAGCAGTTGCTGTTCAATAAAGCTCTATAGTAAATTTTATATTGTTTAGATGCAAAATTTTTTATTTTTTATTTGTTCAGAAATCTTGTTTGGTTTTTAAGTTTGTGTTGATAATAATATTAATTGTTTAAGTGTAAATACACAAAATACATAAATGAACAAATAATATAAACTATACATTGTTTGTTTAAGGCGTGTAACTATTTTTTCTCTTATAAAGTTATGAATACCTATATTCATTATTATTATTATTATTATGCAAAAATCATATAGATTTGTGTATACTTCATACTAGTGTATGGCGGTGATTGTTGGGAAAAGATTATTTATCCAAATAATATTTAAAAATGATAATATTATCTAGATTACAAAAATGTTGCATCATAATTTTTTTCTCGGTAGTACCAATAGAAAGCCATTCAAAGATGAAATTTCAGCTCTGTTTAAAAAAAAAATCAGACATTTCAATCATCAAATTTAACAACTTTTCTAAAAACAAATGTCTTTAGTTGGTGCATCAAGAGGTAATTTTTTGATTTTCCTTATAATTTCCTTAATAATATTGTAAACAATAATATGTAATCTAATTTCATTATTTTTGATTTTATTTTTTTAATATACATTAATTCAATTAACCAATAATCTGAGAGACCAACAATTAACACTAAATACCTTATATTAGCCTTTTCTAGATGTAAAATTTTCAAAACATTGCAGATTTCTAAAATATTTATAGACATTTAGAATGTTAACATTTTTTTTAATTGTATATGAACAAAATTGTATTGGCCAAGAAGGAATACGGCCTCACACAAATAATGCCCCACTAATAACTATTTACCCAATTTTAAAAGTGAAATATTTTATTGCTCACACCAAAATTAATTTAAATTAATACTCCATTTATTTATTTGGGAACAATTATTATCTTGGAAAATATTTTCAAAAAATTTTTTTTTATCAATTTAAGAAAAACGCAGCTCTACATTGCTATTATGTTTGTTAAATATTTGGGATTGTAACGACTTTTGATTTTTAAATGACCTACATTAAAAATTCCATAAATGGATCACCGTATATAATTAAATTTTTGTAAAACTGTTTTTAAAACTATTTAAATACATAAAAAATGAATGTACAGAATATGCCTTAAAATGTTTTACAACAATAGTATTCTCAAAGTATTCTTAATACTTTGCAGAAATTAAGGTAGAGTCTGACTACTTTAGGGAACTATAGATATTACCTATATAATGATGTATTATATTTTAACAATTAGAAATTTCGATAACTATTTTAAAACAAATACCACAGGGTGAAAAATTAAGCATCTTTTAAAATAATGTATAAATAAATCTGATCATTTTTATTAATCAAATGTTTTTGAAGGAATTAAATAATATCTTAAAGTTAAGCATTGATCACTAAGCCCAAACGAGACTAAGAAGTATTTTTTTAAAACTATTCGGAATACAATATTTCTAAAAGAGTATTTTTTAAATATTTAGAATTCTCACTTAAAAAAGATTCTTAAAAATAGCTGACCTGTAGTTTCTAAACTACATCCTCCATTTACAAGAACTAAAACGGTTTTTGATATATAATATTGAAAATAATACAATAGCATAAATATTTTTGCATCTCTCAAAGTTATATTAGTTATCAAAATTGATCAAATGGACAATTTCACCAAGTACATAGGTAGGTAATTCATACATGTATTAAAAATCACCTAAATTACAAATATTTATACTGTATAACAAAGGAAATCAAAAGCAATTGAACTTTTATCAAAAATTAAAAGTATGTTACACAAGTTGAAATTAAAAAGACGTCCTAGGACAATGGGGACGGGTGCAGCCATTGTTATAAATAATTTAATGTATACCTGTAAGCAACATTAACAATTGCTTACGAAAAAACGATTCTAAGCGGAGTTCAGTTTATAATAATAATTTGTCAATAATATATATGTCATTTTATAGTAAAAAAAAATTAAATAAGCTTTATATATTTTCTTTATTAATATTTGTTTAATGTTGTACAGATTTTCTCAGTTTTCCTACGTTTTCCCCATGTTTTATACCGGTTTTTCACATTTGCTGGGAAAACTCTTGGGAAAATCAAAAAATGACCTTTTAGAAACACTGCTTTCATTAAAAGTTGGAGCAAACTACCGGTAGAAGAGTTGTGCACAGGAAAAAAAAATCTTAATATTTGAATAATATAATTCGTACATATTCCCGTTTTTTTTTTTTTTTTTTTTTGATATTTCGCATTCGATGAGAAAATTCTTGAGAAAATGACATCATTAGTGAAAATCTCTCGAGAGAATCGAAAAATCACCTTCCTCAAGTCCTTTCCCACACCGATTTCCTTTCAGAAATGGTGCTACACGTATAAATTCGAGCAAGTCTTCTAGTAGAAAAGTTGCGCACGAATAAAAATAAATAAATAATAAACATCTTTGCAAAACTATACGCTTCTTCGCTCCACTCAGAATCTAAAATTTAGGCATTATTAGGTATTTAATATTGGGTATTTGGATCTGTGCGTGCACTTATTCGTGATAATTCCGCCGCCGTTAATTTCCCAGCGAGAAATTTTAGATTCGGAACGTAACAGAACAATATTAGACTATGTAAATGCCCCCTCAACCACACCATAGAGTAGTATTTATTATTTAATCATGATCCAGTAGGTGAGTATCATTTCGAAGATAGAAATATGCGAGTGTTTTAATGGACTGTCCTCCCCGGAATGCAAATTTGCTCTGTCTCACACTAAGCTTTATAACCGTTCGGTTCGACCCAATCCTCGGGAGTGAATGTTCAAACATGAATCAAACGGTCCTACTGGCCAGTGGCGTGACCAGGATTTCTCAATTGGGGGGGGGGAATAAAAAACTTTATACAAAATTAATTTATGTTGTTTTCGCTTATTTTTATACTTATTTATAGACCAGATAAAATACTAAATACACGCTGTCGAAATGAATAAAATATTTAACAACTTTTCATTTATAATAATTTATTGCATACAACTTAAATAATTATAAGGTATTTATTCTAAAATTAGTTACTTACCTATTTCTTATGGTTTATAATATAATATTATTATTGTGTTCAGTATGTAATTTTCATCCTCCTAGAGGATTTTTTAACAAAACCATTCAATATTTCTTTTTCGGTGTTTTCATATAATAATTCGTCTTTATTTATTGTTGCTAATACCAAACCATTTAACCTTTCTTCATTCATTATAGCTCGTAAGTATGTGTACAGTTTTCTTTAGAACAGAAAATGTATATTCCGGGGTTACAGGCAGAGTAAAAAATAAATGAAGAATCCTTTTTCTATTTGAAAGATCTGTGCAGTGATGAATTTCTTCTACAGCAGTCTCTGGGAAATTTTCTTTCAATTGCCATTGCTTTATCCATATTATGAATAACTCCGCTTTCAAACATAAATTCATACAAAAATTAAAAAGTAATTTTCGTTAAATAGAAGCAGCAGCTAAGATTGCCATAATGTGTCAAATTAGATGGTACTTTATGAGTCTTTCTAGTGATATAATTGTTTCTAGTCTTTTATCAAATCTTGAATGTAACCGAGTAATTATCAATAAATGGTATAAATATTGCTATTTCATAATATTCCTCTATGTCTTTGGCATTTATATTGTTTCGGGCAGTTTGTCTCCCAGTTTCGAGACATGCGTATTTCACCGTCTAGTTCAGAACCTATTGTGGTAACATTTTTTAGCATCTGATCGAATAGCTTCTAACGTTACTCTAACAATTATTACATCATTTAAAGCTTTAGATGATTTTTGCTGTATGCTTTGTAGTACTTGACTTAATTGTTTAGTGTATGAAAAGCAAGTAATAGCTACTTCAAGAGAAACAAGAAAATCACTCGTGGTTATAGCACTCATATATAATGACGCTTTGGTTGTGGTTTCAGAATTTATATCATGTTTTTCAAAATGTTCTAGAGTAGAAATTATATAAATGTAAAGTTTTTTAAAAAATGAAAATAACAAGTGAATCATGTCGATCAACCCATCGTGTTTTACAACATTTTTTCAATTTTGTTTTTTGACTATTTTTATTGGAATTACTATTTTTATCAAAAATCACTACTTTTATGTATTTTGAATATAATAATATAATATTAATAATTAATTAATTAAATAATTAAATATAATGTATTCATTTTATCATAGATACTTACGTGCTCGTGGATATAATATAATATACTTAATACTTATAAAATAGATAGATGTACTGTTATAAAATCGATAAAAAAAAATACGTTCGATGGGGGCAGGGCATGCCCCCCTCTGGCTACGGCACTGCTACTACTAGTGATTCTAAACTGCTAATGCTATTTATAATGTAAAATAGTCATTCTACATCATCAATGAATGACATTGCCCGTGCTCGGTAGGTAATGTACAAGAATAAAAATAAACCATAAATACCATTTTGGATTTTATAAACATTTTTAGTAAAATAAATATTACTAGAATGTATCTATTGGTTATTTTTGTATATTGTGTACACAAATTTTATTAGAAATCTCGTACAGATATATACGCGCGGCAATATTTTTTGCCACTTTAGCATTTATTATTTTTGTTGAGATTCAGTTAAAAATTCGGACAGGAAATTTGTATTTGTCTTCTCTAGACGTGGTAAAATTTTCAAAAAAATTTAAGCCATTTTTGGGCTAATTATAGGCATTTTAATTTTGCGAGTTTTATACGTAATATTTATTTGGTAGATACTTAGTGGTAAAATTGTTAACCTAAAAGAAATGTTTGAAAATTTAACGGTTGATCGATTAATAGTCTAACTTTGTCGTCAAAAAATACAAATTTGAGTTTAAAACTATGTTGAACAAATCCAATTTTTCAATTGTTTTGAACATATGTATATTGCCGATTTAAGAACAACGGTGAAATCAAAATTGAGTGGACTGTTTCGAAATTATAGCTTTTTGAAGTTCTGATATAACTCTAGTCTTTTTTGAAGAATGTCGTGATCTGGTGGTTATACACACCTATTGTCTTCCTAGGGGTTGAGTTCAAACCCTGGGTTTTTTCTGTGTATAACTTTTTTACCAGCAATTTTTCTCAGATTTACAATGATAGCACTTTTTTTGAAAAAGGAGGAAAAACTAAAGACGGGAAAATAGGTACAATATTAGACAAATATTATTAAAGAAAATGTTTATTGCATATGTAATTATTTTACTATAATATAACATATATATTTTTGACAAAGCAACACTATCAACTGAATTGCGCTTAGAATGGTTTTTTCGTTTTTAAATTCCCTTTTGTATCCTACTTTCTCAACTTCCCACGCTACAACAATGGCTGCAACCGCGTACGAAGGATGTCTGTCTTTTTTATTGGTATTGTTATGAGACGTTTTTGCACCTTAAACATTTAGCATGTTTTTATATATGAAAAAAACAAGTCATTGAGATAAATAAAACAAATAGGTAATTGAACATTCTGTAAACAGAAAAAAAAATTATTTTTTAAGGTAGCTATGGCTATATATTGAATTTTTTCTTTTCAATTAGTTATTATTTTATTATGTTGACCTAGATAAAAATAACAATTTAGATACTTATCAATTTATATATTTTTAAATATGTATTATGTAAAGATGTCTATGATATTAATGTCACCCTGGCACAAAAAAATGTCTACTAATAACAACAAGAACTTTCAAGTCACTTTTTATTTTTATTGTTCAATTCTCTAATTCTGTATCATTTTAACTTTCTGTAATAAAACCATAGTCAGTTACTATTTGAGTTTTGTTTGAATACATAGGTGATTTAAAAATATTTATTATAAAAATTGTTTAATGTAAAAAAAGGTAATAAATTTATAATTCGTTTATTTAAAATACTTGTTCTGAGAAATCAAAACTTAGAAAAACTGGGAAAATCGTACAACCGTAAATAAATATTATTAAAGAAAATATTTAAAGCCTTTTTAATTATTTTACTATAGAATAACATAATATATTGTAGACAAAGCGTCATTATAAACCGAACTCCGTTCAGAATAGTTTTTTTCGTAAGCAATGGTTTATTGTTGCTTACCATTAAATATTCTGTAACAGTGGCTGTACCCATCCCCATTATCCTAGGAAGTTTTTTTTTAAGTTACAATGTGAATAATTTTTAATTTTTGTATTAAACGAGTGATAAAAAAAAAATTTATTTGAAAAATTAAACTGAATTAGGATTCCTACTTTTGTTTAGGTTTTTTATTTTCCTCAAAACTAATAGTAAACAACTATAACTGAAAAAAAAAAAAATGTAATAATTTGAATACAATAATAGTACAATTCTGTCAACGAATTAAAGGCCAGGTACAGACGTGGAATCGGAGTTGACAAAATTATCAAAATTATCAAGTATATCATAATTGATTTTTGATGAAAGCTTTTTCTTTTTTAATACTCGTTCTACAGCTTCATTTGCAGTCTTGGCTGGTGTCCGTAATGAATCCTTTACTTTTTTTTCTTTTGATTTTATGACCTTAGGATTTTTAGCTCTTTCTTGCCTGCATAATGTCATTTTTCTGTATTCAGGACCATGCATTTTACTCCACATATCTTTCTTGATTAGATGGCTTTCTTTAGACAGGATGTAAGAGTCAATTTCGTCATCATTTATATCAACATTAAAACTTGATTCTTCGTCTTCATCGTCCTCATAAGACCGAGATCGTTTTGATAAACCCATCATTTCAAATGAAGGTCCCACATTGACAAATTTGCTACTAGTTTCTGGTTTATTGGTATCACTTTCAATTTCTGCCAAGTTAACACCAAACACTTTAGTATTCTTTTTCTTACTAAGTTCTTTTTCTATTGCAGTTTTCACTTCATCAATCACCTTTTCACTGTCATTGGCCTCAAAAAATTGATCTATACGCTCCTTGTCTTTAGCGCGAGATATCCGATAAGACGGAGGATCATGGGTTTCCTCCAAGTCAACATTCATAAACTGTTCGATTGATAACATACTAGATGGTGTGTCTTTAAACTCTAATAAACGTTTTTTTAATGTAGCATGATGACAGTGCACAACTTTAATTATGTCATCAGTAGTACGGTTAAAGTCATGCATACGTCCTGAAATCAATAAAGCTGCTCCACATAAACTGGATGGTCGCCTACCTTGAATATAGAACTCAATATTAGAGACTTATATAGAGTGTCCCACGATGATCTGCCACTTGAAATAACTTTTATTCTATTTAATATTTTTTAATTAATTAGTATGCCTCTGTGCTACAATTTATACATAAAAATTTTTTATTTGGGGGAAGGGGGACTTAAAATCTAACCCCGAAGATGTGCGCCGTTGTTGACCAACCCGCCAGAACAACGAATATACCTCAGACCAGTGATTCTCAAACCGGGGGTCGCCAACAATCTTTTTAGGGTCACCAATATATAAAATATATTACATATCTATTAATAATAAATAACTAGTAAAGTGTTTTTGTAAATATAATCATAATTATCATTGTTGAGAATTACAATTGATAAAAGTTTGGGATTGCCGAGAAAAACGTAAATACATAATGATAATATAGAATATGAAACTTGGGACAGGAAACACTTCTAAATACAGATATAAAGATTACCGATAATGCGCGATTTTATCGGTGTTCCGAACGGTCTAAGCGTCAGTTGCAAGTCGCACAATGAAGTGAATTTTATGTTTATAATATATTTTTTTTTTTTTTACATAAATAATAAATACATCCGTATTAATATGAGTAGACAAACACCTTTGGCACATTTTTTTGAACAACCTAGTAAAGCTTCACTGTTATCAAATTCATCATCGGCAATTTCAAACGATCCCGATTTAGATGCTACTAAAAAAGAATCAAAATCGCCATTTAAAAAGGTAAAACTAACAACAAAAATATTAAAGTAAAATGAAAGTTATATCGAATATGGGTTTACTCATTTGCATGAAAATAATACAGATTTACCCTAATGTATTATATGTGGAATGGTGTTAGCCAATGCATCTCTAAAACCTAATAAACTTTTGCGTCATCTTGAAACAAATCACTTTCATTACAAAAAATCTAAATAAAGATTTTTTTTTAACGGAATTGCACGAGTTTAAAGGTAACAAAAAAATTATCAATTTTTTTACTACGGAGGATAAAATTTACTTAAAGTGTCCGTATTTGGCCGCCATGCATATAGCTGAATCAAAAAAAAAAACTTATTCAATCGGAGAGGAATTATTGAAATCGTGCACAACGGATATTTATACCGAGTTATTCGGTAATAAATGTGTAGCTAAAATAAAGAATATACCTATGACTAATGACTCTATTACAGGAATAAATTTTTGTGATATTTTGAATACAATGCATAAAACCTTTGTTCGAGCCAGTGCAGTAAATACACGTATTTTTAAAGTGATGTGTGATGAAATGGGTTTAGGTTACACAAGTTTTACACTACAATCGCATGTCGGGTGGTCATCACGGGGAAAAGTCTTAATTCGTTTATTTGACCATAAAACCGAAACAGAAATATTTTTGAAAAATAAAGAAAACCAATTCTCGGTGATCATTTTGATAACAATGTATGGTTAGCAAACCTAGCTTATCTTTCTGATATTTTTTCTATTCTTAATGACCAAAATTTGAATTTACAAGGGCCTTATACTAATCTTTTTACATCAAACAATAAAATAGAAACATTTCTTAGTAAAATTGAACTTTGGCAAAATAGAGTAAAAAAGAGTGCGTTTGATATGTTTCCTTCTTTTTATAATATGACTCAAGAAAAAGTATTAAATTAAAATGAAATAAATGAAATGCAAAATATTATTGAAATTCATTTATTAAAACTAAAAGAAAAATTTCTCAAATTATTGATCCAACAAAAGACATTCGTTCAAACAATTTATGGGTTATTAATCTATTTATAAAATCAGACAAAAATATATTATCATCATCAAATGAAGAAAAATTAATCGAGTTATATTCAGACAAAGAGTAAGAACAGATATTTTATACTAATAAAAGCATATGTCAATTTTGGATTAAAATTTAGAATGAGTATCCCGTATTAATTAACGAGGCTTTAAAAAAATTGATTCCTTTTTTAACTACATACTTATGCGAAACAGGATTTTCGACAATGACCACAATTAAAAATAAATTAAGAAATCGGCTTGATATATCACCAACCATGAGAATGAGTTTAACCTAACCTATAGAACCAAGGATTGATAAAATAATTTATAATCAACAACAGCATATAAATCATTAAATTTAAAAAATATTCACTTTTTTTAAAAAAAAAATGTTTATTAAATAAACTTATTATTATTTCAAATGCTAGTTTCATGAATTTATTGCTACTTTTTAATGTTATCATAATAAAAGCGTCGCTGAAAATCTTGGCGAAATTATAAGGGGTCGCAACTTCAAAAAGATTCGACCGTTGCCTTAGATCATATACTACTATATGATCTAAGTATCATATACTAGTATATGATCTAAGGAATATACACGGTGAGCTATATTGATAAAGCACTCCGCGTATACCGTACGTATCAATATGAACTATACCGCAATACGCTGTAAACACGGTCGCAACGAGAAACCACAGATGCCGACACCCAAAAGCCACAGAAAGAATAGACTAGTAACAAATGGGCTGACGGGGTGGTGGTGCTTTTGAAAGGATAACATTTGGTTACCATGCAATTATTTCTTAGTTCGTGATTAATGAGGCGCGTTCCTGGGGGAGGGGAGGCAAGGGGAACGATCACACACCGCCTCTAGAGAAGTAGACTTAGATTGACATTTGGCATAGAATTTGCCATGGGTCCAGAAGTAGATATTATAATAGATATAATCATTATATTATTTGACATAATTTTTTTTTTATACTGTGACAACAATATCTACCAGAAATCATGCCCAGATATGTACGCGTGTCAGTATTTCTTAAAGGAAATATTGTCTATTATTGCAATAGAGCAGAAGCTGCTTTGATTAATTTGAAATCAAGAAGAGGTGCGTAGAATCATCTTAATCATTTTATGTTTTACTTTCTATCTTCTGTGGGAAAAATTATTCTCTAAATAGTATGATAATCCTCATGCTTTCTTTAATACTAATATAAATGTTTTACATTTTCCATGTAAAGATCACAAGACTGAAGTTCTTATAATAAATATTATACAAACCGAGATCAAAATAAAGAAAAATGAATTTTCTAGTCTAGTTAACGCTTAATTATACAATTTACTTTTTGTCTTCTTGTTTTAGTTTGTGATTAAAATAAAAACGACAGGATAGGAGAAATTTCACTTATTCTGTTTAAAAAAACATTTAGAATTATTATTATAATTATTTATTCATAGATGGCGTTAACTGCCTTATACGGATCATAGGGTAAACATTTCGTTTTCATCGAAAAGACATTCATTATCAGTTCATTCTTTCTTAGTCCGTGGCCACAACCAATTAGGGCGGTTCGATTGTTCTGGCAGCATTTATGCATACGCGAGTTTTTCCAAACTAATATCAATAATATTATCATATTATTGAATGATATTGATTCGTGGAAAAGAAAATCCTTGTTATGTGCATAGATAATATATATACACGGATAGGACATTAGGTGGTTTGGCGCGTGCCTAAAGTGAATAGACGTTACCGCAATGACTATGACTTATGGTAACCTCAATACTTTACATTGATAAGTGATTATGACAGTTTATCAATATTTACTAATACTGATCCACAGTCTAAACATTTATAAACCATGTTCAAAAATACAAAAGTATCTACAATTATTAATATTAAATTTATAATAGACTTAATAGATATTAAAATAATAAATTATTTAACTCAATCGTTAACACAGATTACAATCCGACAAGCTCTTGGCTCTTTGCTCACGTTAAAACATTTTATTAGCAATTGATAAATGTATTATAATCTATGTTGATAACATAGTTTACCATAAACCACCAATGTAATAACAAGTAACTAGTGTGATAACGTACTTTCTTTTCGGTCACATTATACCGTGAGTATTATGAATACAGATGTCCTATCTATATATATATTATCAATGTTCATGTGCCCTGACTAATAACTGATTAAATATTGTAATAGAATAACCACAATAGGTAATATTCACATTTGCAAAAACTTTCTAAAAATCTATTTACAAAATGGCTATTTTAAAAAATTTAAGTAAAACTTTATTTTTAATTCCCTCTCCCACTAAAAAAAATATTCATAATATATAAACTATAGTGATATATATATATACCAAAAATCTTGAATAGAACAAATTATTTCAAGTGGCAGATCATCATGAGACACCCTGTAGATGTATACAATATACATAAAATAGTAACTAATGGAATGAATATTTTACCTGTATGAATTGAATCCCTCATCATTCTTTGCAGTAATCGCATTGCTGTTGTATACACAACATGAGTTTTATCACCAAAATCAAGAGAATTGACAAAACGCATAAGGAAAATACTAGGATCAAGACTAGGCACTGACAAAGTTAGTGTTTGCATCATTCTCAAATATGTTTTACCCAATTCAAATGCATTAACTTCACTGGCATCAGCCACATCTAATAGCATATGCATAGTGCCTTCCATTCGGCATGCTATGTAAACTGATGCAGCATAAATCAGAGCATTCTTTCTACCCCGTGTAAAATGCCTTTTCAATGCCATATTGTAATAAACACAAGCATTTTCTAAAGTCTGTGGACTGAGATTTAGGCTATTACTCAACACTTGTATTCCACGTCTTGCTTTGGCTTGTGTCATTTCTCGAGAAGGTTGTTTCATACCATGGTGGAAGGCACTGCCAAAATTATGAAAATTAGCAGCTTGAGAATCTGAAGACAAAAACTGTCCAACAGCGCGAGATCCATGTTCAGTTTCTTCAAATTGAACTTCAGAAACAATATGAGATTCGTCCATAACGCCACCACAGTCCATACAGACGGTTGGGCCATCGCTGGAATCGAGGTTCAAAGAACCACAGTCTGAACACTTCATAGTTGCTTCTTAAAATAAATCTGTAAAAAAATAATCAATTAATTGATAAAATAAATATTGTTATCAATTGAAATTTGATGATATTGATGATTGTAATCTAATACTATAGTTGATATTATTTATATATTCATTGGCGGTAAAAAGTCGAAAAAAAAATAAAAATTAGTAATATTTCTGGTTGAAAACATAAATTGAACATATTAAAATAATTAAACCGGGATGCTACATTGTCATAAATACTAATCAATTTTAATTTTTCCCAATTATTTCGAAAACTCATTTGGATATTGAAAAACAACTTACTCTGTCGGTAGCGAAATATTAATAGGAACAAAATTAATCTCCTGTCCTTTTTCGAAGTAACATTTGTGATAGAAAACTTAAGTATAACACAATAAAAACGGTAACGCCACGACGCGCCGTAAATATTTGCCGTTTTACCTATAATTTTTTTTTAAAGTTTTTCCCAATTAATTCGAAAATCCCTTGGAAAATCAAAAAAAACGACCTCTAATGCATCAATTAGACATCATTTCCTTTTAGAATAGGTTTACACATAGAAAAAAAAAGCATACATAGTGAAACTACTAGATCCCTAGCTACGTTCCAAATCTAAACAAAAATACTTATAGTATAACGCTAAGAGAGTTCGCTTCGCTGAGAATCCAACGTTTCTCTATATTGAAAAGAGTGAAATCTGAACTTAGAACTATTATAAGTAATGACCGTTTAGGCAATTTAATGATAATTGTAATTTTTTAAACAGTGACAAAGTTGATTTATATAAAGAATTCGTTCAAATGAAATTTCACAAACCACTGAACTATTAAACTTACTGAAAGAACACAAACAATTAACAAGAACCAATTGCTAGTGATGGGCATTACCGACTGGTGACTATCGAATAATTCAATATTTTTCAAAAAATAGTCATTCGATTAATCGTCAGAATACTCGTTTGGAAATAATGAAAAAAAGTCGAAACCAAAACAAACCTAAACAATGAATTAATTTGAATTGAACTAATAATTAAATGCGCTGGTAAGTGAATAGTATTCACTAAATACAGATCACATTGTTCGGATAATCGAATAACTGAATAATTCATTCGAATGAATTACGATTTGCAATTTGCATTGCTTGAACTAGTTATAATAATAATCTAATGATAATTTTAATTAATAATATAGGCAAGTAATATGTCATTATAATTTATTATCGCGAAATTTCTCTTGTTTACTATTGTTGTTTCCGAGTATTAGGGAATAAATGGGAAAAACAGAAAAACAGGTACCAATTATTTTACTATAATATATATTATTAACAAAACAATACTATTAACCGATTTCGGTTAGTTAGATTATATCATTTTTATCTGTTTTGGTCATTTAGTTTGTGTTCCAACGTTATTAGAATTAGGCGCTATAATACGATATTGCCGGAATTATACAGAGTTTAAAAATTTAACGCGTTAATTAAAAATTTCTTGTTAAATTAAAAAAACCCCCGACGGAATGATTAAAATTGTTAACAGAGCTACAACAACAGTAGTTGTCACTTGTTCTTTTATTGTTTGTAATAAATGTGTAAAATATTACATTTTCATGTTTTCTTAGTTTTTTTTTTCGCCAAATGTCAAAAAAATATTTTTGCCGTCAGAAAATCTTGGTAATTTATAACAACGCTTCTCATACGGTTCTCCATCCAGTGGCGTGCACAGGGGCGAGTGGTTAGGGGTTATATCTCCACCCCCCTATTGATTTAAAAATATATCAAAATATGAGATATCTAATATCGAAACAAACATTTCAGCCGATTTCCGAGGAAAAGAAAGCTTGATGTATTGATTAGAAATTGGCATTTTTTTATGATCCGACTTTTAAATTACTAATTCCCATAGTCGAGATGGGTAGAGAAGACGATTTTACTCTTTATGTACGATTTACCGCAGTCCATAAAAACCATTAACTACCACAACCACGAGACATTTTTTTTATTACAACAAAAACCAAATTATAATTATAATATTTTAGAATAATAGAAAGAAGTAAGGCATAATTTTAGTTAAACAACCACGTGATTTTATTCAAAATGTCTGTTTTTAGACGCTTAATCCATTGATATAATTAAAACGTACCCATTATACTTACTTTCAAAGTTTTTGTAAATAAACCTTGAAAAATAGCATTCATGGAAATAATCCAAAATGTGGTCGAAAACAGAATTTAATTTATTATTATTAATATTTGTAATTATTGATATTTTGTTAAAAAAGTATTTTTTATTGAAGTCAAAATAATAAGTCTATCTGGCTTAATTTTCGAGTTATTCGCGTTTAAACGTGACGCGGTAATGTGAAGAGCGTGCGAGCGTGTGACCAACATTGAGTCTCTAATTTCACCTATATACTTTTCACTTTTCCTTGATACCTATGGCGACGTGGTTTAGCATAACAAATCGAAGGTTATTTTCGATTAAAATTGTCCGAGTGAGCGCAGAAAAATATGGCGTTTTGAACGTCTGTAACTCCAGAACTAAGCCAGATAAACTTATTCCGACTTCAATAAAAAAAACTTTTTTATGAAAATATCAATAACTACAAATAATGATAATACAAAAAAATTCTATTATTGACCACATTTTGGATTATTTCCGAAAATGCTTTTTTTTAAGATTTATTTACAAAAACTTAAAAAGTAAGTATAATGTATACGTTTTGATTATACTAATGGATTAGGCGTTTAAAAACACACATTTTGGAAAAAAAACGGTTAAATGGTATTTTACTATTTATCGCTTATCAAAAATGTTATAAACACTGAAACAAAATTAAACCAGTGCCACAATCATGATTACTATTGAAAACTACACTAGCGCTCTCCGATTTCAATATCCCTCAATATTATTTTTGGGCTCCCATTACTTCAATTTCTTATTAACAGTTTTTAATGTTGAGTGGGCTATCTATATATAGTAGGTCATGGAAGTCATGGAAGGGTTACCTACTTACCTACCATTAGAGAAAGTTACAAGGAATGCTATAGCATCTTAAATTTCACAGCACATTTCATTTGAGCAGATATTAGATGAAATTCGGAATAATATATCAAATAATCATTTAAAAAGAACCAATTTGTTATGTAAAAAGAATTTGTACAACATTGAGGCATATTAGAACCTTACTCCAAGAACTTGATACTGATGTATTTGCCGAAATGCTTGAGAAAGCTGAAAAATTGTATATCCAATAATAACGAAACGATAGAATTCGCAAATTATTTTTTATCATGGGCTTATTATCATCATTTATATTCTGGAATCAATACAAACATGCACATTGAAAAAATGCATATAACATTAAAACATATTCTTATAAGGCAAAAAAAGTTAAAAGGTTTGATAAATCTTTACTTGCATGTGTTGATGTGATATATCATTGACAAAGCATACAGTCCTACTATAAGGCTCCCACATAAAGGAAAAATAAGCTTGAAGATCAAATAATTACGTAAACGACACAAGACAAGTCTTGGAATGTCACATGATATGGTTATGGAAGATATCAATAATTGCAGTTGTGATATGTGTGTTAGGTCTGAAAATGTAAATGAACCGTATGTGATTAAGAAACTAGATACAAATTGTGAATGTCAAATTACTTGTCAAGAATGTATTACGTGTATTCATCATTACTTCTTTTCCTGTATAAATAGCTCTATCAAATGGAATATATGTAAACATTAACATTTATTATATTAAATTTTGAAAAACAGAAATAATATAGTTAGCGGTGAAATCAATAAGAAATTTGCTACCACTAATATTATGTTTGATGGAATTTCAAATTTGGAAGAACTTAATGTCCAGAATTGCTAGATCCAGTTTAGCAGCTATAAAAAAGGATTAAAAAACAATTATTTAGAAAATTGACATCTTAACAGTCTCCAAATAAATTTAAAAAAACCTTTCAATACTGTTTTTTTTCAACCAAAAAAAAAAAAAAAAAAATAAATTTAGAAGTTCCAACATGGGAACAACAAAATAATATACCGGCATCTTTATTAATGGAGCTAGGATCCACAAATTATTTTTTTTTTTTAACAATAAACCATTTTATAACCATACAACATAATCAGTTTCACCACATTTTAGGCAAATAATAATATGATGAATAAACACACATTTTGGTACTTGTGTAATATGCTACCTACCGCTACTTTGTTAAATAAAGACAGAGGACTATACTGTAAAGTACTATAATTATGTATTTATACCTAAGTTTTTAAGTATAAAGTAGATATTTAATTAGCAATTATTCAATTTATTCAATAACAATGAAGGATTCAAATTCTTGAAATGTAAATAAATTATTCTGCAAATTATTGTTGATTGAACGTCAAACAATATGTAAATTAAATTGTTTCCCCGAGTTATCCTGGGTAACTGGTGCATAACGAGAATTTTACGTTGGGAAATATAAAGTACCTATAGTTTCTAATACACTCTATATAAATACACGAATATTTTGTATTATTAGGTTTATTAAAATTATTGCTATATTATTATAAAATATTATTGCATGACATTATTACCTTTGAGTTAGTATTGGGTATCCGGAATCCACCTACTCAGTTGGATGAATTTGTTTGCCACGTGCAACAGAAGAAATGATCGTAATTCGATGCATCACTTCAAAAGCCAATAAGTATGTGGCGTTTACAACAGCAATGGTCACGCATAATTCATTATCAATACGTTATTGATCCATAGGAAACCGGAGAAGAAAAACCTTAATGAATAATTTTGACCAAAAGTTCAAAATCTGAAAAACATTAACAAAGAGACGACCGTTGTATTACTATGACAACATACATCCGATGTCATGCTGTCGACTACTCGAGTATTCGACAGTCGACAGTCGTTATCGTATCTCGTCACATGTGTAATCTAGTAATCATGAGTTCTTAGGCCCAGTCACTGATAAGAATTAACACGGTAAAGATACGAAATAAACAAAACCGTGGCGGCCATTTTACCATTTGTGATTTTTATCAATTTAGTATTATCAGTTAAACAAATACTGATTTTTCATGTTATACGAGTTGTTGTTTATCATTTAATTCTAGGTTTGAATTAAATTGTGTAATTTATAATATTATATCGTAATGCCAAAAAAACAAAATGTAAAACACAATTTTTATCCAAGAATTTATAGATTCAATTGGTAATAACTTCGACTATTTATCTTAACATTATTAATTTAAAAAGGAACCGTATAAGAATAGTACGAATCAAATAAATAAAAAGGATAATATTGAGTAAGAATATATAGGTTCTGTATAATGATTCACACGACTTCGTCATGCACGATTTGCACGAATACCCATTACGCGACATTATAATATAATATTATAAATTACGCAATTTGATAAAGTTAGATTTGAATTTAAAATATAAACTTAAATGAAATGTTAAACAACTACTTAATAGTCAATACTCATGACACGAATATCTTAATTTTAACTGATAATAGTAAATTGATAAAAATCACCACATTTTTGTTTACATTGAGAGATTACTCAATGATTGAGTGTCCCTTCCGCTTTAATCCACGACAAGAAAAAACAGATATGTGAGCAATATATTTGATACGCATAAAATGGCGGCCGGCTTGCGCCTATTATCAATTTTTCTCTCAACATATTGTAAACATGACAAAATAAAAGTATTTTGTCAACATTGTAAATACATCCTGATAAATAATTGACAGTTGCTCCAATCGGTGATAGGGTATATCGTCTTATTCTAATCCATATTTACTACTAAAAATAAATAAGACCCCAATTAACGTATCAAAACGAAGTTGACAAAGAAGACTAAAAGTACGTTTTCCGTTGCGCGATTGACGAACTAAGATCGCGGTCGCGGTGTTATGGTTTATTCCAGACGATTCTACGTTGCGATCCAGAGATTTATGTAATTTTTGTTTCATAATAAAATATAAATAATTTAACATTCAGTCGTACACAATACTTCAAAGTGCCAAGTCCAAAAGTCCATGCGTACTGCTCGCTTAAAAATAATATCAGTATGGATACATTAAATAAAGAAATCTTGAAAATTCTTTTTCTAGAAAAAGATGATGATTAGATTTTGCCCTGGTATCTGTCTGAAGAAAAAAACTTAACATGATTCATTCTTCAGAAAGAGAAGTACCGAAAGTTATCATAATATAATTATCAACAGCCATCTGAAAAATAATAAAATCAAATTCGGGGAATTTTTTAGAATAAACCGCTATTAGTTTTTTATTTTATTTTGAATCTAATAAGAGATGATTTAAAATCGTCTTCGACTTCATTAAACTTGGGGGCTATTATAGAACTCGAGTTTACCTTTGAACAACCGATGTCAACGAGTGGTCGATCATAATTCATAAATGAGTATTTACTTATCATATTATTTGACATAACGCGGCTTATGTCAATGTGGGACTATCCCTCTGCTCAGTTATATAATAATAAATATAGATATCTAGATTTAAATTTCAGTTTATAATTACATATTAATTACTTTCAAAACAACTAGTCGATTGGTCGCGGTGCGAACGCGATTTGACTGTTCAAGAAGCAGTCAGTTCGCGTATGCTCAAGGAAACCAAGTATATTTAATTTGCATTGTATCAGCAGTGACAGTTGCGTGGTAGGGACACGGGATCTTAGATCGCTGTCACGATTGCATAACGGAAAACGTACCTTAACGTCATCGTTATAACATCTTTGTAAACATTTTGAAGAGAATGATGCAGCTTATTGTGCATATGATTTTTCTGCATAGCAGTGTGGAGAAAAATGTAGTGCACACATAACACCAAGAAATAATGAAGTTTATAGTGGCCAACTGGAATACTTAGTGCTCGGATGTTTGCATAATATTTTAGGTGAATACAATTTGATTTATTAAATTTAATGAATAATGCCAGTTCAAGAATAGTATTAACCTGTTTCACAATTTATATTGTTACCGTCGTTTTTATTATTGTGTCTTACAATTTGCAATATTTCCCATTAATGACTATGACTTTTAAATAGTTACAAACAATACTACTTTATAGATGCTCAAGTATGCTCTCTGCATGAGGCTTGTTAAATCAATAAAATCCTCAAAAGACCCATTGAATTGGCTCTTAATTACACCTTAGTTAACAGAATCTGTAAATACATAAAATATCCACTTAACTTAACTGGCTAAATAATTTACCAATGACTTGAATTTTTTGATATAATGGGGAGAAGAAATGTTATGTCAGTGTCTATTTGTTTAGTTAATATAAATTCTACACATAAAGATATATACATAGTCAATTCTTGTCATCTTGTTTAATCATCAGAAACACTTCATTATATCAGACTATCAGTAAAACTTATTTTCAATAAACAAATTTATTAGTTCAAGATTTTATTTGTTCATTCATATAGGTATTCAAAATTTTCCACTACTAAAAGCAATTGTTAAAGTCGTCTACTATTAACTTGCACTACGCCATTTGAGTAATCAGTCTCTTTGTCAAACACTGCAGTATTGATTTCTGTTTCCTTAATAACAACGGACTTCTGCCTGAATAATGTAAATAGCTTTAATTTTGGAACAAATAAAACACAATGTTTAAATATCAAATATAAATAGTCAGAGTATCATATACCAATAATTTATAAATAATAAAAAGAATTCTCACCATTTAAATATATAATTTTTTTTTTAAATTTAATTCAGGTCACAAAAATATTTCAAGAACAAAATATTTTAGTGGAAATGAATATCTACATTTTTTAAGCAAATTCTTGTGTTGAAGGCAGAGCACATACATAAAATATAGCTTAAATAATAATAGTACAGCAATAAAATAGAATAAAGACAAACATAACATACATAAATTAATTTAAAATAAAATAAAATATGACAAAATTATACATAGATATCTTATTAATTTTATTGTAGAAAAAAGAACAATTTAAAATGAAGTGTAAGATGACTATAAATAATCTATTAATTATAATAAATACCTTACCTGTACCAAATATTATCAAAATTATTTTGTGAAAGCTAAACATAAAATGAGTTACCAAATTTTAAGAACCAAACTAAAATAATATTGCGGTAAATGAATATAAGATAATAGCATCACGTGTAAGACAAAGATAGTAAAACTATTTTAAAATGCCATCTCGTAATAACATTCTCTCTAGGGTTAGATTAAATTCAAATAGAGTTCAATGGATGCATATTAATAGAGTAACATTTAAGATTATAGTTACCTCGCCAAATTTCCTAGTCTAGGAATTCTAGAACTGGGAAATCGCCTATGGCCTATACATTTTCTCTCAACAGCCTCAGTGGCATACATAAATGTCATTAATATTGCTGAAACAATCTTTATTTCAAAGGGATAGCATAGCATAAGACATGTTTTCTCGATTTTTCAAAAAAATGTATTTAAATTAAATTAAATTTTATTCAAAAACTTATTTTCATTACGCGCCTACATTAAGTTCTAGGCAGACAGATAATTATTAAAAGAAAGATCTAAGAGGACTAGCTATAGCTCAGGGTGTCTTAAAAAAGGGCCCTCAGACTTATCTCATTAATAATAATATAACATAAATAATTGGAATTTAAAAAAAAAAAGATGTGTCATTGTTGTTTGTATGTGAGAACTTGAAAAAGTAGCATACATATCTAGTTTTTATCCACAGAGTATTTACCAAATATGATGTAAAAATCTTGTAAAATTAAAATGTCATTATAAATATCTAAAAATTGCTGACATTTTTTGAAAATTAATCATATCAGGATAAGCAAATAAAAGTTAAGTTTTCTGTAAAAAAAATATTTAATTTGCGTATGAAACTCAATGAAGTTTTTTTTCTCCTAAAATTGATGAAATATGTAAAATATTTATTTTAAATTTTAAACTTTTCATTACATATAACAGATATCGCAGTCTCCAAATTTTACTGCGTTTCCATGTTTTCATAATTAATTGGGACATTATTATAATATGATGTATATCTATATTCATGTTTTATAAAGCTTAACATCTTGCCAATTAAACGTTTTGACACGAAAAAAATATATCTATATTATCTATAGAGAATACAATTCTGGTATACTTTAAAAATTTCATGATTTTTCAGAACTAATCCTGGGATTTCAAGATTACATTTCAAAATAAATAAATAAATTGATAAAAAAAAAGAAAAGATAAATACATTTTGAAAAATAATTTTATTTTTATTATACATAAATGTTAGGTATACATTTTTTTAATACAAATTTAACAATTTAATATTATGTATTACAGACAAAAAAATATGAATAATAAATAGAAAAATGTTTTATTTAATGATAATATTTTGAAAGTATAATCAAAGGAAAAAAATTTTTGATTTTCAAGAGCAAAAAAAAAATGGTCTGGATTCCAGGATTTTATTCTCTAATAATCAAAAAATGTATTAATATTTTTATTACCTATCATAGTATGTTAGTTTTAATTATATATATAGTTTGATTTAAGATATCATTTTTATTTAGTTATTTTTAAATTTTATATGTTGTACTTGATTTGGCTAGGCAAACGATAGGTCCCTAATTATTTTTGATAAACATTTTTCACAATCTGTAAACTTAAGACCAGACTAAATAAACTAATTTTATACTTTATTTATTTTTGATCAAATTTTAACTGATAATTGCAAAAAAATATCATTAAATTACAAATAAAATTAGTCTAATCATAAGTATTGAAATTGTTTGAACTTAAAATTTGACATTTTTTCAAGTAATTTTGTTATGTTAATGCCAGAAACTTGTATACATGTGATGATACGGTTAAAACAAGTAGGATAAATGAAATTGCCACTATATTTGTTTTTTGTATGGAGAAGTACGGTATGGTCTCATTTGGTATACACTAGTTTAGAATTAGTATATTAAATTTATATTACATTGGACACAATATATACTTGATAATAAGAATATAAAATATATACACACATATATTATTAAAATATTTAAAATATATTTATTAAATATATAATTGACATACTGTAAATAACAGTAATTAATTTTTGATGAATAAAAAATCAATATATACAGCTATACAAAAAAATAAATTTTTTATACTTTACAACTTTACTTTACACCAACAAAACAGAACTATTGTAAATTATACCTTATAAACTACTTATGACATATTCTGTTGCGGCCTCGGTCTGAGTATTAGTTTTCCGGATTCGTCACAAGACATATTAAAATCTGCTAGTACTTGTCTAACGCGGGACGTGATTATTGATGTCCCTATCACTTTTTTGTGTATACCAGTTAGGAGTAATGCCACTGATTACAAAAAACAAAACAATAAATAAGTATTGTATAACAATGTTCCAAAACTAGAAAATTATTTTTCCTTACTAAGTACTATAGATGAGATGGTGAACAATAAATGGTTGTACAGTGATTGTATGAAAGACACTTTCGCTGTTTGTGGATCAGACAGCCAGTAATAAGCACCAATTGATGCGCTTAGAGTTGAAAGGGCTAAAACTGCTGTAAAAAAAATAAAAATAACATTATATTATTGACAAAGATGAAAATCAAAAATGATCTTACTGCGCCATCGATTAGTTATTGGTTTGATAGAAGCGATTGCCTCGGTCAGTCGCCTTTCAAAAGCTTTAAGATCTATAAAATAAATTAATGATTAGTAAAAACAATTATTTAAACTACTAGGAAACATAATATAAATGCTTCAAACATACAAGAAACATTATAATTTAACATTTATTTGAGTACGATAAAAAAATTTTTCCCTTTGTGTCCATGTAATAATAAATGATTTTTGTTTTTATTTTATCCATATTACTATTTTTGTGTACATCCACTCCTATCATAGGTTTAACCCATATATCGTGTTGACAGTGCCAAATTAAATGCTTATAAATCCCTAGTCCCCACTATAACACTTTATTTTCCTTTTCCTTTAATTCTTTAATCTCTTAAAATATATCACTGTGCAGACATATTTATAAATTATAATGCGCGACACAAGTCTTTAGGTATATTTATAGATATAGACTTATTGACAGAGCATTAGCGTATTTGCCGATTATTTTAAAAATGAATAACTCAATTATTTTTTCAACTTATAGAAATAGAAATAAGTGTAAAACTGGCTCTTTAACTTAAATTACTGTTAAAAAAAAAAAATTTAATTGTAATTCCAAAGATTTTTAATTTCATATAGACAGATATATATGTTACGGTTCAAGTGGAAAAACGGTCATAGTAAACATCATGGATAGTTATGTACATAGACTAGATATTATGGTCAATACTATCAGTAACAAGTACAAAAAATTGTTTAATAATATATTTATTACATTTACATCTCCTTGTGTCTCCTTTTGAACACAAGTACGGTGGTCAACCTTAAAATCCTAGATCGGATAACAGCCTAGCTACTTTTCTGAGTGATAACCATGAATGTCAGGTACATCACTACCTTCCTTGCAAATTGCAAATTGATTTTTACTATAATGATGCTATAGTTCATTTTTGGTTATGCTTCATTTGTAATTTCCATCTCTCTTGTAAACAAATTTTAATTATACATTAGTGAACATGTTAATAATGTAAATTTGATTGCTTATAAAGTTATAACACCTGACATAGTTATTCCCAAAATTAATCGTAAGTCACTTCAAGCTCAGTCTACAATTAGAATTTTTATTTTTCCTTCACTCAATTTTCTTTCTGGGATGGATTTCATTTTATTAGCTAGAATCTATACATTTTTACAGATTGAAGTTCTTAGTTTTACGACTTAAATTTGTGATATTTCATCTGGATTATCTGCTTAGTAAATTATAATTCCCTCAGAACAAAAACAATGTTGTATACCTCTTAATAATAATAGATTGGTAAGTAATAAAATAAACTTATACATTTAGTTGACATATTATAAATTGTATATAACCACACCAGTTATAGCACTATATACAATGACTAGTCTATATAAGAAATAAATATTTAAAATTATTTACATTACTCGAATATTCTGTGTGATGTATACAATGCACAGTCAGTGTTTACAAAGAACCATTTTTCCACTAGGACCGTAACATATAAATTAGATTTGAAAAAAATTTGTTCACATCATAACGATGATTAATAATTCATATCTTCAATTTAACACCATTCATTTAGACTATGTTAGCTGAAAATATAGTGACTTACATGAATTTACAATTAGTTTAATTAAATGAGATTGATTTAAAATTAAGGATAGTGTTACAGAGTATTAAATACTAATGTACATAAACATGAAGGGCAGATACATACTACTCTAATTCCTCGTAGGAACAACTTTATTTTATAATCAAAATACTATAATCCTGTCTCACGCATCTATGTAAAATAACGTTTTAAGAGCTCAAGGCCAAATGTATCAGTTTGAAGTAACAAACCCGTTATGATTTTGTACAAAACACAATTTTGAGAGAAGTACTATGAAATTGAGGTTGAATGTTGCAATTATCAAATCGAGTAGGTGCTCGAGCTATATATAATATTAAATGATTACCATCACATGCAGCCTGTTCGTAAGTCATAATTATTAATCAGTCTTGACTCTGTCTCGGAAGAACGAGATAAATTATTGTTCAATTTGGACGATCCGTACCTCTGGAGTCTGGACCACGGCCAAATGTCAGATATGGCCATGATTTAAACGTTATCTAATAACCACAGAATAATGATAATATTTGTTGTTGCATTTACAAATAAATCATAGAATTAGATATAATATTTATTATCTATATCTATGTAACAAATATACCAAAACCATTGAGTAGTGACCAAGACCGGTTACTATAATCTAACCCATGGACATATTATATGTTTATGTCACAATATCTAAATCATAATTCATAGACTTTAGTATAAGGTTTATGTACCGTGATGTATATACATTTCGATGGATTTATGATATAAATATATCTTTATATGTCTATTTTTTTGGCGCTCTTTGCATATAATCATATTAGTTTTAAGTCTGTCAAAAATTGGTTTGTAGTTATCATTTTATCTTAATTTATGTATTTTCATTTATTCTTTGTAAATTGCCGTTGGGCGTTAATAAAATAAATTGTTTATGATCTAACCTTAATAGTATTTACTACATAGAGTAACATTAGCGATTGCATTTTAGACAACTGCCCTCTACCCAACTTTTTGGGAGAACAGCAGTAAATCGAAAATAGTAAGAACTGTTTATAGAAATGTGAGTCTGGTTGCAAACAATCATACTTATCACGAAATAAAATCCTACCCGACGTGATTTTGAATTATTAATCGTTGTTAATTTTCGATTTATTTCTTCCAATTGCTTGATTTGTTTAATTTTGTCTGAGGCCAAAGGCTAAAGATAATCAATTGTATATAATTAAATACAGTCGTCTTTAGTATATGAAATGGTATTGAAATTACTCTTTTGGACCGTTATTATTATGTTTATCATTTTCGAACAACTGCTTGTGTTACAACCATAGAATGACCACGGACAAATAGCATTTTCTGTATGTGCGCACGACGATTAAAGACTAATATCTAGAGCAGACAACTGATATAGTAATATTGTCCGAAAAAATAACTCACAAGCTTATTTCTATGTCTCAGGGCCCAGAAATTAAATGGCAGATATCCGATTTCAACCATAACACTATAATGATATGGTAAATGACAATTGGCAATTTAGTTTATATCTGTGATCTATTATAATATATTTAATTTACGGTATCAGTAAAGTGGTAGAGTACTACAGTGTTCCCGACTAGGTCATTCGTTTGCGGTCACACTGATACTACATGTATGGGCGTGTACCACCGCGGCCCGAGGGTTGTGCACTTTGTACTGAAGTCAACAACAACTGCATCCCGTACAGCTTGTGTGGCCAATGGGGCCGTGGAAATTTTCCATAGAAGAAAGAGGCAAGAACCCATCGTCGTAAAATCAAATTAAAGGAATGAGGAAGGCCACGACGTCGTTTCACTCGTTTCTCTCGTTTATTAATCAGAATTCAGTATAGCTGAGCCTCAAATTTTTCTTACGAGCCTCGAGTGCCCGAATTTTTTTTTAGCTGGTCTGTAGTCTGTCGTATACATTTTTTTTTTTTTTGTTCGTCACGAAGTTCATTGTCGTAACGCGTAGGGTATTGTTTTTGTTATTGTTTTTCTCTCCCTTTTTGTTCCCGTTTAATTTTATATTATCGTATATAAATAATATTCTATATCACTACATTTTTTTCATACCTTACGGTAGTGTGAATTCTTTTTCGTATTACTATTATTATTATTCTGTTTTTAATTTTTATATTTTGTACCTACTCCGTCGACTATTATCGTATCACACAAGTAAGTTGAACGTTTAAATTATATTAATTTATTATACCAACAAAACTTGTATTACAATACAATGCCTTATTTTATTATATTTCCTACTTTAATATTCCGCCATTTGTTAATTTTTGAGTGAAAACCTACATAGTAAATTTCGTGACATATGTCTGTTTATTTTGGTATTTATAAAATTTTTAACTTTTTCAAAATGATCTGTAATAACTATGTAGGTATTAATAGTTTTGTTGAAACTTGCATATTTTGTTAAATTGATTTCACAACTGAAACATTTTAATTTATTTTTAATAAACATTATTAATTACGAATAGTAGGTATGTTAAATTATAATATAAATAATTATATTTATATTAGGATACACGTTTAAATAGATCCATGGTCTTACACTACCTAGTTTAAAATAAGTTTTTAATAATCACCAAGTTTATTTTATTTTGGGTATTATTTGTGTTTTTGAATCCTTATAAAATAATTTTCTTCAAATATTTCAAGTGTAAATTTTATTAATCTATATACTTATATAATATTCTAGTGTTGCAACTATTGGGGTCTTATCTTCCGTTAAGCTGTTGAAATTACTAATTTGTAGTACATAAGTACAGTGATATTGTGTAGTTATGGGAAAGTGTATTCTAACTTCTTAGTTTACTATTCAAATGTGTATGTGTGTTAAGTTTCAAGTTTCTCAAGCATATACTTGCACAATAAATAAATTAGTACTAGGGATATCACTGCCTATGTATATTAGCTGTTTGCTATTAGTTTCAACCCTCTAATATGATCTAAATTTGAGAATTTATGATGTATTTATGTAATATGAAATTTTATTAGCTCTAATATTAATTTATAGTGTATACTATGATAAATACTGATACATTTTTTTTTTTTTTTAATTTAAATAATTGGATTTTCTTATTATTTTGTACAATTGGGTGTTTAAATTTGTTATAGAATTTTTTTGGTGTAGATATTTTTAGTTACAATAGTTCAATGGTAGTTTACAGAACATGCAATGCAAATAAAAGAAGTTACAGACACAAATACAATATCTAACAAATTCTAAATAGAAACTACTTACAAGAAGTTAATCTAGAAAAAAAAAAATCAAAAGATCTTAGGAAAAATGATAATTTATAGATTATCATTCAAATTTAATATTTTAATAAGGTATCTATAATAAAAAAATATATTGATTGCTTGAAGTTAATTTAACAATTAATACACATATTTATATTTTAAAACTTTTTAAAAAAGATAATATTCTATACTTCGGTCTACTTCCTACGAGAAGTAAATTGCGGTCCGACTAAAACAAGTCTAATTACGCACATGTATAGAAATTGCAACACTTAACTGAATGGAACAAAGTGGGGAAAACAGTACAGTAGTCGTTTATTTACATACGCGAAACAATCTATTTCTTTTGTGGGCCAGAGTATAATCTAAAATTTAGATAAATTAACTAAAATAATAAATCACAAAATTTATGTTGATCTCTATTATGATAATTACAATTTAGATTCAAGATATGAGTTGAAATAGATTACCTAAGTCACTTATTTGTTGGTTGATATTGTACCTAATGTAATTATTGATTTGTTAAATAGTCTGTCAAAATTGTTTGCCAAATTTATGAAATTTTAGATAATACAAATTACTTTGTTTTTTTTTCACTTTTATTGCTTTTTTGTTTTACCTTTTAGTACTATTTTATCACTGTTTCAAATTTTTGGGACACAAACATAAGTTGCTTGCATCTAATTGAGACTCTGATACATTTACTTTGACATTTTTCATTTACTTCTTAAATATTACTTAATAGAAGGTATTATTCAAATTTCTAATCACTAATTTTTAAATAAAGTATCTTCAAATATTTAAGTAATAAATCATGACATATAGACATTATAATATATTATATACTTTATAATAGTAAGTATATTGTATTTGTTTTATTTATTTATTTGAATATTCTTCAAGGGCATAATGTTAAGTACAGATTTTATTTTTATCAATGTATACCTATTGTTATCAACAGTAGATATTATAGCTATTAAATTTAACTTACATTATACCTAGGTACATTAAATTAAAACAAAGTATGTATTCTTGTATTATAAACATCTTATATTAATACAATTTTCAATTTTTGTTACACTTTTGGCCCCTGAAATGTAACAAAGATTGAAATACCTACATTTAATGCAAACAAATTTGACTAGTTTTAATTCTGATCACACTTTGTTAGGTATTAGTTGTGTCATTAATTTGTATTCCTCAATTTATTTGTTTTTTTGTTCAAAAGTAACCATACTGTTGCACTGTAAATACTGTACTTACCTAGTATAAATATTTTTCAAAATGCCCATTGTATCAAATTGAAACTGTTAGTAATTATTTTGATGTTTACATAGTGGCGGATTCAGGGGCAATCATCCCCCTCATGATGTTCCCGAATATATTCTTAGCTTGATTTTTATCATAAATGTGTACTTAATAAATGTTCTTAAAATCGTCTCCCATCTTGTTTTTTCGTCCAGAATCTATCATTGTATATTTGAATAACAAACAATAATATAAAATACAAATTTATAGTCATGTCATAAAGTATGCTTAAATAGTTGTTTACAATTTAAATTAAATTAAACAAATAATTTCACATATTAGGGAAAAATAAATTATATTTTTATTTACTAAAACTACATATTGTTTGTTCAACTTTTTTTTATTTTGTTATAAATGTAAAATATTTTTATTTTTTATGCTTATTGCTATTTTAACTAGGTAGTGTATTCAGTATTTTTAAATACTAAAATAGTTATTTTGTCATGTTATAAAATAATTTAATACATTTAAGTTTTTGTACTAAAAACAATAATAATGCATTTAGAATTTGTGTATCACTATATTTCTATAATAATTAATATTATAATTCAATTTTATACTTGGAACATTATTGTTTATTGAAGTTATACCTACTGTGTTTTATGTAACTAATAATTTCTCACTAATTGTCAAGAATCAATAGTATAACAGTTTAAATTCAGTTATCTCACTGTATAATCAAATTGAATAATGTATATTTAAAGGGGAAATCCCCTTGACTATTTTAAGTACTTTAGAACATTTTCTCCCAGTATATTTTTTAATGCTGATATTTCCCAAACCCCATATTTTTTTAAAAATCTATTTGAATATTTTTGTTTTAATATGTAATAAATAAAACAATAAATTTTCATGAATATAATTAAAGATGAAGGTATAATATATTATTATATTATAAATGTATAATTTAAAATTATAACAAGAATTCAACATTAAAATATTTGGATGTTCATTGATGCACTCTAGAGTTCAAATACACTAGTAATTAGGTATTAAATTGTTAAACATATGAATTAATTAAAAAAAAAAAAAAAAATAATAAATTTGAATAAAAGCTTAAAAATATACATGAATATTTAGCTTTTTTTTATTAATTATTTTATATTTAGAGATTAACTAAATCTTTTAGTTATATTTTTCTTAATTTGTTTTAAATATTACTTATTTTTATAATAATACTTTCTATTGTATTAAATATACAATAATTTAAAATATTCAAATATAAATTTATAATTATTAGTGTTGTTACGAACTCTGATTTTAAAATATTTTATTGAATTAAAAAATTAAAAAGGTTATCTTGTGGTTTGATGGTTAAAATTATATATTTGTATGAAATTTATAAAATAAATAATAATAATATTTAAGACTTATGTGACAAAAGTATAATTTTTCTTTTTCTTAACAAGGCCACCCTCTCACCACAGAACATATTGGTGACCATGCTAAATTGGCATCAAATGATTTTCAAACCAAATTATTGGGTATTTGTTTTGGTTTGATTATTTACAATTTTTAAAAAGTTTGTAACATTTCTACTAATTATAAATATTTGAAAAATATGGGGAACATGTTCTCATTGAAAAATGTTCTACTACACCAAAAATAGTTAAGAGGGGGGAAATTGTTTATTTACAAAATAATGTATCTAGGATTGAATTGCTATCTTGAGAATTTGTTTCTATTAATACTTGATTTAATCTATCTACGGTTATTGAAAACATTTTAAAACAACCATAAATATATTATAAGTTAACTAATGCTAAGCTTCAAGAACATTATGAAATGATAAATTAGTATTTTAAAATTGCACATTTCTTTCTATGGCCATCTGTGTTGACTGTTTTTGTAATAAATTAATACAACTATAACTTTATGGTTTATCAAATTATAAAATTACAATATTACAAACATAGATATATGTTATGTTTAGTATATAATAGATGCCTGACTCGGTTTCCATATTTTAAGCCAACTTATAAATCATAATGTTGATGAAGCAATGTTTACATGTTTACAATCCGATGTTATCAATCTTAGTGATAAAAAATTAGAATAATTTAAAATATATTAATATATTATTACCTATGTTGAAATAGTATTTTAATTTTTAATTTAATGTCGACTGTAGTGTATTTAAAACTATATTTTTGATTGTTTTTAATTATATTATCATAATAATATTGATAATAGATTGTAAACATTGCCCAACTTACTTGGCTTCAAATACCTATACATGGTAAAATATAGAGTCCGGCATCTAGTATATAGTGTATATCTGTGCTTACAAATTAAATAAAAATTAGTAGTCATAGCAGGAATACTACTGGTGGCCATTCGTGACTACTCCACCATATCTATATAATTATCTAATTTTAATTTTCTAACCTCTTACTTTAAATACAAATGTTTATGCTAATGTTTATTATGTTTTTTTTTCATTTTTGTTTTATTTTAGGACTAAATCAAGATATACATACTAATTGAGTTATAAGATAATACTAACAAAGTAGCAAATCTCAGTGTGCACCATCAATCAGGAATAAAATAGGTATCTAGTATCTAAATAACTACTGATTATTATTTTTTGACCATGTAACAAAAAGTACCTATAATGATTATTTCCTAATTTGAATTTTGTATTAAATAGTATGAATTGAAAAAAACATTGATTTTATATATTTTAACTAATAGTTGCTACACTAATAACAGTGTTAAACTTCTTAAGAATATTTTAATTTTTGATTAGACTTCATAAAATCCCCTTAAAATGTTTGGAATGACATCAGCAATCAGTGATGCACTTCCAACAGATATTGACATACAATTAACAAAATCATTAGATGAAGCTCTGTCAAAAGAAAAAGTTATTACTACTGATGATGATTTGTCTCAAAGGCTAGAAGTTTTATCTATGCTAAATAATTTGGCTAAAGAATGGATACGTGAAGTAAGTATGGAAAGAAATTTACCAGAAATTACTGCTGACAATGTTGGAGGATTAGTGTGTACCTTTGGATCATATCGCCTTGGAGTTTACCATAAAGGTGCTGATATTGATGCTATCATCATTGTTCCTAGACATATAACCAGAGCGGATTATTTTTCGACCTTTTATAATAAATTGAAAGAAAATCCTACTATAAACTATGTGCGAGCAGTTGAAGAAGCATTTGTTCCTGTAATTAAAATGATAATACAAGGAATTGAAATTGATATGTTGTTTGCACGCCTTGCTTTAAAAGAAGTACATGAAGATACTGATTTGCAACAAGATGATTTACTAAGAAATTTGAATCCTAAATGTGTACGCAGTTTAAATGGTTGTCGGGTCACAGATTCAATTTTACGATTAGTTCCGAATCGAGAATCATTCAAGAAAACATTAATTGCCATTAAATTGTGGGCTAAACGCAAAAGAGTTTATTCAAACGCTTTAGGATACCTCGGTGGTGTTTCGTGGGCAATGTTAGTAGCAAGAATATGTCAATTGTATCCCAATGCAGCGCCTGCTACCTTAATACACAAATTTTTTTTGATTTTTTCTAAATGGCAGTGGCCTCAACCAGTTTTGTTAAAACCATCGTATTATATGGATCTTGGGTATCCAGTTTGGGACCCCAGAGTAAACATGTCAGATCGTACTCACGTTATGCCTATTATAACTCCAGTTTACCCTCAACAAAATTCAACATTTAATGTTTCTAATTCTACTTTAAACATAATTCAAGAGGAATTTAAAACTAGTTTAGACATAATGGGAGAAATTTTAACTGGAGAATCTAGTTGGTCAAAACTTTTTCAACCGTCAAAGTTTTTCACAAAGTATAGATATTTCTTAGCCATAACTGTATTTGCAAACTGTGATGAAGATTTATTTGAGTGGAGAGGTTTAGTCGAATCCAAACTTCGTTTCTTACCCTCTTCTTTAGAAGAAATTGCTTGTGTGCGAAGATCTCATTTAAATCCTGATCAATTTTTACTACCTGATAAAATGTCACAAGGCAGGCCATCATCAGTTTGGTTTATTGGCCTTGAAATAGGAAAGTCTGATGGCACGGTTGTAAATTTAGACTTTAGCACACATATACGAGATTTTTGCATTCTAGTTAAAGCTAGAGCACATTCTATTTTTAGACAAGGAATGGATATTCAAGTTAATCATTTAAAACGAAAAGATTTAAGAAATTATGTACCTTTTGAGTTGAAAAATGAAAAGGCAATTCCAAATACGGTTGGAAGTAAAATTATTGCTCGGTTATCAACTGAAGGTAGAAATTCTATATCAGAATCTGAAGAACTGCAAAAGAGTCCTAACTCTAAAAAACGTATAGCTGAAAACGAAATTGATAATAATAAAAAAAGAAAATCTCTATTGTCAGATAAAGAACAGGATTTAATTTTAGAACTCATAGAATCTCAAAAAAGTAAAACATCTGAAAACGAATTAAGTGATAACCATACAAACAGTCAGGTATCAACTGAAGAAGAAAATAGTTCCATACCAAATGAAAATGAAAGTAGTGAAAAAGAATCTTTATTATCAACTACATCTAGTCATTCCAAAACAGAATCTGAAGATTCTCCGAATAGTCCAGTATCAAATAAATACTGTATTGAAGATGAAAGTGATAACAAAGAATTAAGGCTTCTAAATCCTCCTGTTGCCTAGTTAACCTTGTATTTATATGATAAAAATCTTCAAATAATAAAAAAAATGTATGTATATGTATATATATATATATAAATATATATATATATACCCCAAAAAAAAGAAAAAAGAAAATTAAAAAAAAAAAAACAAACAAATTTGAAAAAAAATGCTTCAATGTAAACAATGCATTTTTTTTTTGTAAAAATAAGTAAATCATTTCTTGTTTTATTATATTGTGATATTTACCATATGTCACACATAAAGATACATATTTAAACAGCATGATGGTTATGTATTGGTGTGGATTTAATGGGTTCAATCAATTGAATAGCGAACCATTTACCAATTTGGGCTTTCATATTTATGGTGCCACAAGAAATAATGAAGAAGTTCAACAAGTTGCTTTTTCTTGGAGTTCTGCTTCGGTTTTAACAAGTATTCAATTTTTATAAACTAATTTTTGTTTAAAACCTATTAAATTGCATCTATTTAATTTAAGGTTCTGGAGAAATTTGTATCAGTGGCCTGGTTAACAAAAGATTAGTCAGTTGTGAAGTATTAAAAAACACAGGCTGTGATTCTTTTAAAACTGTAAGTATTTTATAATTTTATAATTTTACATTAAATTAAATTAAAGTTTTATTAAAAAGTATGATATAGTTTCTAATATATTACGGGTAAAGTAGGAAGTCCGAGCATTGTATTACAATGTGTACCATACCCAGATTCAAGTGGGCAAAGTAAATTACATTCATAGTACACTTGTACATATTATATTATGCAATAGGTAACTTACCTGCATATTTTATTTATTTGATACCACAACTTTTTAAATTAGTTTCTTTTCTTTCACCTTTGGCCACCCTCATTTTAAACTTCTACTAGAGCTAATCTCATCTCACATACACCGGCTGTTTTCATATCATATCAATTTAAATTGTGCCTCAATTGAATTATTTTTTAAACAATTTTAAAGTTTTAGAATTTAAGAGAAGCAAGGAATGTATTGTTTTATTTTTTTTTTTTTTATCTGCAAATAACTTTTTTGACGGAAACCTTGCTCTGATTCTCAAGTGTAGTATCATTTTTGAAAGGAAATTTTATCCGAGTGATATTTTATGGAAGTCTTATTTGATTTTCTAAGCAGTTTTCATAATAATTGGGAAATAATGTGAAAATTTAAGAAATTTATTATTTTCAATTTTGTTTTTTGTTGTGATTCAGTTAAAAATAATCACAGAGATTTGAAATTTGGACAGAAAAGTTGTATTTACCTTTTCTAAAAGTAGTATAATTTTAAAAACATTTTAATTTTACAAGTCTTATGTAATTTTTATTTGGTGTGTATCTATGGATAAAATTGTTTGACGAAACAGAAGTGCTTGAAAATTTAACAGAAGGTTCATTATAAAACGTACTTTGTAGACCAAAAAAAAAAAAACATTGAGCATAATTTAGAATTTTTTTTTTATAAGTATTTTAATATCAAATTTTGACAAAAATTGGAAATATTACGGCCTTTCAAAACTTGTATAACCAAATAATTTTTCATTAGCAATAATTATTTGTTGTGTACAGATATACATTAAATTCCTATCTATATCTTACCTTCCCAACTTCTCACCTACAACAGTGGCGAATCCATCGTGCGAGGTATGTCCGTCTTTTTTTTTTTGTTTTTAAGTATAAAAATAATTGTGCAGAGCTCCAGTTATTATTATTATAAAAAAAAAAAAAAATTAAATATATTTAATAGAAAAAAAAGTTATTACTTTTGTTAAATAGTCCTGTTACAGGTACCTTTGTACATAAACCAGATAAACCACGGGTGACCAATAATATGTATCTCAACGATAAAGTGATCATGCTGTAAATTTGCGCACATCTTATTTTTTATCAAATATTTTCTACTGATTTTTATAATTTATTAGAAAAGTATGCAACTCAGTGCCATAATAGTGGTTCTTGTAAAAATAAAAAATAAAATTACTATAATTTAATAATATTAATTTTATTTGTATTAAACCCCTTATAGAAATTTAATAATAAAAATTCTTCAATAGAAGATATCTAACAATGTTTCAGTGAATAATAAATTTAAAAGTTCAATTTTTTTTTGTTTACTAAAATAGGTATCCAGTGAGATGTTTTATTTAATTTTAATATTTTTTATGTATAATTACTTTGCCACTCGTCACTGTATATCAGTGTTTCTCAATCCAGGGATTGCATTATTCTGAAATAATTAAATGCTGATGTAAGAAAAAAATATTTTATTTTAAAAAATAAAATAAAAATCTACATTAAATATAAAAATGAATACATGATTACAAAAATGTAAAAGCATAAGCTATTGCTATAAAATATTAATTAATTACGATTGTTTTATATTAAAAAGTTTGTTTATTTGTGGTACGACATTAGAAACTCAAAAAAGTAATTTATTTTCTTATTATAAACGATTTCTGTATTTAGTTTAGTTTTTAATGCAACCATACAAAATTGTATAGAAGACTTTTTTTGTAGAGATAAGTGACCAATGAAATCAATGTTTTCAATTAATCTGTTATTAAGTTATGTAAAATAGATAAAAGCTTAAATTAGTTTTTATAATAAGGGGGTTGTGATTGTCTTTATTTCTTAACCTATTTTGGGGGCAATGCCACTAAAAAGATTGAGGAAAAATGCTGTATATAATGCCTGGACAATGTAAACTACTTTGTCTTACTTTGCCCTCGAATATTAGGCATTGCGATAAAATGCCCAACTTCCTTTGTTTGTAATATATATACTTATGTATTTGTGTGTATTTTTATGTTTAGATGTCTATATCTGAAACAAATTTATTAGCTACTGATTTTAATGGAAATTGTTGGTCCTATATAAAAAGTGATGACAAATGGAACGATATTACTCAATTATTACAGAAAGAAAAACAAGTCTGTCAATCAGAAAATCATAATGAATCCTCTATAAGGAATGTGTGCTGTAGTGATACTATACATTTAGCAGTTACTTATAACGGTACTTAATTATTGACACTTTATAGTAACTTATTATGCTGTAATTATTAATTTCAGAAATTTATTCAATTCCATCTAAAATATACGATTCAAAATTTAAAGTTGCTCAAGTAGCGTGTGGTTTTGAACACATTCTTATTTTAATGGAAACTGGATGTTTATATACTCAAGGATATGGTAGGTAAGTATCCTAATTTAATATTAGAATAATAATTTTAAATTGATTGATGATGATTCAATATTATAATTTAATTAACTTTGTCAATTGTAAAAACTAAAAATATAATTATATCACTAAAACCATTTTGTTTTCAATATTAATATTATTGCTTTTAAATAAATAATAAAGTTACAAAATTGTTAATTATTAAAATACAGTGTTTAACTATTAATTTAAATTTTAACATCATATATATAGAAAACAAAAATTCAATTAAATGCACCGAATCGTTTTTATATTGTTTACAATTATATAGCTGGTTTTAATGCTTACAGCCGAGGTCAATTGGGTCACGGTGAATTAAATGAAGAAGATTATCCCCGTATTTTAAAAGCTTTAGATGGTATTCGTATTATTAATACTTCTGCTGGTGGATGGCATTCAGCTGCAATAACCGAGTATAATGATCTCTACATGTGGGGATGGAATCATTCTGGACAACTAGGGATTTCAAACTCTCCAGGTAGTACTATTTATAATAATAAAGTATCTTATAAATTAATCATTTGTTAAAAATCATTTAACAATTAAAAAATCTTAATTTCAATTTGCATAAAAATAATTGATAAATAAACTTGATGTGGTAATCATTCAATGTATTAAACATTTTAATCAGATTATTTTATTTTACTGTTAGAAGAAACTGTTACTAATAAAATCATAACTAATTTAAGGTTGTATGTTTTATTGGTTTACGGCACTAGTTAACGTATTGGAAAATACGTTGAAACAGGTGAAATATAATGTTGTGTGTTTTAACATATTTTTGAAAAATAAAAATAAATTGTTCTATTTATAACATTTTTACAGAAAATGATGGTATAATAATGATGCTGGAACCAGTGCTGATTAATTGGCCAGAAGAAACAGATATTGAACAAGTGAGTTTAGGGGCTAGACATTCAATGGTTCTATCTAAGAATAATGTTCTTTGGGGTTGTGGGTGGAATGCTCACAAACAGCTTGGGTTAGAAACATACCAACTAACTTGTGATCGAATGATTAATTTGAGTAATTTATCGCCGTTGCTTAAGCACAATGTGAAAAAAATCATTAGAGTAATATGTGGTGCGTGGAATAGTGCCTTACTACTAGAGAACTAAACATTTAATTATTAAAAATTATAATATTTAACACTAATAACAGGTTAATTCAATATCAATATAATATGTGAAATTTAGTAGTTGTGTTTTTCAGAAATGAACTAAACGAATCATTTTAAAAGTTATGACATACTTAACATTTTCTACACTATTTTGATTGATTCTTATGTTTTATATGCTTAAATGTGTATAGTTTTATGATAATATATATTTAAATCCATATCCTTTTATAGCTCTTGTTTTTAATTAATTTTTTTCTTTAGATTACCAGTACATTTTAAATATTTGCTTCATAGAATTTTATTAGACAACTACTAGATAACTATTTAAGTAATATATAAATATTACCTACTTATATATAATATATATAAATTTAAATAAATATCTATACGAGTAGAGAATGTATTTATGTAATTTAGGAAAGTTAATATTTATATTATTTTTTAACTTGTCTAGAATTGAAAAGGTCAATATTTTTAATAATAAAAAAAAATTGTACTTCTTCAATGAACAAAACATGGTGTGGTGTTCAACACAATAATTAATTTAACAGTTGTTGGCAAGTTTAAATTGACAGCATTATGTACCTATTATATTGTTATTTTTTATTTTTTGAAATAAACTATTTGAATTTTATATTTGTATGTGTTATAATTTTTATTTATTGAGTAAACAATATTAAATAGTTATGTAATAAATAATACCAAGTATAAATGTTCTTTATAATAATCACTTTCACATAAGTGCTTGAAAGTATGAATTTTAGATAAATAATAATAATAATTTTAAAATAATATACTTTAGCTGTTTTAAACATTCATTATTATATCTTAGTTTATTTTGGTTTTGTGATTTTGCCATAATACCTCTTTTACAAGATACTAAAATGGCTATTACTAAGAAACTGTTGATCGGATATGAATGTATGATACATTAAAATGTTTAAAATAATATTTTTTACAAATTGGCTATTTTTTTGAAAATTTTAAGAAGTAAAAAAAATAGTTATTTTTTTCCATGATTATGGGATGAAAATAAAAATTATATTTTTTTCTACATTTGTGTAGTGTCCCCCTGATAAAGATCCTATTTTAAAAAAATAATATACCTAGCATTTTTAAAATATGTGTTACGCCGTAGCACACTTAAATAATACAGATATTATTTGTGGCTGAGGCTGCACCTTAGAAAGATGCCAGAACCCGAGTTCTGATGCCTGACTTTTAACAGTTATTAAGGCGATAAGATAGGTAATTAAATTCAAGAATTATTTTGATAAAACATTGTAGTTGAAACAGAGTAAGTATTTTTTACTTTTGTGTAGTAATTAGCAACATACTATTCACTGACAACTATAGTATTAAGGCTTTAATGAAATAAAATTATGGATCGTATATCACATAAACATAATATAATATCATAAAAAGTATATAATCTAACCAAAAATAACTGGTATTCAGTAATTAATAATTGCTAATTATAATATAATCTGATTACATAAATAGTGATTCATATTATGAATTTATATCCATGGATAAATGTATTATTATCTATGCACAAATATGCTATGGCCTTGGGTGCCTTGGTTGATGTATCATTGGGCTATGTAGCCATTATATAATAATGACACTTATCGGTTTAGATATCAATTTTTAATAGGTCTTATCGATATTCACAAGTGAAATTAATTCAGTGTAGCCAAATAAAGATTTCCCTAAAAATGATTCATTCTAAGTGGAACGTGGACGCATGAGATAACCTCATTTTATTTTCCGGTTTTGATAACTAGATAACCTATTCTTTTACATTATTCTGAATTCACAATTTCACTTGGTCTTCGCGAACGTTCTATTTTCTCATTATTCTCTCTTTTTGATTTAAATTAAATTTCATTGGAAATCTACAGAAATGGTAAGTATAAACCACGTTAACATGGTTATCTATTTTAAATTTGTACGTTCCATATTATTTGTGTAATGTTTTTTTGGTTCCTTATGTTATATTAATTTGTATATCGAATGGGTTTTTAAATTGTAACATTATAGTAATATTTAATCTATTTGCATAGGCATCGATAGCAACGAAATTTCGCCCTCTTTTTGACCGAGTTTTGGTAAAACGTTTGGATGCAGTCAAACAAAGCAAAGGTGGTATCATGCTGCCTGAAAGTGCTTCGAAGAAAGTTCTCGAAGCCACTGTTGTTGCTGTCGGACCAGGTTCAAGAAATCAGGTATAGTTAGTTATAATAAATTATTATCTTGCATAGTTGTGTGATTGGTGCAAAATATGATGCCCCCTTGTTAGTATAGTCAGTGGTAGAGGTCAAGTAAGCTAAGACGGGATCAATTGTGGGCCCCATGTACGTCAATGTTTAGTATTTGTTATATATTAAATATATGAGCTATGTAATAATTTTTATTATTTTTTAGGATGGCAAACCAATTCCATTAGATGTTCAAGTAGGAGATCGAGTATTGTTACCTGAATATGGCGGTACCAAAATACAATTGGATGAAGACGATTCATATACTATTTTTAAAGAATCTGAATTATTAGCAAAAGTAGACAGTAATTGAACAAAAATTAAGTTACAATTATAATGCGACTGATTAATTTAGTGGGAAGTAGTTATATATTCACTTATGTTAAAACAAAAAAAAAAAATTAAAAATTCCAATGTTCTTTTCAAAATTGTGCTTTTATGAATAGAATGGTTTATTCTTGTCTTTACATTAATTATGTATAATGTTTTTTTATTATTATTATTATAATTTATATTTAAAATAAAATAGTTACAATACTCTTAAAATTTTTTTATTTTAAGTTTCTAAACATATGTTAAGAAACCTTAAATCCATGTTGTATCCATTCGTTGGTTTATATAGTTAACAATTTTGTTGATTTGGTTTCTAGATTTTTATTATCTATTTGTATAGTAGTTTGGCACGCTTTCATAGCATACATAATTGTAGTTGTTACCTAGATAGATTCATTTTATTCATATTATGAGTACATCTATATATAATTATTTATGTATCTCATTTTATAAAATAATGTATGTTATTCATATTATGTCATCTGCATATTATATTTCAACATGTATGTTGCTGTAATAAGGTGAAGCTGTGATTTTCTGTCTTTCTCTTGCATATGTGCAACATAGGAATTCAAATGTGTTCTATTTCAAATTTATCAACCTGTCTAGTGATGTGATGCAAATTCTGAAAACATTTGAATTTATTGTCAGGTTGAAATTAACTTTCACACATTTTTTTATTTAATACACCTAAATCATACAGAAATGAAATATTTAAATTTCTGGAGAAAAACAAAAAGTGGGAAAGTCCATCTCAAGTATACTTTACATTTGCTTTAGAATTTGTGTCACTTCATTAAATTAATTGGTTTGTTAAAAATAGAACATATCTAAATTCCTGTGTTGTACGTGTGTAAGACAGCCAGAAAATCACCTTTTCTAATCCCCTTAAACATGAGTATTTTTAATTTAAAAAAATAAAATAAATTTTGTAAAAATATTAACCATGTATTTTGAATTTTTTAAATATTTATGGTCTCAAACTCCCAAGCATTATACACAATGCACATATTTAAGTATAAAAATTATTTTGTACTACTATTGAATATTTGCTGCTTTTATAATTTTAATGTGTATAATTCATGTTTATGAATCTATGCCTACTCATATTATTAGAGTTAAAGTTTTAAATAGGAAATAATTTTAATTTAAAAATGTTCAACTTTGTGTGTAAAGTTATAGGTTTATTGTTTAAAATACTTTTAGAAACCGGGAACTTTGCACGCTTTTAAAGTGGGGGTTCCTAACTAGTAACTTGTTTTATTATAAGTCTATTGAGTTGATAGTAATAAACTGATGTTATTTCCTTAAACAATTTTTTAAAATTTGGTTTTTCAGTTTTTTAATGCAATGTAGCTTGAATACCAAATTTCATGAGAACTTGGGTAAATGACATTCAATGTACTATTCTGCACATGACCCAGAGCACAATAATTTTATTTCACTAGAGAGTAAAGTACTATATAGAGTGAAAATTAAAATAGGTATGAAAAAAAACTAGTTTCTCATAAAATCTGTGATATTTTATTTGTGTTTTATGATTTATGACAAATGGTGGTAACATTGAATTTTAACAGTTATATTATTATCTCTTATCATTTTAAATTAAATTATTAAATAATATGCTATTTTTATTAGGAAATTTGACAATTATTTGATTTTGATAAGTATCTTTATAATATTACTAAATATTTTAAAGTATCTCATAGTTCTTAATATTCAATATTCACTTAAATGGTTTATTATGATACAGTTTATAAACATATTTTCTTTGGAATTGGACAAATGTGTTCATTTTCATCATGAATTTAAAAAATGAAACTGTTTATAAGTCTTGTAGATTTTGGTCAAAAAAGAAGTAAGTTTTATTAATAAATATAAAAGCATTAAAATAATTTATTTTTATTTTACAATTATATTTTTTCGACTCTATAGTATTTTGTGTACAGGTTGCATGATTCGACCAGTATGAAGGTTCGACTAAAAGCCAGTAAAACTATTTGGCCTGTTCCTCAGATAGAACAAGTTTTTTTGCCAGATTTTAAAATAAAACCACAAATAAATGAAAATTTGTTTATGGTAAGCAAGAAATTAAATATTTAATATATCTTTATTATAATTTAGCCATGTGCAATGTTTTTGAATGATTTTATAATTTAAAAAATAATGTAACCCAAAAAATGTATTTTCAGAATTTAGAATTAATTAGTCAAGGTGCATTTGGGAAAGTTTACAAAGTTAAACAATTAAATTCTGATGACAAATTTTACGCTATGAAAATTTTGAATAAATCATTGGTAACTATATTATAATTGATTTTTTATTAAACTTTATTAATTATAATGTACAAAGAATTATTAAAGTCTACGACAATTGATTTATAAAAATAAATAGTGTATATAAATTAAAAAACTAGATTTTTATTTACTATTTTTACTAAAATCCAATTAATTTTTCTATTCAGGAAACTTTTTATTGAAATATATTTATTAGCTATCTTAAACTGACATTAAAATGGATCTTTATCTGCATCTCCTTTAGTTTGATGAATTTTTATATAGGTAATAATTATGGGAATCATTTTCAATCAATATTAGAACAAAATAGATTTGATTATAATTTTTTAAATATAGTATATTAATTGTTTTAAGTTGGGGTTACAAAAATATTTAATTATAATTTGTACTTAATCTATAATTTTTCTTATTTGTTTATATTTAAACAAAATAATAGGTTATAAATGAGAATGGAATACAGCAGGTTAAGAATGAAGTGCAGATTCAATCTATGTGTGGTCATCATCCATTTATTGTGAATTGTCCTCATTTTTGGCAAAATAGAAATCAATTATTTATTTGTAAGTATCGGAATTGAACTTTTTGATTTTTAATTTATAGCTATTTTTGATTTTAACATAAACTATACTATGTCAGCTTAGAATCAGAGAAACGTATCAACCAATTGCAACATTTTCAGCAGATGCAAAAATAAATTGAAAACTAAATATCTGAATTGAATTTGCTATTAAAAATAAACAAAAATAATTTAAATTGTCTAATATGCGTTAAAATAATCCATTTTTGTTCGATACGCAACTTTGGTTTTAAGCCATCAGCTTGTTATAAGTAACTATATTTGGAAACATAAATATATGATTTATGTCATTTTCAGTAAGTGACTATGTTGGAGGAGGTGAACTATTAGAACTTATACACAAACACGGACCTCTACCAGAAGAATTATGCCGTGTATATTTTGCTGAATTAGTTATTATTATAGGTATATATCACAAAAATTGGTTTGTATGTATTATTTTATTATAAGTAAATCGTCAATGAAAATTATAATAAAATTGAACTTTATAATGACAAGCTAATACCGTAAGAGGACTCTAATATACCAGTATATACTATCTCTGTCTTAAAAACATATGCCATTGCAAATTTGTGTTTATGTATAACAGCTTTGTGCTGTTAATTTTAATATTAAAGTAAATTGATCTATTATTATTTTACAATTTAAAGATAAGAACATTATCTACACAATGTTGGTGCTATTTGTTTGATATTTTAGTTTTTAATAGAGATACGAGTTTGTAAAATATCTCAATTTTATAATGCTTGTATGTCACTTTAAAATTAAAATATCGAAAAAAAAAAGTCATTAACGCTGCACAAATAATTTTCTTATCTTTAAATTTCATATTAGGTTCACTTTAATATTTAAAACTAACAGTATAAATTGTTCTGCATGAAAGCAAATTTTCTATGCCGTACATTAGTAAGATGGTGGTAGCACAAGCCAATATAGTGTCTTGACAATAAATGTGTTTTTTGATACGAATATAATTGTTAATGCTTTGTTAAGTTACATATTTTGACCACTTGTCAATTAATGAAAATCATATTTTTATATTATAACTGGTATACAATTATAAAATTAATATATTGCACTATATTTGTGTGTTTTACTGGATATCAATGTGTTATCGACAAAGCATTTGATCAGCATAATCAAGCAGGATTTGTTAAAACTATAAAATGGTACAATTTTAAAAATATGATCATGGAATCTATTTGTACTTGTACAAAATAAGAAATTTCATGTAATAATTAGTAAAATAATATAGGTAATGTATAAAATAACCTATCTGTAGTATAATTTATGATGTTTTAGATTAGAAGAACAATGAGTTATTATATAGTTTGCAGTATGATTTTTTTTTTTTAACAATGAAAATATTCTACTGGCTTTTTGTATAAAGAATTAAATATTAATAGTAAAGCGGTAATTTTTCAAATTCATAATGACATTTTTGAAAAACAAGAATTGAAAAAAAATTTGGGATAAATCAAGGAAGTATATTATGCATTTTTATTTTGATCTTTACTCCAAATTATATTTCTAATGTAATAATTTTTATTTTTATTTTCAATATTTAGAACACTGCTCGAAAACAATGCTTTGTCGGTAATACATGTGTAGTAATGTAATGAGCATAAGTAATTTGGCTCATCACACTCTGAAAAATGGCTTATTAGAGTTTGTTTCAATAGCACTCCCGCCATGATTAGAAGAAAAAGAAAAAAAAGGAATTTATTCATTGATTATGTTATAATATTGTTAAATGTAATTTAACACAATGATAATTATAAAATATTATTTATACTGCCTACAGAAAGGTCAATTCATAGTTGACATAACCTTTTTCATTTTTGAACAATAACACCACAGAGTAGATAATCCCTCATAATTTGAGCAGATGATTTTTTTTATTTTTTGTAATAAGAAGTTAAGACATGTGCATATTTTATAATGTAATTATTTTAATTTTATATTCTATATTTATTAATAAGTTAAAATTTATTAGTTAAGAATTTTAAAAACGTGTATAGACTTCTATTATTATTATTATTCATTATTCTTATATAATCAAATATCTATAAGTTGTGCTGTCTCTTTTAACTTTTTGTCAATTGTGAAATATTTTGTAAAGGCGTCAGTTTTTATGGTTTCTTATGGTCTATGGGTTTTATATTGTTAGCTGAATTCTGCACATTAATTCTGAAAACACAAATTATAAAGTTTGACAAAATTTTATTTAAATTATTTTACTTTTATGAGTATAGAAATAAACTATTGTTTTATGCATTTATAAGCAGTATAATATATATCATCATATGGCATAAGTTTGGACTGTGATGAGACTTCGGACATATAGGGTTTTTTCAATAGTTAAGTTTATAACTCATAGAAATAGATATATCTTTATTTTGTTGATTTTTCAATACATTTATTTACATGTGCTCAAATATTTATCCTTTATAATAAGTTTGATAAATTAGGAAGTAATATATAATCTTTAAATGAAATCTTATGTTTTAATTCAAAGAAAAAAAGTATTTGCGATAAAATGTGTCTCGCAGTTAATTATAACGTGGATAGCAATTGAATGTTTATATAATTTTATTCCGTATCGTTCACACTTGACGTTAGAATGTCAAACATTTAAAATAATACTTTTATTACATATGTTATTGATTTTCAATAATTTTTTTTATGTATTGTATTAAATTCAGATATTTTATTACTCGTGGAAAAAACGAAAATAAGTACTATGAATAAATGTAATTCCGCATGGAGGTATGAAATGCACGACAAGAAAAATGAATTATTCTACAATATAATATATTTTATATTTTAATAAACTATTTTTATGTTAAGGAAGATAATATTGAAGCAAAATATCCTCATATTTTTTAATTGCAATAATTTGTATAATATTTTCATGATGAACATTCTTTTAAAAACATTACCCTACCCTTTACTTTTTTAAATTCTTCATATTGAATAACATGTAAAATTTATGGGTGTCTGAAACTATAACAAATGAGGAGTAACATCAGACAGCTATATATATAGTATTGCCACCTATAAATTGACAATGGAATAATTCAAATTAATCTTTAAATACATTTTTGATGAGTGATATCGCTTAAAAATTGACTGAACTTATGCCAAATGACGTACTTGTTTTATACGGCATAATTTATGTAGGTATTTATTGAAATTTACTATTAAATTTTTTTCACACTTATTACAACTTTTCATAAGATAAACAGATTAAAATATTAAAAAAAATACTTGTTTCATCCTATTCTTTCATTATGTAGGTAACCCAGGTTCTAAAATGTCATACCTTTATATCCTATCTCCGAATATTTTGATTGTTTTTCAATCTCTCATAAAAACACCTCATTAGATTATCTATTATTGTAATGTTACAAAACTATTGTTTCATACCACCAATGTTGAACAGTATTACAGAAGTTGATATATGTATCAATCATGTGTATCAAAGATTCAATAATTGTATAGTTTATGTAGTGTAACATATTTTAATCATGATAGGTACTTTTTATTACAATATCAAGTAACTTTTAGCGCTAAAAGCAGTGTTTGAAAGAAATGAATTCACAGAAACTCATATCTTTGATTTTGGTTGCTTTTCAAGAATTTACTGGTAACGGATTTTTATAGGAACTTATTGAAATTTTATCCATACTTTGGAAGAATATGAATAATTGTTTTTGTTTTTTTTTCATTGGATATACCTACATAATTTAAAGGAATTATTTATTATTAGTTTGGATTTTTTATATCTTCATAATATCTGTTCACAGTATACGACATATTTTCAACTGTAAAAATTAACAAGTTCTAAATTCAAAATTAACCTATTATTAATATGTCATATTAAGTAAACCCTAAACATTTTTCAACATTTATTAATAATATATGATTTTGTCTCAATTTCTCCCATGGAGAACATTTGCAGGTAAGGGTTTTTTTATTGAGTTGATTCTATATTAAAATGAAATAAAATATATATATATATATGGTGTACTTGGGGTTTTTCAAATGTCATGATATAATCAAATACTTATTAAAAAAAAAAAAAAAAATAGTAATACTTTTTAGAGTTTTATATTCTAAAATATTATACTGTCTTTATTTAGTTAATTTTTATTTTTGGGTGGTAAAATCATTACCCATTTTTGGTTTTTAAATAGCAACCTGTATTAAAAGTTTAAATATATTTTTGAAGTGACATTTGTAATTTCCATATATCCGTAAATGAAATTTTACCTTTTTAAAAGTACTTTCCAAGTACTGGCTAAGATATTTTTTTTTCAAAGAGCAAGCAAGAATTTATCAGTATAAATAACATTTAAATTATATTTAATAAATATTTAAACAGATGTTATGTAATATTGATTAATGATGTTGGTACGAAATGTTCACCCTAATTTATAATAAATTAATAAATAAATAATAATTTTCAGTTTTGTGATGTATCTTGTATCACCAATGGAAAATCTAAAATATGTTTTTTGTAAACATAATGTACTTTATTTATTTGCACGTTGATAATATTGACTATATTTAAGAAAGTTTATTTAAATATTTCTGTGTATTACTACATAAATTGTACATTTCTTATAATAATAATACATTTGACTTAACCAATAATTTATTTTTATACTTTATTACAGATTTTTTACACAATGCTGGTGTCATATACAGAGACATTAAACCGGAAAATATATTATTAGACGACGATGGACACCTTCAATTAATTGACTTTGGTCTGTCTAAATGGCTTCCACAAGGATGTCGTACATCCACTATTTGTGGTACAACTCAGTACATGGGTGAGTGATTAGGAGTATACTCACTTCGATAACCTTATTCTTACGATAGCAGTTGTAATTATCTTCATTATGTTTTACAATTTTAACAGCCCCAGAAGTTTTAGAGTCCGAGTACAATCATGTTATTGATTGGTGGTCAGCTGGAGTTCTGTTATTTCGAATGCTGACGAATCAGGTAATTACATGTTTATGCATGGTTATTACTAATTACTTATTAGTAGGGTTAGGATTTTTATGCACTTAAAATTCACAAAAATAGCTTAAAACTGTTAAAAAAAGCCTTAAAAGATAACTTGAAAATATTTAAAAAGCAATAATGGTAGAGGGATTTAAAAGTCTCCCCCTCTAATGATTTTAACTTATTAAAAAAAATGTTTCTACTTCAAAAATGATTATTACAAAGTAATCTACAACAGTGGCCGCACCCGTTTCCAGTATCAGCTCTTATTTTACGTTGGAACTTACACCACAGGAGAGACTCCCTCTCTTCAGTCTTCACCCAATTACGGCTTTAGGTACCTACCTATATAATAAGAGTTACAATTTATAAAAAGTTAATACTACTCGCCGGTAAGCCCGAGGCCGTTGTTAAAGGTATTCCTACTATATACAACGATAAATTATTACAAACGAAATGACGATTTTGACCGGAGTAGTATTCACTACTATAGTACTGTTTTTCTCTGTTACTAAGATATAACCCAGAAATCAAAAAAACCGTAATCGGTGTATCCGCGGTATGCGTTGTTAGTATTTTCAATTATTACAAAACAATTTTTTGGAATGTTGACATTTTTTCAAATAAATTATTATTGGGCGAAAAATCGTCTTCTAAGTTATGTGATATGAAAAAATCCGAGCATTTTTACTAACCGGAAAATTGTTTTCCGAGGAAATAAATCAGTAAAAACGCACGAATAAAACGAATTGCTCCTTCGGTACACACTAAGAATCTAAAAATTCCAAGGTGGGAGAGGGAATCGCCGCTAGGCGTATCGATTACTAAAATCACAAAAAATAGATATCAGAACGATGTCGAAAACAAAAATATGTGTGTTAGGTACTTCAATAGTACATAGCTGTCTGACTTAAGCCTTTAATATCATGAGATGATTGAATAGAAATTGAATTTGGCCATTCTTGTTGCGAGGACCAGAGTTACACTGTATAATGAACTGTACCTCTATACCCAGTTACCTACCTATATTTTATTCGGCAGCCATAAACGGCCGAGAGCAAATTAAACGAGTACGCACGAGTACACGCCGCTGTACGAATATTACTTTTAATCATAATTGGAAAAAAAAAAAAAAAAAAAAATGGAAAAAAAATGACCGTAAAGTCGATCCCGCTGCGTCGTGATCTCGCGTTGCTCGGCAGTTGGCAGTCCGCGGGCGGTGTACCGGCACGCACAAAATTCCATTTACAAAAAATGCGGCTGCCGAGAGAGGTGAATAACCAGTTCTGAACTTGAAGTCCAATTTCAAAAAAAAAAAAAAAAAAAAAAATATGTACGTAAAAAAAAAATTAATACACCGTCTCGTCCGCCGATTTAACACACATTTACATTCGGCTTATTATAATAATACGAATATTATTCGACGGAGAAACGCCATTTACCAATATAGTTTTTTTGCACGAGACGTGGTCTTTTGGTTTCTCAGAAAATACGTTTTTGGTTCGTTGAAACGCCTCCGGGTCTGTACACGCCGCGCTTTAAAAAGTTAAAGAGATGCGGATTTTCCGTCCGGCGCAGCCGCGCTTTATTCAAACGATTTTTCTACATTCAATTCGATATTATCTAAAATAATTAAAAAAAAAAAAAAGTCTATACTGCTGGGCGTGTCACTACTTTTTAAGAGGAAATGGGAGGGGGGGATAGTAATGCGTAGATATTAATTTAATTTATACCCGTACGCAACGATAAACTGTTGCTGACGAAAACCGATTTCGAGAATAGTATTAGTCGTATTTTTTCTGTTGTTGCCGAGGTAATCGACAAATCGACAAAAATCATACAAACAATTGCCGTTTTTTTCGATTTATTAAGTAAACAATTCCAAGAAAAATCAAAAAATGATTTTCCCAGTGTGGCAGCGTACACATCAGATAAAAAATACTACAAGAAAGTCTTTATAAAAAAAAAAAAAATCGTCATCAAACAATCGGCATACAACGTAAAGAAAAATTCAAATTAAAACAACACCTATATCTAGCAATAGCAAGTCCGTTTTTTATACCGACCGTTGTCTTTCACTAATTCCTTCAGATATATGCACCATTATTTAAATGACAAACTCTTGATTTAAAAATGTTTTTGGAAAAATATGCGGGTCAAAGTGTTCCAGATGAAAGTACTTTGTCAAAAAATTATATTCGAGATATTGATCTTAAAACACTTTTTTCAATTCGAGTTGTGATTCCAGATGGGCCCAATTTTTTTCCCCCAAAGTTTTATAAATTATGCTTCCATATTTATGTATTTTTATTACATATAAATCCGTTCTCTAATAATAATCGTTTCTTTTTGTTTTGCAGTGAAAAGAGGAGAAAAAATAATAAACGAATTGGCGTATACAGGATGTTTCGTAATAGTATGACCATCTAGGCGGTCGAAATTGTCGAAATTATTTTTTTAATTTCAAAAATTGTGTTCTTTTTGTTATGTTTTAGATTTGAAACGTAGTGAAGAGGGACCTATTGGTTTCGCTATAACGGTGTGTGTGTTTTTATTTGTTGAATCTTGTAGCTGTTAAAGCAAGTCGTTATTTCATTTTTCAAGTAAAATTCGTAATAATTGGAAAAAAAAACGCAAAATTGAAACTGACAAATTTATGGCTTTAAGATTTAATTATTTTACATTTTGACGATTTATGTTTTCTACTAAAATTATTTCTCCAATTTAAAAATGGTAAGAGATCGTTTTTGTTCCATTTTAGATCATGTTAGTGTGTAAACGAAACTTGTGTAGTGAAGTTTTTTTAAAAGTTAAGTAAAACTGGAAAAAAAAACGTAGAAAGAACGGAAAACTTTACGGAAATAATAGTTTCATTATTTTAAATTTTGTTTATTTGTTGTAATTTAGTTTGTATTAAAAGAACACATTTTTTCGTTTTTTTATAGACGTGGTAATATTTACAAAATATTTTGAAAATAATTTTGAGGTATTTATAGGCACAGTTAATTTTTTAATAGTTTATATTTGGTAGGTAATATGTAGGTATAATTGTTTGACCAACAGAAATGCTTGCAAATTTATCATAATGTTCATTATAAGTTGTGTTTATTAGTGCTAAAATAAAAGTAGTCATTACACTTTAAATGTAGTCAATTTTTTATATAAGAGTTTTGAGTTGAAATTTTGATAAAAATCATAAATATTACGGCCTTTCAAATCATTTACAAACGAACATCGCTCAGAATAGTTTTTCCAGGCAATGGTTTATCGTTGCTTGTAGATACAAAATAAATTAACTTTATGTTTCCTACCTTCCCGATTCCCACATTTAACAGCAGCGCGCACCCATCAGCAGTATTATCTCTTTTTGTCGTTGGTTCTTAAGTTTAAAAATAACATTTCATTATATTTTCTGAAAAGTTCTCTCATGAATCGATTAGTCATGTAATTTTTAAAATTTTTCGCTCGATTTTAACGCTTAAACGCTTAATCGAAAAAAATCTATGTGACACATCTATTTGTAAGATAGTTTTATAGGGTATAATATCATAGTGATACAATTATATTTTTTAACGTTTAGAATATTTCATGGTCATTGGTGTAGCCATGATTTATCTTTGGTGGAGGGGGGGTTCAATGATCGCGAAGGGTTTAGGAGTCTAAAACCTTCTTAACCTAACCTCACCTATAGTTTAAATAAATCGACGAGGGGTTTTGTACAACCCCCTTCCCGGAAAAGTGTTTTCCAAGAAAAGGAATACACATCTTAAAGTTGGGGTATTTAGGGAGGGGGAGATATTAGAGAGATATATTTCTTCCATGACTTTTTTTTTTTTAATAATTATTTTTTACGTGACTACCCGCTATGTGTAAATTACTTTTTATTCAGAAAAATCAAGAAATTTAATGTCAGTACATAAATATATAATATTATATCAGTAGAAAAACTGTGAGGTATGCATTTTTTCGTTTAAAACGAAAACTATACGAACAGTCATAATATGTTCATTAGTGAGACTAGTATATCCGATGATAATTTTAGGGTTAATTTTAGGGTAATTTTAGGGATAGTTGTATTAGTTACCTACAAAAATATATAAATCCTTAAAATTGATAATTTTTTTTTCGTTTTTAGCCCTAGTACACGTATGCAATATGAAAAAACTCAACACGAGGTTCGTCGTGAGTTTTCCTATGTGGTAAAACGAACAATAGTGTAGCGTAACGCGGTGGTTTTTTTTTGAAAACTGGTTATTAGTTTCGATTTGTTACGGCCGTTTGGCCGAACGTCGCTCGGATTCGTTTCTCGCGGGCAATGGTCCGCCGTCAGGCACAGAGTTACGAATAAGATTACACTACATATCGTCCCGTTCGTGTTCCTCCTCGAAACAGTGGCACGGGCCATCCATCAGCAGTATGTCACCTTTTTTTTTTTTTTTTTTTTTTTTAATCCGTCTTTTCGTCCTAGGCTCCTCGGTAACGTTCCGCGGCCGCGTTCAACGTCTCGTGGGGTGGGGGTGGGGAACCCAGGTTTCTCGGAGACGGACGGACGTAGCAAACGTTCCGTGGTCGACGGCCGCGGTGTTTACGTTTGCGGCGCCGAACACATCCCGAGTGCAAAGACACACGCGGGCGTGTTGATACCGGTAACGGCGCAAAACAAACATCGCCGCGGACGCATCCGCGCGCCGTGTGCAGACGACACGGATGCCGGCAGCGGACGTTGTAAAGTATGCCTACCCGTATACGCGGTACCGCGGACGCGAGCGTCGCGGCGAGCAACGTTCTACTCGTCCGACGCGATGTTTCGTGTCTTTTGTTTTACGGCCGTCGAACGACGGAATAAAAACAATCCATTCGACTGACGAGACAACAGCAAAAAAAAAACCCGCGTACGGCCGGCGTACGCGATTACAAAGTGCGCGCGGACGTCTCCCGGGTAGGTACGCGCCGTCTGTCCATTGTGTACGCGGAGTTTTTCGGGTTTTTTTTTTTTTTTGTTTTTTGTCCGCGCCCAAGAACAATACCTGAGCGTTATTGTTGTTTTTTTTTCTAATCCGGCACGTTATTCGACGCGCGTCGAACGCCGTGCCGCGCGCGGTTAATAACACGCGGCGACGCTGTTAATGGAACGTCGTGTGTTCGCGCGCATTGTGCGTTTTCGCGTTGTCTGACGGCCGGCCGCCCGCCGCCGCAGCAGCAGTACCGCCGACCGCGACGACCCGCGCCCGAAGATGGGAAACGCGACGGAAAAAATAAAAAAAAAACAACAACACAATAAAAACCGATTGTTCCATCGCCCCGGAGGTTATTATATTTTTACTACTGTCGGCGTGTTTATTCGCGTTGCACGCGCCCCGTCCGCCGCGGCCGTCCCGCGCGAAATCGAACGCGACAATATCCGATCCGACGTGTTGAACGCGTCGTCGCGCGCCGCTCACAAACGCCAATGTGGTCGCCGACGGCGCGCGATAATGAGGGGGCGATATTGCGTTTTACTCGCGGACACGGACGCACCTGAATTGCCTATTCAAAACGCCCGGTCGTTTCGGTGGTTTTTTTTTTTTTTTTTTTTCTCGCTCGTCGGACGCCGACAAAACCAACGGTTATCGGCGACCGGCGGGAGGCGGGAAGAGGTTGGGTTTTGTAGCGTTAATCAGGAATAATAACACAAACACACACACACACACACACACACACACACACACACACACACCGTATACTATTTTTAAGAAATCGTGTAATATTATTTTTATTCGAGTACTATTGCAGTATATGTCAGAATATAATATTCCAACGGCGGCGAACGATTATATTCTAATTACAATGTGTCCGTCGTCGTTGTATTACAGTATTTAGTATTACAATAAATAATTAGGTATAATATCGTGTAAAATATAATATATATAGTTGAATGTACTATAATGTAATATTATAATATTGTACTGTTATACTTTTAACAATCTAAAATAGCTAAATAGATTATAATAATATCGTAGAAACTTAAAAAACTAACATCGTAATCATTAATAATAGTATAGTAATTTTTTTAAAATTTTTTTTTTAGGTTTTTTATTTTAAATCTTGATCTTTTTAAATCGTCGTATTAATAATATATATAATAAATAAGTATCGTTAGCCTATATATTATAATAAATAAATTATTATGTTATAAATATTGATATCACACACACAGAATATAAGAATGACTGAATAAATAGCAATAATAATAATAATAATAATAGTGTTGATGACTGTTTCGAACTGCAAAAAAAAAAAAAAGAAAAAATGATAGAAAAATCGAGTTTCCGTTGTGAAAAATCGAATTTCCTTGCGCCGCGGAAAACCGTCACGGGTCTATAATATATGTATACAAAAAAAAAAAAAAAAACAATTCTTCAATTAATAGTCTAAATATTATTATTTAGAGAGAGAATGATGAACTACGACTTTTTTTTTTTTTTTGTTTTTTTCTGAAATGGCACTACCTAGACGTATTTTTTTTTCTTTTCATACATATATATTATGTTTTGTTTGTTTTTACGCTCCGGACGTTATCGCGGCCCGACTAAATATTATTATTTAGAGAGAGAATGATGAACTACGACTTTTTTTTTTTTTTTTTTTTTTTATTATTTATTATGTGTATTGCTATTCAGTCTTGTCATTTTTTTTTCCTTTTTGATTTACCTAATTAGCTTTCTTTTGCTTTTGTTTCTTCATAATCGAATCGGTCGGTTTCTTTTCCTTGCTGGCGTCCCGCTTGTTCACGGAGTGTTGTTCTTTCTTTTCGTCACTGGCTGGCGCGGCTTCCGGTTTCTTCGGTTCTTCCAAAGCTGCGCTCTGTTCGGCCGGCTTCGGTGCTTCGGCGGCGACGGCGGGTGTTTCGGCCTTCAACTGTTCGGATGGCTTTGGCTCCTCGGTGGGTGCGGCGATGGCGGCTGGTGCGTCAGCAGCGGGGACGGCGGCGGCGGCTGGAGCGGCGGCGGCTGGGGCGGCGGCGGGTTCCTCTGCCGGTTTCGGCGCGGATTCCAGAGCTGCGGACTTTTGGCTATCTTCTGCGGAGGCGACCGGCTTGGCGGCTTCAGGTTGGGCGACCGGCTCGGCTTCTTTGGGGGCTTCGGACAACTTTTCGGCGGCTTCGGGTGCGGCTTGCACCGGGTCGGCGGCTGCTACTGGCACGGCTGGCAACACTTTGGTCTCGGACACTTCGCTGGCGGCTGGTACGGCGTCTTCAGCCGGCTTTGCGGCTTCAACGGCGGCCACGGTTTCGGCGGGCTTGGCGGGTTCCTCGGCGGTTTTGGTCTCTTCGGTCAACGGGGCGGATTCGGAAGGCTTGGCTTCTTCGGCGGCGGCGGCCGGGGCGGCGGCGGCCGACGGATCGGCTTGGACGGCGGCGGATTGTTCCACTTGGTTGGATTCGATGGACTGTTGGGCCGCCTTGGGGTCTTGGGCGTCGGTCGGGTTCAGGGGAAGAGCTACGGGTGTCTCGGCCTTGACCGCTTCGGATTCAGCCTTCACGTCACTGGCCGGTTTCGATTCTTCGGCGGACGGTTTGGCTTCAGCAACGGACTCTGTCTCGGCCTTGGCGTCGGTGACCGGCGCGGCGGATGCTTCTTCCGGTGTTACGATGATGTTCTCGGACTTGACCTCGTCGTTGACGGGCGCCACGGCGTCGTTTTCCGGTTTGGTTTCCGCAGAAACGACCGGAGCCGGTTTCGGGTCGCTTTCCGGTTTGGCTTCGGCGACAACGGCCGCGGGCTTAGCGTCGTTCTCCGCCTTTTGTTCGGCGGCGGGTTTCGCGGGTTCGCTTTCGGCTTTAACGTCAGCGGACGGCTTGACTTCGGGCTCGGCTTTGGCATCGCTCTCCGGTTTGGCCTCGCTCACGGCTTCCACTTGCTTCTGCGGTAAGGCTTCGGCCGCGGGCGCGGCAGACGACACTTCGACGGGCATGGATTGGGCGCTCCAGAAGAGGGCTCCGAACAAGCACAGTCCCAAAATTGCGGTTTTCATTCTGCGAATAAACACCGACATAGCAGTTAATAGCGGTTCGGAATTGTTATTTCATTAGCGTTCCAACGTGTTAATAACGTTAACGAATTGCGACGTGTTTAATGACGAAAACGATTATCCGCGATATCCGATGCGTACGTATACATTTATGTTTACGGACGGCCGAACACGCACAGTAATAAATGGTATTATTAATTTTGTTTTCCCCCAGTTGTACGAGCAATTAATCACACGGCATTACGGCGGACCGCGTTAAAGACGAGTAGCGGGCGTATCGATAAAAACCGGCCGGCCGCGTCGGGAATAAAAAAAAAAATAAAAAAAAATAATTTTCAATGTCTTTCCGTTATTCGCGTGATTGCGCGCGCGGTAATTGCACGAATTATCTATCGTTAATAATTAGGATATAATATCCCTCGAGATTTTCAAAGACTTTCATTGTGGGGAACGGGGAAACAAACCGATATTTTTCTAAAAAAAAAAAACCAAACGATATAATAACGGACGATACGTCATATCCCGGCGATGTTATTGTTTTAAGGTATACACTCCGGGAACACGGTTTTATTTAATTACTACTGTCGAGGAATTAGGTTGAGGCCGTTTTGTCATTTGCGCGACATCCGAACGAATCGTACGTATTATTTTACAATGTTTTCGCTGCTGGTATTGCGGCCAGATCGCGTGTTTCGTCCGACTGCAGTTTCGTTTTCTCTGCGTACATTGTCCGTGCACCGATAAAAACCTCCTACACTCGAACCGATAATAGTATTCAAACCGACCCGCGTTTACCCGTTTGAAATACGAGTGATATTATCGAACGCGTACGTTTATTTGTTTAACGATAAATATTACATAGAAACACCGGACTGCCGGTTCGAACATATTTTGATTGTGTATTTGAAATATTCGAATAAAAAAAAAAGAAAAAAACAGAAAACAGAAAAAGAAGCCCCCGACGGTAAAATAAGACTTATGAAAACGATTCGAATAATAATATATAATACACAATGTATAATTTCGTTTTTTATTTACGTTTTTTACGTTGTCCTATAACTCGTATATTTCATTTCGTTAAAATCTCTAAAAAAAAAAAAACATTCCGGGTACGAAAATTCTAAACAGTGTTGTAGTTCAAACATTCTAATAATAATTTTTTTTTTCTCGAACACGGGTTGATAAATTGGACACGATAAAATAATTTATCATTATTTAGACGCAATTCGTATAATTATATTTCGAACATGTATCAATTATGATCGTGACATTGGTTTTTGTATACAGGTATTTGTAAAAAAATCGATTGTTTTTCTATTTCAACGCGTTCGCATATTATTTGAGATTTTATCGTGAAAAAATTAAAAAAAAAAAAAAACAAATTACATAGTCTCGTCCGATTTATTTATTAGTTCGGCGGCTACGTATTTTACCCCCCGACCGTTAATATCGAAACGGTTTTTAACTTTTTTTTTAATATTTCCCCATACTTGTGTGTTTTTCCCGAAATCGGCAAGACTCGTTTGAAAAGTCAATAGTCTAGAAGGAGAACAATCGAAAACAATCCAATGCCCGACCCTCCGGTCAAATATAAACAAATATATTTCAACGACCGTGTATTAGGCGTGCCAGAACAAGAACCCACGGCTCTGTTGTTCGCGATCGTCGAACATTCGCCGAGTTGAGTAGTTTTTTTTTTGTAAAATTAAAAAAAAAAAAATGCCCAAAAAAAAAATGATTAAAAAAAAAATAAAATAATAATAATAATAAATATTATAGCGTTTGTTGGTTTACCTGGCAGTTTGTGTGGAAAAAAAACTCGGCCGACGTTCGGACAAATGTGTATGTGTGTGTGTACGCGAAACGCAACGAAACTGTGCAGCCGTAGATAATATATTTTTTTTATATTTTCTGTTTGTATATTATGTTATTTATTCACCACTCACTAGTGCGGCTGTGTGCGGCAAAAATTGTTGTGTTCTGGTTTGCGCGCGGTACTCGTATAACTCGGCACACGCAACGGGCCACCTCTTTATAAGTAGCGGCTCGGCGGCGCGACGCACACGCACCCCCGGCAGCCTCGCGCGCCGACGCCGCCGTTGCCACCACCCGGCCGCCGCCGCCGCCGCCGCCTTCACCTCCGCCGCCGCCGTCGCCGCCGCCCGCCTTCGTTCGCCGTCCGTCTGCCCGTCCGTACGGGCAAGATCGAAAACCAATAGCAGAGAGTTTGCGGAGCGCAGTGTGCACGCGGGCGGCGAGATCGAGAAAAAAAAAAAAAAAATTATATAAATTATACACGAGAGACGTTATGTTTACGCGCGTCCAATAACGTCAATATTCCGCCGGTACTTGTAAAATTTTCGAAAAAATTTCTGCGAACACACGTTATTATTTTATCCGTCGGGCGTACGGCGCGACGCGTGCACCTACGCAACGGGTTAGCGTCTCCGGCCATAACCAAAACCCGGCCCCCTTACCCCGTTGAGCGGACTTGTTAGAACGCCGTCGTCGTTCCCGTGTCCTGAGCGGCAAACGGAGTCGACGGGAATTTCATTTATTTATTGTTTTTTTTTTTTTTTTTTTTTTTTTAATCTCATTCGCGGTGTTTTACGCGGCGTTTTTTATTTCGTTTTTCTCGTCTACGTATCGCTTTTGCTGCGGGCCCGTTGGGTCCGGGCGTTTGGTTTCGCGTTGTAAAAGTCTTCAACTCGGACGTACCGGTAGTGCGTCGCTTGGATTATTGAACACACGGACATCGTCAGTTTCGTTTCAGATCCCGACGAGCGCAACGGTTTCACCATGGCGCGCGCGCGTTTTTTCCGTGCCCGCGAACAACCGCTTCGATTTTCGAGCGCAGCGTCTGTTTCGAAAACGGATTTCGATATTAGAACGGCGACCGGGCTGCTTTTGGGTACGGTTTTTTTTTTTTTTACGAAAACGTTGCGGGGTTCCCACGTACCCGTAATGACGTCGCCGGGTGGAAAAAAAGATTTCCGCCCAGACGTACGTCGTATTATTGGATTGCGTATTAAATCAGGTCGGGTTTTTTTTTTCCCCCAATGTTTCCGCGAACCGCGGGGGTCGCCTTTGTAGTTTTGAATTTGTTCGCGTTTTACGTGTTTCTATAACTATTTTGGCACATAGTTTCGCACGCGTTGCACACGACATTTTTATAGGTGCGAATTTTTTTTTTCCACCTCGATTGTATTCCGAAAACGGTGCCCGCGGATAATTTCCGTCGAATTTCGGTTTACGCACGTACAATCGTTTTCAAACGTAGCCAATTTACAAATTTTATTTATTTTTTATTTTTCAAAAGACATATTCGCTCGTTCGGATAAAACGTACGCATTATTTTCTATCCCCTAACGATTTTTCATTTTCCCGTCGCCCTCACTTCAGTTCAATCGATTTGACGCCCGGAAAAATAATTACGTTTATACACATATACATTGACGGTTCGAACTGCAGTACGCGATATTCGATAACAACTGTCGAGTTCGATTATATTGTGCGTTCGCTTGATATTACAAGGGTTGTCCTTTTCAAATCGGATTTTATTTTTTCGCAATCAATCTCGGCGTAGAACTCTTCCGAAATTTGACAGAGTGATATAATCGCGGTGATGAGTTTTTGTAAACTCGTGTCGGCGCTTCGAGAAAGACGATTTCTCGCAGAGGATTTTCGTTTTTGACGGTGTTCTTTTTTCTTTTTTTTTTTTTTTAATCTCATTATCGTCGTACGCTGCAGTTTTCGATATTATCATATAGATTGCGCGTGACAGTTATTGCAGACGAAACGTCATAATTATAATACATGTACTACCGTACATAATTATTATTGTTATTATTATTACAATTTTATTACTATTTATCGTCTCGATGCATACGCATTTCATTAAACGTAATTGTTATTACTTAATACTTAATCGTATTGATGTGGATCACGAAAACGGTTTTTCATATATTTATTGATTGATCGAAAATACAACGGCTATAGACAGTCCATACCAAATTACCTAATGCTTGAATATGGGGGTGCAGGAACGAAGTTCCACTTCGTTTCTTAAAATATTTTAGCGTACCGCTTATAAATTTTCTTAATGATGGTCTAAATTAGATTGAATTCAATCATTACAAATCGCGCTACTTTTTTTTAAGCCTCATATAGTACCCGTTTTTTTTTTTTCCAATTCAAGTACGGAAAATGCCGAATAACGACGCGTTTCGTGTGTTTAATAATTCTGTTTATAAACATATTATTTCGTTGGGTTTTTTTTTGGGGGGGGGGAGGGAGTGGGCATTTTATGGTTAATTATACGACTTTGTATATTTTCAACGTATATTTTAGGATTTCGTAAACACGTTTAATTCAAATTTTAATTTTAAGTCGTCTAACGTTTTCTTCTCTATAACTCAACAAAAGCTAAAAATTATACAAAATCATTGGTTAAGATTTATAAATACGAGCAGACGAGCCGATAACTATATTGTAATATAATACCTCAATTTAAAATAAACTATTAGTTTTCATTTTGTTTAACTCGAATAGATTGTTACAGGATATTACAATTTCTCTATTTTTTCATCAAATCGACACGGGGGGGGGGGCGATTTTTCTTTTAGTTTTTGTCCATTATAAAAAAATATGATTCATTTTTAATTTCAGTCCGAAGAAAATTCACCGTATAGCTTAACAAAATAATATTTTATGATTTATGGAAGACTTCGGCTATATGGAAGAAAATACGACTAATAATAATCTTCTGTTCGGAATCGTTTTCCGTACGTTTTACACACATTATGTATGCACCAAATTGCCGCGTGCCCCACGATTTTCCTCTTAAAACAACGGTACGCCCATCGGGAGTGTCGGCCTTTACATTTTTTTTTTCGACTACGTATACGGGTGTATACGGTTTTTTTTTTTTTTTAAGGCATAGCTGCCACTCAATCTGTAAATCCCGCGATGTGCGCAGCAACAGTCCGAACGGATCCGGGTAAAACGGCCGTGCCTTTGCAGCCAGCCGGCCGGATTAAACAACGGCGCCCGGCGATTTATAATATTGTGTCGCGTTAAACGGACGCGAACCGGATGCCGGCCGGCGCCCGCCGCGGCCGGACGCAAATAACGCCGCCACGCGCCGAAACGTGTGCGCCTGTCCTCGTCGTCGCGTACCCGTGCCCGCGTGTCTGCGGTGCTCCGTGACGGCCTTTCGCGTAAAAGTTGAGGGTTTTGCGCAAGGCGTCGACCTACTGCGCGCGCCCGCGTGTGCGTGTGTAGCGCGTACCGTAAAACATTACGCGGGCCGCGCAGCGTTGGCCGGTCGTTATTGCGTTTTACTCACGCTCTCTCTCGCTCCCTCGCTCCCTCTTCCCAACGCAACTGGCAGTGTACACAATAGCGTGCGTTTCGTTCGGTCCCGCGCAAACATCGTTCCGAAACGCGCTCGATGTCGTTGCGGCGTTCGGCGGCGCGATCGTGGTGTTTTGAACACGGATCCGCGCGTTTTGTTTCGTTTTTTTTTTATTAAGAATCTTGTTCCAATTGAAAAAAAATGACGACGGCTTTTGCGTGGAGTTCCAAATCTCGTTGTTTCGGGAGGATGGTGTTTTTTGTTTTTATACTCGGATAATAGAGGTGAACCGACTACCTCCTTTTGATTTTCAAATGGCACTCTATATTAAAAATTCTACAAACAGACGGAGTTTTAGTTGAAATACATTTTTATGTTGAAATGTTTAATTTCCGTTAAGTCGTTGACTATATTTTCCATTTTTGAGTTTATCGTTTTGCGGGCAGTGTGAGAGTGGCGGATCCCTACTCAAACGTCGTGCGTTGCGTCGCCACACAAATGATGCTCCACTTCTCTCTTCTTACCCGGTAGTCGGTAATAATCAAAAATGGCCACCGAAAATATAGCCATTACAAAAATAATTACAAATATAATACGTAGACAAACAACAGTGGACCCATATTATAATTTAAATTATATTTAAACAGTAAATTATATTCAAAGTACAATTTTAAAATACTATTTAACTTATATATAATTGTGTATCAGTAAAATTGTTAAATGTTAAATGTTAACATTTTAATAATAAGTAATAAAAGAAAATAATAAAAAATAATTACAGAATTATGAGATTAAACATTTTGTAATTAAAAATGCATTTTAAACATAATAGCATTACTATATAATAGTATTATACTTTTGAAATGGACCAGTGGTAACGGGATACAGCGTACAACACTATGCATCTTTAAACGAGGCCATTTTTCTTCCAATCGTGTTTTCCGCTGGACATGTTTTTCTTCCGGTCATATTTTCCTCTGGACACATTTTTTTTTATTTTTTTCCGGTCATATTTTCCTCCGTCCATTTTGTTATACCGGCATTTTAACCGGGTCATTTAAGATTTGGTCATTATTTCCTTGACTTGCCTCATTCAAACTTAAAAGTTGGAATATCTCATCAACGGGTTGACGGAAATCAAAAATGCCAATGTATTTAAACTAGTACTCCGTCTATGTATGCAATTTTTAATATAAATTACCATTTGAAAACCATAAGTAAATTTAGTCTGTTTACCTCCAAAAATAAAGGTGACAAAAAAAATATTGTAACATAACAATTTAGAGCTACTATTGTTTCTTGAATGTTTAAAAAAAGGAATTCCGAAAAAAGTCAATCATTATCAAGGTATCCGAAATGTTCATATCTTTGTTGGACATCTTGTATCGAATTCGGGAATTAGTTCTGTTACGGATTTTCGTCTATAGTAGGTGCTTTACCGGTTTTTTGATTGCGTAGTTGTTCGCATATAACATTATTATTATAAGCGCTGTGTACGTTTATAGTCAAACATCGAACGGTTCGTTGTTATAATATTGCAACGCTTTAGGTATTATATGTGTAATAATATATATTAACCGTATATTATAAAAATGTTATAATGTCGCTTACCTACCTACACCTACCTCTATATCTACTTGTCTATACAATATCGAGTTACATGGGGAATTTTTTTTTTTTTTACCGTTATTATTATTATACGTATAAGGAGTGCAATGAGAATTCGAGAAGTTTCGATATCGATAATATTGTATTATTATTGCGGCGGCGGCGGCGGCGGCGATACGAGTATAGACATACCTACTCGAGAGAGAGAGAGAGAGAAAGAACCTTATATTATATTATACAAATCTTCAAATACTGACATTTCACGATTTCGCATTATCGATAACGACGACCCGACGAGTGTGTGGTTGTGTCTGATGTGTGCGTGTGAAACGTTCAATCGCGCACGGACACACATCCGGTGCTGCACTCGAGGCGCCCGAACAGTATTATTGATGTAAAGCCGTTATAATAATAATAATAATATAATAAAAAAACGAGACGAGAACGTCATCGTCGTATCTCCGTGTACATATATTATTATAATAAAAGAGCTCTTGAATGTTATATAAAAGTATATATAGTGCTTTGCGTGAAAAAAAGAAAAAAAAAACTTCTCGAAAAGTACGTTCTTTGTACGCTGCTGCGTATCTAAAATGTAGGTAGGTATATCGTTATTATTATTTTTCTTTTTCGTGCTTCTGCCTCCGATTTTCACTCGATACACATTTCAATAACCGAAAATATCTACACGGCACGAGTGTAAGTGTTTGATCGTTTTTCATACAATTTTTTGTATTCATACATTGTGTTTTATTGAAAATACGCGTTCGATTATACTTGGATATTTATTATTTATTATTATACGCGAGAGTTTAAAACGCCAGTAGGTATACAGTTGAATAGAGTTTTTTTTTCGCCTGTTTTCACCGGAACTTTATATTGTAGAATTTTAGATCTGTAATGTATAATATGGTCGGTGATGCGTTGAGGAGATCGTTGGGAAATTTCTCTCATACATTTCTTATATTATAATAAACCGGGAAAAGCCGAAGCCTTAAAACAGGACGTGGAAGTTTTATTACGAGGTAGACCGAACTGGACGATTTTGGCGACGGATGGAGACGGATAGTCGGAGGATCGGTTGTGATCCTACAGGCCGAATAAAACACAAATAAGATAGGATAGGATAAAATGGCTCAAAAGATTATCCAAGGTTTAAAGTTCTTAATATCTAATTTTTTTCCATAAGCGTCTTATAACTTTGGATTGATCAGGGTTTATATATTATGCACTTTAAGTCAGTGGCGTATTTACAGGGGAGGGGGAGATTAGTGAGATTTATCTCATCCTGTCCTGAAATTTTTTATTACTATGTATTATTTATACGATTATATATTTTTAAGTTCAAATTACTAATTTTTTATCCCGAAAGTCGAAAATTCGGTGTGTCCATAGTTAGTGTTTGGACCTATGTCCAAACCATTATAATACGAAAGTGGTTAGATTATTAGTACTTTAATAATAATAATAATTTACCTAGATATACCAAACATTTGTTTAATTTAAATGATGATTTTTTGGTGAATTTAATTATTAATTAAATATAAAAATTCAAAAATGGACCATTTTTTTTAGCCTCGGCACACGTTATACAATGTGACACAATTTCCAAATTCAATAATATCTCTCTCTTTGTTAATATCATAAATAACCCTAATTGCTTTAACTATTTTATGTACTTCTTGAGGCGGCTTATGCGTATTCCACATCACTATACTCGTGTAATATATTACAGCATGAAAATGTGGTTTTTTTTTTTTTTTTTTAGCTTGCTAATGGGTAATATATTCGTTTATTCGATTATAATATTGTCTTACCTCAGAGTCAGTCGTCTGTACATTGCGTTTCTAAGCAATTTTATGTGTTTTTATTCGTCTCGATTTATACTAATAGTTTTATGATGATAAAAAATAATATCATGTCAATCGGTAGCTATAATTAGAATTGATGACGAGCGTTTCGGATCGTTTAAATAACAATCTGTTGACGGAATAATACTAACTAACTAAAAACAAAACACAAATAATAATGATATCATAACGAACGACCCCGTATAGCTGATAGCGTAGTGTATGTTAATTAAAATTCATCGTCGTATTTGGTTGTTTGTGATGTTTAAATATGTATATCAACAATATTTAGATGCCTGTATATATTATAGCGAGAGTCCACGCATAATAATTTCCCCGGAGAATAATTTTCGTCGCGTGTCGTTATTATTAAATTAAATATTAAAAAAAAAAAATATATGTATGGTAAAAAAACCGCCTCATCGTCATTATATAACTTCTCTCTCGGCAGTAATTAAACTGGACTGTCGTAAAAAAAACCAGATTAAACATTTTTACATTTTTTTTTTTTTTTTTGATTTTTCGTATAAATTTTATTTTTTCTAATACTTTAAATAATATTATGTACGCGCTGACCCGAATTCGGACGCTTTTCAAATATTGATTTTCAGTCTTTGCTACTGCTGCCATATCAGTGTGTGTGTGTGTGTGTGTGTGTGTGCACTGTGCAGTCGTCGTCGTATACACATCGAGATATAATTTATGGTTCGTCCCTTTTCTATATAATATTCGTCGTCCGGACCGGCTAAAATACTCAGTGCGGTGTAACACCGTGCAAATAACAAATTTTCCCTTCGCTCGTAAACCACGTTGGCTTATGATAATAATAATAAGAATGATAATCGACATGTTTATTTGAAACGCGCATTAGAACCGGAAATTCGATATAATGCTCGTGAGTATATTATTATTACAATATACGTACGAATGGGTTCATGTATTATAATTTATTGCAGCACGAATAAACGAATATCGCGAGCTCTTTCTCTTTGAAAAAATAAAAAATTATAACGGGGTTATACGAGTACACTTACCTATACACCTATCTATCTATATTTTAGTACTGGTGTTGTTAATTTTTTTTTTCCAAAGAGTGTAATATGGTTACCCAGATTTTCGGTAAAAAAGTTGTTGTTAACATACTGAAAAAAAACCGTAAAACCAATACATTCCAGAATCTAAAGCATTTTTAATTCGCATATACATGTACCGATCCATGCAGACGCTGGTCTTGAATAATACAATTTCAACAAATTCTTTGGAGTTGACCAGTATGAATTTCTCCTTAAAATCTGAATCAGTGTGTTTTAAGAAATATTTTAGACTAAACCGGTGTGCAAATACGACAAACTGGTTAACTTTTTATTCGATCGGCGTAAAAGATGGCCGATATTTGTCGATCCCGGTTTGTCCCTATCATAATCCTTAAATTTGATAATTTCTTATCACATTTTAAAATATCAATATGAATTGTTGTATTTTACTATACGCAATCAATAATCTTCAATAGTCACTTGATTCTCTTTACGATCCTCTCTTTACGTCGTGCTCGGGTTGTACCGGAATTCCGTAGTTTGCCGCAGCTGTATTAGTATTACCGAGTATTTGCAACAGAATAGGCGACACGGAAATTAAGTCGGGAGTAAGGACAAACTGATTGATTCGTGAATTTCGCATTAAATCTGTTCGAAATGTTTTGCGCCGCGATGTTAAATCGGAACCAAATAAATCACCGACCCAACAACCGGTTTGCTCTATAGTGAATATTTCGTTTGTTTCCGTAGTGTAATACTTAAATGTATTTATTTTTTTTATTTTTTTTGTTCTAATTCCCGGTTACGGGTCACCGACAAGTCTCAACTTATATATTACTTGATAATATCAACCGCGTATGTAAGTTTACAACACAGCATTGTAAACAAAAAAAAAATCGCAATTAACGTAAAAAACAAATAATAATAATGGCAGTGAATTCCGTTTGTGTTCGTATTAATAATATCGCATCGCGGACCGGTTTTTTCACGATTGTTATATGCATTCGTTTTATAACAATAATTGCGATTACAATGGAATAAAAACTATAATATTATCGTGGCCGCGCGAGTTCAAATTTCCTTACGAAACGCGATAAACAACATCGTGTGTTAAAGGTTATACTGTTAGCGCTGCTGCAGTTAAATGCTTAATTGTTCCGAGTACAACAAATTATAATAATCCGATTGTGATGTGTATAGGTATATAGTTTTCGGTCAATGATAAAACATTATACGCGAGACAGATTTATCGGAGATTTTAATGTTTATTTTATTTTATTTTTTTTTATCCGATTCGACAGTTTTTTTTCTCTTCATATAGTATGCCGATGTGCGGAACGAGAATTGAAAATTATTTGTGATTTTCTGCATGTTTCATATCATATTGTAATAATTATATGATGTGTGTGTTGTTGTTTTTTGCTGTCTTCGAACGAGTTTTCGACCTAGGTCCGATCAAACAGATACTTTCTTGTGGTAGCCCGGTAATAATGGCCATTGAGAAAACGGCCGTAATTTTATACCTATCATTACGCTCAAATTGCATTTGTTTCGACCACTAAGTACAAATTATTTTGAACGACAAACCTCGTATTTTTCAATAATTTCTGTTTGGTCAAACAATTTTATCCACTAATGGCCGATTTCACCATGTTAGAGTTAAAGTGTGGATTAATTAACTTTGAGTTACCAAGTAAGTCAGAGTTATCGTCGTTGCCGTTTCATTACATGTTTTTGGGTTGGGGTTAGTTAATCCAGAGATTAGCTTCATTAACCTATGACGGTTTCTTCCAGAAAATGTTGAAATATTAAATGCCTCAAGAGCCATTTATTTATTTATCTAAAATCGTCAGAAGGTTTGAACATTTGATCACGTTTAGAAAACGCCATACAATATATAAGTATTCTGTGCGAATTTTTCTTGGAAAATATCGAGCGGTAATATCGAGATTGCGGGTGGCATTTCGAAAAAATTTTCTGATTCTGTATATTATTATTATTATATATTAAGGACAAGTTTTTCGATTTCTAAATCTTGTTATTATTATTATTTTTATAAATTAATTCGGATAAAAGCGCAAACGTTCGCACTCGGTCGTTCGAAATATTCGCAGAGCTTTTTTTTTTGGAAAAACGATTTTTTTAAATCAATTTTAAAAGAGTTGCATTTATACAATATTATAATGCATTTTATTCATCGATCATGTAATAAATTCGGGACACTCGGCGTTCGAATGGTAGACAGGTGAGTTTTATTCCACTGTAACGGGTTTAGACAAAACGCAGACAATTTATATTGCGCGCACAGCGTCAGATCTCGTCTCGTTATCTCCCGGACCCATCAGACGGTTTTTGTTTTCGGGATTGCGGTCCATTGTGCATCAGCAGCACCGTGAGTACGATAACGATTGTGTGTGTGTGTGTGTGGATTTTTTATTTTATTTCAAACGGTCCGCGGCCATATAATCTGCGTTGTAAATCTCTCGCAGGCTAAATGGTATCCCATTATTTTTTTTTTTTACCCCTTTATTATATACCTATATAAAGCAAACTCGCGTACATTATCTTTTGCGTGTTTGGCCCGCAGGTTCTCTCGTTGCCGACAACATTCCGGAGATTTTTTTATTTTCTTTCCTCCGCTCGTCGTGGTCGTCTCCGTTCATCGTGTCTGTGCGGAGAGGGAGAGACCGGCTGCGCTGCCACTGCTGCACCTGATCGTTCTGCACAGTGCACTTGTGTCTCGTTACGAATGCAAGTCTCGAAAAAACAAATATAATACCTATATGTAATCTAAGATCGGATTTAACACGCGGAAAATTGCCGAGTTTAATGTATCTGATAGTTCCTATATAGGGTATATTTATAATACGGAAAGGGTAAAACACTTTTTCGCTATAACTATAAACTTTTTTTTTTTTAAGTAAAAAGAGCAATTCGTTTTATTGAGAATTTCGAAAAAATTTTGGGGATTAAAAAAGAACAAAAACACAAATCTCGCCACTAAATATTCACCAGAATGTGAAATTAATTTAAAGAAATTTAAACATTAATTTTTTGCAACTGATCTGACATCACGTGTGATTAAAAAGACTGATACTGCTTATGTGTGTGCAACTGTAAGGAAGTTATAAGGGAGGATATATAAAGTCATTTAATGTGTATATATTTATGAAACGATAAGTCATTGTTAACGAAAAACGATTCTGAGCAAGGTTTTATAAGTCGCATATTTCTTCGTTGCCAAGGTAACTGAGAAATCTACAAAAATTGCCAGTTTTTCTGTGATGTATTTATTAATAATTATGAGATTCGACGTTGCCGTTTAGCGATAAATATTTTTGTTTTAGCATAGAATAATATGAAATACATAGATATAATACAAAACAATAATTATCATTTTATGTACTTACAATAATATATAATATAAATTAATACTATAATATTACTATAATGTATATATTATATTCGGGGTTCTACCAAAATGTCAACAGGTAAAAATGTCGGGGGGAAAATGTTGTCCGAAGAAAAAATGTCCGTATGAAAAAATCAGCCGCATACAAATGATCTCTGACTAATTTTGGGTTTTTGTTGAGCAAATCCGTAGTTAAAGCGGAATAGCAGTTCAATGAATTTCTTTTCGTGCATTATTACCAACGTCGTGTAGTGGTTGATTTGCGTTTGATGGTATAAGAATACCCATTCAAATGTAATTTTGATTAATTTTTATTAGATTAGATTTATTCATAAGTATTTATCATATGACACTCAAATGTTCCAAAATAAAATTGACGTAAAATTAAAAAAAAAAAAAAAAAAAAACTCTTATGTTGAAATTTAAAATTAATTTTTGTAAAGTACAACTATACAGCTGGTATATTACAAATCAATAAAACAGACCATCCGACTAGAGAATGATAATGTAATAATGTAAAGTAATAAACCATATTATTATTTAACGATATCGAATGCTGATATAGAATCACAACATTTGCGTACAATGCAAAAATAAAATTGTATAAACTGTACAATTCGTCATTACTATCGTGTCTAATCAAAAGCAAAACCAATAGAAATTATCAATATCATTGTAAATGTTAAAGTAAATATGGACATTATGGACATTTTCTGCTCGGATATTTTTTTTTTCGGACATTTTAACCTAGAACCATAAGGGCTTGGAGCAATAAAAAGATAACTCCACTTTTTAAAATGGTTCAGGATAAATACAAAACATTTTCTTTCAATGAGAAAAAAAAATGTCAAACATTCTTTAACATCTTTTAATTTTTATTAATAGTGCCCGAAAATAATAAACACAATTGGTTTTACTACATTCATTATATTCTTCAAAAATAATCATTTAAGTTAAGTTGGCAATTTTCAAAAAAAGTGGACTTATCTTGTTGTTGCTCCAAGCCCTTCCATTATAGTCGAGTAGATAGTAGAAGTTATATTATTAATACCGTATACATATTTGACTTTAAATTACATATTATTTCATACTAAAATGGTAAATGAAAATAATTTTCACTGTAACATATTGTATAATATTTTGGCTTTATCGTCGATACTGTAGCGCCGAAAAGATCATTGATATGGGCCAACCATTATTGTTGCTATCCCCGACGACTATTTTTCTATCATAAAATATTTTTACACTGTACAGCCGACAGGTCAGCAAGCAATCTTGTTTTATTTTTTGACACAATGAGACTGCGAATTTACGCGGTTTTATTCTAGTTTTGTTGAAATTTGATACACTTGACTTTCAAATTCTAGAGAAAAGTCGTTTTGTTCTTTATATATTTTCGAATTCAACCCCTAAATCTCCTGCATGATTTCGAATCTGCTTAATACGAATAAATAATTTAATTTTTTTCATTTTTGGATTAATTAATTTTTGGATAGTGAAACAAATGTCACGGTCAATAAAATTGGCACTGGCTATAGTAAATAGATACGAATTAAAGTAAATATTGAATACCGATGAAAATTGTATAATTTTTTTCTAAAACGAACTCGCTAATCGTGTCCACTCAGCTTGCCTGTTGGTACTTTACTTTTATTGTTTAACTAGCGCTGCTCTGTTTTACAAAATGTTTAGTAAATAATACGGTACGGTTATAAAATGTGTTTGACGAGTTTACAATACGATTATATACATGATTAATTAAAACATTCCTACTACTTTCTACAGGCAACGTTATTGAATATTTTAAACTCAAACTTTAAAGTAAATTTATAACTTTGCTTATGTACCTATCCATATTATTTTAAATTATATAAACATTCGCGGAGTCCAACGTGGACTGTACAACGTAATTGTTGTTCGTCGATTAAAAGAGAAACGGCCATCGAAATCCCGTGTAATCGTATTTGTCCGTATAAACACTGCCGTACACCTTTCCCTCGGTGTAGGGCAGTGTAGATCAGCGAAAAAGTTTTGCCATTAAGACGCAATTAATTTTGAAATTTTTCAAAACCTGAGGGAATGCGATTCTTTGGTTTTGACCCAATTTACGGCATCGACCCGCTGCTGCTGCGACCCGTTGCAGATATAATGCCGTTTTCCGGGAGCCGAGATTATCGGCATTCTCGGTTCTGCAAAACGTTCTTCTTGTTTTTTTTTTTTTTTCGCAAGTCTCCGCTTATCGATAGAATATATTGTTTTTGTTTACATTTTGACGGTCGGCCCGCGGGCGTTTTCTCCGCCGACGAAATTCCCCTTTCGGACTCGTGTAACACGCATACCTATACCGTATTAATTATTTACGATATTATTTACGGTGGCGCCACGTCGCGCGCCGAGTGTTATTATAAGGTCTGGGGCATTTATACGCACGAGACCGCGCGGAGGACGAAGGGGAGGCCGAGATTGCCGTGCGGAAAAACACGCAAAACTGGTTTAGCCGCGGTCCAATCATCGTCGTGTCGTTATTATGATTATTATGATTGTAAATTCGCCAGAAAGGTCAAAATTAAACGTAACGGGACGCTGCCGCACGGTATTTATTTATTTTTTTTTTTTTAATAGCGATAATAATAAGCGCTTGTTTTATTATTTTTTTTTTTTCCAAACGGACCCGACGATCTATTTTTAGACGCCATACGAAGCGATCAACTTTTATAGTAATACATACCTACTCATACATTATTAATTATGTATGCGAACTGCAGAGTGAAAATTTTCACCGGACACATTACCTAAATTACCTTATCATACGAATATTTATTTATAAAATGGATCGTATAAATTATTACTGTACGTATTTGCGAACCGCGCAAATTACGATGCGCTCGTTTCCCCCCTCCCCGTCCCCTCATGATTTATCACGAACACGCCGGCTGCACGTGCGTATTTTGCATTTTAAACGATTTTTCTTTCGCGGTGCCGTTCACCTTGCCCGGATCTTCTCGCTATAATATCCGGTGTTCTATTAGATGTTAGAAGAAAAAAAAAATACGGTTCTTTTTGTTTTATTTGTCTGTATAAACCAGTGTAGTTAATGACTGCAAGACTTTTTCCGATCGAAAACTTCACAAGAGCTTTCGGGTAGCGTTATAGATCTATAATACAGTGGTATATATCGGAGTGGTAATTATTTGAAATGCCCTGTACTTTATTCCCGATATCGTGGAATTGTCAAAATCATTTTTATTGTAATTCGGCATGATAAATAACCGTAAACCGAAACATCCTTTCTGGCTATTCTTAAGTTATTATTCACTTTTCCCCGTAAATAGACTATTTGTATCTGTTCTATAATATGACGTGTTCTCCGCTGTTTTCGGATACTTTTATTGGTGGATTGTAGTGATAAAAGTTGAATTGAATTTCAATACGAATTTGCGGTCGACACAAGTTTTTGGTATTTTTAAAACGAACGTTTTTTTGTTCATTTGTAGGTTACCAAGGTGACACGGACGAAAAGAAAAATGTATTATATTATTTAATTTGGTTGTTACAGATAAAAAAAGTATCGGGCAACAATGATTAACTTCGATAGGGATGAGGTTGGTGGAAACGGGGAGACACGTTAAATCGAACTTATTTTATCGGTTTCTGTTTTCGAAAAGACTGAGCCCGGAAAATACCGGGTAATTCAGCTAGTGTTACACATAAATTATATATCGTATCGAATTTCGTTGTCGATAGTTTTCATTAAACGACAAAATGTACAAAACGTATATCTAGTGGCTACACAATTATTGCGGTTTCTGCAGTATGTATATGTATACGTGACGATTAATTTTAATCCGGTCGACATTTTAAAATAATTTTATACCGTTTTTAAAAACGGGTATTGTATATTTTGTCCGGTATAACGGTTGAAATTTATGATCAACATTAAGATATATAATATTATACTTTAATGGTTGGTATTAAATGAGACGCGTATATTATTATAGCGTACACTTACTTCTTTGTGTGTACACAATAAAGACGAGAAACGCGTAATAAATTTTAATGCGTTATTTTTCTTTTAATAAAAATAATAACACTTCCATATAGTTTATATTTACTTGATTAATTTCGTTACGAGAATTAAGTTTACTATTATGGACGGGCGGAAAAAACCACGGCTCGTAAAAATAAGTTACCTAGTAGACAGTAGTTAATTCCACGGTCGATTTTGTGGCATTTGCCGTTTCTGTATTTTTAACGGGCCGTTTATAGCGAAAATTTATTGACGTAAAACAAACGAAAATGCGTTTAAATACGGTTTCAGAGATAAAACACCTATATGCTATAAAATGTTTAGATGGCGACATTATTTCAATATTCTAATCAATTGCAGTGTCCTGTCATCGTGTTTTTATCTGCCGGATTTTTGTATACAGTATTTAAATAATTAAATTTTGCTTTGTTCTATATAATGTATTGTACACAAGCTAGGAGACACCCCCTTCTAACAACCAGCTTGCTTTAAGTGAGGGGTAATCGACTCATTGTATTGTATCGTACTTATGTTTATATCTTGTTACCTTTGTCGAGTTGAAATACATAAATAAAATAAAAATAAATTATTTTTGGAAAAGTTATTAGGAATAAAGAACCACCACCAGGCGTAAATCTTTTTAACGTATATAACATGAAAAAAATCTGAGCGTTTTTATTGGCCGGAAAAAACGTTTTCCGAGAAAAACACACGCGCGCTATGATATTTCACTGTGGCAAAACTAATTGTTGCTGCACTCAGTTATTTGAAAAAATAAACTATACGAGTGGGTAAATTTTTCGCGGTCGTGACGACGCGGTGATTGTTGCTTCGTCCCGTTCTGCCAACGGTCACCTCTCCGACCGAGTGCCGTGCAGTACTAGACGATGGCGATGATAATAATAATAATAATAATAATAATAACAATAACAATATAATCTCGCACCGCACAGCAAAATCCGAGTTCAGGAAGTATTGAAATCCGCCGGGAGTCACGATCGTTCGGAAATTCCGGATAATTATTTATCGATTAAAGGAGCAAAATTGCTGCGCGCGCGCCGTCTCGGCGCCCGTCGTCCGCCGGGCCGCGCGGAACGACCCGTTTTAATAGGCCAAGAGGACGATGAGCGCGGCCACCGCGGGTCCATGACTAAGATTATTATAAATAATATTTTACGAGCAATAGTGTAATGTTATTCAGGTATACTCTGCGTAGAAAATACACAACTCGAGCCTTGAAAAGTATTATTTACGAGTTTGCTGGACACAAAAAACACATTCGTACACACACACACACACACACACACACACACACGCGCGCACGCACACATATTATTATCATTTTCTTTCTTCTCTCATCGCACAATAAAAAATTATTACGAAACGCGCGATAATAATAATATTATCGTTTCAACCTTCGAAAACGCCGCGTATACCACTTATCTGCGCGCTCGTACACAAACACAAACATCATATGTAATTTAAACGATCGCGGATTATTTGTGTATTTTTTTTGTCCGTATAGGTAAACGCGAAACTAATTATTACCGGTTTTTTCAAACGCGAAACCCGACGAACTTGACCTCCGTAACAATACGCGCGAAGAGCTTTCTAAAGTCGGAAGTGACGCGCGTGGAGATTGCCGCGGTGTTGTACTGCATATGCGATCATTATCGTGTGTGTTTTAGATTTTGCCTATGTTATATACTTTTTTTTTTCTGCCTATAAACAAATTTTCTGCCGGAAACCTTCCTCGGTTGTTCAAGTGCAACGGAGAATCGGTGAGGTTGTTTGGTTTTGTGACACCGTGATCGTTTTCTATTACAATTTTTTTTTTTTTTTAATCGTTACTTGAACCATAAGTATCCACGTCCCATTTTTATTTTAGATTCTGCGGAACATAGTAAGTGCTGTTTTGGTTTTACTGTGCGTGCTTTATTTCTATTGTTGTTTTTCTGTATGTTTACAATTTTGCTTCCATAAACTTTGCTCCGATTCTCAAGTGAAGATAAAAGGAATAAAAACAAAATCAAAAATAATAAAACCATTATTTCCGTAAACTTTTCCGTTTTTTCTGAGTTTTGTTTTGGTTTTCTCAGTTATTATGAAAACTACTAAGAAAATAAAAAAATGCCAATTGGGTATATCTACCTGACATAGTGAAGTTTGGAGATATCGTTTCGGAAGACTTTGAGATTGGGTTGGGGCTTGGGCATGGTGATGCCTTTTCCCCAGCTCTATTCAAAATAGCGTCGGAAATAGTTGTAAGAGTTACAACGAATGAAGTCCGTATAGTTAAAATCTAAAAAAAGCCACCCACCGGACCAGGAAAATATATCTTTCTAACTCCGGAGGCCAGTCCGCCACTGAACCTATGATACTAGTTCATCCCTCTCTAATGATCCCCATTGTTTAAATGCAGCATCTTTTTTTAAAGGAAAATTTATCTAGTTAGTGTAATGAGGAGGTCATTTTTTGATTTTCTTTGTAGTAAAATTGGTAAGACTGGGGAAAAACATAAGAAAAACGACGGAAATGACAGTTTCACATTACTTTAGATTTTGTTTTTATTTATTGAGATTCGAGTAAAGATAATCGTAGAGACTTGAAATTTCCATAGAATACGTTTTAGAATTAGTTTTTTCTAAAGGTTCAAATTTTCAAAACATTCTGGCAATTTTTGAGCTATATTTAGGCATCTGATCTTTTCGAGGTTAGTTTGGTTTTTATTTGATTTAAGTGGATACAATTTTTTGGTCAAACAGGAATAATCGAAAATTATACGTGAGGTTTATCATACGTTGGATTTAGTGGTAAAAGTTGAACGTAATGTAGTATTTTTCATTTTTTTTTTTTATATCTAATCGATTTAAGATCAAATTTTGATGAAAATCGTAAATACGAGAATTACGGAATTTCAAATCATGTATTACCTACTGAAATTTGCTCAGAAACGTATTTCGTTAGCAATAATTTATCGTTGTTTATAGATATAAATCGATTCATTATATGTATTCTAACTTCTTTTTTTGCCATCTGATTTTGAATATTGATTTTGACCTGACGTTTGCTTTGATCAAAAACTTCGTTTGACCTTTTTTGTAGATTTGGATTTATTTGGTGCGTTCTGGAGGTCAGTGGCGTGGCGAAGATTTTTTACCTATGAAGCTAAAAAAATTAGGGTCACATTTTTGGAGATTTTCGGGAGCCTAGTACCGGCTTCTATTTTTCTTACGTTACATTTCCATGGCAGCTTCATTAAAGATTATCCCCTAAACAATTTTTTTATGCATATAACTATACTTATCGAATACCGAATAGCCGCGAACCTTACATAATTACTCATTTTAATTTCCTCGAATAATTATTTTTTATTATAGATTATGTGTATCTAGGTAAAATTAATTTAATACGTTAAAGATCATATTATAATTCATGAGTCACTCAAATCATCTACGGACCCACTGAAATTAATTCAGAAGCCATGGTCTCTCATAATGTCCTTCATCATACTACTAGTATTGATGGTTTTTTTTTTTAAATTCCACGTACTTTTTTGTATAATATCGGTGAAACAACGCCAAAGGGTAATTTATTTGTCGTTTCCCGGAGTGAAAATTGTTATTTATCGATTTTCCTTTTCAACTGAAACTCTTCTTTTTTTTTTATCAGGTATATTATTTCGTTGATTGCGTTTTTATGAAAATAGTACTGTTGTACGCAAGTGTATTGTAGAATTTATATTTAATGCGTAGCGTTTACAATGGCGGTCTGATTTTTTCAGAATTAGTTTGCCCTGCCATATTGTTCGTAGTACCTACCTATTTGTCGTACCAAAATTAACGTTGTTTATTATTTACGATTTTCCTAAATAAAAAATATTTTGATACGTTTCGTGACAGAGAAATTTCGTTTGTAATACTGTTGTGTGGGTAATTATATTTTGTCGGTATTTGTCAAATTTTTTCTGAGACTATTGCACGACTGAATCGTGTTAGATTTGTTTTACCGGACACTCTGGACTAAAAGAACTCATCAAACTCAAGAATTATAACACATGTAGTACTGAAAATTAAAATAATTTAAGTGACTATAATGTACTTTTTGTTTGGCAAAAAAGCATATGTCATATACTTATATTATGGCTGAAGTATTTTAGAATGCCATATAATTTAGCTATTTTCAAAATTGAATTTCCTTGTATTGAAAACTATATAAAATTAATTTAAGCCTTGCTTCCTTGAGACCAATGATGTTTTGTATACTATTATATAGTATTTGATTATTTATATTGATTTACAACAAATACTTTTGTAATTATTAAATAATAATATATTGCTCATATGTCTAATAATATGAATTATTAGTGGTCAGTAAATGAATAGTATTACTGTTTAATTAACAATACTTATTTTCTTCAAATTTAATAGTCTATACTTATCAATAAAATTAATAAAGTTATAATGTTATGTTTATCTTTATGAAAAACTGTTAAACATCATTACCATTATTGATATCTAAATAACAATAAATGTACAATCCTAACCCCCCCCCCCCAAATATATGACTCATTATACACTCATAACCTATTTTGCAGTGCCGTTGTCAGAAATATCATCATAAGGTGGATGAGCATCCTTTTTTTATTACTTGCATTTTTAGAATGATGAAATTTACCAATATAACCCAAGTTACCAATCAAAGTAAGTTTGAGGAGTACCTAATAATATTGTACTGTGATAATATACCTAATGATTATCAGTTATCGCTGTTAGATGTATACATTAAAAAAGGAATTAATAAGCATGCACTTGTGCACTTAAATATGAATTTTAAAGTTTAGCAGTATATGTTTATACATCTATTAAAGTTTTAAAACTATGCGAAAGAAAAAAAAAATGTCTTAAAACAAATTCAGTTTATTAATAATTAATTTTAAAAGATATTTTATTTTATTATTTTAAGTAGATTGATTGCGTACGCACGTGTATCGGTTGAGGGCAGTAATGGTAGCGATAACATCGTTTCCGTGGTATTGCCATTAAACCCATAAAACCCATCAATAGTTATACGAGGATAGAAATAAATCGAAACAAATACTAAGATTTTGTAAACATGTTCGGGATAGCAAATGTGAAATAATAAATTTTCAGGAATTTATCCAGAATATGCATTAAAACTCAACTACACGTTTGGCAAATATGTTAAAATATACAAAATATGCACTATCAAACTTAATATTTTAGGTTGTGAGTGAAGCGAAGACACAAAGATATATATATTTTTTTTTATCTGTGCGCAACTTTTCTACTAGTAATTTGCTCTGATTTACAATGATAGCACTTTTTCTGAAAAGAATTCTTAGTTGACTGGGACGGTACATTAAAGACGTTATTTTTCGATTTTCTCAAGAGTATTCCCTGCAAATGTGAAAAATCTGAGAAAAAATATGGGTAAACCGGGAAAAACGGTAGATTAAACAAGTATTATTAAAGAAAATATATAATACCTATTTAATTATTTCACTATAATATGACATATGTATATATTGTTGACAAAGCATCACTATCAATTGAATTCCGCTCAGAGTTGTTATTTAGTTAGCAATGGTTAATCGCTTACAGGTATTCATTAAATTACCTATAACAGTGGCTGCACCCGTCCCCATTATCCTAGGACAATTTTTTTAGAACTTTTGTTTTGAAACGGATTTGTACCTCACATGTTTTCCTATGTAGTAAAAAAAAAAAAAAAAAACACGCAAATGCATGAACTCTTGCGAGTCACGATTATCACTATAGTGATTTTATTAATGTAGGTAATTATAGCTCTAATATATTATTGAAATTAATGCAATAGGGGGAAATATAAGGTGTAAAATATTCCAACTACTTCCAAATAACGTATAACAAGTCTGAAATAAGGCCGTTAACTATATTGGACGAAAGTATGTTGTATGTTGGTGTCAACTTCACGTACGTAGTGTTTTTTCCACGCGCTCGTTGCAGCTATCCGATAAATAGGCTTGAAAACATTGTTACGCGTTTTCATAATAATTAGGTGCGCATTCGATTGGATATCGCACGCGTATCAGTAAAAATAAAAAAAAAATATTATTAATTAACAAACTGCCCGTGAAATAATTGAATGGTTCATGACCGTAAATTGATCGTAAAATTTTCAATAAATTATTGTGTTCTGATAAAAAAATTAATTAGATTTCCGCCGAACCGATAATAGGCAATAATAATAGTAATAATATCTACCTAATAATAATGGTCCTGTATATTATATTATATATGCATTATTAATTAATAATAATAATGCTGCTTCTGAGTCATAATATTTCGTGTCGTGTGCGTAATCGCTGAACAATTTTTCCCTAAACAAAAATTATTGATGTATGTTTTTCACTCTGTAAACACGTTATCGATAACTTAATTATTCACCTTTGTTGCATCATGTATAAAACAGTTTTTTCTCTCTCTCGATATTATCATAATAATTAGCATATACAAGTCTGGTCAGAGAACATATGATTATAATACATATGGTAGGTAACCGGTTCGGTTTAATAAAATAATAATAATAAATTAGGTAATGTTATTATGGGATAAAAACGTTATTGATAGATAACACATTTTTCGGATGTTTTTTATTGACCTGAGATTATAATACTGAGATCACTGGTGATCACTCGAGTTTCCCAGAAATTGTTAGTTCGAATTAATAAATTAGTAAATTAGTGTTTTTATCAAACCGTTATCAAACAAAAAATAAAAAAAACGATATTTAATACGATTATTATAATAATTATTTTTCTTTTTCTTTCGATTACTTGCTGTAATTGGATTAATGTTGGATATATTATAATTTTAATATTTGATTAAGAAGCCGGATGTGAAAAAAAAAACGTGTTTGAGTTTGACTTTTTTTTTCGTTCCTTTTTATCTATTATAATATAAACTTTATAGGTTATCGAATTTTTAACCAATTATTAGTTTTAAAGTACCTACCTACCTACAGTATTCTTATAAACATATTCGTGGAATTATTTTCGAATCATTTTACATTCAAATTTACTTTTTTTCGAGGTTTTTGTCTCAAATTTTTTATTACTCGCACAGATAAATTTGCAATTTAAATAATGTAAACTAGGTAAATTATTCTATGACAAAAATTTAGAAAAATATAAGCATATTAATATTATTTTGTATAACTGTTCGAAATTCGAATCGTACAGAATCGTATATTCTTATAAAGAATGTCATAAAATGATGTACAGAATTTATATGTTAACTACGGAATAAGAGTAAAATACAGTGTTTGAAATGGAAAAAAATCAGAAGAGGGAAGCAAAAGTGTAAAACAAATTTGTTCATCTTAAAACTTAACTGTATTTTATTTGTAAAAATCTATTCAGGGTGAGAAACAAGAAGGTGGGTGAATAGGGGTATGGAATATCAATTCCCGAAATTTGGAAATTATTAGAATACTGAATCGACAGTGCAGCAGTGAACAATTTTTAATTCGATTAAACCATCATAATTTCTTTTTTGGTAGGTATAATTTTTTTATTTTATTACATGACTATCATTATATTATTATCGTCGAATTTATTATTTAACCAAGAATAATAAAAAAAAAAAAAAAAAATTGGTAAATTATTTTCTGAAACAACTCTTTTGATTTTTGTTAATGGCTTTGTGTCCATTATCAAAAATTAGAAAGGGTACGCTAAAATATATTCCATCCCACCCTCTTCTCCTAATTGAAGCACTGATAAAATTTCAAACAAGTATTTAAAAAACAGCGAACATTATACGATTCTATTTATGTAATGACAATCCTCCCGATGTCAAATTTAAATATACTCGAAATCGCCGTATGGATTTAACGGATGCAGTTGTTTAATGTGATAAAGGTATACCCTGTATACATAGTATATATTTTACGGCTAATTTTGAAAATTGGATAATGTTCTCGTTCGATCAGTCAAATTTTCTACTGTTATTTAATAATGGAGTGATTTGGCCTTTTATCAATCACAATATTTTAATATTATATTCAAGTGTGACACGAATATGTAAAAGATTTAAACACTATTCAAACATATTTGAATATCGTTAAAAAAATTAAAACTTCGAAAAAAACCAAAGTACAAACGCAGAAAACGTACTAACCTTTAAGTTTTATAATCAAATTTACTTTAATATCAAAACGTACATCACAAAATCGGTTTTACTGAACAAAAATTTGACATTATTCAATTGTCAACATTAGCTGTAATATACAGGGTGCCATACAATGTTATCCAAATGCTAATAACTCTGTCAATATTAATGTAATTTGTTTTATTTTTTCAATAGGATTTTGCTTCAGGAAGACACGCACGTAGAGAAAAATTACATTTTTATTTTTATCTTTTAATCACTGAAAAATATCGCCTTTTATTTTTTCACTTTTTGATTCCTAAATAGCCGATTTGTCAAATATATTTCTCTAAAAATTTTATATGCCATTATTATATATTCGATAAATATAGTTTCTTAGTAATAGTGGTTTTTATTTCTAGAAAATCCACATGAAAACAATTAATTTTCATTTGAATAACACGTTACGCGATAAGGAGTCACAATCAACACGGTATCTCCTTATCTTCTATTAAATATTCATTTTTTTCACGACTATTTTTCTATATATTAAATTCGCTATTACTAAGAACCTATTAATGAGATATTAATGTATGATAAATTCACATTTTTTAGAATAACGTTTTTTATAATTTTTAAAAAGTGAAAAAATAAAGTTATTTTTATTGGAAATGAAAATTTAATTTTTCTCTACATTTGTGTCCCCCTAACACAAAAACCGAAAACGAAAAAAAAAAAATGAACATTAACAGAGTTATTAGCATTCGGATAACACTGTAGGACACACAGTATGTAGTACGTAATAATTATGTATTGATAAACTAGAAAAGTCGTATGAATAATAAATACGCGAAACCGATAAATTATAAATGTAATGTGTATTGGTTAAGTGAGCTTTTTTTCTTTATTTGTATTGCGTTTAAAAATAATACCGACGAAAAACACATAGTAATCGCGTAAAGAAAAAGAAAGACACACCGCACCACTATATAATGTACGTGCAGTTGAATGATTGTTTTGTATTATTTTTTTCGCCGACTTTGAGCAAATGACGGGTTATCAGTCATGTAATTGCGTTATTTTTACGCCATCACGCGAAAAAGGATCGCTGCAATATAATAATACTAATAATATCACGGTTTCAAGGTTAAAGTCGAAATTTCGAGCATGTTCATACACATTATGTATGCTACATTGTTGTATACTCCCAGAAAAACACTGCACCACACGAAAACACGTCCGAGATGATACGATCCCCGTGTAGGTAATATACGTATATTATACAATAATATAATACAGACGGCGACGACGACGACGATTGCGATCTCTCGGCGTGACCTTCGAAAATGATATAATAGACGGCAATTTTATTATTTTCATACAGAAAAAGAATAGTATTCTACGTGTGCATCTATATTATAATGTACAGAAACCGAATGCCGGAAAAATTGTTTCGCGGAGCGTAATAATAATTATATTGATTAGGAATCGCGCAAATTGCATATACGATATATCTGCGTTTTATCGTTATTATTGTTATTATTATTATTGCGTACGGGGTACGGGTGTATAGTGTAAATGTATTGCGAAAAATATGCACTTTCAACACACTGGGTGTCCCCGTTCGAATGTACAACGGATCCGTTGAAATGTCGTGCACCTACCAGCTCGTCGAGCGTAATACGACATGCGTGTATTGTACGTTTGCCGATGTAGGTGTCTCGCCCTGCCCGATTTTTCGTCGGACCCAATTTCAGATTCTTAGTGGAGCGAAGAAGCTCATGGTTTTACAGAGGTGTTTACTTTTTTTTTTATTTTTCCGCGGACAACTTTTCTACCGGAAATCTCGCTCCGATTTTTAAGCGCAACACCTTTCCCGAAAGGCAATCGGACTGGTGGGTAGGTGCTTTAGGGAGGTGATTTTTCGATTTTCCCAGGAGTTTTCTCAACGAATTTATAAAACCAGGAAAATAGGTACAATATTAAACAGTTATTTTTAAAGAAAATATATAATGCCTATGTAATTATTTTACCATGGCATATAATATATTGTTGACAAAGTAACACTACCAACTGGACTCCGCTCAGAATCGTTTTTTCGTTAGCAATGGTTAACGATTGTTGTTTACAGATATACATTAAATTTCCTCTCTATTACCTTTACAACAGTGGCTGCACCCAAACGTTTTTTAGTATAAAACTATAGCTGTATTACTGTTGACTATGTCCACGCCTCGGCCCGTGTGCAGTTTACATGTTCTTACAGTGTAGTCGGTGTAAGCCCCTATTTTTGTCCTATTTTTTTTTTCATTTATTTTTACCCATATTCATTTTTGGTTTTGACCGTGTCAGAATTGAATGCAAACATTTAGGTGGAAAGTTGGTAGTCTACTTTCGGCGGACTAAAAGCGTTCTGTTGTGAAATGTTAATAATGTAAATAATAGTATAAGAATTATAATTGTAATAGTTTTCTTATCCGTAAAAACCAAATTATCATCAGTCTCACTAAGGTGACCCTTGAACAAACCAAAATGTATTGATGACAAAACACAACTATCAACTGAACTCCGCTCAGAATCGTTTTTTCGTAAGCATTGGTTTATTGTTTTTACCATTAAATTATTTATAACAATGGCTGCACCCGTCTCCATTATCTTAGGACATCTTTTTTTTTAACGTGTTTCTTCGTGACAGTCCCCGTTTCTATCCGTTTTTTCCCGATATATATAAATTGAATACTGCAAATAGTGTTTTTAAGTGTTATTAAGTGTTTTCTTACACGTGACAACCAAATTATCATTCATGTCACCAAGGTAACCTAAAAGTAATCAAATAAAATTTAATTTTTATTCCGAAAATACCAAAAACACAGTGACAGCAATCCTTTAGAGATGTCAATTTTTAAAATCCTTCCTACTACGGTATAAAAGGTATTTATTACTACCAAGTTTCTAATCCCAGGGGTTTAGGTTATGCGTTGAGTTTCTGTCAGTTAGTCAGTCAGGATAAAGTCGCTTTCATATATAAAGATAACTGTTTATTATATAGTGTGATCCGTTTATCAGATTGCTATTTTTTATTTAATAACTAAAAAGAGGGGGACGGGTATGATAATTGTGTAAGTTGGAAGTTGGAAAGGTAGGAAACATAAAGATTAATGTTACCTAATTAATATCTGTAAGTAACGATAAATCAATGCTAATGAAAATCGATTCGGAGCAAATTCGGCTATACATGTTTTGAAAGTCCTTAATTTTTACGATTTCAGTAAACATTGTATTTTAAAACGCGCATTAAAAAAAAAATGTTTTAAACAATTTTATACCACGTTTAAAATAAGCTATACTCTGTGTTGGTTTTTAACTAATTTCGAATAATAATTTAAATCAGAAAGTTTCAAATACGGGTTTTTTTTTTATTATTATGAAAATAGTTTGGAAAATCAAAAAATATATCCAAAAATCAATGAAAAGTGGTATCTTTTTAATTTTAGATTAAAGTATAATTTCTGGGACTTCTGGTAGAAAAGTAGTTTACAAACACATACACACACACACACACAAAATACAAATGTACACTCATCATTGTTAAACCAATATAGATTCCTCAATATGCTTCGAATTTAAAACCATAAATTAAATAAATTAAAAAAATAGGACATTGTATAACCCTAATAATTGAAATAATAGAAATAATATTTAAAAATATAATTTTCTTTTTCCCACTTTAACCTTGGTTTTATGTTGATATTATAATACCTCAATATTGTTTTATCAGAGTTCGTATTATTATGTTCAATTTACATAATACAATTACTGAATCCATTATGAAAACTTAATTACGATACCTATTCCGTCACTAATGTCACAATCATCGTGTATGGGTGCGCGAGTGTACCAGCAAACCTTATAATTATAATTAATATCTATATGACACGACCATAAATTATATTAATATTAAATGAAATTAACGTTTAATATAATTGATTATTGATCTAAAAACTTATTTTCCACTAAAAACTTAACATATGTATGCAGATATGTACTAAAAGTACCTAAATATGTCATTAAAATATTCTCTACAAAAATAAAATAACAATAGTAAAAATCATATTTTAAATTTCTTAAAACAGTATGAAATCATCCTCAATTGTGCTCTAAAAATGTAAGAAAATTTTAAAATATAGGTACACAATATTACTTACAAAACCAAAATATGCAAAATGAAAGTTTATACGTACAAACTTTACAAACGATTCTATTATCTTTATTATACTAAATTTTGGTATAAACTAGCTTTTTTTTAAATCAATCAATAAAAACACGTAAATGCGTGTAGATATCTGATATAATTAAATAATAATAAAAAAAAATAACTGATACTAGGTACGGGAGTACCACTGTTGTAGGTAGGAAGTGGGGAAGGTACAATACATAAAGTTATTTAATTTATATCTGTAATCAACTATAAACCATTGCTAACGAAAAATGATTCAGAGCGAAGTTTGGTTATACATATAAATACATGTTTTTAAAAGCCGTAATGTTTACGATTTTCGTCATAATTTGATATTAAAACTACTATTAAAATAAAATTACTACATTACAATCTACATTTTTGTGTTTGACTACTAAGTACAACCTATGATGAAATTCTTGTTAAATGTTCAAGCATTTCGGTTTAATCTAACAATTTTATTTACAGAGTACCTAAGAAATAAAAATTACGTAAAAATCTCCCAAATAAAATGTTTATTTGGAATGGTTCAAATGTTTTGAAAATTTGGCCACGTCTAGAAATAGCAAATACAAGTTTTTGTCAAAATTTCAAATTTTTTCAGAAATTTTTAACAGAATTAAAACTAAAAAAACAAAATTGAAAATAACAAAACTATTATTTTCATAAATTTTTCCGAGCTTTCTATATTTTTTTTCTAGTTTTGCTCAATTATTATGAAAACTACAAAGCAAATTTGAATACCGACTTTCTTATTCACAAACTAGATTAAAAATGCAATAAAAAAAAGTCTCTTGTTGTTTTTCGCTTGAAAAAATATTTCTAGTAGATTTATCATTTTTAATTTTTTGGTTTTACCCGATTTTTCCAAATTATTATGAAAACTACTTAAAAAAAAAAATCGTTACAACAACTAGATAAAATTTCCTTTTAAAAAAGGTGTTACACTTGATACTTGAATAAGATTTCCGGTAGAAAAGTTGTTCATAGAAAAAAAAATACATCATAGTAAAACTAATAGACCCCTCTCTCGATACGCTCCGAACCTAAAATTAAATAAACTAATACTACATAAACTAATATTTTGAAATTTTTTTTTTTTTGCTAAATTTGTTACGACATTTTGTATTAATTTTTAAATTTTATTCGCGATGTTTACGTATTCGGTAGGAATTTTAATATAACTACTTCAAACGTCCATTAAAAACCAAAAAAATGTGGAATATTATAGCATAGTGCGTAATTATTAGCGTCGTGTTCGTAATTAATTAATATTTGTTTTGTTTTTCGTTTATGACAAGTCACGATAGTTCATTATAACATATATATATAGTTGAAATGAGCTGAAAACGTATATTATAGGTTAGCTTAATTTTTTTGACTATAATACATGTCTACCTGACTGCAAGTCTGTTGTAATAAAAAATATGTAGATGCAGAGACTATTCCCGGTGCATACGAGTCGCCTCTCAAAATATACGAATTGCCTCCCATCGTTATCGTAAATAGAAATGTTTATATACACTAGTTGAATCCGACGATTAGGTAGTTCAAAATTATATACGAGTCGCCTCCCATATTGAATAAAACAGTGGTTCATAAACTAAACTGAATTTAGTATAATATTTATAATTTTATTAAAAATAACAATATCAATGGTGAATAAAAAACATTTGGTAATATAATTCTTCAATAAAAAAAAACACAATATGGTAATAAATGTTTAACACGTTTTCCCTTTTAACCGACCATTTCCCGAATTTCAATATGATCCATTATTCAAAAAACTTATAAGAAAATTTTAAATCGCTGGTTAAATATAAATTCGAACGACGAGTGTTGAAACTCAACTAACGAGTAACGACAGTTATCATTACAGTAGAGTAATCTTTAATATTAATCGTACAATCTTATCAATGCACAATCATCACAAATCATACGATTGGTCGATTCCCTTTTCCGCAAAATTAACGAATTTAGTCTAATATCCGAATATTAATGGATGATGAGATATAATCATATCTAACAATTATTGTTTATTGATAAGACAAATTAATAAATTAAAAATCTAGAAAGTTTTTTTCTATTTATGTATGATACAAATTTTTTTCATTATTTATTGAATTTATGATAAAAATAGTTGTTAATACGCGCATAATAAATATTTTCATCACATTTTCTTACACAAAGTATATCATGGTGTGACTAGCTATTTTAATTCAATTTCAATATTTATATTTATTTTTTTCATACATTTTCAGTTATGATTTCGTAAAATACATAGTATATAACGATTGTAAGTTGTAAGAGTGTACCTATAATATGATCTATACTATAGATACAATATAGATTCTATAGCATAAATAATATGACATTTATATTTATGTGAAATTTGTTAATTTAACTCAATTTAACCTCCCGCTGTACAACCATACATTTTTAACATTTTGAAATTTGTTTATAATACAACAATAATAATTTAATAACAATAATAAATAATCATTCATTAGTATTCGAATATTAGATATCATTTTTTTCAATGGCGGAAAGGTGAATTGGCGGTAAAGCGAAAATAAAAATATTAGACAGAAAAAAAAAAAAATTAAAATTAAAAATTTCAATTAGTACATTAAAACCATCGTCTAATTTATTAGTGTACTTAATTATACGCCAACTGTTAGTACGAACTCAAAAATAGACCCCCCTTAGGTTAAAATGTCGATGATTGTTTTAATGAGATCATTAAGAGAATGTCAAACGTAACAGGAATACAAGAATGTGAAATATTTTTTCGTACAAACTTGAATTTGGTACTATAATAAACATGTGCATTTTGATCAAATGTTCGTTGAACAGTTTTTTTTTTATATGTATCATCGTCTACGGATTTTAATTTTAAATTATAAACGAAGCGAAGAAGCTATATGTAAAAGTTTTACTCTGATATGTGTGTTTTTTTGTGGAAAACCCTTTTTTTTACGCAGTACCTCGAGGAGGAATTTTCGTCTGGTAGTAATTTATTTGATAAAAATGTCTGCATTCCGAACGTTTTAAAAAGCTTGTAACAAAATATGTATACACATTTAGGTTTTTTTTTGTTAATTTCTGTGTAAATTTGGCCATTATGGAACAAAATAACATGATTAATATACGGTAATATACGGTACTAATACTACTTTTCTCAGAATCTCAGAATGATTGATCGTTGTATACAGTATATGAATTAGTGTACACCAGTTAGACAAGACAAAAACAAAATAATATCAAAACAAGTTCATAATACGTTGTCTAATTATAGCTTAAGAGAAATGTAGACACTTTAGACAGTATCAGTTATGACTGATGGTATTTACAAAAAAAAAAAATGTTTTAGTTTTGTCCTTGTGTTATCAATGTGCTTGTGTAATCTAAATTACTGATTTCCTATGTTCTATTTTTTCCAAGACCGTGTATGGCGGACTAACAATGTTTAAAGTAGTTTTGCTCTTTAGGTGTACGTTGGGCCTAATGTCTGTTCGTTCAACCTGATATTACACCGTTCAACGATCGTCATCGATAATGTTTGAGGGGGAACATTTTTAATACAATTTACTCGAAAACTCTTTGCGCTGATAAATCGTCGTCGGTAAAAGAATCACCCTGTATATATTATAGTTTTTTTTCCAACGCGTTATTTGGTTGACGGCGGTAACAACTATCATCACGTGGACGCTTTATCATGAGTTTTTATTTATATCTAATGTAGGAATTGGATACTTTGCAGGCAATACTTGAGGGTCTGCAGCGAAGGAAATATACTCACTGTAATAATATACAGTTCTGACCGCATCCTCGATAAGATACACACCACTGTTTCGGCAATAAATCATCGTCGTCGTCGTCATCATCGTATATAGGTGGTACCTACTCGGGAAATTCGACAGAAAAACATTTATTTTATCGACGGATAGGCGAATGGGTGTACTCGTATTATATAGGTACTTATCGATTACGGCCGTCAATATATTATAAGAGCGGTTTTCGAATCCGAACATACCCATACCCATGTACTCATATACTATAATACCGGGGCTGTATTCGGGTGAATCGCGTATTACATTATGTTATGTAGACTCGCAGGTATAATAGCTGTGTGTATACACGTGTGGAATATTTTTTTTTCTCTCGTTCCCTCGACCACCCACGCAAAATCGCTTTTATCGATATTTATCGTGGGTATCAACCAGCTGTATCCCGTGCAAGGTGCCCGTGCCTATGCGTCTATTATGCGAAAACGTCTATCTCTTTTCTCAGGGATACTCCGCGGGGATCCTTCACCCCGGTTTCACGTTATGCGTATAATATTTGTAATAGCGATGTCGTCCTTAAATCATAAATATTTATTATTACACAATTACACACGTATAATAATAACAACAACGATTTATTGATTTTCGTCTACGTGAGTTTGAATTAAAATTCCATCCACCGGCATAAACATAGTTTATTGAAAGATGCGCCGTGATACGATCGTCATCAAACGGTGTCCTTATTATTATTATTATTGCTTGTTATTTTCGAACGTGTCTCCGCGATAATAGGTATTTGAATGACGTTTACACGATATGTGTATTAGTCGAAGGGATAAATGGGTACGCAGTTGTAGATATATTTCAGAACCCTTTTATACCGGTATAATAATATAATAACACAATCGCTACAGACATGCCCGTCTAGTGCCCGTAGTCAGTATGTTATTAAAACAAGATGGAAAAATTGCTTATTTTGCAGCACACACCTATTTTGGCTCTCACGTTTAGGTCTAATGAAATATAAGTACCTATATAGGTACTTCGGACATTTCTGTTTTCCCATATAAACACGCTCCTCGAATAATCCTAGGAGAATCTCGAATCGCTCTACGGGTCGACTCGAACGTTTTATAATATAATACTATGCACGCTGATATACGCGGTTCAAATGGTTAAATATCTTCTAGTTCATTTGATTTTGTTCTTCTTGTTTCGAATTTCAAGCGAAACATCCTTTCCGAAAGAAAATGCTATCCAGTTGGTGCATCGGGAAGTTTTTTTTTAAAAAATCGTTCTCGGAGTTTTCTTATAGTAACTAAGAAACCGGGAAAATTTACGACAGTAACGTTTTCATTTTTTTCGCTTTTGTTCTTTTATTATTATTAGATAAAAAATAATCAAAAGAACGGAATTCGTTATAGTTAAAGTTTAATTTCTTGACAAAATACTTGTAATAGCTTTCTCTAGAAGTCGTAAAACTTTGTAAACATTCTGGCCATTTTTTAATTATTTATATGTATTTGACCTTTTTGGGATTTTAGTTTTTATTTCGTTTTACGTGGATAAAACTGTTTGGGTGAACTTTGGTTTGGTTTTATTAAAAATTTAATACAAGGTTCATTATATAAGTTGAGCGTAATGAAAATTTTTTTTTTATAAGCGTTTAAGTTTAAATGTCGACGAAAATAAGAAAAATTACGGCAATTCAAAACATGTAAAATTGAATTTCGCTTAAAAACTTATTTCGTTAACAATAATTTTTCGTCGCGTACAAATATAAATTAAATAGCTTTATGCATTTTATCATCTTAACTTCCTATCTAAAACATGGCACACCCATGAGCAGTATCGGCTCTTTTTCGTCTATTGTTCGTGTACATTAATTATTATACACAACTCATCGTTTGGTCATTATTATTCACAGCAACCGAGCTTCGCGAAAATATATAGATATTCGTTTGAAAATTCGTGGAATGGAGTGCCTATGATTATAATATTATTTCTGTGACAAAATACGGCGAAAATCATTATAGTCGACCTCGACGGGGTAAATAAGGAACGTGCCACACGAACTATACACTAATACTTAATATGCTCATATATATTATAATAGCGGCAATGATTTGCGATTTTTTTTTTTTTTCACGAGCCCTATCGTTAGTCTGTTGTTATTAGCAAAATCCGGGATATAAACTCACTTCTGTTGGCACGATCAGGGAAGGTCTGAGGGTTACATTAGTCCCTCCTTCCACCATTGTTCGTATTAAATATAAACAAAATATACAAACTATTCAGCATTGAAAATGTATTACTGATAGAAATATAAGCATTGTACGTTTATACTACTTATTCAACTATATACAAATAATTGTACTACTTACGTAATTATGTATTTTGTAAAACATTTTTTTTTTTTTAGTCAAATTTGTTTAGTTAAGTTTTCCCCGCTCCCATTTAAAATGTCTGGATATACCGCTGCTCACTTTTCCCCGGTTGCTAACAAAAACAAAATAAAACAGTTGACAAACAAGATCCAGTTAAATCAACTTCAAAACATAAACATTCTTGTGCTAACGCCAAACTAGATACTGCCCCAAGGAAGAATGTCTGCTAAGTGTAATTCTAGTGTAATTTAAATCAGTGGTTGAAAAACCACGTCGGGTGTAAATAAAGATAGTAGTAAAAGGTAAGAGTTACTTCGGGTCAGTCACATTTTAAATTTCTGCCAACCAAGGTGTTGGCAACGGACGATATATTACCAATGACAACCAATTGATATCGAACTTACTACTCTTTGACGCTCCGGTGGCGCGCAATTTAAACAGTCCGAGAACTTTTTGATCGTACTATATCTTTAATAAAGAAAAGACGGAACGCAAAATATTAGCCGAGAAACCAATAATATTCTTTGTCTTCCGCAAGATCTAATAAACATTTGGCGAAAATTCGTGATCCGCGTCATTTACTGTAGAAAAGGTCGAGAAAAAAGAATCCTCAGGAGTTTATATTATTATCGGGGTTATATAACAGCGATGGCTACGCTCACACACACACACACGAATTTATTTGGTCGAGAGATTTCAAAAAAGGCGTTTCGTTTGATTTATTGGTTTGAAAACTAAGAAATTGTCTTATAAAGTCACGGCTATTCTCGAAACTTACCACCGTGTATAAGCATTCAATCTAGCTTAAACCCGAGTCTTTTCTTTTCTTCCGCCGTCGCGCCTTTAAAGATGCTTTAACGTTTTGTTTGTGTATAAACCTAATGCGGACTCTTGGATCCCGTTCAAATATTTATCAGCGGACCTTTTTTTTTTCCGCGCGTCCTTTATTCTAGTTTTTGTTAAAGTTTTTCCTCTATATAATGTCCTATAAACACGTCGGATGGATTTGCGAAGGTTTCTATACATAATATTATTATTCTTATTTAAAAATAAGATTTCCAAAATGTATTTTTCTATCCAACACTGCAGTTAATTTTTCCCTTAATATTGAAAACTGTTATTGGTGAAAAACACTTCCACCGTCGTTGATGGGTTTTTTTTTTTTTTTTAGGTTTGTATTACGGCTCGCCACAGATTTGCTCGCAAAATAACTATCGGAGATGACAATTTATTAATACGATATTGGCTGTAGTGAATTTACGATACTGCCGTTTACTATTGCCGTGCGTTTAATCTAAATTATTATTCGTAAATCGCTATACGTAATATAGCTAGGGATTTAAACGGTCCGTAAATCGTTCACCGTATATAGAAGTCAGTTTTCGATTCTCCGTGTATACACAAACGAGCAGTACTCTCTTCACTCGCGACAACGGATACACCGCAAATCGATTTAAATGATAGAAGAGAGTCTATTGGTGTCCTACAGTGGGACGTTATGCGTGGTATTTTATATCAGTTCTGTACAATTTCTTGGTAAAAAAAATATCGTTATCTGCTACTGCTGTTTTAAAAATTATAATATCTTTCATACGTCAGTCGCCGTTGATTGAGTAGAATATTATCTGCAAAGTTTTTACGGATACACAGAAAATTGTTTCTATATACATGAATTTAAATGTCGGAACGCAACATATTCTATAAGTTCATATATAGGTCAACCTAGCTTGAGGAACTGCTTACTAAATTGCAAGCTCTCCTAGAAAAAATGGGAGCGCGTACGTGAATTGGTGAATTACATGACCGGAAGTCAGGAACTGTATTCGGAAGAATATTTCTGAGGAAAGCGTACATTAAACAATAAAATAAAATATCGAAATCGTACTATTCAGGAATTGTTGTTATCAAATCGGTACTATAAATTATTATCATACTATTATGCAGTGCCCTGGTATCCGTCATTAGTAAATATAAGAGATTAAATAAAATTGTATTGCGCTATAAATATTTAACGATGAACTATGTATCACATGTTTAAGAATTATTACGAAACTAATAATATCGTGAGTTTTCAAACTCGAAATGTTTTTTCACAGTATTCAAATTAATGGCTCTTGCAAAGTTTTGCGATTAAACATTTGCAGAATACATTCAATCCGACCTATCCCTTTTGAACCGTCATGTCAAACTATAAATGTATTAGTTTGAATTAAATACTACAATAAATAACGAGTTTTTTTTTTATATATATTTATTCTTCCGGTTTTGTCCCGCGCGATGACGAAGCCATACAAAAAGGTCGAAGGCTCTCGATATAAATTCTAACTTCTTCGATTCGTACAGGTATTTCAATGTTTTAATTGCTGGCCACAATGTGAAATTTAAAACGTATAAATCGGTTAAATGGTTTAACACGATTCGACCTAATTTCGTCTGTATTAACATAACTTAACGATTTAAAATGGACCGTGAAGTTGTCAATCCTTCCGAATCCGGTACACACACCACGATCTTCGACGAGAAAATGGCGCCGAATCCCCCCCCCGGGTTCGAGCCACTACCGCAGAGCTAAAAAAAACGCGCGCGCTCGTTTTTCACAAATAATTCGATTATCAATCCCGCGTGTACATAAACCTAACCTAACCTACAACGATTTATAACATAAAATTAATATTATAATATGCTCGCAGACATTGTGTGTGCGTGGGCGCATTATCATACGGCTGCGACGACGTGTATATAAAATGCGTATTATATTGTTATGCGAGCCCGTCGCCGCCGTCGGTCGGTCGGTTTAGGTTCCTCGCGTATTATTTTCGCGCAGTCATTTTTCATCCGACCGCCATAAATCATTTCGACGTCGTTGTCGTGCGCTGCGGCGCTGTTGCTCAGCGCGATCGTGCGGTCGTGTACAGTATAGGTACGAGGGGGGGTTTTTTTTTTTCATCCGAATAATATTATCGAGGGAAGCGAAAAAAGAGGGAAAAAACATTTATTATTTTATTCCGCTCGGGCCCGAAAAACGATGACAAACATTTGAACGCGTGGATTTGCACCGTTGTTATAATAATAATAATATAAAAAATAGGCGTTCTTATAGGTGTATTTTAGATACATATATTATGTACAATAATATCGCGAGATTTTAACGTGCGGCGTTTTTTTTTTTTTTTGACCCGCACGGAGGCGAAAACGTTCAAAGAGTTTTAAGTTCCTGTCGTAATTTTTTGATCGATTCCGACTTGATGAAAGACAAAAACCGCCCGTGAGCAGCACAGCTCCATCGCTAGAATCAAATTATTCCTCTGCAGCCGTCTTGTCGTCGTTATTTATTTCCAGTAGTTCTTATAGCTGGGCGTTTGAAACCCGCGGTATTTCCTGTAAAAACGCAGAACTTTGGTATAAAAATGGTAGGGGCGGGGTTTGAAATTTGAAACCCTTAAAAGGCGCATTCTTGATTTTAACGTCGTGCATATAAAAATAGTACGAAAGTTCCTAAAAAAGGTTTTTTTTTTATTAGAGTTAATTTTCTGATGGAAGAGACACTAGACCAAAAAAAAAAAAAAAATTTCGCGGTTTTGCTGGGTAGCCGAATATATGTATAACAGATACAATACAGTGTAATAGTCTTTTTTTTCCGGGAAAATACGTTTAAAAAAATCTAGACTTATCAGGCTCTCGTGAGCATTATATAGATTTATAACTTTTTAATTTCATGATTGAACGCGAAACGCAGTTTCGATGTGAACGTATAGGTATAAAAATATAATTTCTATTCTGCGACGATTACGTTACAATACTAAACGTTTACAAATCTATTCAAGTTCAATAAAAACAGTTTGAACAGTTTTAAAAAAAAAAACCAGCAAAAAAACATCAAATACAAGTTTAATTTTTATTATCCGTGCACACGAAACGATGTTTTTCTTATCGTTTTTGTCAACTAAAAAAAATAAAATTAATTTTTTATTCGAATTTTGGGATCTTGTATGAAAATATAAATTACGTAAAATATACATGAAAATATTGAATTCATTCGCTTAACCGTTGTACATATTTTAAAAATTGATATTTTTTTGAACTCAACGAATCAAATTATATATCTATGCTACACGCTGAAATGTGTATTATTACCTATACCTACTGTTTTTCGTATTATATTACCGTTATTATATCCTTGTACCTATATTTAAATAATATTATGTATTCCGTAACGAAGACGGTATTCGTTTTACAAAGATGTTTTTTTTTTTTTTTTATCACATTATCAATAATTACATTTTTTCACGTAGTACCTTAACATATGCAATATTTCTGTACGAAATATTCTTCACAGTTCGCCTCCTGTGTTCTCTGTTAATTTTAATTGATATACGGGTCACCTTTTAGCAATATGGAAAAAACTACGAATAGAATCGTTTTTTCGTATGCAATGATTAATCGTTGCATACAGTACACAAAATAAATTACCCCGTATAATATATCTTACTTTCTCAACTACCCACTTTTACGGCCTGCCCGTGAGCAGTATAAACTTTTATACTATTGACATTATAAAGAATAGTCGTGTGACGTTGGATATTTGAAATGTCGAATATCGACTTTGTCACTTCCCTCCCTTATAAAATATATCCACTTCGAGCCGTTCTTATTTTAATAGTAATTTAAACTTCTGATCGTTTAAATTATATATTATATAAGTACCGAAAACTGTGGAAGATAGGACTTTTATTTTTTTTTTTTTTATTTATCTTTTTTTTTGTAACCCTATCACGTATGACTTGAGATTGATTGTCGATTTTTCACACGAAAAAAATGTGAAATACATATTTCTAACGAGCGACAGAGTCGAGGTACACGTTAGTATAGTTAGCAAAGTTTACGCACAATAATTTGCGGTAATGTAACGGCATTTGTCATGTCGAGTCAAAAACAGCAAAGATGTGTGTTGGAAAAAAAAATATATATATATATATATATATTTTTTTTTTTTTTTTGTAAAAGTAGCTTTTGCACGTATATATATATATATATAAACCTACCTAATGTGACTCGGGCAAACGCGGTCTGAAATAAATAATAGATCGTAATAATATCGTTTGTAACCGTAGCAGTGTATAATATATATTATGATATTACAACCCATCCGAAATGATTGAAGATGGCAGACACGTCAGTATATAAGTACTGCTATCTAAACCCAAAATTATCGTAAGCGCTTTGGATTTGAACCGTATTGAGGGTCCCGGTGCCGCGTACTATACCGTTCCCTACTAGAAACGAGCCGCAGATTCAATTATGCCATTCGATTCAACACATGTTCCGGTGGTGTCTGAATGGATTAACTCGGGTTCCATATTATAATCGGTTTAATATTCACACTGCAATCGAATCGGAAGATATATAGGTCATAGATCAAAGTTTTTGCGTTTTTTTCCGCTTTATCTAAATCTATCGTTATTTTTCATTGACTTTATAATAGGTCTTTAGAAAATGTCAGTTTTGAACTTGATTTCGCCACTATATTTTATCGCCTGAAGTCGAATGCAAAATCGGTGTTCAATACGACCTGTAAAATGTTGCTGTTTATCGATTAAAAATATTTATATACGATTGAAAAATATTATGTGGACAATCATTTTTTCGAAGTCATTTTCGTCCGTAAAAACGGCCATACCCATCTTCTCTAAACAGGTGTCGGACAGTAAATTAATGGACAAATTGTATATTTAAGGCGGTCATTGGACACAATTGAATGTATTTTGGAAAACCGGGATCGGGCCCTAAATACAATCTTAAATTTGTATTAGTTTTGATTTCATTACGAAAATATATCATCATGATATTTCTTTGGCGGCAGAGAAACAGGTTTAAGTAAATCGTTGAGAACAGTGGAAATTTAATTAAATTTCTTCTCTTTTTAGATTTTTAGTGTTGTGTTGTTTAAATTGGTAGGTAATCTCTTTTACTCATGATTAATGTTTTGGGCTTTTAGTTATTAATAAAAAAAAAAAAATAAAAGAATAAATAAAAAAAAAAAAATTACTGAGCGTTGTTTACCACATTATTCATTATATATTAAAAAGCCAAGAACAATTAATTAATTAGTTTATTGTTTACTACGGGAATATCTATTTTATAAATGTATTGTTTTTATATTGTGTGTATAATATGGTAAAAAACTAAAGCGAACCACAGCGAACAAAATACAAACATGGACCATTTTAATTATTCTATAATTGAACGTAATAATTTATAAATTGGTTTTTTTCGGATGTATCGGATATCACGTGCATTGTTATTGTGGTGAAATTCCCATTTGTTTAAAAATACAACAGCTATGAATAATTAACCGGTCGTTTGATCTTGAAATGTATGTATTTCAGCCAAGTGGCAAGTTACGCGGTAATAATGTTTGGTTTTTTTGAATAAAAATAATTGTTTTTTTTTTTTGATAAGACATTTACAAATTCTCACTTTTGGGTTAGGTATTCTCTTTAATACATTCCCTTCTCTCCGTTGTAAATTCTTGGCATGCCACGTTAAAAAAAGTTGCTTTTAACCCAAATAACTGAAAACTGAGGAAATAATCTCGAAAATCCCCCGTGTACATAGTTACAAGTGTATAGAAATTTTGAAAATGTAGAAAACTATATAACATCATCGGGGTAATTTCTTCAACGTCTACTTACCGGTTTTGTTCAACAACAAAATCATTCCATCAGCAAACGAAATCAAGTACCTACGGTAAACGTTTCATATAGAGCTCGCATCTAAAAAAAAAACAAAATCTGTAAATCCAAACTGCACTTTCTTAGACTCCCCCTCTCTTAAAATCAACGAATACGCTAACAATATACATCCCAATCTTCCCGGTCTGGTTCTACGGCACTAAAGTATGGGGGATACAAAGTCGCCCAACACCAGAACCATTCAAGCTAAACGCATATGTTCTAAAATTATTTTTGTCAAGTGGCTCTGTTAAGAGATTTCCTATTCCTATCACTATTTTTATTTTGTGAAATTAGTCATTAGACTAACCTATTTTACTAATGCATGTTGTGTAGATAATAAATACATTTTATTTTCAAAAAACAATTTAAATAGGAAAAACGTCCGTTTTAAAAATTAGCGGAAAAAGAACAACCGAGCACTCGTATTTTATTTGCGATGATTTATTGCCGTTGCGTTTGGGATTTTTCGTTTTTTAAATTACTTTCGCGTAAAAATAACACAGACAAACATGGTAATTTTATCACATGTTATAATATGTTTAAACGGTTGGACTGCATAACCTATACAGTTTATATACGCACACACACACACACACACACATATATATATATAAGTCACTAAGTCATATATATTACTATTACGTGTGCTATGTATATGCGCACACACCTATGCATTATTATACACGTGTATAATATATTAATTCCTGTAACTGGTTAAACGGACATTTTAGGCGCTTTTATAATTACGCTAAAATGCGAGGCTATACAGTAATTTTTTATGCGGGTTAAATGGTTTTTTCTTCATTTGATTCCATTAAACAAGGCTATACTCTGGTTATGTGTTAGCTATTACATATATATATATATATATATATATATACATACATATAGTCATATATTCGTTATTACTGCAGTTAAAATAATGAACGTTATTAACGAGTTAATAATTATTAACGCGCGTTTCTGCATTTTGTTTTCAGTATCCGCCAAAGTCGCACGATGAAATCAAACGCGATTTGGAAAACGTCAGTCAAGGTGCCGCGAATATAATTTTGAAATTGTTAGAAACAAATCCGCAGTGCAGATTGAAATCGCTACATCAAATCAAAAAACAACCGTTTTTTTACGGTTTCGACTTCGCAGACGTCATGCTAAAAAAGGTTAATAATAGACATAAATTATATTGTAATTTCTTTAATTAGTCGCCATGTACGTAATTACCCACCTAGTAAACTATTGTTTCCAGTATAAGCCGAACGAAATGTTAAAAAAACTACTAGGCGAAACGAAAAGAAGCAGTCACCCGCTGCATCAAGAATTACCTCGTTTTGAAGAATTCGAAGACTTTTAATTATAATTCACCATTGTAACACCTAATTTTAAAATTAAAATTTAATATATTGTAAAAATAATAATTGATAGAAGCTATATTGTGATTTACGATGACTCAAGGACTTGTCTTTCTGGAGAAAGTTTTGTTATTTTTTTGATTTTATTTTATTTATATTATAATACATAAGTATACCTATATATTACAAAATGTATTCGACTATATATTATATGTTTTTTTTATAAAATCGTATATATTTTTAATTTTTAAATGCGAAATAAAACAGCAGAGTACCGAATTACAATTATAATTTTTTTTTTTTTTCTTGTTTCAATACCGTTTACTTATGTATTATTACCCATTTTGATTATTTATGTTAGGTATGTTTATTTGCAGGTATACTGTACACTATAAATAAGGAAAAAATGAAACGAATAATTATTTTTGATGTCTCTAGTATTTATATAATTTTTGGTTCTATACAGGAATCAAGACTAGATCAGAATGTATCTATTTTGGTCTTGCAGCAAGACTAAGATCTATGGAGATGGTAATGATGCCAGCAATTATACCAAGTTTAAGATTGAGTCTTGCTTCATGAGCATTATTTACGAGCTTAATGGTAATTTCGACAAAAAAGCTCAAGATTATGTTAACGTTTGAGAATCTTTACTGACTGCTATAGGTGTATATTATGCTATTTATTATTTGTATTGTATACAAATATAAGCGTATAATTTTTGAAAACTTATCCGTGGGTTGACAGAGTTGAGAGAAAAATAAATAGATAAAAGTTTTCGAATTCAATGAAAAATGTTGATACTGCTGCTGATTGTGACACTTTTTTTTAGAAAGGAAGTTGCAAGTGATGATATAACTATAGACTAACTTAATATATATCTGTATGAAACCATATACCATTGATAATAAAAAACGATTCTAAGTAGAATATTATTAATCGTATTTTTTTCTCCTTCTCCTGATTACCTAAAATCAATAGAAATTATACAAAAACACTAGTTTTACCTATTTATTAAGAAAACTAAAAGGAAAATCAAAATGTTAACCCAATTCATTAACTAGGGGTGGGGATTATAATTTTCAAAAGTAAAGTTGATACTGCTTATGAATAGGCCACTGTTGCAGATAGGTACTTGAGAAATTTGACACCTATAGAATATAATTTAGTTTATATACTGTATCTAACTATACACCAATACAGACAAAACAACGATTCTAAGCTGAGTAATATATTAGTCGTGTTTTTTCCTTGTTGTCAAAGTAATCCAGAATTTAACGAAAATCAAACAACAAAAAAAGGACATAGGATATGAACCGCTCGAATATGTGAATATATCGATAAATGTTTAAGATACTACGCGAAAATGTTGCTGTATTTGACTAACCAAATGTGTATTCAAAATACCTACAAAGTTAATTTTTTTAAAAATATTTATTCAAAACTACAAAATAATTTTCATTTAAAGTACTAACAAAGAAAAGTCCAAATTTTCCAGGTACATTATTAATTACTAATCATAAATATGTTTCGCGAAGAAAAAACAGACTTCATTATACGTAAAATCAAAAATTGATCTCTATTCATTTTATTTCTTTAAATGAGGCAAGTAGTGAATAATTATGGCTGAGATAAAATAATTAAACACACTTTTATAAGTTAAATAATTATATAAAAAATAATTTTCAACATATTTTGCACCATGTATAGCAAAGAGAACTATATAAAACAAAGTTTTATTACTATTACCTGTAAAGGGACAATTTCATCGAAAAAAAAAATTAGGTGTGCATGAGATGTAAAAAGGGGTAACAAATGATATCAATGAAGTCTACGAAAAACAGAACAAATTAGTACGTGATGTACGGGGAAAAAAAGTTTGGGAACTCTGATGTGTAGGTTTACTGCTGTAGGTGGAAAGTTTTGAAGGTACAGGATAATTGAATTTTGTTATTGAAAATAATGATAAATAATTTTTGAGTGGAACTCTGTAGGGTTGGTAAGGTGGTAAGGTGTTAGCTGTATTTATTTTTCGTACATTAAAGATACCCCAAAAATCAATTCTTCGTCATTTGTTGTAAATTGATTAAAGTTGTTTAAAAAAATCTATTGGGATTCTAGAAAAATATTTCATAAAAACCACAGTGTTAAAAATGCATATATTTTATTGTACAATATGTAAAAAATTTAGATTGATTTCATTACAGTGCCTAAAATAAATGAAACTTTGTACTACATTATTTCATAATTACATACGAATACCTCGCTCTAAAAAATAATAAATTAGTTCAAAAAAATATATTTTTATTGGAACACACTTAAATAAAATAATTGAAATATTAACAGAAAATTTAAAAATAAAATCAAACACATTATTATTGTTTTATTTAAATTGCATTGCTATTTAATTAAAAAAAAAAACAACTATTAAGGGTCGTTCTAGCATTTTTTTTGTAAAGTGTTTGTAATCACAGATTTTTCATCACTTATTTACATATAGCAAAAAAAATTTTAATTTTAAATTTTAATTCACAAAAAAGCCTATTTTACACAAACATATTTATTTATCACAAACATTATACCGTTGTTTACCTAAATGCACAATTATTCAATAATATCACAATTGTAGAAGATAATATTCATTGTTCGTTTTATTGACTTGCGATTACACTAATAATAATGTAAATTGTCGATGCCAATTAACACAGATATATTAACATAAATATCGATTTATCAAACTCATTAATAAAACCATAGGTTAAAATTATAATTCGAAAATTTTAAATAATTGAAAACTCATTAAGCTAAAATAATCAACATACTTTTTAATTTTGTCTTCAGGCCATTTTTACTGAATAAAAGGCATTTTCAGAGAAAAGACCATTTGTAAAAATTAAAGCTGAAACGTCTAAAACAGATAGAAAAAAATCTAAAAATTGTTATTAGTTTTTAAAAAAATTCTGCTATTTGATCCGAACAATGCGAATTATCATGTAGGGAAAATATCCCAAATTTCGGGGGGGAGGAGTTATAATTTCCCTTCCCCCTCTTGGTTTCGCTACTGGTAAAATCAATACATTCCTTGGCGCTGCGCTTAAAATCGTAAAACGTTTGCGCGCCGAAATGCACGGCCAATAATTCCGGTTTTTTTTTTTTTTTTTTGCTTCGGCGGCGTACGAAAATATATTAATCTTTGTTTCTCGTGTTTAATTTATACATTATTATTATTTATTATGAATATCGGAACCTGCCCGCGAAATGTGTGCCAAAAGAAAGGAAACCGGGTCCGTTCAACAACAACAACAACAATAACAATAACGATATACCTATTTATAACGTTACAGCGTTACTTACCTTTATTTATTTATTTTCATTTTTTTTTTCCTCATTCTTCTCGCAAACTCGTAGGTACACATTGCAACGTATATTAACAATAATATTATGATCGCGTTCCGCGCAGCCTCTTTCGCGACCGACCGCGCGGCTGTGTACCGCCGCCGCCACCGTGGTAACCGGTGGATTAGATAGGTGCCTATTACTCTGCAGTTGGTGCAATCATATTATTAATATACGGTACAGAAAAACGGTTTGTGAAGCAAAACGGTGTGTTTATTAGATTACTGGCGGAGCAAGTGAACACATTACTACGATGCGGTGTTTTTCTGTCGAATTTTCCCCGGAAATTGAGACTGTGTTGCGTCAGCGATATGGCTTGGTGCAAGAAGATCCAGTGTGAAAAAATTGAAAAAATTTTGAAAATTAATTTGAAACCGATAAAAAAAAAAAAGTGTACTTCCAAATATCTAACGTTAACAGTGTATAATATTATTGCAATACGTTTTTATTGTTTTCGAACAAAGAAACGATTTTACTAAAATAATAATTCGCTCAGAATGGTTTCCCGTCAGCAATGGCTTATCGTCGCGTGTAAATGAAATTATTCCGTATGCCATTATTATTTCTTTTAACTCCCCTCGAAAAACGACAGCACACCCTTCGGCCATCAGCCATCCGTCGTCAGCCTTTTTTATTATCATCTTGCAGTATATGTACACGCTCGGCTCGTGTAATATACATATATTATAATAGTAATAATCACGCGCCCGTGTGCGCGGAGTAGAAGTTGCGGTGCGCACGCGCGTCCGGAGAGAATATAATGTGCCGTTATATTTCTGGTACGTATAATAAGATCGTAATAAACGCGCGCGCGTTCGCGCAGAAACGATCCGCGCCGCGAGTTCTTTGACAGGCTTGACCTCGTTACGTCCTCGAAAAATAACCGCGCGGGGTGGCGGGAAACACTGCAGAGTAAGAGAGAGAGAGAGAGAGAGAGAGAGAGAAAATAGCAACCGAGCTGGGTCAACAGCCCTTTAGAGGAGTTACCATAATAATAATATTGGTATAGTAATATTGTATTCGGTTTGTGTGCACGCAGACAAACTGCGCAGTGTTCCGGACGGAAAAAAGGCCGTGGTGCCGAAAAAGGGGGACGAGACGCGAGCTTTTTAGCGTTTCGAGTCGCGGCAGATGAATTTCACCGAGATTATAATGCAAATATATGAATATAATAATATTATAGTTACGACGTTGACAACAATAAAACTGCAGGCATATCTGTGATGCTGTGCTCGTATAATTCGTATATTCGTATATTACATCGAATATCACCAGTGACGTGCCCAGGAGTATTCAATAAAGGAGGGGAGGGGGAGGAGATGTTGCAAATAATAATCGTGGATCAATCGTAAGAATCGTCTTCTTTACTCTACTGGACTGTAGGTGAATCTGAAAGCCGGATTCTGAATAGCCATTTTTTAATCAATAAACGAAACTCATTTCCTCGTAACTTAGCTAAAATATTGCACACATTTCAATATTCAATTACTAAATCAACACTAATATTTGTTGACTTTTGAAGCCAATGGGAAGATGGTGTGTTCTATAATATATTATTATTTTATTTTCACTAATCTTTTCCATTCTCTGTGAACGTTATACTATATGTGCATACACTGCATACTGCACACGTGTTCAGTATTAATATGTATTTTAATAATATATTTTTATTTTGCGAGTGATCAAGTGATTTTTTCTATTTTATAGGGGTAACGGCCTTTAAGACCAGCCCTCTAATAAATACTCCTCCATCTCTCTCTATCCTCCGCTGCTTCTCTCCATTGTAATCCAGCTTCTATATCTCCTATATCCATAACAATCCTTCCGTCTCAGGCGAGTTCTTCCTAAAGGTCGTTTTTCTACTGGATTGTTTTCGA